AGCTCAGGATTTCGTAGATTTTTTATTCATCGTATGTTACAGTTCGATAGTACAATCTAATACATTTGTGGAAGAAAATATGATTGTAAGAGCTGCCATTCTCGAAATATCGAGGACCAAACTTTTCAGGCCAATGGCCAAAATTAAGAGAACTGTTGATACATCGGAAAAATTATTCAATCCACAATGTGCACAATCAATTAATAACATGCTAAGAACAAGTTTAAGCTCTCTATCTTGTCAGGTCACAGAATGCGACAGGTTTAACTAAAAATCGAACTGATCTGTTTTACCGAAAACAGAAAATGATATTTCACGAAATTAGTCCATATTCTGGTTAACCACCAAAAGTCACATCTTCAAAATGAGTTTCTTGCAGAGATCTGGTTACACAACTGCACAAAAGGCGATCGAAGTTTCAATTTCAAACTCGATTTTCTCGAAAACTGTCCTTCGGATGAAATGGTTAATAGTACCAATCGACTCAGTTTTAGTGTCTCTACAAACTTACAGAGTTTAAATTTGCGAGAAATCTATTTTTATCCGCTTCAGCCCATTTCTCTTTCATTACTTGTGTGAATTTGTGCATAAATGTTACAATTGTGTTCTTTTAACCGCATAACATGCATTATGGAAACAAAACTTATAATACACGAACCTCTGAAGCAAAAGCAAGTCTCTTCATTTCTCCTCCAGAGATGGACTTCTTCGATCCTTTTAAACCAATTATTGTGTCTGCACACTTAGTTAGACTTAGCTATTAGTTATGAAATTAACAAGTTAGGTTAATTATTTTAAAATAGTTGCAATAAATCAACAAAATGATTTACCTCCAATATGACTTCTTCAACCCGTTTTATGATTGCATCTTGGCTAGTGTCGGGACTCATCCTAAGCTTGGCCTTGATAATTGAGTATTTTAATACTATTAGAAGATAATTACTAACAATTTGCAAATAAATCAACTAACCTGATACATTAAATGCTCTCGAGCGGTTAAATTGGCCAAGAAAATGTCATCTTGTTGGACGTAAGCTGAACAAGAAGTGATTCTTTCAACTGTTGACGGTTTACCATTCAATAAGATGGTTCCTTGGACATTCAAACCCTTTAGATTTCGTCAGTCAAGACATTGGAGTAAAGTCGTTTTACCCGATCCGCTTGAGCCCATAATTGCCAATATATTACCGTGTTTAGCTTCACCTGAGACTAATGGGTTACAAAAGTGAATAAAGGATGATTCATGCAAACAATTGAATCTAATTGAACTTACTGTCATTTATTATTTGGTGTGGTTGAATCCCTTTTGAAGGTAAATTGAACTTTGTTTGTAGATTCCCAATAAATTGGTTGAAGTAACTCTGATTGCTGTAAACACTAACATTGATCCAAGACAGGTCAATCGGTCCTTTTAGGCTATCTTGTGGTCTGCTATCAATAAATTGTTTATAGTTTTGGGAGTAATCGGGGAATCAGGGTTAATTTAAAGCAATAATAGGATAACTTACGTTGATTGAATCCAAAAGATTGACTGTTTTGATTTTTCGAATAACTTTGATCTGAAAGTAAATATAACAATGAAAACGACTTTAAATCTTACGAGAAATGTCTTACTTCTGAGCAATGATATTACGAACAGTTTCCATCGGTAGAATGTGATTAACTATAAATCAATGCGACATGATTTGTTGGTGAAGTGAAACATTGAAATGAAGTAAGGATGAAACAAAAACATTAACACAACATTATGTCGCACAATCTTTTGAATCATGATCATGATTACAATGACCATCCATGATCAATGGTGACCATTTAAGAGGGGTCAAATAGAGAAGGTAATTGCTATTGATTGAATATTGTTGTTGAAATATGATTTTGTTTCCCAGCTATGAATTGATTTGTCTCCTTTTTTCATTCAAACGAGTCACTCATTTATTATAACAACCAGTCTAACACTCAACCTAAAATTATGTTTACATGTTATTGTAAATAATAATAATAATACATTGATTGTATCATTGATTGTTTCCACTTTATTCAACACTTTGTTAGTAAAGTTATTACCGACTAATTGTTGATCAAATGTGCATTTAGTTTGCTATGGTTACTCAATTCCTTACATCTATAACTTATTAACATTCAATGTGCATTCATACATTCAATAAGCATTAAAAATGTTTCAATTTCAGTTTAAATCTTGTTTTATTTCATGTCAATGTACATGTTGAGAAAATTGTTTTGGTCAATCATCAGATAAAGCATAGAGATACATATACAAATAGCATATTTTGAATTTGTTACATGGGAGTCAGTCTAATACATATTATTGATTTGCTTTAATGAACAAAATAATGATTCAAAAAGAAAAATTTACAGGAAGAAGAATTGAGTTCATTATTTGAACATCTAAATTCATTCTATGCTTTATATAAATGAAAAAAACACAATTTATCGATTCAATATTTTCATTGAAGACGAAGATTTTCAAGAATTAATGTTTGAAACAATCTCAACAATGGAATCAATTTGTTATTGCAAGCCAATACTCGATTGTGATTAAAAATTGAATCGGTGTTTATGGCTTGTGAGCCAACTGTAATTATTAGATGATTCACACCCATCAGCAGTTGTCGTGACTCAACAATCAACCATTTATCAAATTTTTATGATTAAGTGTCTCTAAAATGCGTTTCATTTCAATGGCATCGACATATTTTTGGTGGAAATCAAATCATTGTAAGAAACTAACTCCTGCTGTTAAATAACTGAATACAACTGCACATAATTTGGGTATTAACTCGTTATTGACTAGAAAATTTCCCCACAATCTGAATCCGACATCCTTGCTGGCAACATAATTGAGATAGTGATTGATCTGTAAGACAAGAATAAAAAATATTAGAATAAGAGCAAGTTTAAATGTTCAGTAAACTAAGATTTAACAATTTAATTTCAATTATAGTAACCTCAATTTTAACCAAGCCACTGATATCCCCAAAAGATGTTAGATAAAGAGCCAAATAATATGATTGGGGAAGAGTATTGAGAAGAATCAATCCCTCGGCTAAAATAAGTACGAAATAAAAATTAACAGAATTCCAACCAATAGTGACTACATTGATCAAAATGGTTTGTGAAGATACAGCTAATTGGTAGAACCCGAAGACAAATTGAGGAACAAAAAAACATATAAAAGCTGAGAAGACGTGCTTAAATGTAGTTTGAAGAAGATCGATCAATTGAATAATTTGATTATGACTTTGTCGACATAACCGTACGTGTCCCAGATTGGCCAACGTGACTGAACAGGTCTCTAATCGACTCTCAATGGATTGAAAACCAGCTTTAATCAAGCCAACTGATAGTCTTAAAATATAAATATAACCAATGTTGAGGTAAAGTGTGTAAGCTAATGCAAAAAAAGTGATCGAAGCTTGCCAGAGTTCATCTTTACCAAAAATACCGAGCAATGCAAATCCTAGCAACATGGTTGTTCCCAATAACAGCATAACAATCAATTCTCGATTAATTCTTTTGGTTTCACTTAAAATGAATGTTTCACAAACGGTTCCTTGAGCAATTATAATCCTTCTCCAAATGGAGTCAAAATTTTCATAAAAATTGTCCAAGTTGATGTGAAAAGGTCCAGAGCTGATGAAAATGAAGCAAAGGCAGAAAATTGATTGTTCAAAAATGTCGAAAACTTGCTTGAATTTGATATCATTCAATGTAAACAGCATACTTGAGCGAAGATAGAGATTAAAAACATTTCCAGCAAAGGTGAAAACAATAACAATCCTTCTAATAATTATTGATCCAGGTAATGTCTTGAATGAAAGTGACTTTAAGAAGAAATTATCCGATGCTAATTTGGTTAAATTGTACCTCGATGGCGTTCTCCTGTTTAGGAAAGAAAAAAAATTAAAATTAATATCTGCGTTTAATTTACAAATAAATGTTAAAATTACCTTTGAGAAGTGAATAATTTAGCAGATCCATCAATAACGTTCAATTGCATCCTTAGCGTACTCGTCTGATGAACCAGGATTCAAATGTTTTCAAATAGTAGAGTTGTCATTGAAGATTACGATTGGTTTGACCAAGAAATGAATAACAATCAATTGGGTCGATGAAAACTCAGATGAATGGACAAGACATTATTGATGATTTGTAAATGTCATTTTAGGTTCATTGTGTATTGAAGGAACACTTTAACCCAAATGATGAATTGAAAAATTAATTGAAAATGTGATACGGTTTAAATTAGCTTTTACTAATTCACAATTATTGTATACAGGGAAAAGAGATATCTTTGTAAACTTGTTTACAATTAACATTGTGATTGGAAATGGCTTTAAATGTGATCGCAGGTATAATTGTATTTATAATGGTGTTTGCACTTGCGAAACCCAGCCAGCAATAATAGGCCAAAAGGTAGGTATAAATAAAATAATTTTTCAACATCTCTAATTATAATAATAATAATATCAATAATAAGGGTGGTCAAGAACTATATATATTTCTTGGAGAAGGAAAAAAGGGTTGTAAAGGGGAAACAGGGTTAATTTTATCACAGAGGTAAAGAAGAGTATTTAACAAAAAAAGGATTTAGACGCAAAAAATGATGATGGAGCCGATTGAGGGTACCAAGATGTGTTGATAGAGAGACCAATCAGCGCCTTGAAGATTCCTTCTTTTTCTGGCGAATGATCCGTTCAAATTCAACCCTAATTTATTGGTGTGTAAATATATTTGTTTAGTTAATTAGCAGAGAAGCAAGTGAACTTTATTGTAAATTATAAATTGTTACTAATCAGATTTTTTGTGATCGATAGGTTGATATTAATAGAAAATATCTATTGATATCAATAAATATTATTTCAAGTTTTTTTTATAAATAATTCGTTAATTGTTAGATGTATTTATAACTGTTCAAGTTAGCAGTAGCGGTAGCAGCAGAGGCAAGGAAATTAGTTATTGTTAATGATTTTATTGTATAATTTTATTCGATTAATTAGACATTAATTGTTGCTGGTCATTTTTCTTCTCTTCAGTATTTTTCTTCAGTTTAGTTAACCATCATGATAATAAGGAAGAGAAGTCAAAGTACCACAGTGTGTGTCTTCCAAAGGATATGATTAGATCGATAAGATTAATCATTTATCAAGGTTAGAGGCCACTTCATCATATCTGATGGTGTGTTGTTAGTTGAAAGGTTAGGTTAATGCAATGTTAAGCGGTGGGCATTAGAAGCGTCATCGTGTTAAGCGAGGATGAGATATTGGATTTGAAAAGACGATGAAATCGGAACGTGTTAAAGAAATTAATGAAAGGATGTTCATTAGCAATTTGTATTTACATATAAAACAATCAAGAGTCAAGAATATTTACTTACTGTTTAACTGGAGGAGGAATTACTGTACTTTCAATGGGCACAAGATCATTGAGCTCGGCAAGTGTGCTCACGAATTTAAGTTTTTTTGAAAATTTAGAGCTACAAAAGATTAGAATAAAAATAATCAATAAAATAATTTGTTACGATTTAAATTTGGAAAAATTAAACACCAAAAAATTTGACATACCTTATGAAAGGTTTTGTCATAATTACAAAAGTTTTCAACCAAAAAGTGGGATGAACCAGAAAAAGAGATTTCAAATTTTTCCTCAATCTTTTATCAATCATTGTATAACAACGCTTTAACCAGCTAAAGGTAGGCATATTATTGCTTGAAACTCCGGCACATCCAGCATTGTGAAAATAAATAAGGATGTAATCATCGGCTACCAATTCATGAAGTGTTGTTAGGACGTACCTAAAAGAAAATGTAAATAATCGAAAAACAAGATTAAATTTTGAGCGAAATTTCATCAGAAGAAAAAACAATTACATGAACAAATTATCCATAACATAGCCATAATCCTTCCTGGATCTGTCTGGAAGATAACAGGCTGAGAAAATGATAATTGCAGGACCAGGACCTAATCAGAGTTAAATGTAAAATTAATAACATGATCATTGAGAAATCAATTTTCTAGGTTGTTGATGAAAAATGTTATACCTGGAGTTGTATTATTTTTGTTTAGTTGAGCAGAATTGTAATGATGATAGTAACCTCCGTGAGATAGAACTTTCTTATAAGGTTCGATAACTTTAAGGTCAATCTTTTTTACTTCTCCCTTGTCTCCAATTGGACATGATTCCCGCCAACTTCTGGTTTCATTCATTTCTTCTTGAGCAGATAACTCAGGAACTCGATTTTCTTCTTGTTGTGTATGTGGAAAATCAACTAATTGCAAATGAGGGAATAAAATGAAATAGTTAATGGTTATAGTTTGAAATTTTTTAGTTTCATTTCAAGAAGCTGATTAGGTGAAAGGTTTCCAATTGAAGCACATACTTATCATGTCATCATTCGATAAAAGTTCTTTGTTAACCAGTATCTTTTTCTTGGCTAATGATCCTTGCTTTTGTAATGTATCTAAAAAAAGATGAAAGAAGAATCAGAGGAAATTTCATTAGTCAAATAATTAACTATGTTTTTAACAAATAAGCAATTAAGTGTTTGTGGTTTTTTAGTGTGTTAGTTGATAGACGGAGGAATGTGGACAGTGAAGTGACAAGACATTTGAGGAAACCCATGAAAACGAAGCCCCGTGAAATTGAGACAGATGCACATTAAGGATATTGATGATTAAATGGTGATGTTGTTAAATTTAAACAGATTTGTGAAAGAGCGAGAAAGACAAAGATTGCAAATGGTTAGTAAAATGAGCAACAAAAAGCAAGGTGAAGCAGCTATTTAACGAAAATTGCTTGCTTTGGGGAATCATATGAAGTACCTTCCAATTCTTCTTTTGTGGATACAGGTGATTCTAGGTAATTATTATCATTAAAAAAGGTGTCTTCTTTGGTAATGTAATTAGATTGTGAAGAAGTACTGTTTTCGTCAAATTTTGAACCAACATCATTACTTTCTTTAGTATCGTTAAAATCATCACCATCTTCCTTTGAGGTTTCATTTTCAATTAAATCGTTTACTGTTTGGTCATCATCGTGAGCATTTGTTTCATCTGAGCTGTTGAAAATTTCTTGAATATCAATTTTAGGACGAATCTTTCGTCGTTGACTTTGAGTTAATGATGTGTTACGCTTTAAAAACTCAACAGGCTGAGGCGTTGTTGATGGCGGTGATATTTGATTTTTAATGAGAGATGTTCCCCCGGTTTCACTCTCGTTATGATCACTTGAATTAACTGTAAACTGATCAAAGGAAACATCAGTTCGTTCACTGGCAGTTGTAATTGACATCAAGTCATTATCACTGTCTTTAACTGAGCTTCCCAAAAGCGATTTACTGTTATCTTCACCTTCACGATTTTCCCCATTTCTAGGAAAAAGCATTGATTCAGGTCCGAAAGAGTCAAAACTGAATTCAAGAACACCGTCCACTAATTTAGATTGATTTTCCCAGTAAATTGGATCCTGAGGGGTTTCTTCAATCATTACATCTGGATTAGTCACTTCACCGGAAAAATCTCCGACATAAGAATCATCAATATAAGAACCATAAACATTCATAGAATCTAATTGAGGTTGAGATTGTTGTTGTTGGGTTGAGTTGTACATAGATCCAGATTGAGACTGTGTTGAGGTTTGTATTGAAGATTTGATGTTATTGCCGTCCTTTACCGAACCAGGATCACTTTGATCAGCCATTTCGGAACTGTTGACAGTACGTGATGATGGATTTGAATGATTCTTACCTTTACTTCTAGTATTATTGGTAAATATTTCAACAGGATTTTCTATCTGTTTTACCGGAAAAACAGGGGTGAAAAGTGAATCAAGAAAAATAGAGAATAAAAATTGGATTAGACAATGCTGAGTAGAAAAGAAAACAGTTAATGATAAAGGAAAATGAAAGTTTAAGAGTCATTGGGTGGGTTTAACTGTGTTGATTGTTGGGTTGGTGAACTGATTAGCCTGGATAAGACAAGAGTGGGGGATGATAGATGGAAATGAAATAATACATAAAATAGTTGTGAGATGGAAAAAGAGAGAAACGTGAAAAAGATAAACACCAAGACAAAAAAAATATAAAGGTAAAAGTGATAAAAAAATCGACAGCAGGTTGAATATAAATCTTACCGCAGTGGCTGATTCATTAATATAATCTCGCGGAGATTCTGGAAAATCAATTGTCTCTGGCTTGTAATTAAGCACAAAGTCAGGGTCAACATCAGCTGTTGATACTTTTGATCTAAGTGGATCATTATCTTCAGAAGCTTTCTTATTTGAACCATAATGAGCTAATGATAATATCAAAAAAAGAGATGGAGAGAAAAAGATTAAAAAGATAAAGAAATTAGTATTCTTTTTTCATTCAAATACATTGCTAAGAACAGTTAGTGAGAAAAAAAGAAACAATTTTATGTGAAATTGATAAAAATCAGCATGTACCTCGTTGACTCTCCAAGGCAGCTCGCTCATTTGACATTATTTGGGCAATCATGGGTAGAATGGCTTTTCTTGATGCTTTAACATTATTTTGCTTGTAAACTTTGAGATTCTCCTTTTCAAACAATAATTCCAAATCAAGGGCACAAGCGGAACTCTCTAGTTGATTACAAACCTGAAATAGTGGAAAAAGAAACAAAACTTATGGTGAGTTAAATTATAAAGGACATGATATAATGAAGGAAAAAAGGGAAAAAAGGATGAAACGGAAAAAATGAGTAAATATCTTAACAATGCGTAAATAAATTGGTTGTACGTATAAACTGGCGTAAAATAAAATATAGACCAACTTGATTTCATATTGGACTTTTCTGAGGCCGTGATAATGTAAGATAAGATTGGAAGTAAGAAAATCATAAAACACCGGCTTAAATAAGTTTAATATTAAAAGGTTAATGGACTTCAGCTCTCAAGTTAAATAATAGAAAATATTTACGATGAAAAATAATGAAAAAGTTCAAGAATCAACATTGCTAATAATGTTCCTGCAACTCCATTTTTTGCATAAGTAAATGTACTCTAATTATTAAATTGATGTTAATGCACTTGTTACTGTCAAAATGATCGGTTGAAACAATGAATTTTGAGACTTCTAATATCTAGTTCAACATTTAAAAGTAATGTCAGTGATTAAGTAGTTTTAGTGAAACGTTGTTTGGTGAAATCATTTGAGTTATTTGGTGTTAATATGAAGATGGGAAGAGAAAGGAAGAGCTGCGACAAATTACACAAGCATATGCAATGAGGTAGTAAGTGGCCTAAGGAGTTGATAAATGAAAAAGTTGTTGAGTTAGTTTTGAAAAAATAAATATGTAAGGATTAAGAGAGAAAAGAAAAGAGAAAGATTTTTTCTGTTCTTTTTTTCAGTAAAACATGAACAGGGTGAATGAAGTCCTAACTGCAAAGGCAGGTTGTGAAGATAATAATTGTGCAATTAATGTAGACTAAAAGGCTTAACAACGGTAATTATGGTGACTCTATGCAGATAAAAAAGACCTAATGAGGGGAGTTTGAATGAAAAAATGATGAGAAGAGAATGAAATTAACGAAATGAGAGCAAACCAATGAAGATGACCATATCATTGAAATCATTCTGGTCATAATTGAGTGAAAAAGATATGAACAAAGATTGCCTTTTTCACATTTTTTTGCTGCTTACAATTGCTGACTTACAAGTAGAAGAGAATTGAAGTTTTAAGGTTTCTCATCCTATTGACAATAGCAAAGATAATGTGAATGATACAGTTGACAAATGGAGAGAATTGAATGAAAGATTAAATGAATAACTGAGAAGTAGGGGGAGTTTATATTAGCAATTGTATCTGAAATGCTTTCCGTTGAATACTGGGCTCATGGTGATCATCAGTGTGATGATAAGTTTAGCAATATTAATGCAATAACATGCAAAAATATGAGCTTTGTTTTTTGTTTCGTTTCTCTCGGTAACTCCCCAATCTTTTTTGGTCTCTCTTTCTTTACTGTAATTTGCTTCTCTTTGCTCCTTTGATGTGTCACCCCTTTGCTTTATTTATGCTTTTCCAGGTCTACAGAAGGTAAAAGATGATGACTTAAATGACTGTAGTTGATGCTCATTACTGAAATGAAAAGCGGAACAAAAAGATGCATCTTCATGCTGCAACATAATTATGATTGTAAATTGAATAAATACCTAAATGAGAATGAGAAAAGGTGTGAACTCAATGATGATTGAATTATGAGATTTACAAAAATGGACAGACAATACTTAAGCATGATTTAAGATGATGTTGGATGGTAATGATAATCAAATTAAACTGGAACAAAATAGCAATTCTAATTTAAATTTTCGTTTTTTTTCTCTTCTTCTTTAACTTCTCTTTTTGGAAAGAAAATCGATCTCAAGTAGGCAAACTATTCGATTCTATGGTAACAGTGAATAGCTAACATGCTCATTTTAAAAGTTAAAATCAAGTCTAATGAAAGATGATAATACTCTTATTATTTAGTTAAATCATCATCGTGAAATCGTGACTCAGCAGTGTAATAGTGAACCATTAAAGAGTGAACTTGAGTTTAAAAAAAGTAATGGTTACAAAAAAGTGAAGTGAGACAAGGAGTGTAACAACCAGTTCCAGATTTGTTCTGAGGGCTTAGCTATTGCATCGAATGATAATAATAGAGAAAAGTTAACAATCAACAGAGTTGCAAGAAACGGAGAACGATGGCGATGATGAGAGGAGGACTGAAAACATCACAAATGATTACAAAAATAATTCATGATAAATAATATTACACTTTGAACACAATTAGATTTGGAGGAAGAGGAGAATGAGAAAAGAAGCAGAGATTTTGTATTATAAAACGAACACAGAAACGACTGGCAATTTCAGTAGCCCATCAAAAATAAGATTACTGTCAAGGAATAAAAAAAATATTGATGAAGAAGCAATGAAGTATCAATCATAGGAGAGGAGTTTGAAATAAGAAAAAGGTGTCCCTTAAAAATAAGGTTCATGATTTTATAATCTAAAAGGAAAATACTGGCAACCTTGTAAATCGATCAATATAAAAAAAATGGAAGTAAGTGTATAGATGGAATGAGTTCAGAACAAAGGTAAAATTAAAGGTAAGATGGTGACTATAACGCATACCTTTCGCAATAAATCTTCTAAAGAAAAATAAATGGCAAGATCTCTTTCAACGTTATTTGGATTTTCGTTCCTGATGGCTAACAAAATACTCCCAAGACAGTTGTTTGCTCGACAATATTGACCCAGTTGAGCTGAAATATCTGGCTTGCTGAGAGTTTCTTTCAGATGAATATTGCAAAGTGAAGAAAGGGCTACTTTTTTCCCACCAATTCCATCGATGATTTTCAAATCTTTGGTTAAGAGATCCGTAAGGCCAAGCATGGACGAGGCTTTGCCTATTGCGGTTATTAATTGTGAATAAATTTCTTGATCAGTCAACATTTCAGAGCCAATAACATTTTTTAAACGTTTGGCAATATTGATATCTAGCTGACTGAAACGATGAGCGGATTCGGAGAAACAAACAGTATCTGAAAAAAATATATGAAGATATTTTTAGATTAATAGGGTAATAATCAACAAAGGTATTTACCTAAAATAATAGTCCCATATAACATTAAAGCAATTTGGACGTCAGGATTAACTTTTTGAGTTTCACAATAATCTAGATATCGACGAGCAATCAGAGTGCAGCATGAACCAACATCTAAATCTATTTCACACTGAGTTCCAATCTGATGACTTGGATTCAAAACTTTGTGATGATCGATTATTTCAACAATTTCACCAAAATTTTCCATTTCTCGATCTTCATTGTGATCAACAATTGTAAAAGATATCTGTTCGACATCTGTAAATGGAGGAATAGAAACAAGGAAATTTTATTAAACGGGAAAACTCTTTTAGAAGCCGACAAACTGATTTCCTCCCTTAACTTTCATAGTAAACATAAATCTAAATCTAAAACGAAACAATCTCGGATGTTTATTCAGCATATAACCGGATTTTCTGCTTCTTGTTTAGTTAACTGGTTGGTAATAATTGTTTGTTTAAACTTAGTGAGTGATCATTAGCAACCAATCTTTGATTAGAGATATGCAGAAAATCAATTTTTGAGTTCGGTCGTAACGAAAAGATCGTTATTTACGAATAGGGAAAATCATAGAAATCTCTATAAATAAATTGGATAAACGATAAACAGTATCATTGAGTTTAAATCCCAGCAATGATTGAAAGATAAATAGATTTAACTCACTTTCTCGAATTCGTAATAGGTTAACTTCATCTTTACACAAAACCGATTCAAATTTAATTTGCAGTGTCTCTTCCAGCCAGAATGCGACTTCGCTTTTCAAAAATAAACGATCTCTGTTGATATTTAATACTGGTAATGTAACCTGATCTTTGCTTGACGAGTATTTAGATATCTGTTTAACAAGAGGAGTAAAAAGTTAAATAAGAGCAGATTTAAATGAGTCATTAATGTTTTGAATATAAAATCTATAAAGGTTGTCAAAATATAAATGTGCACTTACATATAAAAGATAAGAATAGACCAAAGAAGATACACATGAATCAAGATCGCATGATTCATTACCAATTACCAAGTGAACATGTTTAAATTGTTTATTTTCCAACTGAAATGAAACATAACAAGTAGTCGTTATTTTAATTGACAATGAAATTGATGGAATAGAGGTAGAGAGAGAGAAAAAAATAAAATGAATAGAATCAATTTTAATAAAGATACTTACCAATCTCTTTAAATTGAAGCGACATTTGATGAGAAAATCCTCCATAGCTTACTTGATTGTGTGAACCACGGTTAACAAAAGAGGTAAGGGAAATATCACAATTAAGAGTGAATCATTTGCAAATGTATATAAATTAGTTGAGATCTGATGATTTGATGATGTGATATTGTCAGTTATCCAGTTTAATAGGTGACGATTAGAGTTGAGCAAATCCGAGTCTCAGACTTGGACTTGGATTCGTTTCTAGGCTTTCTGTTGTCAGTTGCTAACGCTTGTGACTCTAGTCACGTGATCAAAGAGAGCATGTACATCATCAATGGCTCTATCTATCGGTTATGAAAGATAATGGGAAAAATAATTTAATCAAGTTTTTCCTTGTAACTTAAATTAATAAATGAAGTAATTATTGATTGATTAACACATGCGAACCAGATTTGTTAAAACTGAATCAGCTATAGAAATGTTTAGCTATTTTGTATGAATTTATGAATATAATCATTGTTGTTACTGAAGTTGGTTTAATTTAAAAATGAAAAAATGACAATAAAGTACATTTGATTGTGTGAATAAACTTGCATAATTTGGATAAATTTATATTTAATAGAGCATATTTATTATAAATAAATAAAAAAATGTTAAAAATAAGCTAATTACGCTTTAGATGGACTAAAATTAATTTGAACTTGGTTCTAAATGAAATGGATTCCTTTCAACATTGGCTTACAGGGGTTAATTGTGATCGAGATTTTTCCCATTTTGAGATGAGTCCAAGAGGAAAACACATAATTCCGGAGATCGTAATAACTGACCCAGCCAAGTAAAATGATGCATTGTATGAATTTGTAATGTCAAAAAACCAGCCTAAAAATTAACAAGAAAAATCAAGATGCATTAAAAATTATGATTATACAATATTTTGCAAACAAACTAATGAATTATTATTTATTAATTTTATTGACTTGGGTCGATTGAGATAGATCAAGAATACGAACCAGCAATTGGGCCACCAATGATAGTTGCGATTCCTTGAGGAAGTAACAATAAGCCGAATGCACTTGTCAATCTTTCCAGTCCTAATAATTCAACAGTAATTACAGATCGAAGAGCAACAAAACAAGCTAATTGAGAAATTAAAAAAAAATAAATTAGTTAAAGATGACAACAATGTAAATAGTGAAATATTAATACACTATGAATGAAAAACAGTTAAGAGCAAGATTGAATTTAGGTATTTTTAGCAAAATTTTTCAATCGAGATGCATTCGAGGATATACAAATCAATTAATCTCCTCATTAATCAATAATTGTTTTACATCTTCAACATATGAATTCACAATTGATCAGTCAACCCTTAAATATTACTATTAAAACGTGAGAAAACTGATAATGTAATAAAAGCTCCTAATGGCTTTCACATTTTGATGAATTATTTTCATAATGATGACCCTGATTTGATTTAAAACTTGAATGCAACTCCATTTTTAGCTATGTAAATTGTACTTGATTAATTACCAATTGAAAAGCCAAATAATGAACAGTATACAATGAGACTAGTGAATGTATTGCAAATTAAAGGAGAAAGTGCTGTGACCAATCCTCCGATGACCAAGGCAATATTATTGATGATCAGAGGTCGAACCTTAGGACTATCGGAAATCCAGCCACAGAAGACTCGACCAACAGTGTTTGTGATTCCAATTATTGATAAAAGAAGTGCTCCTTTCTCTGGAGTAGTTCCTGGCGGAAGAATGAAAAAAAAATCAGTTGAAATTGTAATGCAAAAACAATCAAGAATTGGGTTGATAGAGTAAATTTATGCAAAATTAGCTCAACAGACATGTTAAGAAATGTTGAGAAATTGTTGAAACAATTGATACTTGTTAACATTTTTCGGGTGAAAATCTCAACACTTGTGTTAAATTGTTGCTTCAAGTTTGTACTTTGATCATGAGGAAAATACAAGGTAAAATTACTCCATAAAAAATACATGAGACAAAATGTATATTTAATCGAGTGGTTGTTGACTAGTTTTTTGTGGGATATGATTAAGTTGATAATTTTCATCTAGTTTGGCAAAAAAGAAACAAACCCATTATTATGATGATGGTGATTAAAAGCGAATCAAACAGCTTATGCATTAACAAATCAAGAATGATTGAACAATTTAAAGCTTACTCATCAATTTCGCTAAACCCCAAGTAAATAATAAGAGTTTCTTAGCAGATATATCAGGGTTCTCCTCTTATGATTAAATCAGGCGAGAAGACAACTGATTTGGGATAAAGATATGAAATATCTTGAAACCTGATGAAGTGTCAATTTGGAAACAATAATTTGAGAAAATTAATTAGACGATCAAGGAGTAAAGCAATAATCTAAATGTACTTGAGGTGAGTTGTTAATTAAATATTTCCAATCATCACATATTTTTTTGATTGTGTAAGTAAAGACCTTTATAACTTTCCTCTTAACCTCATAATTACACATGTAATGATAATTTTTGTTGGATATAATTTGGAGGTGAACAAGAAACAGAGTAATAATCAATTTTTCGTTGCAGGTGATATAATTAGATTAGCTTAATAAGGATAAGACAAAATGGGATTCAAGTCAATGATTTCCGCTAAAAATCAAATCTTAAATTATCAAGAAATTGCAAATGCTGAATCAAGGTAAATTGCAAAGAGCAATGAGAAAAAAATGATGATCAGGTCGATGTTAGATGCAATAAATGCGATTCATCAAAATAACAGTACGTAAGAATAAGCTAACGATTGAGATTCAGAAGAATTGAGAATCTCAACAGTCTAGAGACTCAAAACTGTAATTTTGTTTTATTTTAAATATAAAAGGGTTTTCCTCATTATAATTTTGATTAACATAAATTAGCAAGTTGAATTATCAGTGATGAGAGTGAAGAATGAAAGGAAAAGTAATCTAACAGAACAGAATCTAAGAATATCAATTCCTTAGTTGCCCAATTGATAATGGAATTGCAAAGTGGTTTTTCAATTGGCATTTTTTTGTCATATGAAACACTTGAAAATGCTTAATGATTTAGTTTAATAACACGTGATTTGGTTGATTAACCATGATCCTGAAGCGTCGGTTAGTTGGTTTGTTACGATATTTTTTGTATTCTATGTTATAACTTATAACTTATAAGTTATAACCCAAAGCATATGATCATTATAATCTGAATCTGTTTTTTTATCATATTACTTTAGGTAATGGTGAAGGATGGGATTATGATTACTTAATTTTAACATACCTATTTGAATTGAACGATCAACAATGTACATGAAAGGAATGAAGAAACCAGACAATGTTAAGAAACCGCTGATACCGAGAAGAAGAAAAGAAGGACTCAGAAGTAATGATAAGTCTAATAACTTAACACATGAAGTTGCCTCTTCAATAACTGATTGCCGCCGATGTTGAGATGAAGATGGTAATGTTTGTTGTTCTCGGGTAAAAGATGCAGCCAGTGGACGTTTTACGCTAGCCTTGAATTCCTGTAAGCTTAAAGTTGAATATAGGATCTCATTTTGAAAGACATAATTGATGCCAAATGAATGAGCTCTTGGCCGATGGTGCTGGTGATGGGAAGGGAGATGTTGATAATTGTGGCGATGAGGAATAGGAGTTCGAACATAGCGATTACGATGAGGATGATTAGTTTTATCGTCAATAGATTTATGAACAACTGAACTTCCTTCGCTAAATGTATAACGGCGATTCTTTTTGTATCGGTGCGATTGTGGATCCTTTTGCTGTTGGTCTTGAGATGAATAATCGGTGGCTTGGCGACTACTTTCCATTAAATCCACACCTTCTTCATCACTATCGTCAAGAAGCCAACTTTTTTTTGAATGCCCTAAAAGTGGTTTACCAGAACCATCTGATTCTTGATCGCCAGACGATGAGGAAGTTTCATCACTTGGCAATGGGCGGAATAAAAAACCAAAAACTGCACAGTTGAGAACAATTCCAGCTAAAATTAAAACACAGCCTCTCCAATGGTAAGTATCATTTAAATATTGAATTATTGGTGCCATAAGAAAAGCTCCAACACCTGATCCACAAACAGCTATTCCAGTTGCAAATGCTCTTCGGCGCTCAAAATAGTGTCCAACCATTACAATTGCTGGAAGATAGATGAATCCAAGACCGATTCCTGTATAGAAAATGAGCGAAAATTGATGTTACATTTTTGCTTTTCCCAATTCTGACTCAGACAATTGAGATTATGTCCACGTGAAATTAAAATAATTACCAGCAAGAGCACCATAGGATAAACATAGCCATAGAACACTTGTTGCAAAGTAGGAAATTATAAATCCGAGTGAAGCAATTAAACTACCAATTATGGTTACAACTCGACAGCCATAATGGTTTGCCAACGTCGATACCAAGGGACCTGGAAAAGGTGAAAACAATATACATATCGAATTGCTTGATTACTTTAGAAAAAAATATCAGATTTACATTAAACATCTTGTTGATAAAATAAACAAATTTTAAGGAAGAACAATATTAACATGAAAAATTCTTAAAGATTGAAATCGTTATGTAAATTGGAGTAAACAGTAATTTCATTAAAAACAAAAGGATAATTTTGCGCTCAAAACAATAGGGGAAAGTATGCTAATTGAGATTCAACAAGTGACCACATTGCTATCAAATTATAAAATGATAAATTGAAAATTAAAATAAATTACTTACCAACAAATAGGTAAAATCCAGCTTGTAATGACCCAATCCAAGCAGTGGTTCCTTTAGGTTGCTTAAAATCTTTGGATATTTCAAGCATAATTACACCAAAACAAAAGATGATTCCATCAACAATTACATTGCACATAAAAGAGGCAAAGACTATGACCCAGCCCCAGTAAGAGTCTCGTGCACTATTTAAATTAACTGAATTATCGTTATTGCTGATACTTTCTTCCAATGAAGTATCACCAAAATCTGAATCTTTTTTGAAGTTTATATCCTTCATATCTGAAGTTACCGACGTTGATGAACAAGTCAACTGTTCATTGACTAGCGAAGGTGATCGATCTTGTGGACAATTTGCCATGTTGAGATTTTTGTTTAAAATAAATATCTGAAGCTTCCAATCAGATAATTCAACAAATTTTGTAATAAGATGAACAATTATAAAAAAGTAGATCACTGGACAGGATAAAAAAGTCCAATGGATGAACTGAACATTGACTAATTAACCAAAGAAAAGGTTAAACAGATCAAAATAAGGTTAATTAAATAAGGAATTAAAAAAGATGTGACTTAAAGTAGGGAAAAATCCGTCAACAATTAGACTAAATAAAGTGGCTTCCATAAAGTAACATTGAATCGACTAAAATTGGAGGTTGAATTTGGTAAATCTGTTCAACAATCAATGTTACTGTTTGTTAATCAATTCCGCTTTTGCCATCATGAACGAGTCGATTTAATGGATCAGCTTTGGTGAAGGAGGAGAAAAATTAAATTTAATCAATTAAGAAGGTGTGATCACTGATCATTTGAGTGTAAATGGGTTGGTTTGCCTGGTCTATTATTAATAACATTGCAAAACAAAGTGAATGGTAAATATGCAAGTCAAATCATCGTCTTAATCAAGGTTGTCAGGATTTTTAGATTACTGATCAACTTATCTAGACAATTAGATTATTCAAATTGCTGCATATTCATCATCAAAATAGACTACCAATTGAACAATCTTGATCAATGAGGAGCGAGACAGTGCATTGGTCGATATGATGATCATGTCTAGGCAATTGTTTGGCTGAAACAATCACCATTCATACATTTTTTTACACTTTTAACAATTGATATTTACCAATCTTAAGATAATCATTGATCAAAATCTTAATCAAAATTATATAATGAAGATATACGATTTTGATGAAAAACAATGTTATAGCAGCTCGTTGAGAGTGCTTCAGTGAAAACAGTTGCACTTGTTGATTGGCTTTTTGTGATTACATGTTGATGCTAATTGTTCAATTAAAGGTGAAATTGGTGATTAAATCACACGTTTAGACCTGATCTCAACCAAATCAATGAAACATTGTAATCGTAACAATAAAGATTGATCCAAAAGCCTTTGTTGTTAAGTGTAAACCTAATAATCTACAAAATGATTAGTCGGGCTAATCAGCTGCCTAAAAGTATCGACAGATAACTTTAGTCCAGTTGATTACTAAATTGTAGATATAATTGTTTTTAATTTACCTTTACTTTCACTTCAGTCATAATTAGTCAAATAAATTTGTCTTTAATAGTGGAATCTATGTTTAATTTTGAATATTTGTCTTATTTTTCAACTTGGATTCAATATTGAGTTTATGAATATGATTATCTTTGATTGTGAACTCAGTTGTTTTCATTCAGCTAATTGTTGACGGCAATTTTGTTAAGAGACATTATTCAAGTGTTTTGGTCTTTGCTTACAATTTAAAATAATTTTATAATTAAGTTTAATCTTCAAGGATTGATTTATTTGTTCATTTCAATGGCTATTGCGACTCATGTCTACGATACTTTTGATATTTGTTATTATTAGTAAGAAGTTTTATTTTTAATCAAATGATTACTTGACTAACGACCATTAAGGTTTTTGATAATTTCAAGTGGAAATTTGAAAGCATCAAATTCAAATCCAATATAATACAACTTAAATTATTAATAGGTTTGATATTGAAATTAAGATGCTATCCTTTTGATGTGTTGAAGGCAGACATCTAATTGTGATTATTGATTGAAGAGTAATTCATGTGATTAATTTGATTCTCTTCAATTGAGTAACTTAATTGATGCAGTAATAATTATCCTGGTCATTGTCCTCAATGTAATCTAATCAATTTACCAACATAGAAGACAATTGTAGAGCTAAATATTTACAGAACTCAATCAATTATTTAAGAATGTCAATTTTATACCTTTGCTATTGGCAAAGCTAAATAAATTGGTGTAAAGAAAAGCGAATATTTAATTTTGTCTCATTTTTACAATTTACTGACTTGAGATGATTTAATTTACAATCAAAAAGGTCTCAAATACTGTTACACATGTTGGTTAAACAAATAGTTAACAGCTAGTTGTGTTAAAAATTAAAACATGTAACCTGGTAACATCATCATTTAACCCTCAGCATAATTTGAAGAGAGAAAGTAACTTTTATCTTTTCCTTTCTTTTAACCAGATTTACCAGTAACAAACCGAGTGTAACAACAACTTTCAAACCGGCTTGAATCATATGTCAGTTCACTTTTGACTCCTTTACCATTCAAAATGAAACTCTAGTATTTCATTATTTTCAATTGTTATTTAAAATTTCATGTGACAAATATAGATATTTTGATTAGTTAGTGTTGTAAATAGCTTTAGGCTTATTTAAAGTCATCTAATACAATTGTTAAAATGGCCAAGAGCTTGACGGTCACTTATTTGTTATGGTTAATTGGTGGAGTATTTGGTAAGTTGCTTAATCCTTGTGTTATCCTATTTGAAACATCTTTTGCTTTGCTTTTTTTGGTATTTTTCAGGTTTACACCACTTTTACCTTCACCGAGACCGACATGGTTTTATCTATTGGTTAACTTTTGGCGGCTACTTTGGTATGTCTTGGATCAGAGATTTATGGAGGATACCTGAATATGTGGCTGATTATAATGAAGACAGAGATTACATGAAAAAGTTAACTCGCTCTATGAAAATTCAAGATAAACCTGGAAGCGGTATCATTCGTCACTGTGGTAAAATTATTGTTGCTGATATTTTAGGCTATCTGGCCATTAGTGCAGTTCCCTATGAATTTTTCGCTGACAATGAAACTCTATTGTTATATGTTTATGCTGCAATAGCTCCATTAGCTTGTTCGCTAGGTAAGTGTAATTGTATAATTTTATTCATTGGTTTCAATGTACACATCATCATTACGATATTGAATGTGTATCAACTAGTGTAATCAAGACTTTCATTTATTTGATAATGTTAATGACTTCCCGTTGAACTCATCAAACAATATAAACACCATACAGTTGAATATATATGATTCACTGGTTAAAGTTTTAACAACACTATCAAGATTACCTTGATAAACTACAGATCACCCTTATGTGAAAACCAGCTTCAATCAGCTTTAAAATACGCATGATATTTCACCCAATATTTACAATTTGATTTATTTTTGTTGATCTAGGTATTCACTTGGTTGGTAATGTTGGAAGACATCGGGGCAGTATTTTGCCACCCTTGATTGGCGCCTATCTCACCTCTCCATTGTACATATTTTTTGGTTCCCATTCAGTTTTCTGGACATCATTAAGTGCTTCAATATGTTTCTCTAAATTTTCAAAACGTTGGCGTCGCACTTATCCAAGAAGACAGCCATTAGGAAAAAGAATAATAATCTTGACAGTAGCTGGTTTATTGTATCTGTCTCTATATGCATCATGGTTTTACTTCAATTGTTCAATTGTGGAGAAACATGGAGAAGAAATGAAAGAAGAAACCATCAAGTGTAGAGATGCTGCTGTTAACTTCTGGCGGTCCCCTGCTTTTGTTGATTTCCGTCGAACTTTAGCTGACCTTTGGAGTTTCTATAAGGTACATGGCTGGAAAGGTTTGAAAGAAGAGATTATAAAAGCTTTTGACCCGCAAGGAGAGGCCAATGCTTTGAATGTACTCAATGTTACACAAAAGGCATCCCAAGATGAGATTACTGCTGCCTACCGAAAATTGGCTCGTGAGTGGCATCCTGATCGTCATAAAGATCCAATTGCTAAGTCTGAAGCTCAGGAGAAATTTATTGAAGTCCAACAAGCCTACGAAGTATTGTCTCGAATTAAGTTACAAAGATTGAAACAAAATAAGAAAGATCGTGAAACCATTGATCCAACTTCATCACCATCATCGGAAACAACACCAACAACGAATGATCACTCAAATGATAAACAAGATTTATAAGATATTGTCACCTTTTTACTTGTTGTCTGACATTTCAATTTTATCATTTCATCAGTTGGTTTAGCTCTTCGAGACCTAAATTGCATTAAACTGTATCACTGTCAATGATTCATTGAATTATAAATATCTATTTATGATTTAAATCTAAAATCTCAAGGTTTATCAATTTTTGTCACATAAAAATTATCTTTTATTTTCATTTACCATTTTATTTCCTCTTCACATTTTCGATCTCAACGATTGTAAATTAAAATACATGTTCATTGTAATCCAATTAGGAAAATATGATAAAGCAAAATACACGTTCTCATTTAAATTAAATTTTAAATGAATAAAACTGATAAAATATAATTTCTCGTTCCAGAAACTTAGCAAAGGATAACATTAATTTATCGTACACTTTCATTACGACTTATTTTGCTTGGTTATGTGTTTCAATATCCCCAATTATTATCCTGATAAGGGAAAGTAATTTGATAATGAAGGGATGATGTTACAAGATTTACAACATAGAAACGGATCGAGCTAATTTTGATCTACATTCATCGGCAAGCAATGAAAATGCTTTCATTTTATCTTCCATACGGACTGATATTCTTGGATCCTTTGATTTGTTGCCATCCTCATTCATAGTCAAATCACTCACAGGCCAACTTGGAATCAAAACTACTCAATGCGATACAGAAAGCTTGTAAAATGGATAAAGGCCATGTAACATCACAAGTAAATTCTTTGTCACTTATACGTCCGAATTGCATGGCAATGTCATCATCAAGTTGCCCAACAGATCCAGAATTGGGAGCCGGATTAGTTGGAAAAAAGGTCGGCGGTGTTGATGATTTTGATGACGGTGACATTGCATCTCCTCCACTCCTATTATTTCCAGCGTAAATTATGTCATCAATATCAGCATTGCTATCACTCTTTTTTGCAACCACAAGTTGAAAGTTTTTGACACTTGGTTGAGTTACTCGGCCATGAAAATTAAGAACATATGATTGAGTATCTTAAATGTGGAAAGACAAGAAGACAATAATGGAGAGGAAAGATAAATACAAAATTAAATGATTTTTTTCTATAAAAAAGGTATCATAGAAGACTCACCTTCATTCCAGACTGGAGTTTTATTCTTTAACGATATGAGTGACTTATTTACTGGATCAGCCTTCCATAGTTCCATCAACGAAGAGCTTGGAAACGGACACACCTTTTTGATTGTCACAAAAATATAAGGAGAAAATTCAATTTAAAGATGTTCACCGATGTTTGTCAATGGATTTTATAAAAATTAGCTTTTTTGATATTGCCCTTACCTCGTCATTTTTAGGAATAAGCACTGTCATTTTGCGCGGTCCTTTGAATCCTAAGACATTAGTTTCCTGGTTTAGATGGATGACATCAAAGATTAATTAATTACAATTAAAATTGAAATATAACATCATCACAAAGAAGAGCGTGAAAAAACCTCATTATGACTGTTGTTACTGTTTTATTACTGGACTTTACTAAACTCACCAACCAGATTAAGCATTAATTTTAAGCGGGACTTTCCAATTTACAAATGTCATTGATTGTGTTCTAATTAAAGACAAAGTCACTAATTCATAACTGATATGCAAGATTACTTTTGATATTTAGTTGTTAAATTCATGCATCATGGCAATAATAAAATGTAGTTTGTCAAAAGACACTAGCTTTTGTATTATTAATAGAAATGAATGTTAACTTTCGTTGAGTGTTTCCATTGAATATCTAACATTTTAACTTGTTTCTGAACAAAATTTGAACAGATCTCCATGACAAGGTAAGTAAATACAGATTCTCACTCAATTTTCATTTGAATTGTTGTCTAATTAAACTGCCAGCGAAGTAAAGATACATTGTATTAAGTTAACCCAAATGAAGCAAAATCTTACATAAACAACTGTTGAGATTTCAAATCTTTGTCCTTCGCCTGAAATCCTGTAAGATGAAAAATTTGAACATTACATTTGGTTAATTTAGTAAATTAAATGTTGACAAACCTGACTGCATTGAAAAGAGTACCAAGTACATTTGATTTAAGTTTAGCAATGCAATTGTCTCGAGTAATATCAAATGGATCATTGCTAATTAAATAGGTTTTACTCTTTTTCCTGCGTCTTCCACCTAAAAGAAATACTTGACGTCGTTCAGCTCCAGGTTTAATTGTTGAGTTTTTAATTGATAGAGACTTGGAATTAGTGGGAGATAACTCTTTATCACTGCTACCAGGAGATGAAATGGACCCATTACCATCATCATGATCATTTTCATGATCATTTTGCCTTTCAATTATAGCTAAACAATGAGAGATGAATCAATAAAGGAAGAGAAGGTGAAAATGTAAATACAATATTCATGAAGGTTGATTGGAATACGGAAATTATACCCAAAAATAATGACAAACATGAGGTTATCTTGAAACAAATATTTGTTTACAATAGTCTAATAATTTACTGTAATCGTTATGGTTACTGTTGTTGTGATTTTAGGTTTACATTGAAAGTACCTAAAGTAATAAACCTAATTAGGCCAAACCATTAAGATTAAACAGTAAATTGCTTGTAAGGATAACCTTAACATTTGCAAGAGAAAGGTTTGATTCAAGATAATCCTAATTGTTTGTATAATTTGGGTATCAAATGTCTTACATTGTAAGTAAATATAATATGTTGGATAAAAAGATCTGTCGATTCCTCTTTTATCTCTCATAATTATACACTGATATGTTTTACATGGTGAAACGGGTTGAGTTGCAAACAGAAGAAGCTCGTTACTGTTCAAGATTGCCTTTAATGGATTCAATTCCGTTCCAATATCATTGATATCCATAGATTTTATCGTTTCCACATCATCTTTCAAATCATCATAAGATGAGCTTAAACTTTTACCTCTACCAGCTGATGTATTTGCTAGTTGTCGCTTTGAATTTTGACTGACTGACGAAGATGAATTTGTAGTCGATGAAGATGAGTTTCGTCCTTTGACTGTCACCTCATTCGGGGACATTGAAGGAGAAGGGACATTGTTCCGTTTATTATTTGATCTGGATCGGGTTCCAGGTCGAGCAGAGTGATTCTTGACAATTTCATCTTCCTCATGGTCTTCATAGTCGTCTTCATTGTTCACTGATTGATTAGATGTTGTATTGACAATCCTTCCAGTAACCTAGGAAAAGCAAAATTCATTTTCAGTAAATTTTGTAAATTGTTTAGTCTAACCTAATTTAAACCAATAAATATTGATCTGAATTGAATACTTACATCTCTATTGTCTAATTTATCACTTGATCTACTCAAACTACTGGCTGGTCTCAGGCTTCTGAAACAAAAAGGTTGAATTATGATTAAGGTTACAAGATTGAAATGTTAAATTTAAATTACCGAGCAGATTTTGGGCGAGTTGATGTTATTGTAACTTGCTGTTGGCGAGTCCTTTTGGTTTCCAGCAACTGTCTTTGTTTTTCAATCAGCCTTGATCTATTTGATTCGTTGATGACCTCTTCACTGATTAACCAAAAAAGTTAAATGTGAATAAAAATTAAGAAAGAAATCATTTAAATGCGTTTTCAGGTGTTTTCAGTGTTAGGTTTTCTGGTTGAGTCAGTAAAGAAAAGGGAAAAAGCAAATATTGTATTCTTACTTTAAATTTCTTGACCATTTACCAGCTTCCATTTGCATTGTCATCACTAATTGTGTTTTTGATTTTTGTCACAAATTTCAAAATTACAATTAAATTGATACTAATTGTAGACTTATTTTTCGTGGCTTCTTTGTATATCAACTTGAACCTTCTCGATGGTAACTACGGTGATCATTTGTTTTGCTTTACCATTGACAATATCATTTTTGTTCAATAACTGAATTTGGTCACATCGATAATTCCAATTCAATATCTTACTGTTTCTTTTGAAAGCTCTGGTAAGTTATTTTTCTGTGGATTTCCTTTCGCTTCAGGCTTAAGGTGAAAAAATGGATAACCTTTGAACATAATTACTTTAAGACTTTTGGCCAATCAATCATGCTCGATCATTCCTTTATAAATTTTCTTGATATTATTGCATATAGTTTGATTGTTTTTATTAATTTGTCATTCTTGGGTTACTGGAAAGAGAAACTGTAATAATCAGAAGAAAATGATTAATATGATTGAACTTATATTTCTTTAGATGTCAATCGCGTTAGTAATTGGTTTCACTGATTCATCAATGTCAGCTTTATCCAAATCTGGTTATGCACTTTTCAAAAGCTACAAAAACCCACCAATTTTTTGGAAACTATCGGAATTGCGTCAACACTCCAACTATCTGGGAATCCAATCCAGACCAGTATTGGTAAGGAATCTAAAGAGACGAATAGATTTCCATAATTCAAGGTACTTTTGTTCGCAGTCGAGTAGAGTTTTCATGCCTTCAGAGGAATTTGAGGTAAAAAATAGAAATAATGCTTCTCTATCCAAAGATGAACATCAAGAGATCATTAGGTAAGTCTAAATATTAGTCAAATAGATCATGAGATGTAATGATGAATAGAAACTTAAAAAGTTGAATTTAGTTTTCTGTTTAAAAAGTAGAGAAACCTAGGTTGTTACTGACAAGACACAATCAACCCAATTGTTACATTATGCACAAATTGACTCAAAAACTGAAATAGAAATGGGCAAAAACGGGTAAAAATTAGTTTAGTTCGAATTTAAACTCTGTTGGTTTGTATAAAAATAAGAACTGAGTCCGTTTGTGCGATTTATCAACTTCTCTGATCAATAGTTTTGGAGAAAATCGGGTTCAAAGTTGAAACTTCGATCGCGCTTTCTACAGTTGTTTGAACAGATTTTTTCATGAAACTCATTTACCTAATGTGACTTCTGATGGTCAACCAGAGAATGAACTTATTTTTAGAAATAATATTTTGAGTTTGCTTTAAAACAGATCAGTTCGATTTTAGGTTGAACTGACCTTATTCTGTGACTATAAGAGTTAGAGAACTGAAACTTATTATTGGTCCATAAAAATTGTTGGCAAACATTAGGAACTGAATACTTTTTTCAATTTATCAAGAGTTCTCTTAATTTTGGCCATTTTGTTTAAAACTTCTAACCTCGATATTTCGATAATGGCATCACTTACAATCATCATTCATGCACCAATTTGATCCTTTAGTAATTAATAACTTAACTCAATTCATTAAGTTGCCATTAACGCATTTGGGTCTTGATTTTTGGGTTGTAAATGTGCGAGAAACAACTTATTCAACAAACAAAACTCATATCAACCTAAATCTTGGTAAATAAACCAATTTTCTGGTTAAACTTTTTAATGTAATGCAAAGACTGCTGCCAAAGGCTCGAACATTTGAGTAAAGAGTTGAGACTTGGTAGACTTGTAGGGACATAAAAACTAAGTTTATTGGTGCTATCAAATAATTCCTCTGATCGACAGTTTATTAGAAAATCGGACTCAAAGTTGAAACTTCGATCGCCATTTGTACAGTTGTGTGACCAGATTTTTTGCTAAAATTCATTTTGCTTATGTACCTTTTGATAATGAACCAGAAAATGTACATATTTTGAAAAATAACATTTTCGATTTCTTTCAAAACAGATCAGTTCGATTTTTAGTTAAACCTGTCGCATTCTGTGACCGTAAGAATTAGAGCAATGAAACTTGTTATTAACGTATCAAAATTGATTGTGCACATCGTAGATTAAATAATTTTTCCGATGTATCAACAGTTCTCTTTATTTTGGCCATTGGTCTGAAAAGTTTGACCCTCGATATTTCGAGAATGGCAGCTCTTACAATCATCTTTCTTCGACTAATTATTAGATTGTACTATGAACTATGACATAGGATGAATAAATACCCACGAAAATCTGAGCTAATTCATTTAATAGACAATACTCTTCTAGTTCACAAGATTTATCTTTGAATAACTATTTATCTTTATAAATCTGACAACGCAATTAATACAATGCTGTAACTTATTTTGTAGGATCTTAAATAATTCCTTATTTCAGTATATTATTGTCCATAATAAAATCTGATATTTGGTGAAAGAGTGATGCTTGTAAGTGCAGCCATTCTCGAAATTTCAAGGGTCAAACTTTTCAGGCCAATGGCCAAAATAAAGAGAACTGTTGATACATCGGAAGAATTATTCAATCCACGATGTGCACAATCAATTTTGATACACTGATGACAAGTTTCGTTCCTCTAATTATAACGGTCACAAAATGCGACAGGTTTAACTAAAAATCGAACTGATCTGTTTTACCGAAAACAGAAAATGATATTTCACGAAATTAGTCCATATTCTGGTTAACCACCAAAAGTCACATCTTCAAAATGAGTTTCTTGAGAAAATCTAATCACACAACTGCACAAAAGGCGATCGAAGTTTCAACTTTGAACTAGATTTTCTGGACAACTGTCGATCGGAGAGTTGCGTAAATCAAATAAAAGGACTCAGTTCTCATTTCTGAACAAATTAACAGAGTCTAAATTTGCAAGGAATTCATTTTTACCCGTTTTTGTTCGTTTTCGCTTGTTTCTCTTCCAGCATTTGTGTCCATTTGTGCACAAATGATACAATTGTGTCTTTTTAACTGCATAACATGCATTATGGAAACAAAACTTATAATGAACGCATTTATACGCTCCTCTTAAGCAAAAGCAAGATTATATTCGGTATTTATCCTCGCTATGCTATAGCCCACACTTCAATCTAATGTTTGACCAAAGAATGATGACTTTAGGTGCGACCATTCTCGAAATATCGAGGCTCAAAATTTTCAAATCAATGGCCAAAATCAAGAGAAAGGTTTCTAAATTTGCAAAATTAATGACATCATGATGTATAATAATCATTTTTATAAACTAATAATAAGTTTCAGCCCTCTAACTCTTATGGCCACAGAATGCGACAGGTTTAACTAAAAATCGAACTGATCTGTTTTAAAGGAAACATAAAATGTAATCACTCAAAATATGTTCATTTTCTGGTTGACCATCAAAAGTCACATCAGAGTAAATGAGTTTCATGAAAAAATTTGGTCTAATAACTGCGTAAAAAGCGATTGAAGTTTAAACTTTGACTTTGATTTCCTCAATAAATATCCACCAGAGAAATTTTCAAATCAAACGAACGGACTCAGTTTTTATTCCTCTACAAATTAAAAGAGTCTAAATTTGTGAGAAATTTATTTTTACCCGTTTTAGTCCATTTCTCTTTCAGTGTTTGTGTCAATTTGTGCATAAATGTAACAATTGTGTTGTTTTGTCTTTTTAGTAACAACCAGAATCTCCTGTCTCTTAACTTTCGATTCTTTTCATTCTTAACTCTTTCGTAGCTCAACCGGAAAGACCAAGAAAACAACCGACGTGTTGTTTGATATGTTTGCAGACTCTTCTGGAAAGGTTCGTGTCAACAAATTTTTCTCGGCCTTATCAGCCACTGGTTTACATGTAAATGACCCTAGATTGAAAGAAATAACAAGTAAATTGAACAGCATTTGGAAGGAAAAGCAAGAATCTGGTTCATTTGAAGCTTTAACTTTGGACAGAGAAACGTTCGGATCAGTTATTAAGGAAAACATTGTACTGATCAGTAAAGCTCTTCGATATCAATTTGTGATACCAGAATTTCAACAGTTTTGCCATCAAATTGAATCCTTTTATTGGAAATGTAAATCATCAACTGGCGGTAAAGTTGCCCAGTATATTCCTCAACTGGCCAAGTACAATCCTGATTTATGGGGTGTTGCTTTGTGTACAACGGATGGTCAACGATATTCAATTGGAGACACACAAATACCATTTACTATTCAATCCTGTGGTAAACCAATTAACTATGCAATTGCTTTAAGTGAATTAGGAGCTGACACTGTGCATCGTCATGTTGGTCAAGAACCTTCTGGGCGAATGTTTAATGAATTAGTTCTCGATCATAATAATAAACCCCACAATCCGATGGTTAACGCTGGAGCAATCGTCATTAGCTCTCTTCTTCTTTACCTGATTGAGGTGAGTGAAACTGAGTGAAACTTTTATCTTTAAAACTTAATTTCCATTTGATTTTTTAAACTTTTCCCTTTTACAGCCTGGAATGAGAGCTTCTGAAAAGTTTGACTGGATCAGTGACTATTTCAAATCAATGGCTGGTGGTGAATACATTGGCTTCAGCAACGCAACTTTCCTGTCCGAAAGAGAAGCCAATGATCGTAATTACGCCATTGGATATTATATGAAAGAAAACAAATGTTTTCCTGATAATGTTCATCTTAAAGATGCCATGGACTTTTATTTCCAGGTTAGTTGTTGACTTGTTATTTAGTGCCAAGCTTTTCTTATGATAATTATTCACAACAGATGTGCTCATTAGAAGTCAATTGCTCAACGGTAGCTGTGATTGCGTCCACCTTAGCTAATGGTGGAATCTGTCCAACCACAGGTCAACGAATTATATCGCCACAAGCAGTCAGAGATGTGCTTTCACTCATGCATTCTTGTGGAATGTATGATTACTCTGGACAATTTGCCTTCAATGTCGGTTTACCAGCTAAATCAGGTTAGTTTTAGTTTTAGAATCTTGATTTTCGTTTCTTAAGCAAGCTTTACCAATGTCATGTTATTAAACATATATTTACTCCATGCCATGTAATATCTTGTACCACCTTTCATGATCTTTGACAATTTAACAGCAATTTAAAGCTGCTTTCTCTTTGGCAAAGAAAAACAAATTTACCAGAATCTCTGAACCAGAACTCAATTTTTCCATGTTGTATTGCCATCTATTGTATCCTGATTTAAACTCCCGAAAGGTTTATTTTACATGACAAATTAATTTATCTTTTTCTCTTTCTTTATTGATTCATCTATCAAAATGATGGCAATTACCTTTTAATCAATGGTCTCTTAGGAGTCTCTGGCTGCACTATGGTTGTGGTACCTAATGTAATGGGACTGGCTTTATGGTCACCTCCTTTGGATAATTATGGAAACTCTGTTCGTGGGTTACAATTTTGCGAAGAGCTTGTATCAGTATTCAATTTTCACCACTTTGACAATCTTCGTCATGTTCCCCATAAAAAAGATCCTCGAAGACATCGATTTGAAGATAAAGGCCTAAATATTGTTAGCTTATTGTTTTCAGCCTGTTCGGGTGATGTTTCAGCGCTCAGACGGTTTGTATCAACTTTAACCCAAACTCACAAACAATCTCAACCATTTCATTTCTTTTATATAGCCATTATTTATCAGGGATGGACATGAAATTAACTGATTATGACGGAAGAACAGCATTACATTTAGCAGCATCAGAAGGACATTTATCGTGTGTTGAATTCCTGTTGAAAGTCTGTAAAGTACAATCCAACCCAAAAGACAGGTAAACCAATCTGTTAACTTTTATTCAATTAATCTAAATATTGATTTTCCAATTCTTGTTGTTTTTTTTCCTCCCTTTTTTTCATTGATTTAGATGGAATCACACTCCATTGGATGAAGCTAAATACTTTAATCATCTTCATGTTGTTGAATTATTACAAAGGTGGGAGGAAGATGCAAAGTGAACCTGAAAAATTCACTTCACCTGGACTATTTACAATTATCCAACTTGGGATGATTGGATGATCATCTGTAAATAACCTTTTCTCATTCCATCGTTTCAACTACAATTTTTGCCTGAATTTGGAGGACATTTTCCAGCTATAAATGAAATTTCAACCCGACTTTTGTGGTTGTAAAAATGTTCATGTGAACAGATGAAAGTATCACCTTTTTTTCAATAAACTGTACGTTTTATTGATTACAATCGATCGGGTGATTGATTGATTGTGAAATGTTATGCATAAAATAAAGATTTATTCTGGTAAATAAAGTTGAACTAAATTGGTTCTGTTCATTATTCCAATTATTGAATACAAAATCGTTTTCTTACTAATCAATAAGATGACAGAATGGTAAAACATGGGACAGTCAGGTTGAATAATATATCAAAATATTTAACGTTACAATTAATGTAACTTTTATGATAATTTGAAATGAAATAACTAATCAGACGGAAACAGATTGACATTAATTTGAAGAGAGTTTCGTCTGAACGTGATTAACATTGATTTTGTTGGAACGCCAAAGGAAGAGAAAAAATTAAACAAAAGAAAGTGACTCAAAAAGGTGAGCTTGAAACATGTGTTGAAGCCTATTCAATAAATCAAAGTTAATATAAATTTTGTAAAGATTTTGTTTCCACTGATTACTAATTAATAACTGTCCATTGTGAATAATCAAATTATTATTGAATGGAATGGTAAGCAATAACAAAAAAATCAACTACAATCCAAGAGAATGAGGAAAACAATGAAAGTTCATCGATTCAAGGTAAGTTTCATTATATTTTTACCCTTATAATGTAATGTACATGCATTGTTGTTGTTTTTTTATATGCTTTTTATATTATTATGTCTCTAGTTTTTTTCAATACATTTCATGGAAAGTTGTTTATTGTTATGGCAACCTATTATTATATTCATTTCTGTTACTCCTTACAGCCTTTTATTATCGTCTAAAACAAATGTTAATCTAATAACTGGAAGAGGATTCAAGTGAAAATGTAAAATTGGATTCATCGGATTGTTTAGTGTAACCAATGGCGCCATCTTATTGGTAACATGCTTGAGGAAATGCATTAACCTGTGAATAATGGAAAGTCGACAGAGAAGATAAAGAAAGGTGAAGAAGAAGAAGAAGATAAAGACAGAAGAGTATATATCGTGAAATTATAAGGTGAAAAAGGACCCAGAGCTGACAGTTGAGAATCAAGAAAACAAACCAAACATAGGGAACAAGGAGGAGCAGTTTGTTGTTGAAAGGTTCACTCATCTTCATCTTTACCCTTACCTCACTCCGTCTCTTTCTCTTTCTCAATGTTTGATCATCCTCAACATGAAAATTTAGTGACAACTACAGTAACAATAACTACGCTAATCATCATCAAAATATAATAATAATATTATTATTACCATTCATCATTGGAAAGAGAAACATTTTTTTCCGAAAAAAAATACAGAAGCGTGGAAATAGCAAAGCAAATCAACATTGAATTGCCATTCGGATAAAAGTACAACAAAAAAGTTAACATCGATCTTTATTTCATTTTTTTACTTTTTATTTCCTTTTTTTTACTTTTTTTTCAATTCCTTTCTATTTACTATTAAGGTTTTGGGTTTTTTGTCTCTTCTTTTGTTCACCTTGGTTTATGGTCGAGTCTCATTGAGTTACTCTAGTTGAAACATTTGTTGTCTTTCTGGTGTCTTCTCGTTTGGTATTATTTCTGGTGACGGTGAAAATGGCTTTCTGATTGCTGTTTATTTTCTGGTTTCTCAATGTTGAGATCATCATTGAATGCCCAAAGTCGATCATTTGATATGGCCACAGCAAGTTCATCAACTAGTATCAATAAAATTGGATACACTCAACTGCCCACAACCGAGGATCTAAATGTTAATGTTGCCAGTGGAGGTGATGGTGGTGGTGAAGGTGATGATGAAGATAATATCAACCATTGTGAAGGTAGGATCAATAGGATTACTTATGTTCAACACCAACAACATGACAATCCTCACCGTAATCGTTTTCGCCCTCGTAAAAGCATTCGTAACATTAACCGTGATCTTCATGATGCTGCCTTGGGAGGAGGAAGTCTTGACCAAGATGCCCAAATGTTGAACCAAGGGATTAGCTCAAGTGTCAACTCTACCAATAATAATTCAATAAATTTACGTCCAAATGAGTTAAATGCTAGCAACAACAGCAATAGCACCAGTTGTAATGACCCAAAGCGAGCTGCGTCTCTACTCAATTTCACTTTACATTGTAAACAATCATCGCGAGATTCACTCAAGCGGAATACTCCTGGAGCTACTAAAGTTATTTTAAAAGAAATATCTAAATCAACTCACAATATTGGAGGAAAAGTTGTTCAGGTAAGCTGAAATGCACCAAAGCCATTTAATTATCTAAATAACTATATGTTAATTAATATTGACAATTCCCTTTGGAGTTATTGCGTTTTTGTTATATGAGCATGTGACACTCCATAGTCTCATAGCTTAACTTTAAACTTCAGATGAATTTTACGGTTTTTTTTCTCATTAATATTTACCTTTTATCATAACTATTAAATGCTACAGTTAAACACTAGTAGACAATCAAAAGAAATTGTCATTGATTATTTTCTATTGCTTCAACATATTGTCATATGGTTTGTGTACGATAATTGATGGGTGACTTCAGGTAAAGGCCTATTGTGATATACAAAAATCTATAATAATTGCTCTATTGTTGCTTTCAAACATCTTTAATGTTCAACTCATTTCAATATAATCAGATGAAAGTGAATAGAGTAAAAGATTAACGGATTTGACTCTCGTAAGATGATTAATAATAAATCGAAAGCAATCTCTTAATTCGCTTCCTTTTACCTTCACTTTAATATTGTTGATGGGAATCATGTGTGGTTCAACAATCCCCACAAGTACTTATCAATTATTCATCATTTGTTATTCTTATGATTGTTGCTATTCAAGCCTTGTTTTGGTTTTAGCCTGCAACCATTGATTTGATATCTTAAACATTCAACTCTGATTTAGTATTCAAGAAGCATTCAAATGGAGATTAAAAACTGAAGGAAAATGAACGCATTTTTCATCGCGTTAACATGGGTTGGATAATTATAATATTACAATGAAAATCCAGTGATAAGTAACAGAAGTGTAAATAATATGGATTGAAATTAAATGGATACAAAATGATAATTATGGTTTGGTGGAGGGAAGGTTGAAACTCATGAAGATAAAAGGTGAGCATTGAATGAATGGAATCAAGAGTATGAATGAGTGTGTGAATGAATAAATGAATACCATGTATGAAGTTGCTAGAGATTTAGAGGAAAAAATTGATTGACCCAAGTATGTAATGACCATTGGTTTGTGAGTTAACTCAAGTTGCTTTTTGTGTATCTGTTCAACAAAATGATATGTTTACATTATATTTCATTCCTTTTCAAGCCTCAATGTTATTATTGCTTCCATTCACCAACTTATTAACTGGCAGTTAAATTGTATTAACTTCAACTCGTAAATGTTTGGCTTTTTCCTTGGTCAAATGACTCTTAAAAATCAACTCAACTGAAACAAATGATTAAATCTGAATGAATAGTTGCAAAAAAAAGGAATACTCAACATTCACTTGAATAAAGCTTTTATCCTTTTTTTTCATTATTTACCACTTTTATCTAGACTGAATATCAAATGATACCACAAAAATATTCGGAGTTGAATAATAACATGTACATTTGAAATCATTGAGGCAAATAAATGATGACTTTGAAATACATTTGCTTGGCATTGTCAACACATAACAGATGATATAATGAGTGGCCAAAAATGATCCAATCCAAGTTGACTTTTGATTAAAACTTACATACATAAGACTATCAATCGAAATGTAAATTTGAATATTCTCATTCTTTAATTCATCCAATTGTTGATTTTGATTGATAGATTCTGGGATTAGGTTGATTCGGTGATATTTTTTAAATTATCGTCGATCAACGGTAAACTCTTTTAATCTTTGTGTTTCGCTTGAACTTGTCATCTTTTGTGATCCTTCACACAATTTTTAAACGCTTCTTATCTATTCATTATGGGTCCCAAAGGTCCAACAAAACTGAATAATATCCATGCTCATACCAGCCATACCTTGAAATTGCCACAATTACCAGTCTTTTGTTGAAAAATCCTTTAACTGTTCTCACAAATTGACTGTGTCTACATGGTAAGCAGACTTAAATATTACACTTTATCCAAGCATTTTCTCCGATCGCCGTCTCTGCATAAAAGATCTATAGATTAAAATTAAGATATTAGTTTTTACATGTAAACCAAAAGTACCAAACATTAATAATTTAAAATAAAAGTTCTTAAATATTTTATCAGTAAAGGAATACTTACAACATAAATCCGAAGAATTGAGCTTCACTTGTAAACATCTATTTTGACTTTCATTTTAAGGACGATGGGTTTGGAAAGTTGGCCAGAGAAAGTCAGGAACCATATCATCACAGTTTAGATATAGATTAAGAGTTAACAGTATACTCGATAAATCTGTCAGGATCATGATTAATTGAAAAAAGTGATAATTATAAAAACACAAAGATTCATAATCAACTAAATGAAAATACTAGACAAAACAGTTCAAATATTTAATAAAATCGCAACTCATTGTAGCTTCATTTTTTTAATATAATACTAGATGGCGACACTATACTTAAATTTATCAATTTTAAAATTTAATTGCAACTATTAATATCAACCAAATTAATATCTTATATTGCTTCATTGTCGCAATTAAATTGAATCTTACAACATTGTTAAACAAACCTTTGACAAGAAGATAAAACAATCAAAGAGATATCAAGTTTTACCAGAAAAAGGACAAAAATATGAATAACTTTGAAACAGAGATGAAAATTGTCGACTAAATTTGATAACCTGTTATTATGTTATATATTCAGTTGAAATGTTTGCAATTTTTCATAATAATTACATGAGAAATTCAAGGAAATGTATTATCCTGTTGAAAAGTCCATCCTAAATTTAGTAATCATTCCAAGTCCATTTACAGTTATTAGTTTTGTTTTCATTGTTGAACCTTTATTTACATGCTTTACTTTACCCAAAAATACATAATTTAATGCAACTACTTGATATGTTTTGATAATAAAAGTTGAAGAAAAATGTAAAATGAATTGACAAAGAAAAAAAATCAAGTAAACAATTTATTATTATATCATAATGTAGTCCTGAATGAATTGTTATTACCTTTATAACCAAAGCGAGACCAAATTTCGTGCTGAATGTCATCTCGTCATTTCAAGAATAGTAAAAAAATATTATTAAATTTATTCTAATTTATCAAAATGTTTCCTGAACATTATGGTCAGCTTTGACCATTATACAATCCATCATCTTATTCATCTTGTTCATCATCTAACCTATTTGCTCTAACAGCATTACCATTTTAATGGTTTAATTTTGATTCAATTATCTAACCATATCCAACTGAGTTTGGTTATAAGCAAGCAATTTGATCAAGTAAAACCATTGGGTTAAACTTGAAACTTAAATCATTTGTTTAACCATTTGGAGGTAAAAGGGAATCAAGATTGATTAGTAAATTTGTTTCAATCACAATAACAAGGTTATAATTTAACATGGAAACAAAAGTCTAATTTAAGGTTATGTCCAATACTGTTCAATGTTATTTTACATTTTCAATATCAACATTGAAAATGATCAATCATTCTGTCAATGGTAAAGCACAATTGTTCACCATTTTAATCAAAATTACAAAGGTTTTACATTACATTTGGTTATTAATAATTTAAAGGTTCAGATTGTTGTCAAATTGAGGTCCATGTAAACATAATTACAGATAATCAGGTAAAAATAGTCATTGTAATTGTTTAAGTTACCCTTCAACTTTGGATCAACCCAAAGATTGAAAATGTTACCAGCTTTTTTCATCCACCATTACATATTTATGTATAATTGTAATGATTTAATGGAAATGATCAATTCATTGTTCAATGAATGAATGAAGAAGAAGAAGAGGAAAAATGAAGCAAAAAATAAAGGTAAAAAAGGGCCAAAAAAAGGTGTAACCGCCGAAAGTTAAAGAAAAGGTTAATTTCAAATCATAAATTGTACTGCATTAACATTGGAGTTTATTTAGCTCAAGTGTTGCCATTAAGACGAGTTAATCAATGTCAATGATTAACTTGAATATAAACTAATCTTGAAGTAAATTGTTTCTTGTTTCTGGTGCAAAAATAATGAATTGAAAGGTGAAAGTTGAATCTTAAATTTTCATTTTAATTTTGATGAAGATTTCAGGGAATCACTTGGAGTTAGAGATTCAGGACATTTCAATGGAAAGAGTGAAATAAATGTAAATATCTGGTTAACACTGGGACAAGGTGAAAAACTGGTTAAAAGGAAGAGAGAAAAAAATGATAACAATTAACTCAGGTAAAAATGAGGAAAATGTGAGAGTTGAAAATGAATGGGAAATGAATAGAAACATGCTCATGAACTTTAATTTCAAGTACAATTCATCACTTGCATACAGAATTTACAATCGATATTTTGTGACGTTACTCTATTATAATCATCATCAGGGAAAATATTGTTCAGGAACCAGCCCGGTCAGGTTTGAGATTGCTTTGTAATGAGCTTCTCTTTACCTTTCCATTTCATTACCTTCATCATATTGTAAAAAACCGAGACTCACAACTGGACATGACAAGAAATAAAAAAGGGTCAGAATATTGGTTCACTGCTATCACTTTTTTACTCAACATTTTGAGCAAAAAAAAACATTCTTCTTCTTCTCATGAATATCATTTGTAATATAATGATCATGATACCAGATAGACTAATCAGTTGATTTTTAGAGTCAAACTGTAAACCAGAATTTTTACTCTTCTACATTTTTTGGGTTTTCTGGTTTCGGTCATTTCAATTTATATTTACTTACATTGCTTTTTTATTTCTAATCCTGTCTTTTTTTATATCCATTTTTGCTCTTTATTTTTGTTGCTTATCTTTGACTTGAGTGTTAATTTAATTGATTGTTATTACAATAATAATCAGGAACGAGCAACCATTAAATTGTAAACACTAAAGACATTAAACGAGAAAACCTTTGATTAGCTTTGGATTGAAAGTTGAATTACAATTTAGTCTGTGTTAGTACCTTTTTCATCTCATTAACTTTCATCTTTAACAGCTTTTTGATCATTTTTGATAATATTTGATTATTATTAACTTTGATTAGACCATTATTTGGTGTTAATTTAGGGTCAATCAAAGGTTTACCAATAGTTAAGCCTTGATTGTTACTGTCTTTTTACCCAAAAAATAAAAAAAGCTAAATGTTCACTTTTCATCTTAAAGTAAGTTTTCATCTGGAGTAAAGAGACATGAAACAAAAAGTAACTACTCTAATGTTATTTATCATCCTCTCATCTTCATCTTTATCATCTTTACTCACTTTTACCTCCCTTTGTGGATACTCTTTTTTTTAGCATTACACTCTTATTATTACATTATCAAACTCAGTTGACGAGTCTTTCAAGCCATAAAAAATATACGCACATGAAACTTGTTACATTGTATTTTGTTTTTACCTTTAATTTTCATCCATTTCTTTATCATTTTTAATGCCTTCTTCATCAGTTTATCAATTTTCAATTCAAGTTTACCTTTTGCTTCTTCTTCTTCCTCTGCCTTGTATCTGTTTCTGTGTAACCAATTTTCACCCTAAAACATGATCACTTTTGTTATCACTTTAATCATTGTGTCAGCGAAACTTTGCTGTGTAAATATTGATCATAATCATCATCATGATCAATGATCATCCATTATTATATCAAGTGTGATATTATTGGTAATCTTGTTGATAATCAATCCATTGGTACAAAGCAAAAGTTGATGTTAGTTTCGGCTAAAGTGTTGTTTTATTTACCCTTGGAGTATAACCTTTACCCTTGTCAGACCATAATCATCTTTAGTACTATTGTTCACCTCAATGAGAACCCGATTTACAAAAATGGTTCCTCTCCTGGAACGATCTCCACGGGAATTGTCTGCTACTAAACTTGAAGATGATGTGGCTCAAGTTTCAAGTCAACTGAATCGGGTTAAAGGTGATACAGTTGACTCGGATAAAGCCGATTATGGGACAGCTAATCAAAGTAAGGATAGTGTTGGTACATCCATATCTCAAGCTGCCTCGTCCCTTGACACCTCCAGTGCACCCATTGGAATGATTGATGTCTCCAGTGCAACGGTATCATGTTCATCACCTGCCTCGGGTCACTCGCCAGTTCATCCTTCAGCTCATTCCTCTGCTCAACCCTGTGATCAACCAGTCCAACAGTCAGTTGCAAGTAAACCTGGTTGTTGTTCAACTTCCCTTCAAGCCTCAACACTCCGTCGAGGTGGTTTACTTAACCGTCAGTATGCTATTGATGTACCCGTGACTGGACTTCAATCTAGTTCCAGTAACAGTAATAAAAATAATAGCAACAGCAATAGTCTTAGTAGGCATGATAATCAATCCCAAGTTGCTATTAATAGCAGTAATCAGAATGCTAATAATAATCTTACAAGTAATGTAAACAGTAACAGTGGTCATACTGGTTGTGCCCAAGGAAACAATCAACACAAAACGACACCAACAATCATTTTTTCACCCGACAATTCACTAGACTCCAATTGTTACCCAGCCGTTTCCAATGCCTGTTCAGGTTTACAGAAGTCTCGGCAAGAACAATGGTTAACCAAACAGCACCAGTCAAGCTACAATAGTTCACTTCGATCCAATGGTGATTTACCCAATCCATCGACAAAATCAAGATCAAGACGAAGCTCACTTCATGAAATTAAAGAATCAGCAAGAAGAAAGTTTAGTATTTTACCTCATGTAAGTCAACAATTAGTCAAACAATCAGTTATTAACAAGTGATTCAAAATGTCTCATTGTCATCCCTTGAAAACAACCAAACATGTGTTAGTGACTCTTCAAGTTGAAAACAGTTTTTTAGGTAAAATTATTAATAGATTTCATTATTTATAGCTGTTATCATGGTTTTTGACGGAAATATTTCATCGGGTTGAAATAAGATGAAGCTAACTGTTTCGGTAAATAAGGGTAAAAGTTAATCAACTAATGTAATTTGATCTTTACATCACTCATTTAATATTGATATCTAACCAGTTTTCTTGGTTTCTTGACTAACAACTTGACATGTTATGAATACTTGAAAGACAACCAGATTTTAACCAGAAAATATAATCAATAATTTATTTGTTTGCAATTTTAGATTCTTGTAATCATCAACATTTTCCTCCCAGCTATTAAATAGTCAAATGTTGAGTCTGAGAAAAAATTGAATTCGTTCTGTTTTCCTTTCGATGAATTAGGATTGTGAATATTTGATTTATTGTCATTTTATCGCTTATTAAATGTTTCAATGAAATTATTAACTTATCAAATTGTGATTGACTGAAAATAATAAAACAGCAAAAAGTAAATTACTTTTCAAATGACTCTAATCATCAGTTGAAACATCTGAAAGTGTAACTACTTTCATGTCCAAAACTCAGCAATTTAACTTAGCAATTAATTTTTTTCCTCATTTCTATTTTTTCCTTCAACTTTTGCTTGGATTGTTGGTTAAATTGTTTTTCATTATGTCTTGAAAAGACAATGAAAATTGTATTAATCAATGAATTCAATAATTAGATTGTTGAATTTCTAGAAATGCGGAAAACTTTCAAGTTTTGTCTACTTTTGTTCATCCAATTTCTTGAGCTTTTAATTTTAATACAAAAAAACTGTTGATTAAAGAGTTACTTCAAGTTGGATGAGCAAGGGAAGACAAATGCTGATGATGATGAAGATATGATAATACAAGGAAAAGGCTGACAACAAAAAAGACAACATTTTTGTGTAAAAATGGCGAAAAGGTGAAACATCGTTTAATGTTGTTGCCTTTATCGAGCTGACAAGTTTCATGTTTTAGGCCTAAGCATTGATATTATGGGTTAAATCATGAATCAATGGATGGTTAAATGATAACCATTGACTGACTATTTGATTGATCTGGAAACTGTAAGCAAAAATAATGTCTTACTAAGGCAGTTTATAGCTTTAAGAAGCAAATCAATTTGAAGCCTTACACAGTAAATGATGATATTGATGATATGATGATTAAATATTGTTGAATCAATCAATTGTTCAATTGTTTTGTCAGATGAGAGGAAGAGATGATCATTGAGATCGTTATTTCCTTGGATTGCTGTTTACTTGTTGTGATTGTGTTAATCAATACAAGAAGCTGGGTAAAAGCTGAACGGAATCAATGTTCAGTACAATAACATGGAAATGATTACAATATTTTGTGTCATCATGAGATTAATCAATTCTTAATATATTTATATCAGGATTAGGAAAATTTAATGTCACCTTTTTTGGTACCAAAATTGGGTTTTAAAATATTCTTAATGTTTTTCCTTTTGATGTTGCTGTTGGTATTTCATTGGAAGTTGATTAATTTGGAAGTTTATTTTCACAGGTTTTTGTTGGTAATGATAATAATTGTTCACTGAGTTGTTGGTTATTGATTGGTTATCAATTGTCAATGATCAAGTGTAATATGAAACAAGACAAGCGAAATGAATTGCAATCAATTGTAATCAATTTTTGCTTTTACTCAACCCAATTTTATTCAGTTGCTCTTAACATGGAATTATGGTTAAAATGAATCAATTGAAAGGTTAATTGTTCAATGGACGTTGATTAAAAGCAATGTTTAATGTAATGGAATCAATTTACGTGTCAATCTTTAATTTTCGGGTTTCCAATGTTTTTCAAATTGTCTTTTACCTCTAGACAATTTTTATAAATTGTAAAAACACCGGTAATAATGGTTATTGTGAGGATGATGAGAGTGAAAAGATGAGTAGGAAATGCGTTTTAGTGAACACAATTAATGACAGCCATGATTGAGGTTAAACAACATTGAAATGTTGATCACGAGTTTAGATGAATTTGATTGTAACAGAGAGCTTCAAATAATTAACCTTTTATTCATCATTAACATTATTATTAGGCCTTACAGTTAATATTTTTTGCTTGTTGTCCCATTTTATTGCGCTTCAATGATTATTTAAACCAAATTTTGCGGTTCCAACTCAAATCAGTTAACCTTTTCCAGTTGTTTCACTTGCTTGACCATAATCATGATCATTACCATTCTAATTGTGCGCATGTTAACAGCTATTTAAACTAATCAATGTAATCAATCTTCTCACTATCTAACAATTAGCTCGGGTAAAGCTCAACATTTGGATTAACTTTAATTGTCTTCTTTCACTGTTAGGCTAATAAGCATTGGATTGCCAGCTAATTTACCTTTCTGGTTGACAATTAACGATCTCATCTAATGTTGATAAATGTGTTGAACCATTCAAATGATTAAATATAACTTTTCAGAAGCAAGTTAATCCAATGGTTTTACAGGATTAACATTGGACTAAACCAGAACAAAAAAACAATTAAAAGGACTAAATTAATGAGAGATTGAATTTGACCATTTTTGATGGATATTGTTTCAATCTTTATTAATAGCAAATGTAATGATCATTGAAATAATGATTTATTCAATGATTGAAAGTCACTGAAGCTTTTTTACCGGGGATTTCAATGTGATTTGAATTTGAATGGACAAATTGTAAAACTGAAAACATACAAAACGTTGTGATTTATTCATCATTTTTTTGTACCATTATCATTGTCTATCTGCATTCATTATACACACATTCACATTCAATACAATGATAATTATATGATGATATATTCACTATATTATGGTATTTACATTTGATTATTGCAGGGGAAAAATGTTGATCTGGTTTTGTTTGCTTCTTTGGTTTGGTGTGAGAAGCGAGGAATCCTATTGAACTTGACATTAAATAATGTGAATGAAAAAAGTTGACTCAATCAAAATGTAAACATATATCACCATGTATATTGTTGACTTTAATCATTTTGCTTGTTTACTTTTTGACGCTAACAATGTTAATATTGTATCACAACTGAATCCTTGGAATTACTTTCAATTTTATCAATTTTACATTTTTCCAGTTTTCATCTTGATTAGTCTAGGAGTTGATGGTTGAGAAATGATAATCATTGAGTTTGGTTGAAGCTCCTACTTTTCATCTCATCTGGTTTTATCATGGGTTCCATATCTTTTGCGGTACATCAACTGTTCCTTAAAAGGATTGATATTTTTCAATCTTTCATCCTCATATTTTACCATCATTAAAGACATTCATTTTAGACAATAAAGGTACGCCTATTAACATCATCAGCATTATTATCATTATGATGATGGTTAATGAGAAAGGTTGGTAAACATTTTGATTTAAGAAGGCCTGTCAAAGTAACAATCTTTAAATTGGTTCATTATCAATTCATGTGAAGAACCAAAAGATGACTTTTCTTTACAGATGATTAAATGGATTGATGGTCACCAATTGAACTTGACTGATGTTATCACAATCAACAATTTTGGATGATAGTTGTAGGGCTTGCTGATTGTAAACTATTTAGCATTCATGTCTATTCTTAACTGCTCTTGAATCGCTCATGAATTCATCAAATCTCTGTTTTGTTTCCTTGGTTATCCGTAGGTTTGATTTTTCCTGATTTGCTAATGATGACTTTTGAATCTGCGTTTTATTCACCAATATTTCATTTCTTTGTAGTACTTTGTTGTCTTTTGTCGAGGAAACCAGTTTGCAATGGATGATGATATAAATGAAGATTGGGTGGAGATCATTGATTATCTTTGTTTTACCATGAACTTTTATAACAATAATTATGATGATAAAAACCAAATTTGGGTTAATCATTCAAATAAACTCAACCCTTCTTTCAATAAAGCTGACAGGCTGAGAGAAGCTTTCTAAATGTTTCCACATCCATCATTACAATTTATCAGGTTTTAAAGTTTGATTGATTTAATCAAATTTTCGACTTCAATTTAGTTTTAATCAGAGTGAATCTTGGTTAAATTGATCATTGGTAATTGGTCCAGTTGTTGATATAGTCATTGATACTGTTGTTGTCGGCTGCAAATAATAATCGCCTTGAAATTTTGGTTCTTCATCATTTATAGATCCAAACGCCATTGAAGTGTGAATTGGTACAAAAAGCTTTCAGCAAAGTGCTGTGGTGAAAAATTTCATTTCCCAGCTGACAGAAAAAAATTCATGGCTTTCCTAATTTACTAATCACAAAGCAAACAGCAACGATTATTCATTGTTCATTGTTCATTAGTGTGGATAAATGATGAGTTAATAACATTAATAAATCAATTTTGTTAGTACAAACGATGACACAAAAAAGGTTGAACTAATTTTTCAGTTATTCTTTGATATTTCATGTAAATTGAAGTTTTTTGTAACACTACTGGGTTTGATTTTATTGTGTTGAGCAAAACAATTCACAGAAGTGCAATTTATTAAGTAAATAAGTATTGAGCAATGAATTAAATGTGTACATAAATTATAAGATTTGAATTTAATGCAAAAAAAGAAACAATTGATCCTCAGCTGCTATCTGAGTACCATTGTTAGTATCTGGATCAATTAGCTTTAAGTAGATAATCAAGTCCCGCGCTTTTAATCATTTCTAAAATTTTATTAACACATTGTTCATACTTATTACAATTGTATGTTTAATATTTTGTCGTATTTTAATATACTGAGTTATTTTATATCATTTCAAGTGTTAATTGTTAGTTTGCTTGTCGTTGACATAAGCAATTTTATTTCGACTACATGATCGTCATAATTCATCATTATATTTACATTTGCAGTGTCAGTGGTTCCAGGATATTAAGTATACCGTTTATAAGATAAATCAATTGTTACCAGCAACTATTGCTGAAATTAAATGAAATTACGTTTATTTACTGGTTTGTGTTCATAGATTAATGAAATAATTGTGACAATTAACTCAAAAAGCAATATTCCCACCAAAGTGTGTGTAATATTATCTAGACATGTTTATAACAAGCAGAAGGACAAAAAGATCAACAAGGAAAAAAGTGACAATTAAATATTGATCTATGTAAATAACATACACACATTAATCAATATATTATGGTTTAATCGGTGGTGAAACCTGTCCTGGTGGTCCTACCATCTATATATTTATGTATATCAAGAAAGGGAAAGGAAAATAATCAATGAATAATTAAAAGAGTTAACCTCTCATGTGTGCATACATAGTAAATGATACTGGTAAATGATTATCATGATGAAAGTGGTTTTCAAGAGTGTAACCCTTATTTTTTGTCACTTGACAATGGAAACTACAGCAGAATTGTTTCCACTTGAAACTATTCAAACTTTTTAACTGATTATTTCTTTTTTTCTCTCTCGTTTCCAGGTGTTATCATTAAATTCTGATGTTGTGCCTGAATATAAATATGATGAAACTGATTTCCAAGGAGATGATATGATTAAATCATTTTATGCATCGAGAAAAGGAGGCAATCGAGCAGCCCTTAGATGGACTATTTTACACTATTCACCTTTCAAAGCAATTTGGGACTGGATTATTTTGATACTTGTAATTTATACGGCAATATTTACTCCATACTATGCAGCTTTTTTATTACAATCAAATACAAGGATAGTTACCAATATAAACGATCCCAATGTACCTCGCCAAGAACGTACGTAAAAAAATGAACAGCCAATTGTTTTGTTTCATTATTTACCAGATTAGCTAATTATATTTCTTTCTCCTTGTCTTATGCAGAAGAATTTACTCTTGTGGAAGCCAAAAATCTTTCAAGTTCCCGATATGATGTGCTCTTCATCATTGATATTGTTGTTGATGTTATGTTTATTATTGATATTGTGATAAATTTTCGAACAACCTATGTCAATCACAGTGACGAGGTAATTAAATTGTCAACTCTTTTTTTAGGATAAACAATGGATAACTCTTGAGCCAATTTTATCTTTATCTCAACAATCAGATTAACCTTTCAATCCTTTGTAGACCTTACAATTTTATATTTATCAAATTTTTACCTTTACTTTTTTTTACATTTGACTCCAATTGTGATATTCCCCTTGATTCCCAGGTTGTTACAAATCCAGGGAAAATTGCAACCCATTATTTAAGAGGTTGGTTTATAATTGATTTGGTGGCTGCTCTTCCTTTTGATCTTATTTTTATTGAGGCTGATATTGATGATGTAAGTAAACTCTTTTTTTTGCCTTACTTTAATTCAATTTATCGTTAATTCAAGCTGATTTTATTTCCTCCAACAATTCTTCAGAGTCTATTTACAACCTGTCAGGGGCTGTAATTTAATCAACCTTTTTTTAATGTGTGACAACTAATTGTCTTACCGTTAGTTGTCTTACATGCTAGTCAACCTTAAAGGTCTAACTTTGCAGTTCAATTTTATAAGTTTTTGTCTCAAATTGATTAGGACTTAATTGAGAGTTGCAGAAGCTTAATTATTGATATCGAGTTTGCAAGAAATGGCTCTCATACTATTCTTGCTGTTTGTTTTATAAGCTCATATCATTCAATCATAAACGATCGATTGGTTATTAAAGCTTTCAAATATTACCATGCGTTGGGATAAATGTCTATTATTCATAATATATCATTTACTATTACTTATATATTATTATCTTAATTATGAAGAGGTTCATTAATTTTATGAAAATACTTTTCAATCTTATAACAAAAAATAACGCTTCTCAATTTGTCAATGAGTCCTCAACATTTGCTTACATTGAACAATGTTTAATAAACAATGAACAGTCAAGAATAGTTAATAGTTTCAGTAGTTTCTCAAGTTGTTTCAGAATTAACAGCAAATTCAATTCTGCAAATATAACCTGAATATAAATCAATAACACTGCTATCTTGAACAAAACAATTGTAAGAGTTATGATTGATCAAATGTCCACAGCTGGGATTAATTTTGAAAACTGATTTTGATTTCATTTTATTAAATTCGTGCTTATTTTTTATTCTAATTTTGATCTCTTCTTTTAATTAGGCAACAACATTAATTGGTCTTCTCAAAACCGCTCGTTTACTTCGATTGGTTCGTGTTGCTCGTAAAATAGACCGGTATTCTGAATATGGAGCTGCTGTTTTACTTCTTCTAGTTGCTGCCTTTGCTCTTGTGGCTCATTGGTTAGCATGTATCTGGTAATTAATTTTACTCACTTTGATCAACCCTGGTTTACAATCCTAATGACCACCTTGTCTGACTTATTAACTTTAATCCATTAGAACCTATTTAGCTAAATCATAATTACTATTCTCTTTCATTAAATTCGCTTTCGTTTGTAATATGCTCTCAATTTTCCCTCCTTTTTAATCTCTTGCTATTTAACTCTTCTCATTGCCAGTTATAATCTTTAATTATTGATTTGATCGCTCTTTCTCTATCAAACTTTAAGCTTTACAAATCTTATGGATAGTTTAACTAATTACTTATTAATTACTCTTACAGGTATGCCATTGGGAATGCAGAAAGGCTTAAAGCGGATAATTATCGTTATAAGATTGGCTGGTTATACGTACTTGCCAATGATACATACCATTTTTATGGTAAGTTTAAACGTTTATCTTGTATCTTTTTACTAATTACTTTCATTTATCATGTAATCTACCCAATTTACTCATTAGTAAAATTGTAATGTCACTCTGAAGATTTATTATTCAGAGTGAACCGTTAAACGATATATTTCAATGCTGTGACATTTTTAGTTGTTTCAAGTAGGATTATCAATCATTTAATTGATCATCTTTTCATCTAAATTCTTTCCTTGACAGAAAATGATGGAACTGGAGGACCTTCAATACGAACCAAATATATAACTGCCCTTTATTTTACCTTCTCTTCGTTAACATCAGTCGGTTTTGGAAATGTTGCTCCAACCACTGACATGGAGAAGGTTTTCTCTGTAATTACAATGTTAGTTGGTTGTAAGTAGCATTGATTTCCATCTTTCCCTGTTTTCGATTGATTTCCGATTGATTTTTTTCACATTATATTTCCAATACAAAAAAAACAACTCAACTGTTTTATTATTTTATAATTTTTGTTATTTTTTTATTTTTTGTTCATTATTCTGCACTTTTTTCACCTCGTCTTCATAACATTATACCATGCACTCCTTATCCTACAACCTGAAGGTTAATCAAATGACGTGATTCTGGTCTCTTGTTTTAGCACTCATGTATGCATCCATTTTTGGTAATGTTTCGGCAATTATTCAACGTCTCTATTCCGGTACTGCCCGATATCACACCCAACTTTTACGAGTACGGGAATTTATTCGTTTTCATCAAGTGCCCAATCCACTTCGACAACGATTAGAAGAATACTTTCAGCATGCTTGGAGTTACACAAATGGGATTGATATGAATATGGTTTGTTTACTAAACATAACTGGTTATGGTTAAAATTTTTACTAACTAAATTTAAAAATTTTTTAGGTGCTCAAAGGATTCCCTGAATGTCTTCAAGCTGATATATGTTTGCATTTAAATCGTAATTTACTCAATAATTCAGCAGCCTTTAAAGGTAAATATCTCATAGACTGGGAAGCTGCTTCTGAAAAGGAATCAAATATTAAATTATTTCAAATAACTTACTCTTTTCCTTGCGACTTAGAAGCATCACCTGGTTGCCTCCGTGCTCTTTCAATGAAGTTCAAAACAACTCATGCTCCTCCAGGAGATACTCTAGTTCACAAAGGAGATGTTTTAGTGGCCTTATATTTTATCGCTCGTGGTACAATTGAGATACTCAAAGAAGATACAGTCGTTGCTATACTAAGTAAATTTTTCTGATCCAATTTTGCGAGAAAAATTAGATATTCATCAATTTTTTCTATTTTTCAGGTAAAGATGATGTTTTTGGAGAGAATCCGTTGCGATATCCAACAATTGGAAAATCATCTTGTAACGTTCGTGCATTAACCTACTGTGATCTGCATAAAATATCTCGTGAAGATCTGCTTCAAGTCCTTGAAATGTACCCTGAGTTTATTGAAAATTTCAACAGTAACCTTAAAGTAACCTTTAATCTAAGAGACGAGAGTCAAAAAGGTGTACCTGCTCGGCGTATTCAAAAAAGGGCCCATAAATGTTTAACAAGTCGAAGTTTGGCATCACCTCCATCCGAAGAAGATGAGGGTAAGTAAAGTTTACTGTAATGTACAAACTTGTACGTAAATACAGTAGTATTAATAGTTCAATTATTTACTGGATTCAGACGTTTCCTGATGTTAGCTAATAAGCAAATAAACTATTGTCTTTGTTTCCTTTTGATTTCCCGATTTTCCTGTTAAACAAAATTATCTAGAGGAAATTGGTAACAACAATTTGGAAGCCAAAGGACCTCGAAACTATTATGGACCATTTGTTGCGAGTTCCCTTGAAAATGAAGATGACGAACCTGATCCGTTGATGGTTTACTATAATAATATTCGTAGACGAAATTCGGGTGCAGGAATTCTTGAATTTTCGCCTGCTAAAGCAGGTCGTGATGTTACTCCAGCTAATTATGATTTCAGAGAAGCTTGTAAAAAGCGTAAAAAAAGTGCAACTAATCATTCTTTAGCAGGTAATAACTAGACACCTTTTCATAATCTGAACATCGACCTTTCAAATTTTCTTGATTATTCTTTGTTCTATTTTTAGCTTTGCTTTTAAAATAGATTTTAATATTATGCAGTAAAGAAAAGGTTGAATAGTATTGTTCTGAATGAGAATAGAATTGATTGTAATAATAATGTTTGAGGGTAAATAAAGAAAAGTTATGAATAATTTGATGAATTAAGGTCAGCAAAGTTGCCAATTGATTACATATTGAATTTCATGTTTTATGTTGATTGTATTTTTTCCTTTTTTTATTCTCAGGTGCCTTGTCCAGTGTGAATAATCTTGCTTTCACAACAGCTCATCATAATCAATCTTCATCACCATATTCAGATGAATCAAAAAGCCCATCGAGCAAGGAGCCACAAGGCCGACTTGTTTGTCCACCAACAACTGAAAATAGTTTGGATAATGACTATCTACGGATAAATCAAAGTCAACAAGAAAGGCTTGTTCAAAAAGTTAATCAACTCTCAATGTAAGATTTGGTATTAGGCAGAAAATTTCTGTAATTTTCGTTATTATTCTTCAATCAATTCTTCTATTATTACAAGTATTATTTCTGTATTTGCTTTTTATTTCTTCTTCTTCTTTATAAGTTATTGTAATATCTAATCAAACCTACCTTTTATACCTTAGAGAATCATCTAACACAATTTCATCACTTTTTGATGCTTTTTACTCATCTTTTTTTATTGACTCAACATCTTAACCAAAATAGCTTTTATTCATTAATAATCTTTCCAAATGTCACACTCTATGAATTTACTTGATTATTGAATTATTTCAGTTAATCTCTGGCATATTGTAACTTTTTTGTTACCTTTTTATCCTCATTTTCACTTTAATTTTGTCTGATAAATTAGCATAACCATTTGTTGCCTGTTATCTTGCCCAAATTATGTATATAATTTGTGTCATTTATTTTGTGCAATGATTTTCTTTTTCAACATCCTTCCAGCAATATGCAGATGATTATTGCTGTCATTATGTTGATTTTAATTTTATTACATTTCTTCTGGTGATTATTGTTCTAATCTTTTATTTCTATTCTTCTCATTTTATATTTTGTTTTGTTTTCACAGTAAGCTTGATGAAATGGAGAAAAATGTATCCGAAAAGCTTGAAAATGTACATCTATTGGTGCGCAATTTAGTCTCATGTGAAACTGGCGATTTGGGTGAAAAATGTGAAATTGCATCAATCCAAATGGGATCCAGTCAATGTTTACCTTTAAGTCGAACCTGTTCATATTCGAGTAGCCTTCAAACTCGAAGTCATCCCACTATTCGACCAACACTTCGGCCTACTCGAAGTCTCATTGAAACCTTGGAATCAACGGATAAATCTATTGAAATGTCTGATAATTCACCATATGATTATGAAGAATTGAGAACCTCCCTGCAAGTGGACGAGGAGGAGATGTCATTTCTAAATGAGGGTCACCGAGCCTTGGATCAAAATCCAAGAGATGAAAGTATCTGCTGATTTATCAATAATTTCATTAAATTTCTAGACACACCCAAGCAAAAGGAAAGGGAGTAAGAAATAAAATGGATGGAGCAAAGATGAAATTGGTTAAGGAAGGCAAAAGAAGGGAGAGAATAAAATTTAAAGCTATGGAAATGAAATGAATGTTCAAGAGACTAAATCTACTTCCAATGTGATTGAAATTTGTCCATTTTGCTTCTTTGGGTGGACATATCCGAATAATTAAGCTTCTATTTCTCTTGGTCAACAGCATTGCAACACTCGATGCAAATTTCTAATGAATTGTTGATAAATCTGGCGAAATAGGAAATTCAGCTTTGCACATCTCTTCTGTTTCTCGTATACAAACTTCATTTCATTTTCCAAATGATCCATTAAGCGTCTGTTATTCCCTGAAAAAAAGATTATAATTCTACATATTACAATGTGTTTAAAGGTTATTCAGATGTTTCCAGGGAGAGAACTGTTTTTGTGGCAAAAATAATATTTTCATCATTTTCATCACCATGAAGTCCTCCATAAACCAGATTAAAGAAACAAATCCGCTAGATTTGATTGCCAAATGATTCCAGGATCAGATTTGTTTCTCTAAATAAATCAAATCTACTTAAGGGAACAATTATTTACAAAAATGACAAGTTTGTTCATCAAGAGCATGTTTACAATTTGTTGCTCAATTATGCAAAATCTTGTTTTTCAACCAGAAACAATTACAATAGTTGATACAGAATCAATTTTTACGTTTTTTTCACCATTTGTGGTTATGGAGTACTTCATTAACAATTGTGCTCAAAGTCATCATCATTTTTGTAAATTTATTGAGAAAATGTCGATACTTACGCTTTTGTTAAGTTGGCCTAGAATGATAAAATGACGTTCAAGTTGAATCATTGGGATAATATTAAATTGTTAGATTAATCATAATTTCTATAATTACGCTCTAATCTTGATTGAAGGGAAGTGCCTATTTCTCTGATGCTAACTAAGTTGGTAATATTAACAGAATCAGAATATTACATGAAAACTGTTCAGATGATCCTTTGACTTCTATTGTTGGCATCGCTAATCAAAAACACGTACAGATACGCATAAAAACAAATAATCAATAATGTAAACTTGTTTTTGTATTTTACTTTTTACAATTTATTCATTTTTCTTATACAATAATAACATTAAAATTGTATGCTATTAGCCTTAAGTAACTCTTTTAACAATCAAACTTATTTCGCTCTTTTTTGCGAAATCATTTCATTCCGATTCAACATTATTCTGAGACAAGCCTGATCGCGAAAGTTATCGAAACATTAAGATTCTATCAATTTTTTCTTAAAGAGCATTCTGTTTTTCTGATTAATTGTCGAATCTTTTGTTTTAGGATTTCTATCATATCTTTTTATTCATTCATGTTTTACGTTGATCAACAAAATCGATTTGACCCTGATTTTTGGTCAGTAGAAATAAATTTTCAGAAAATAATAAGGAAGAAAGATAATTTATTTTCAATTTTGGAAGGCATTGGTGTCCCGTTGTCTAGGAGTTGTCACTCTATGCAAAACTTTAGAAGATTTGAAGATTGAGAAGAGGATAGGTGGTGAAGAAGGAAGGGTGTAAGGAGGGGAGGAAAGAAAGAATAAGGAATGAAGAAGAGGAAGAAATGATGAGTGGGAAGAGGGATTTTGAGATTTGGAGGAAAATAGAGGATTCGAGACAGAGTAAAGGAGAAAGAGAAGATCAAAAGAAGTGGTAATTTGTTTTTTTTTAATTTGTAAATCAATATTGTTGCTTTTTTACTTTAGTTTGTCTTGAATTTGGTTAGCCTCTTATATTTAGAGACAAGATCTGGAAGTTGATATGAAATGGCAACGTCTAATTTATCCAATGGGCAACCTTTGAAAAATGAACATGTTGCTGATAATTGTTTGAAATCAAGGAGATTATTGGATCGGAAGAAATCGCGATACAATTCAGGATCTGGAAGATCATATCTAGATATATTCTGTGCTTGAGCAGCCAGTGCTCCACTAAAGACTCGGTATTGGTTAGGATTTTCTGTAATCTCGGAGGCGAACTTCTTGGCGGACGTTCCAAACATGAATAATCCTTTATTTCGGTAATAGGTAGACAGGTAACAGTCAATTATTTTGGCATGATTACGTACACGCACTGCATGACGGCGAACCTCAGCTATGTGAGATTCAACACGAGCTAATCCGGAAACTTGGTTTGATAAATCTTTTAGCCATTCTTGTTCTTGAAGATCAAGGAAAGGTTCATAAGTTTCCATTTGAGCTGAAAATGCGAGGAAGAAAGAAAAGTACAATTAGTTTTCATATTTATAGATGAAGAAATATTCCAAAGACTAAAGCAATTGGATCAAGATAAATCGGTCAAAAATTGAGAAATGTGAATAAGTAAAAAGTCAGAAAATGCAAATCAGACTGGTATAAATTCATTAAATTCATTGAAGTAACAATTTAAGCTTGCTGATGAAAAGAGGCTTCTATCCAAAGTCATCTTGTGAAATTTTGAGAAATGGCCAAGAAATTCCATAAGATAATATCAAGATTTAATTTATATATATGGTTGCAAAAGAGAGTCTAGAAAGCATTTCTCGATCAACAATAAATACTTGTCAACACCTTACTGTAGGGAACAATGGCGTTGAACAAGTTAATCTACAGTAAGTGTATTTTACACTTGTTCAGCGTTAGTAAGAGGCCAATAACAATAATAAACTAGCTTGTAGGCTGATTACTAATATTTTACTTCAACATCTGTAGCTTGAAATGTACCCTTGAGCTGTTCATAGTTCAGTGGTTCAATAATGCTTGCAATAGTTCATTTTGTTTATAAGATGTGCAATTGTTTATAAATCTTACTTGTTAATGCAAAGACTTGAGGAGGCTGGTTGTTGGTCATAAGAGGAGACAAGGCCCATAATAATTGTCCAATCAAGGTAACAATTTGTGAATGCGTTACTGAATCAGATTTGGAAATAATGAACCTAACATCACGACCTCTTAATTGTTCCAGGAGGGAGTGTAAATTATTGGTTAAATGAAGTTGGTTAACGTCAATCATTATGTAAATGACATCACTTCTATCAATAAACCATTGGTAAACTTCACCATCAATGCCTTTTCCCGGCTCCTTAGGCATTAAACTGTCATCAATGAAACCCGGACAGTCCACAATTGTCATCTAGATTAAGTCAAAAATAGAAATAGAAGTAAAAAAAGAAAAAATGAATCATCCTAGTTAATTAAAAATAGAATTGGCAAGTTAATCATTCTGTTGAAAGTCGAGGGAAAGGGAAAATGGCATCTTTACCTTTTGTAAGACATCAAGAGGCATTTTAAAAGCTTGAAGATGATGTTCAACAAAGTGTTGACCGAATTGTTGGAGACCAGAAAAGGTAAAGTCAGCTGAAAGCTCAGTTGGACTTAGCTTTGTGAAAGTATCACCCTGGACCAATAAAGTGAAATGAGGATAACTCGTTGAAATTCCTAAAGAATAATTGAAAAAAAGAAATTAAGCAATTTACATAGAAATAAAAACAACGAGATTTCTAATGGGAAACGACGTTGAAGCAAGTCGGGTCAGGATTTTTTCAATGGAAAAATGATTTTGTGATTAATTGAATGGGGTTTAACTGTTACCTCGATCAAGTTAACATGGTAATGCATTCAGGTTTTAAGGGTACCCAAAATTTGGTTAAATTTGATGAATTCAATGAACCATTTGATATTAAAATAGGTTTATCCATTTTATTTTTAACTTATAATCTCGGTTGGCTGGCTTTAGCGGAAAATGTTATTTTTTATTCTTAGGTATAAGTTACTCTATTCAATAAACTGTTTATCTGACCATGATGATGGAGAAACGATTCAACGAAGAGATATTCATGAGACTCATGTTAACTAAATAAAATAAATAACTAGATAATTTGTTTCAATAAAAATAAACAATAAATTTAAAAGAAGAGTTATGCGAAAATTAATATCTCTAAGTTTAACAGAGTGCTATTTTACGATCAAACTCTTATTGAAAATAGCTTCAAACCAAGCAATTCTTGCATCATAATAATCGCGCTCTTTGTCTTGTAATTTTTTTCTTGATTTAACTGTTTTAGTTTTACTTTAGTTTTAATCTTGTTTTAATTTAGTTTTAATTTTGTTTTATTTTGTTTTAACCATTAATTTTAACGTTTAAATTATAACCAAGTTAAAGTGCTCTCAAAATCTGACATCTCAGCGATTGACAAGAGAAGTGGACGCCAAATATTAATGACTATTTCTACAATTTGAATTGGACTCCGTTCCTACCTGTATTTAATTGCCAAGGAGTTGCCTGAAGACCAAGTAAATAGTTAACCAGTGAGGTTTTTCCGCTTCCTTTGGGACCTAAAATAAGAACCATTGGCCGAGCGAAAATCTCTGCGTCACTGGACAAATCATTAAAGAAAAGATCAAGAGAATAATTGACGTTATTATCAGGTTTCCTGGAGTGAATTTTGTCGAATCAAGACTGACGATTAAAGCGTAACTAGTTCCCAGTCTTGATATACATTCACGAATTAGTCTACTAGCGATAATCTGGCGATAATTTTTCTTTCAACGCTCTCACCTCAACACTGCTTGACTAGTTAGTATCCCGATTTGCAACACTATTACAATAGTAATTTTGAACGCTATTTTCAAGTTAGTATGAATTCAGCTCAACATACCTGATGATTCGAGTAGATATTTCACGATATTTATACATTGTCTCCAAGGGTTTAATCGATGTTGTATAAATTTTTTTCAGATCACGGAAAATTGATAAAATCAAGTTTTGTTCAGCAATTTCCTATTGAAAGCGGATCAGAAGTGACGGTGGAAAATTTAATAGCAACAAAGTTTTATGAAAACAAGGTTGGATTTACTTACTTCTTTTGAGCCAATTTCACCGAGTCTGAGTATTTCGTCAACATGCGATTTTCCCGATGTTATGTCAGTCGAGTCTGATTCAGTTTCAGGCTCAGGCTCCACCACAGGTTCAACAACAGGAGTTGGTTGGGCAGTTTGTGCTGGTGTCTCTTTTGGCTCACTTGTTGATTTGGCCTCGTTTTTGACTTGTTCTTCCTCTTTTTCTTTTTCTTTTTCTTCTACTATTTCATCATCTTTCTCTTCTTTACCTCGATGTCGTCTCCTCGATCGTCTATCATCTCCGTCTTCATCCTCGTAGTTTTCCCTTTCTCCGTCTTCGTCTTCCTCATCTTCATCAGCATAATGCTTTCGGGATTTTCCTTTTCTTTTTATCTTTTTCACATTTTCTTCTTCTTCATCCTCATCATAAGCAACTCTTTGTTTTCGCTTCTTTTTTCGTCTTGATATGCTATCATCTTCTTCATCTTCATCCTCGTCATGTTTGGAACGTTTTCGATCCTTCTTCTTTTTCTTTAATACTTTTCTGGCTTCTCTTTCTTCTTCTTCTTCTTCGTCTTCTGCATCATCATCATTAACCGCATTTTCATTATCTTCCTTATTTTTGTCCTTTTCATCTGACTGCTTTGCTGGGGATTCAGTTTCCTCTACCTCATCTTCATTGCATATTCCGTCTCCATCATCATCTGGACAGATAGATTTTGTATCATCACTAGTGGCAGTTGCTTGTGAAGGAGTCTCTGGAATTTGAGCCGCTGGCTCTTGAACCTCTTCGACTTCGTCTTCATTGCAGATACCATCATTATCATCGTCTTCACAAGGCTTTTCATTCGTATTCACTATGATTTCAATATTTGATTAATATGTTTCCATATATTTTGCTTTAAGAAATGTCTTCATTTTACCTTCATTTTGTTCGGCAGTTGTCGTTTTATGGTCCGTTTCTATTTTTTCTTCTGTGTTTACCTTAGATCCATCCACAGTTTGGTAGGTTCCAGTTTCTATGAGATAATCAGTGATAAACTCCAATCATTTTGCGTTTATTTTTGATTGCCTTCTTTTAAGTTTATTTCTTTTAACTATACATTATTGAACTTTTTTTATATTCAGGGGTTCAATGCTTCTCTCCATGATCATGATGCTGAAAATGAAATGATTGAAATCAGGTCATCTTAGGATAAGCATGCAATGGATTCAATTACTAAGAGTTGTCCAAATGATGTTGATAAGTTGAATTGTCTACTCATTCAATTTTCAGTCCAGTGTTAGTATGATGGTCATCACAATAGTTAGCTGTTACAATACAATGCTAAGTACATTGTGCATATATTTCTACTCCTATTCTGTGGATAGATGAAATAAAATTTAAGATGACATTGACCAAGGTTATGTTAGTAAGATAATCAAAGTAATTATTAACTAGAGCATAAATTACACAAACAGTTTCATGTTAAATATGTGACTTTTGAACCTTATTCTTATCATGAATAAACAAAATTTGCTACTTGAGCTAGAGATGAAAAAAATGAAGGATCACTAAGCGAACAGATGCCTAGGATTGATAATGCACTTGAAATCGCTTTCAATTTTTAAATATTTTATATTCATAAGTTTCTCTCCTTCTCTCTCCCTCTCTCTATCTTTAGAAAAATGAGAAAAATTATGAGAAAAAGAATAGACTTTACCGTGATCCCAGTATTTATTGAGAGCCTCTTCAATGTGCTTTCGACATTCAGTTTTCGTAGCATCGTCTTTTACCTCGACTTCGGAGCTGTTAACTTGGCCTAATGATGAAAATCAGGAGGAAAGTTGACTCAAAGTTGTTTTAAATATTGGCTTACACTTGAGTAAAACCACAAGCTTACCTGGTGTCGTCAATGAGGCTGCTACAATGAAAAGTAGACACAACACCGAAGGCCAAGTTCTCGGTGTAACCATAATCTCGTTTCACTATTGAATTCGAATGTAAATTGTTATCGTTAATTGTTGAACCGTTAGCCGTTGTTTACACAACACACTGTGTTAAAACTGATGAGACAGAAAGAAAAAAAAAGATGAAAAAATAAGGTAATGTCAAATTTAAAATATAACAATGATTTGGTGATATTTTTTATTTGATAATACCGATGACGATTGTTGTGGGAATTATTAAAATTAACAATAACAATATATCAATAGTAAAAAAGGGTTAACTAAATTAACGAAGTTCGAGGTTCATTTGCAGGTTCCATCGGAAGCACACTTTCCTGGTTTCATTAAAGAGAGAGAGAAGAAGAAGAAGAACTAAGAGTGAGAAAAGGCAATTCAATAAGAATTGTCTTAAGGTTAACTTATCCTCAAGTTACCCTTGAGCCTTAAGCACAAACTCAGCTTAAGAAAGTACAGTCGCTAGTTAATAATGATAAAAAAAATTAGTAAACTGTTTCATCTTTTTTCAGTCTTGTTCAGTCATCTTCTCTCTACTCTTCTCTGTTCCCAAAATTTATTTTAAGCGTGCGCTCAGATTTACTCGAATTGTGCCTGAGAATGTAGATGAAGAAGGTTGAATATTTACGAAATGTAGGTCTTGGAGCAAAGTAATTGGTAAGGTTTGCCAGCAATTAGGTGTTGTTGTTGAATATAATATGTACGTTGATCAAGCAACCAACAGATTTAATTCACCATTCAAATGTTTTCTCCAATCTTCAGAGCCAAATTTATTTCCAAATCCTCTTTTAGTTTTTCCCTTTTCTTTTATTCTTCTTCCTTTTCATTATCATATTAATTAGTATAATCCTAATATCACCTATTCTCAAAGTCTATTGTTACTTTTCAACAAGTTATTCAAACCTTTGACATCAATCAACACGATATTCAAAAGTACCGTCTATTTTCAAGCTTTAGAGCCTAGGAAAAATGAGTAAATGACTGAGAATTGCTTTAAACTTTGAATATCAGATCCACCATAGTAAACATAATTACTTTCAAAACTTGTCGATGGTAATAAAGATTTGTTATTTAGTAGATTCAGTGACTCAAAAGTCACACTGATAGCCATGGATAATGCTATTATCGTGGAAAAATACCATGAAATTACCTAAATAACGTTTAATGACCATCACAACATGGGTTGGTTTGGTTTAGTTTGGTTCCACTATTTAATTAGTGCTTGCTAATTATCAAAATGACAATGAGAAAGATGATAAAACTTAATCAAAGCAATCGAAAACAAAAAATTCATCTTTCTTTACGTATCTTTCAATATTTCAAGTTATTGATAAGTTTACCTCTAGGTTAGCTTATAATGAATTTCAAGTGGTTTCAATTAGGTTTTGTTTTTTGGCTAATTACACTTTCTATTATCTTAATTTTTCAAGTGCGAAAACACTACGACAGTTCAAAAGATTGTTCATCTTTTAGCCATCTAATCAGGGTAACCGCCCACAGAATGGACAAACATATATTTAAATTACTTGACCATTTCGGTTCATTCTTTACTTATTCATTGGTTGGATTGTTTCACACCTGCAGTTGAGATTATTTCATTGGATAATAATTTCTACAGTTTGTACTCTGACTAAAGTTAACTCTATTGCAAATCAGTTTAACTCCGTTTCATTTCATTCAAGTTTAACTTCATTATATCTCAATATTAAATCTCTATTCATTTCAGTTTATATCGTTTAAATTGAATAACATCACCAAAATATGGAAGGTCGAGGACGTGGTAGAGCTGGACAAGCTGAGGCAGCAGGTGGTGATGCGCGTGGTCGTGGAGGAGCTTTCCGAGTTGCTGAGACTCTTCGTACGATTCCTCCCGAAGTTACAGATTCCACTGGAGGAAATGTAGGATTGTTAAAAATTGTGACCAACTATTTCAGGATAATTACACCCAAGGATCAATTGGTTCACTCATACCGTGTTGATTTTGATCCACAAGTTGAAAGTGTGAGAGTTCGAAGGGGCTTGATTTATGAGAATCGTGAAGTTTTCGACCGAGCTTATGTTTTTGATGGTGGCAATGAAATCAAATCGTTATGTAAGTTAAATAATGATCCTGTTACAGTGAGTGGTACACGAAAGACTGATGGCGCAAGTGTCACCATAACTATAAAGTATACATCAACTGTTTCTTGGGGACATCCAGAAATGTTGAGATTATACAATACTCAGATGAGACGTAATCTTGAACATTTAGGCTTTGTCCAAGTTGGCCGAGACTATTACAATCCTAAATTGAAGAAGACCATGCAAGATCATCGCCTTGATATATGGCCTGGTATGTTAACTGCCATTGCTGAACATGATGGAGGCATTATGATGGTTTGTGATAATATCAATAAAATTATTCGCCACGATACTGCTCTCGATGTACTTGCTCAAGTATTCAGAGGTCCAGGAGACAAGAAAGAAAGGGCCCGTAAAGAGCTATCAGGCTCGATTGTAATGACAAGATATAATAACAAAACCTACCGAGTAGATGACATCATTTTTGATAAAAACCCTGAGACTTATACATTTGAAGGAAGAGAAGGTACGATTTCTTTGGCTACTTATTATGAAACGCAGCATAAAAAAACTATTAAAGACAAAAGACAACCTTTACTTTTGGTACAACCAACTGAAAGACAAATGCGAGGAGGAGAACAGAAAGAGATATTGTTGATCCCTGAGCTTTGCACCATGACTGGATTATCTAAAACGATGATTGACGATTTTCAATTCAAAAGAGCACTCGGAGATTTGACCAGACTTGATCCATTACAGAGAGCTCAAAATTTGACTGGTTTCATTCGACAAGTAAACGCTAATGAAACTGTTCAAACTGAGATGCGTGGTTGGGGCTTACAATTCGGTGAATCATTAGTGGAAGTCAATGGTCTTTTATTGCCAGGGGAAAAAATTCATACTTTTGGTGAAAGTGGTGAAAATAGTGGCACTCCTTATCAACAAAAAACTGGTAATTTTGAACGAGAAATACGTTCGAAAAAAATGTTGAGACCTGTCGCTATTAAGTTTCCTTGGGCTCTAATTGCTCAGAAAATCCATAAATCCCTTGTAGATGACTTTAGTGATTCCATGAGAAGAGTCTGTGGTCCTCTTGGCATAGAAATTACAGCACCCAAAATATTTCCGCTTGATGGAGATCGGGCATCAGATTATTCTGCAGCTTGCAATGCTGTTCCCGCTGATGCTAATTTAGTAATTATTATCGTTCCTAATAATAACGGAGATAGATATTCAGCCATCAAAAAGCACTTTTGCTGTGAAAAACCAATTCCTTCCCAAGTTATAACAACTCGTGTTTTATCAAACAAAAAAAATCTTATGTCAGTTGCCACTAAAATACTTATCCAAATGTCTACTAAACTTGGAGCTGAGCCTTGGGGAATTCATATTCCGGTAAGTTTCAACATGCCTTTTCTTTATGACACCTTGATTGCTGTGTCAATTAACTGAATTTTTATTTTTTATTCTCCATTTCATATATTTCAGCCTAAAGGATGTATGATTGTCGGTTATGATACTTATCATGACTCTGATCGAAGAGGCTATTCTGTCGGTGGATTTGTTAGTACTTCTAATGCCACAGCAACAAGTTGGTTCTCTCGTACTTCCTACCATCAAAACCGGGAAGAACTGTGTGCAAATTTCGCTGCCAATCTGAAAGGTGAGTTTTCATTGAAACAATTTTCAACTATTAAGAAATAATTCATTATGTATTCTATTTTTTCTATGATAATTGATAGCTGGCATCAAAAATTGGATTGCCAAAAATAAAGGCTCATGGCCTGAAAAAATTATAATATATAGAGATGGCGTTTCAGAGGGACAAATTCCCTATGTTTATAATGTTGAGATGAAGCAAATGCAGAAAGTTCTGAGCGAAAGACCGGAATTGGCAAAAACTCATTTTTGCTTCATTATTGTTACAAAACGAGTAAATGCTCGATTCTTCCATAATTATGGTGAACGACAACTACAAAATCCACCTCCAGGAACTAAGATTGATTCGCTTATTACGAGAAAAGAACGATATGATTTTTACTTGATCAGCCAGTCGGTTCGCCAAGGAACTGTTAATCCAACAATGTACAATATCATTGCTGATAATTCTGGTTGGCGTGCAATCCATCATCAACAATTGGCCTACAAACTTTGTCACCTTTACTACAACTGGGCGGTAATTGAATTTTCACTACATTTTTCATCCAAATTTTATTATTCCAATGATCTAATGCATTTATTTTTATTCATTTTACATTTCATTTTTACAGGGAACCATCACTGTCCCAGCCCCATGTCAATATGCTCATAAATTGGCTCTTCTAACTGGAACTGCTCTACACAGGGAACATAGTACAGAACTATCAAACACCTTATTCTTCTTATAAACTTTCAACATTTTAAATTCAATCTTAAATTTACAACAACCCATCTTATTTTCATCTTACATGCACTATTAAAATTGATTTCAATCTAATTCTGGCTTTTTCATTCATTCAGCATATAAATTATAAATGTCTAATATTTGTAATAGTATTCAACTTTCAAGCCTATTAGTTTTTTATAATTAAAATTACGCGTTATATTTCTTTGGCTGATTTTGATAAAATTAAATCTAGAATAAATATCGAAGACGGAAAATTTTGGTGCAATCAACTGAAAAACAATACGAGTAGGTTACCTAACTGAGAGCGATCTAGCTTTGCATTTAGAACGTGATTATTGTCTTTCTCGCAGTTGATTTTTCTTATAAACATATCTGAATTCAAGCTTAAATTTTCATTAATTTATTACCATTTCAGTATCATGATATAGACATCTTATAACCGTATTGAATTCACTTTTTAGATACCTTTCTGATAGTATTAAGGATCTGATATCTTACATCTGTAATAATAATAATGTTTATTCAACTTTTTCCCAAATAATGTTTACTATTTTTAATTAAGCAGTACAATGTCCATGTCAATGTTGATATTCAATTTGATCAAATGATCAGATAGACTGGTTGGAGGTGATGATAATGACAAGTTAATGAATATCGTTCTTGATAAGTTCCCAAAAATAGAGGCAAATTAACAAATGTAATTGAACCTCAAGATTTTATCAGCAATAGAAGGCAAAAATTTATTCTTTTTCTTGTTATTTTATGCAATTTTCAAGTAATCGGCAAGTTTGCCTTTAGGTTGAACATGTAACCAATTTCAAGTGTCTTTAATTAACTTTCTATTGTGCTCAATTACATTCGCAATTATCTCAATTGTTTGATTTGGTGAAAAACAATTCCATGGATAATTCATCGCTCTCTCATCTAATCATCATGTCCCATGTCCATGAAATCAATATAAATTTCGGTCAATTCAGTATTTCTGTTCATTAGAAACACACACAACAGCTGAATGATTTACAACCTGTTCTTGTTTTATAATAGTCATTGATATTTTCATTTAATTTGTATTAAACCTTTTAGTGAATAATATTTTCTTATAAATTGTTAACAATAAAGTGCAAATGGAAGGTCGTGGTCGAGGCAGAGCTGCACCAGGTGAAGAAGCAGCAACGCGTTCTCGTGCAGGTCTTTTTCGAGTTGCTGAGACTCTTCATACAATTCCTCCCGAAGTTCACACAACCACTGGAGATGGCCAAGGAAGCATGAGAATTGTGACCAACTATTTCAGGCTGATAGTACCCAAGGATCAAGTAGTTCACTCATACCGAGTTGATTTCGAGCCACAAGTGGAATATGTCAAGGTAAGAAGAGGTTTGATTTACGAGAATCGCGCTGTTTTCGACAGAGCCTATGTTTACGATGGTGGAAATGAAATTAAATCGTTATGTAAACTCAATACAACGCCTGTTACCGTGTCTGGAACACGACGAGATGGTTCCACTGTTAGTATAACCATAAAGTATACATCAACTGTTTCTTGGGGACATCCAGAAATGCTGAGATTATACAATACTCAGATGAGACGGAATCTGGAACACATAGGCTTTTCTCAGGTTGGCCGAAACTATTACAATCCTAGAGCGAAGAAGATCATGCAAGATCATCGACTTGATATATGGCCTGGTATTTTAACTGCCATTGCTGAACATGATGGAGGAATCATGATGATGTGTGATAATATCAATAAAATTATTCGCCACGATACTGCTCGAGATATCCTCAATAGGATACGCACACATGAAAGAGAGCGATGGCAGGAAAAGGCTCGTGATGAATTAGCTACTAGTGTTGTAATGACAGTTTATAACAACAAGACTTATAAAATAGATGACATTGCGTTCGAACGCACCGCTGGTGACTTTACATTTGAGCGAGGAAACACCACGACCTCCTTAGCTGACTATTATAGAGGTCAATATAATTTAAGTATAAGAGACGGAACTCAGCCTTTACTTTTGGTACAACCAACTGAAAGACAAATGCGGGGAGGCGACAAGAAAGAAATTTTGTTGGTTCCAGAATTTTGTTTAATGACAGGATTAACAGATTTGATGGCAAGGGACAATCAATTTAAAAGAGCTCTCGGAGATTTGACTAGACTCGATCCAATACAGCGAGCTGAAAATTTAACTAGATTCATTCGACAAATAAATTCTAATGAAAGAGTCCAAGCTGAGATGGGTGGTTGGGGCTTACAATTTCGCGAGGATTTGGAAGAGATCAGAGCAAGGACTTTACCTCCTGAGACGATCCTTACTCATGAAGCTCAAGTACCGTATCAACAAACTACTGGAAGCTTCGAAAGGGAGATTCGAAGCAAACGAATGATACGTCCAGTTGCTCTTCAGCAATGGGTAACGATGGCACTTAAACGAGATAAAGAAATAGTTGAAGAATTTTTCAGATGTTTAAGGCAAGTTTCTGGACCATTGGGTGTTGATATTGGTCCGCCAACTGTTGTCGTCGTTCATGAAGACTCGATACCGCAATATGCTTCTGCTTGTGAACGAGTTGATCCAAAACATAACTTAGTTATCGCAATCGTCCCTAATAATAACCCACAAAGATACTCTACAATAAAAAGACACTTTTGCTGTGAAAAACCAATTCCTTCGCAAGTGATAACAACTCGTGTTATATCAAACAAAAAAAATCTTATGTCAGTTGCCACTAAAATACTCATCCAAATGTCTACTAAACTTGGAGCTGAGCCTTGGGGAATCGGAATTCCGGTAAGTTTAATTGTTTCTTCATTTATTAGAATATATTGTTTCTCTCATTTTTGAATTTAAAAGATATCAGGAGACAATTTATTGGCATTTAATTCATACAAATTATATTCGATAGTTTAATTTAACGATTTTGATTGACGTAAATGGTTTAGTTTTTTATTTTATAACAATTTTACTAAATTCTTACATTACAGCGCCCGGGATGGATGATAGTTGGCTATGATACTTATCATGACTCTCAACGAAAAGGTCATTCTGTCGGAGCATTTGTTTGCACTTCCAATTCTGCAGCAACAAGTTGGTTCTGCCGCACTTCCTATCATCAAAATCGTGATGAGTTGTCAGGAAATTTTGCTAACAATCTAAAAGGTAAGTTTACCTAAGACTTTTTTAAGCAACAATTATGAATGATCTGCGACATGAAAATTTAAAAACTCTGTTCACTTTGATAGCTGGCATCAAAAATTGGGTTATCAAAAATAATGGTACTTGGCCTGAACGAATTATAATATACAGAGATGGCGTTTCAGAAGGACAAATTCCCCATGTTTATAATGTTGAGATGAGAGAGATACAGAAACTTCTAGGAGAAAGGGCTGAGCTGGCCAAAACTTCATTCTCTTTTGTCATTGTTACAAAACGAGTAAATGCTCGTTTTTTCCACAAAGTTGGTGAACACCAACTACAAAATCCACCTCCAGGAACAAAAATAGATTCCGTTGTGACTAGAAAGGAAAGATACGATTTTTACTTGATCAGCCAGTCGGTTCGCCAAGGAACTGTTAATCCTACAATGTATAACATCATTGCTGATAACACTGGTTGGTCTCCAATAAATCATCAACAATTGGCCTACAAACTGTGTCACATTTATTACAACTGGGCGGTGAGTAAATTTTCACATTTTACATTCAAACTAGAATCTAATTTATTTTCATTCATTTTACAATTCATTTTTACAGGGAACTATCACTGTCCCAGCCCCATGTCAATATGCTCATAAATTGGCTTTCCTAACTGGAACTGCTCTGCACAGAGAGCATCGTCAGGAACTATCAAACACCTTATTTTTCTTATAATCACAAACTGTCTTTATTTGATTTTGATTATTAATACGCAATCTTATATTCCTCTTATCTGTATTCACTATGAAAATTGAATTTTTTCTTGTTCTTATTTTCTTTCCTCTAAAACTTATTATACTATTATATATTAAAAACTGATGTCCAAATATTCAGCCTGGGTTTATGTTTCTCAATTATACAGCTCGATATCCATGTTTATGTTTACATGTAATTGGAACTCGTTCTCAGTGAGAAAAGTTTTCAAATTGATTTCAAATCAAGTTTGCTAGTTGACATGCTCTTAATACAAAGATGCATGTAAGTATGTGAGTATGAAAAAATTTCAGGAAACCTAAACGTAAACAACACTTGACGTAGACTTGGTAATACAAGTTTAAATAACTCTCAATTACTTGCTGGGCAAGTCGGTTAACCATGATCATAAGGAAGTTATTATCTACTCTTATAAATAGTTTTACCTGTCTTAACAATCTCCATATTCCACTGTTTAGTCTTGTATCTTTTATTGCTGTGTTTACAACTATACTCAGTATATGCTAACAATAGTATTTTTAAAATTGATAATTTTCTTGAAATAAATTGATCTAATTAGATAATGGTTGTTACTGTTACTGCTCCTGGTAAGGTGATCCTCTTTGGTGAACATGCAGTTTGCTTTGGAAAGGTAAGTTTTCTTATCATTTTTGCTTATTGTTTATCATTTTTTGCTGAAGTATGCGTTGATTTTGTTAACCAGGAAGCAATTGCCACTGCCATTGACCGGAAAACAACCGTAGAGATAAATTTTCAAACAGGGTCTGATTTTGTTAGTTTAAACTTGGTGGATCTAGTTTATTATATTAAATGGCCTTTACAGCAATTATCGCAAATTAAATTGGGTTTGTAATTCCTTATTTTACTATTTAAACAAAAACTCTGAGATTCAAATATATTTTATCAATGTTTAAAGTAAAATCAATATTCAACTTAATTAGATAGCTTGGTTGAAGATGATCATGGAGATCAAATTGGTGTTTATAATGACGAGATTGGTAAAATATTGGAAGAAATAGTTCTTACTGGCATAAATTGTGCCAATAATGGCGGTTTAAAGAGCGACACAACATCAAAGAATGATGTAATATTATCAGCAATCGAGAGCTCGAAATCTTTCTTATTCTTGTATCTTTCAATGGCTTCCAGTTATCGGTAAGTTTACTTTGGGGTTCAAATGTCATATTGTTTTGGATTAATTGATATTAATTGTGCTTATCAATATTTTTATCCTGAAAAGACCAGAAAAACTCCCTGAAATTGATGTAACTCTGTCATCAAACATTCCGGTTGGAGCGGGACTTGGTTCATCATCTGCTTTCAGCGTTTCATTAGCTGGAGCACTCTTGAAATGTTTTCTTGGTACTAAACCAGACAACCAATTAATAAACAAGTGGGCTTTTCAAAGCGAGAAACAGTTTCACGGAAAACCATCAGGAATTGATAACAACATTGCAACTGCTGGTGGAACTCTGATTTTCAAAGATAACTCAATTCGCCAAGCTCACAACATGCGATTGACAAAAATAATACTTGTTGATACCAAGGTGAAGAGAAACACGAAAACTTTGGTCAGCGGAACAATTGCCAGGCGAAAAATGGTAAGATTAAGGGTAAATGGGCTTTGGTCAATAACCAATTCTAATTCTTTATATTTAAAATTCCTTTCTTGACCATGTTTACTATGAATAAAACTCTCTTTTCCTTTTAGTTTCCAGAAATAATGAATAATGTTATGGATGCCATTGGAAATATTTCCACAAAAGCCTGGGAATACTTAAACGGAAATAACTCTTATGATTTAAAGGTGAGAACTCCAGCCAAAGTTTTGAATGGATGACAAAAATTGACCATTATGACATCTTATGACATCTTTCATTATTAACTTAGCATGTTTGAAAAGATGAATTTACAACAATTACTTATGCATCCTGCGTATTCTCTTCGTTCAATATGATTATTTCATTTTAGACGATGGTGGAAATGAACCAATATTTATTGAACTGTATTGGTGCAGGCCACACAGCCATCGATGATGCTCTTGCTACTGCAAGGAAATATGGTTTCCAAGGGAAATTAACTGGGGCCGGAGGTGGTGGCTGTGTACTTATTTTCATTGAAGGTAACCGCAAATTATAATTAGACTTTGGATTTACAAATAGAACTTTTTAATTTCAATTTATTAGACGCTCCTGAGGAATTGGTGGAAAATGTTCTCATTGATCTCAATCATGGAGGTTTCCAAGCCCAGGCAGTACAAATTAACTGTCCAGGGATATCATTCCAATGAATCTTCGCCTTCAGTTACTTCTTTCAATGATAAAACATGAAGTTGAGAGTTAGCAGTAGATTTAATCAGGTGATCGATCTCTCTGAAGTGGCCTGGATCAACATGGATAACCTAAAAATAATAAACAAGATGAAAATGTGTTTAGAATGACCAACTAATTTGATTAATTATTTATATACAATGGCTTTTCAATTCGGTTTGAAAACCCCGTTTGTCTAAATGTTTTGAGAGCTTGACTAAACAATATGAGAACTGGTCAAACATTTTGAGAAGCCGACAAAACATTTTGGGAAGTCCCCGAGAAATGCTGTATCTTTTTGATAACTCTTGGTTACTTTTCAACTGGAAAAGACCATTTATTCAAAAGCAATGAATCTTAAAGTATCTATTTACCATTTCCAATTGGCCGTCTTCATGCACTATGTCATGTTCAATTTCTTTAGATAATGTCCTCAGTCTTTGCTGATGCTTTTTGGAACATAGAACTCTCAACTTCATTTGAGCTCTCTCAATCGGTAATACTTTTTGCAATTCTTTCATTGCCACCAAAGCTTGCGATTTGTTACTCTTATTCGGTTTGACAGAGAAATGAATCTGCTTTAGGCTTTTTTCAATCATGGTAACAGGATAAGGTCGTTTGCTATCCGGGTTAACACATTTATCCGAGATAATTGTGGCAATATCTTTGAATGCCGCATCGAGTTGAGCCGACCGTTCTTTTTCGCTAATCTGTAGTTCCCCTTTATCCAAAATCTGTAATAAAAAATGATTAATACATAAGACAATTGATAAGCAAGTGAGCAACCGGTTAACAGTTACATTCAAATTACATTAATTCACATTACTCGATGGTCAAACTGTAATTTGACCAACGAGTAATGGATGACTCTAGTGATTTGTAAAGTCATTGTTAGAGGGTTTACAAATTGTTTAATGATGATAAAAAAGATCAAATACCTGTATGCAAACCTTATCATGATCATCAGTTCCAAATGCTTTTATCAGATCCTCTTTCTTGGCAACTTGACCCTTGGAGACGTTGGTGAAAACAGTGCGACTTTGCAGAACTTCATCCAAATCTTTCTCTCTGAAAAGTAGAAAAAATTAGGTAAAAGCTATCACATTTTTTGCACTATTTACTCACACTTTACTTCGATAGGAAACAACTTTATTCTTGTAGCAAGCGATTTCAAACCGGATTCCACATTTTTTCATGCGAACAATTGCCACATTAGTTAAACGAATTTGATTGGTTGGTGTAAATATGTTGGACATTATTAATTCTGACAGAAAAGTAAGGCAATTTAAACAATGCAATGAACATAAGAGAAATGATGCAAGTGTAAACAAAATGTAAACACATAGACTTTTATAGGGAATGTTTCTTATTTTTCCTTTCCTTTTCCTCTTTGCCCGCTAAACATGATTTTTAAATCTTATTCCAATCTTATTCCAATTCTATTTCAAAATTTAGATATTTATCGCAGTTTTACCTTTAGTCATGTTTTATTCGCATTTTCTAGCCTTAATTAGCATATTATCGCCTTGTTGACTGGGCGCACAAACGCCCAAAGTTATTTTCATTCTCTCTCGTGCTCTCCCGATTTACTGTTATCTCCATCCCACTTGAGGATTGCATATATTTCGCGATGTTTGGGCTACTTGCGGTATTTGTTCTCACGATTTTGTCCAATCAACATTGTTTTGCGAAATTGTATCAACTTCATATCTCTTTATTTCTTTTATTTTCTTGCTTTGTTTATTTACAGTTTGTACTTTTTTGATCTTTCTATTTACTTTTTTTCGTCTTTTGTTTTTCATGGATATAGGACGAGCTCGTGGACGGGCTGCCGGCCGAGGAAGAGGAGCCCTGACTGAAACTGAAGCCGGATTCTTTGCGAGGGATCCCAGTGCAGCTATTGCTGAAAATGAGCCGGCCCAGCGAGGTCGTGGAGGATTTGTACGAGGCGAAGTACTTTGTACGATCCCACCGGGTGTTACGGTGACAACAGGTGACAACCAAGGAAACTTGAAGATCATTACGAATTACTTCAAATTAGTGGTACCCAAGGAACAAGTGGTTCACTCATACCGTGTCGATTTTGATCCACAAGTTGAAAGTGTGAGAGTTCGAAGAGGCTTGATTTATGAGAATCGTGCTGTTTTCGACCGAGCGTATGTTTTTGATGGTGGAAATGAAATAAAGTCGATGTGTAAGCTGGATTCAACGCCTGTCACTATAACTGGAACCCGACGTGATGGTGCAAGTGTCACGATGACAATAAAGTATACATCAACTGTTTCTTGGGGACATCCAGAAATGTTGAGATTATACAACACTCAGATGAGACGCAATCTTGAATATTTGGGATTTGTGCAAGTTGGCCGTGATTATTATACTCCTGAATTTAAAAAGATCATGAAAGAACACAGAATTGAAATTTGGCCTGGTGTTTTGACTGCGATTGCCGAGCATGATGGTGGCATTTTGATGGTGAACGACATGATAAACAAAATCGTTCGTCAGGAAAAGGCTCTCGACGTTCTCAAAAGAATCAAAGAAAGGAATCGATTGCAAGAGATCGCAAATATTGAATTATCTGGGTCTATCGTAATGACGCAGTATAACAACAAAACATACAGGGTCGAGGAAGTCATGTTTGATAAGAATCCTATAAATTATACTTTTGACCGCCGTGGAACATCGGTTAGTCTGCGTGATTATTACATCGAGCATTATGACCTGGCTTGTACTGACGAGCGACAACCACTGCTTTTGGCTCAACCAACAGAAAAACAAGTTAGAGGTGGAGAAAAAAAAGATATTCTCCTGATTCCGGAATTCTGCGTCATGACGGGCTTGACCAAGCAAATGGCTGAGGACTTCAATTTCAAAAGAGCTCTCGGAGATTTGACCAGACTTGACCCACTTGCTCGTGCACAGGCTTTGACACAATTCATCAGAAAACTCAACTCAAATGACCGAGTAAAGGAGGAGATGCGTGCTTGGGGATTACATTTTAGTGAAAGCTTGGTTGAATTAAATGCTCGATCATTGCCTCCTGAGAAAATAATCATTTCGGGTGATTCTGGTGAATCCGTTCAATATCAGCAAAGAACTGGAAGTTTTGAAAGAGAAATGCGAAGTAAACGGATGAAAACACCTGTTCGTCTGGAACAGTGGGCTGTACTTTGCTTGCGAAACCATAAAGCAATGGTTGATGAATTTGTTGAGACTCTTAAGAGGATTTGTGGACCCTTAGGTGTGGACATGGGTCAGCCTAAACTGATGCCTGTTGAAAATGATAGACCTGCTGGCTACATGGAGGTTTGTAGGAAAATTCCAGCAGGTGCTAAAATGGTCGTCATCCTTGTACCTAATACCAACGCCGACCGATATTCTGCCATAAAACGCTACTTTTGCGTTGATGCACCATGCCCCTCCCAAGTTCTTACCACCCGAGTGTTGGGAAATAAAAAAAATCTAATGTCGGTTGCCACAAAAGTTCTCATCCAAATGTCAACAAAGATGGGAGCCGAACCTTGGGGTATCTCAATTCCGGTAAGAATGCCTTGTTGCTTTTTTGATAATGTTTTTTGAGTTATATTTAATAACTAACCAATTTATTTATTTCAGCCGCGTAATTGTATGATTGTTGGGTACGATACGTACCACGATACACAAAAGAAAGGCTTTTCTGTTGGTGGTTTTGTTTGCACCTCAAATCCAGGAGCAACTAGTTGGTTTTCTCGCACTTCTTATCATCAAACTCGTGAAGAGCTTTGCGGAAATTTTGCCAATAATTTCAGGGGTAAGTTTGATATCCTCATCCTAATCCTCATCAACCTCAATTAATATGAAATTTCTTTGTAGCCGGCCTCAAGAACTGGTCAGAAAAAAACAATTCATGGCCTGAGCGGATAGTTATTTATCGTGATGGTGTCTCTGAAGGACAAATCCCGTTCGTCTACAATGTCGAGATGAAACAAATGCAAGATGTGCTCAAGGAAAAAGAAGGACTGGATAAAATTGCATTTGTTTATATCATCGTTACCAAGCGAGTAAATGCACGATTTTTCTTACGAGTTGGTGAGAGGGAACTACAAAATCCACCCCCAGGAACGTCCATTGATTCAGTTGTTACTCGCAAACAGCGTTATGATTTTTATTTGATCAGCCAATCTGTTCGCCAGGGAACTGTTAATCCAACCATGTACAACATCATTGCTGACAATACCAATTGGCGTCCCATTCATCATCAACAATTGGCCTACAAACTTTGCCACATGTACTACAATTGGGCGGTAATTATATTTTACTTTGATTTAATTTTCATACAATCTTTGCTATTCTAGAAAATCTAATGCATTTATCTTTACTTCATTTATTTATTTCATTTTTTACAGGGAACCATCACTGTCCCAGCCCCATGCCAATACGCTCATAAATTGGCTTTTCTAACTGGAACTGCCCTGCACAGAGAACATGATACAAAACTTTCTCACACTTTGTTTTTCTTATAATCAATGCAACTTTTCATTTTTCATTCAATTCTTATGTTTTAAATCATTACTCTTTTTTTTGCATTGTTAAAGCTATAAAAAGCTCCAAAAAACTTGAAAATTACTATCAAATCTTTATGTCAAAATCGATTACTAATTTCTTGATATTTCTTTGATCAATAAATATTTTTCTTACATTTGTTAATTACCTTTTCAGATTTTATTTCAAAAAGTTTGCTGTTTGCAAAAGTTCAAATTAGCCGCGTTTGCATGAAGGACTGCCTTCAAATGCTTGCTTTAACTTCTTTAAACACGTGGTTTATTTCACATGTTTTGTTTACTTTTTCATTTTATTTATTTCAAGCAATTATCATTTTATTTAATTTAAACCTGGATTTATTATTGATAAAAGTAAGTATTATTTGTCCTGTTAATGTTCGATTGCTTCGTTTTTTATGTTAGAATCAATTAATTAAACGTTTTCACATTATTTATTTTGTTCCTAGTGGAAGAATCATTTATTGAAAAACGTACCAAAAAAACTGGTAGTTTTCAGAGTTTTGCTCTGAGTCGACCCTTATTAAGTGCGATTGTACGAAAAGGTTATAAAAATCCGACACCTATTCAACGTAAAACAATCCCTCTTATTCTGGATGGAAAAGATGTGATTGGTATGTCCAGAACTGGAAGTGGTAAAACTCTTGCCTTTTTAGCTCCTCTAATTGAAAAGCTGTCTCGCGATAGTGGTAAGTATTTAATGTTTAGTTCATTTCTTTCGTTCATTGGAAATTAATCTAATAAAAATTATTTACAGGTAGAAGTTGTATTAAAGGTGTTATTCTTTCTCCAACCAGAGAGCTTGCCATGCAAACTTTCAAAGTGTTCAAAGAACTCAACCGAGGAACAAAGTTGAAAGCCGAATGTATTCTCGGAGGAGATTCTCTAGAAAAACATTTCACTGCCATGCACACAATTCCAGATTTGTTGATTGCCACCCCAGGTCGTCTTTTGCATGTTTTAGTAGAGATGGACATGAAATTACCTGATGTGTCAATGCTTGTTTTAGATGAATGTGATAGACTTTTTGAGATGGGTTTCAATGAGCAAATGACTGAAATAATTCGCCGACTTCCCGAGCATCGACAAACCTTATTATTCTCTGCAACGCTTCCTCACTCTGTTGTAGACTTTGTTAAAGTTGGTTTACATGATCCAGTTCTCGTTAGATTGGATGTGGAATCAAAATTGTCTGAAAATTTAACTTCTTGTTTCGTTTATTGCCGTGACTCAGAGAAAATTCCTTTACTCTTATATTTGTTGCGATTTGTTGTGAAACCCGATGCAATGACCGTTGTATTTACATCAACCCGTCATCATGTGGAATATCTTGCCACTTTATTAGAGAAAGCATCAATACAATGTACTCAAGTCTATAATGCCATGGACCAAGAAGCCCGAAAAGCCAACACTGAATTATTTCGCGGTGGAAAAATTAAAATTATGGTCGTGACTGATCTGGCATCTCGTGGTATCGATATTCCTTTTTTGGATAATGTTATTAACTTTAATTTTCCAGCTAAACCTAAACTTTACGTTCATCGAGTGGGAAGAGTTGCTCGTGCTGGTAGATCTGGTACAGCCTATTCTCTGGTTTCAACTGAAGAACTTCCTTACCTTCAAGAATTGTACTTTTTCTTAGGTCGTCCGATCAAGATAGCTACTGCACAATCAGAAATTGAAGATTCCATGATAGGTAAAGCTCCCCAAATTATCATCGATGACGAATGTGACACTGTCAATAAGTGGCATGAATCATATACTGATCTTCAAGGTATGAGAAAGGTTTGTGAAAATGCAACTCAACAATACATAAAGACAAGAGCCGTTCCCACTACTGAAGCAGTGAAGAAAGCCAAAGAATTATCTAAAAAACAGATTTCAATTCACCCCATATTTAAAGTTAACTCAACAACTCCGCAAGAAGAAGAAAAAAAGGCCGATTTTCTTTCATCATTAAAAAGTTACAAACCTAAGGCAACTATTTTTGAAATTGGAACAAACAAAAAAGATTATGCTTATATAATGAAAACAAAGCGTGACAAACATGATAAAATTGTGGCCAAAGCTCAACGGAATAATGAAATACAAGAATCTGAAGAGAAAGACTTTCATGATGAAAGCTTTTACCTGCCTTATCGAGCTAATGACCATTATTCTGAAAAGGGACTTGGTATTGAGAACAGTTTTACTAAGGACTTGAATAATGCTGTTTTTGATATTAGTGGTGATGACCAAAAATCCTTAAACAAAACTAATGCAACACAAAAATGGTGAGTAATTACGCCAAAACAACTCATCAAATTTTTTTTCACACAAATGCAATTTATTGTTTTTGATTGACTGCTTTTGAATTTACTGACTTTAGCATGAACTAGATTGTTGATTGCTGATTTATTTAATTGATACAAACTTTTTCATTTTTCTTTGTTTTTGCAGGGACCGTAAGAAGAAAAAATTTGTTGGAGTTAATACAAACGATCCTAAAAAGAAGAAGATCAAAACTGAGAGTGGTGTTTGGATATCAGCTTCGTATAAATCTAATCTTTACAAGAAATGGCAAGAAAAGAGTAAAAAGAGCCAAGATGATGACGATGATTATGAAGAAGATGGAGAAATGGAAGATAAATCAGTTCAAGATGCTGTTCGTCAACGGGATCAAGCAATTAGCAAGCAAATGATGAAAAATAAAAGGAAAGGGTCTGGCAGTAAATCAGTTAAGAGTGAACTCAAAAGCAAAGCTGACCTTCTTAAAGAGAGAATGGCCAAAGAGAAGAAGAAGAAATTCATGCAATGGCGTAGGAAAGAGAAACTTAAAAAGAAAGGTCAATCTAAATAAAGAGGTAATAATAATGATGGTGATAAATGAAGAAAAGTATAGTTTATTAATAATAAATTTGGAATTGCAAGTGATGAAATTTTTCATGTGAATCTTAGTCCTTTTTTATCCATCCCATCCATTATTGCCTATTGCATGTTTCGCTCCTTTCTACTATCGTTTTTTGTTTTAATCAAAAAGGATTGAAGTGCAGAGTCACAGGATTGATTGAGATTTTTTAATTTTTGCTGTTGATAACCTCAACAAACATCAGATGATTAGTTTCTTGACCCTTTTTTATTTATCAAAAACACAACAGCAACCAATCAACCAACCACCTTTTAATCCGACGTTAACATTTAACATCAGAATTTTTTTGCTTCTCTCATTATTTGCTCGTTTAATTTCTGTCGATCTGTCGATGCAATTTTTCATCCTTTGCATCTTTACAAATGATTAATTAACTAATTTAAAACCATGAGCCATTTTTTCATGACTGAAAAAGCATGAAAAAAGAGCCTAGAAACCAATGAAAAAAAGTAATGAAAATTTTCAAATTAAGATTTTTTTCAATTGAAACATCTAGCAATCCTATTAAGTATGTAATTTTTTTTCTTTCTTTTCTCTCTCTCCTTCCATGAGGCTCCAAGGGTTTTAGAGGGTAATTTTATCATCACCATCACCATCACCATCATCTTCATCCTTACATCAACTCCTGAACATGAACATCATTATTTTTTTGCCACTTTCCCTACGAGAAGAAACGATTGATGGGGTTGATGGAGCAAGTAGAGAAAAGAAGGAGAAAAGAATCAAGAAAAGGAGATAACTTTATGACTTGAAAATAAGTACTATTGAGCATATTGAAATTACCATGATAATGATGGTGATGATGATGATCCGTAACAAGTCAACGGGAATGATGAAAATGACGTATCTTTCTAAATATTAACAAGAATGCCCGGATAACCCTGTTGATTCATGAATGTTGCAAGATCTAGTTTCCAGTTTCTAAATGGACACTCACTTGATGATCCTTTTTTTTAGTTACCCGTTTTTCTGACCTTTAAATATCAAGGGATTTGACATGTAAAGAATCTATCCCTATCATGATTATGATCATGATTCTCATCTCCATCATTGAAAGTTGGATCAAGTCTCAAGCACACTAAAAATTGCACACTAAACAACAGCAGCCAAATGAATGCTCATAATCATAATCATTGCAGCAAGTTCAATGTGCCATTTGAACTAACTGATGAACCTCTAATACCACTAAAAAGCAACGGAGAAGTAAGATAAAGAAAAAGAGAAGATGAAGATGAAGATAAAATATGAGCAAGATGATTATTTGTTTAGGGTCATCAGCGTCTGTTTCTCATGTTCATATACACAATTATTTACTTGTTACACCGGAATCCGCTCAAATCCTGCGCTCACTTGGAACGGTTTTTTGTTGTTGCTCTGACTCTCTCTTTCTCTTCTGTTTCTCTTGATCGAGCAAAATCATCATAATCTACATTACATCATATCTATCTTCTGATTCTCCTTTTATCATGCTATCATTCATTAGCCCATTCTCATATCTCTTTCAATCATGTTTTTTTCCTCTCTCTCTCACTGTGCAATTGATCCTAGGTCAGGGTGACTCTTATTGGGAATCACCCATCATCTAACTTGAAAGACTTGAAGTCTCAGCTCTCATGTTTTAAATTAGGAATCAGGGGAACAACCTATGATCTCGCTCAGATTTCAATCTTCTCGATTCTTATCGAAACATCTTTTCATTTTTTTTTCTCTTCCATTCATGTAACTATTGCTCACAAATTATCATCATGCTTAACTTTATTTCTTTTTTTATCCTCTTATCTTATTCCTTCAACACTCACCAAGATAACACTGGAAATATTTATAACGATGTTGACGATGGTGATACCAATAGTTCGTGGTTCCAATCATGTTTAGCGGTTTTCAAGGCAAAGATTAAAGGAGTATCACAAAGCTTACTAATTGCGAATACCAAAGTCAAATTATCCAGTCAATTAACCTTTGCGTAATGATCGCCCTCACCATTTGGTTAACATTTTTTACTCTCATTTCCCATTGTTGTATCACACCTAGCTTGTATCATCAGGTGAAGCTTAATGTACCGATGAGAGGAAATGTTGAACTGGCATTATCGACTTTAGTCATTGGCCGTGTTTGCCATCAAGTACTTTTGTTACACACCAATAAATATGGTGAAAGAGCCGTTACTGATCTACAAATATTTACTTATCTTTGAAATTATTTTTTAACGGATGAAATACGTTCTGGTAATCAGAATGAGGCTGACTTTTGGGGATAAAAATCAATAAACTTCTAACCAGTTTTGGCGTAATAGTTTCTCAGATACACTAATCATATTTTCATGATAATGTTAGAATTTTCTAAATTGATTCATTATTCTGTTACTATGTTTTAATTGTTGCAAGAGAGGAGAAAAAAAAGAGATCTTAAACAAATCAATTTCTAGTAAATTAGTTTTCAAATATTCCAACATTTATTCACACTAGTGCAAAGTAATTACTTTTTTCTTGATGCAAGTATAATTTTTAAGGAAAGTCCTCAAACTAAACTGGTTAGATCAATCAAATGATAATATTAATGATAAATTAACAGCAACAAAATAGTAGAAGAGTGCGTGTACGAGAGAAAGTGATAGAGGAATAGAGTGAGTGAGTGAAAATCCATCAGTTAGACCAATTAACTAATTCACATTTAGTAATTCATTTAGCTTTTTTACGCATTACGCTCCTACTTATGCTGCAGCTCATCTTCATCATTATCATGAGCATCACTTTAAAGACAGAAAGGTTGAAATCTAGTTTAGTTTAGTTCGTGTAGCAAGCAAAAGTGGCCTCACTTTCCGCCTTTTTTCACCAAAAAATTGGTTGGCCTTGACAGTGAAAAAGAAAGAAGAACTGAAAAGAAGAGGCAAAAAATAATATTCAAAAAGTATTAACAAAATCTGATGATAATGATCAAAGTTGGCTTTCTTTTGCGCTTTCATTTAATTTTGGGTAACATGCAATAGGATATTTATGAATGCATATATATCACAAGGTGAAGTGATTAGAGTGAGAAGAAGATCATGAAGAAAAAGAAGAAAATCTCTGTGATTTTTCTCTTATTGACCTTAATCTAGCAAGTTTAGTCACTACTTGAAAGTACAAGTGTATGTTCAATAGATCACCCTCAACTCTGCCCACTATTATGAGTAATCAATGTCATTTTGAATGTCATCATTATTAACAGACGAGATGAGCTGAAAAAAAGAAGCTAAAGTGCTATTAAAAAGTGTAAAGATTTACCTTTGGTCATGTGAATTTCACTTTTCTCACTTTTCCTTTTCTTTGCCCTTTTGTCAGATTCTTGTGTGATTAACATGAGTTATATATATTAACATGAAGATGAGAAAGGATGAAAGCTTAAACTTTTTTTCATTAACAAAGTTCAGGTTCATCAAGAAACCTGCCGCTGAATTTTGCCATGAACTTGTCTTTTACTTTCTTTATCATCATTATTCTGAGATATTGGATTATTATCTCTTTCTTTTTTTTGCTGCAAAACTCCACCTGATCATGGTTTTGTGAACATTTACTTGTATGATTAGCGGAACCTGATATACTGGTCCTAATCATTTAGCTGCTAACTTCAGATTTAACTTTCCATGGCGTGAATTAATCAGGTACAATTTATCAAACCAATGTAGATAATTGTAATCATTTACATCAGAAGGCTTTAAGGTAAACCTTTCAGAGCAACTTTTCCTCTGCCATTCATCAAATAAATAACAGTAGCTGGATAAGCTTCGATTCAGTGTGAGTAAAAAGCAAAAAATTTAAAGTTAAACTTGATATAAACTTACATTGTTTTAATAACATGGTTGCTATTGAAGCTAAAAATGGTGATAAATCCAGTTAAATTAATTTAATAGTAAATAAATAAATGAAGAACGCTATTCTGACAATTATTAAACTCAAACTGTAAAAACGATGTGAAAATACGTTCGATATACTATCGATATATTGAATTGAATTTGCATGATTTGTCAATTTTGTTTTCATTTTTCATTTGTCAATAGTTACTGAACTTGTTAAACTTGTCTACTCTAGTTTTATCATCTAGTTTTAATTGACCAGTGAGATGACCATTTAGGAAAAAAATGATGATGACCACCATTGGCTAATCAATCAAAAAAGATCAAGTTAAGTTTGTTAAGGAAAAATATAATCACCTGTAATAAATTCTGATCATCATCTTTTCTTATTTCTTTTTTTCTAGATGCATTCAACATTTACCAATTTTTTTACATGAAAAGTTGATCTTATCTTACAATCGGATCTAAGTCAATATTACCATTTTCGGTGATTAATATATTTCATTGGTTACTGTACTGGAAGAAAGAAACACTGTAGAGAAACAAAAACAAGAACAAAATCTATAGCTGATCGGATCATCTTTAATTTTGGACCAGACCAACGTCTATTTAGATTATTTAGTCTACTTATTTTTTGGCTTTTAAAATGTCTCCTTGTATTAAGGTCTTCTCTAAAGTCCATGGATAATGGTCAAAACCACAAGATGTTTCATCGACAGCAATTTATCTGCTACCTGTTGATACCTTTTATTGTTGTATCCAGTTGACACTCCTTGTACTTTTGGATCTCCTCCAGTTATGGACTGGAATACATGATAACAAAGAATACATATCTTTAAATTATCCAACAATTACAAGTGACAAGAGTGAGTGTATGTGTGCAAATGAAAATCAGATAGAAGGGGAAAGAGAGTGTGTGAGAGAGAGGATTGAAGAGGAGGAGAAAAAAGATGCGATTAATTCAATAAAACTGACGTTACTTTTTTCATCAACGCAACATGATACATAAATTTTCAATTCATAGCAATTAGCTAGCTCGCTATTTGAAAGAAAAATTAACTCACTCTCTTATAAGCTTCCACTTTACTCTCTTCCTCCTAACCTGACTCACTTACCTTTCTGAATCTCTTCCATACTCACCCAAAATCATCTCTCTTCCATACTCTCTCTCTCACTCTCATTCATTTACCCACCTAGACTCTCACCTTGTATCATCTCTCACTCATTCTCTCTCTCTCTCTCATAATCTCCATCCCCTCTTTTCTCTTTCATTCCTCCCTCTCTTCTTATCATTCTCACTGTAGCTTCTCTTTCGTTTTCATCATCTTCATCCTCATTTTCATCTTCATCTTTATTTTCATCCTCATCTTCATTCTCATTCTCATCTTTGTCTTCGTCTTCATTTTCATCCTCATCCCCATCTTCATCTTCATCATCTTCTTCTTCTTTCTCTCTTTCTTTCCTGATCTCTCTTTTTATATCGTGAGTCCGTAAATAAACGAAAGTATAATAAATCGGTTGTCCAGCCGAACTAGTTGTTTGTTTTTGTTATCATCACCTTTCAAGAAAGAGAAAGAAGAAAAAAGAAGACAGAAAATACAGTTTTATTTTCAATATCAGTAAACTTCATTTTTATTTGTAAATTGGATGTTATTGGTTACATGAACAGATAACTTTTTTTCCCTTCAACTTTACCAAATTTTCAATGTTTAACAGTAACTCCAAAACCATTGCAACCTCAAATCTTGACCATTAATTGACCAACAACAACAACAAAATAGATAAACTTATCTTGCCTTTTGTTAACTTCATTCCTTACCATTGGAAAATAAATCTCTTTCCTTGTTTTGTTTGCAGTGTGTTTACATCTTCATTGTGCCACTTGAATTTACCCAAAGTCTCCCATTGTTATCATTGTTATTCAATAGCTTATTTTACCCTTCCTATTGAAGTTAAACATTAATTAATAAATTAATTAATAATTGTAATCGTCAACTGCAAAAATTACTATTAACTAAACAAAAAATTAACAAAATATTTATAAAACCTTCATTTTTATCCATCAACTTACGTGATTACTTCAAGCTTATTTTCAACTCTTACTGTCTCTCTGTTTTCTCTGTTTTCTTTGTTTCCACTTTTTCTTTTTCTTCTCACTTCATTTCTTGATAATTTTTTTACGGTGATTATACGTTTTGTTTTATGGTATGGCTCTCAAGGCAACCCAGAGCCTTCTATGTGCAGGTTATTATCCTTCGTCCTCATTGGCATCACCAACATTTCGAAAGCAGTTAACCCAAACTTGGTGTAAATTGGCACAAACCCACCGAACCAGTAAATCCTGTGATCAAAAATTGTCAACGACACTTCTATCACCATCCAAAGCTTTAGTTTCCTTGAAATTGTCATCCACTTCAAGAGCTATTCCATCGACAATCCAAACGAAACCATCTTCACCTGTATTTCCCACTGAACTAGTGACAGACTCGTGTCCAGTCAATCGTATTAATGATCCATCAGAATGGCAGCTTGAAACGACGGACGATTTTACATCAACCAGATATGTTGGAGATGAAATGCAATCCCAATGTCCATTTTCAGGTTCCAAACAGTTTGCTCAGTCATCAGTCAATAATAGTGGAATGGATGGAAGATTAGTTTACAAAGATATTCACCAATTAAGATGTCCCAATTATTCGAGTGCACAACCCTTTGAGGAGATGCCAACACCTAAAAGTTATCCAGTAGTCGGTACAACATTAACTCTAATGGCTTTTGGTGGAGCCGCACATCTACATGAATATTGTGATTCACGTCATAAAGAGTTAGGACCCATTTATAGAGAAAAATTAGGACCCACTGAGTGTGTTTTCATTGCTGATAGTTCAATGGTACAAAAGGTTTATTCCAATGAGGGAAGATTTCCTAATCATATGGTTCCTGAGGCATGGACCATTTATAACGAGATTACCGGTGTCAAGCGAGGCCTCTTTTTTATGTAAGTTAATTGCATTTAAATTCAATTTGCTCTAATTCACTACAAATCTGTTTTATCACCAGTATCATCTTTTTTACCTGTTTCTTACTCTTCATCTGTTCCCAACACATCTCAACACCTTTCATTTGAATTTTGATACTTTACTTTCTTTTTCTTTCTATTTTCACCGACCCCGAAAAAAAATTAGATCATGACGATGATGAAGAGAAAGAGAGAGAAAGAAAAAAAAACAACATGATAATCTTCATCATCTTCATCATAATCAACAGGGTTACCATTTAGATTTGTTTACGTTTTTGCAATGCAGTTAATCTTGTGCCTTAAGCATATTTTTTACGGTTTTTATTTAATTTTTCTTCTTTTTTCTATTTTCTTTTCTTTTCTTTTTTACATCATTTTATCTTTTATTCACGCCATTTTCACTTTGAATGTAAACAAATAATTTACCTCTTACCTGTTTATCTCTTTTAACTGTCCCGAACCGTTATTTTGTTGTAATATTGCCTTAGAGGTAACTTCCGTTGGAAAGGCCGAACCAAGCAAGTTAATCAAGTTAAACAGTTTTATTTCATTTCTTCCTTTTTCGTACATCACTTGTTTACTAAATACTCATCACTTAAAAGCAACCAAAAAACAACCTAAAACTATCGTCCGTATAAGCTTCACATTCACTTGCTTTTCACTAGTTTTGTTTAATATCGATATATTTACAATATATCGATGAATCTCATATTCAATGCTTTTCAAGTGATGAATCTTACAATTTATCTCTGTCAAAATTATTGATTAAAAAGAGAGAAAATGCAAAAAAAAGAAGAAAAATTTATTAAATTATCGTAACTACTGACGACATGTTTAATAAGCTCACCCACCGAGGTTAACCTTGGAAGGAAGAAATATTTGCGTCTGAATATTACCTTTTTTTGCTTTTCACTTTCACTTTTTCTTACTTTCTCTTCTCGTCTCACAGTGGGTCACTGGTTTACAGAGAAATGAATGAAATTTGAACAACGTTTTAATGAAATATCTTTATAATCCGGAAATGTTTCCAAAAGTGACCTTGATTGATATGTAAAAATGATTGAAATACAAGCAAAATGCATGTAAAAGGGTGTTCAGTTCGTTGAGAAACAAGGAAATGAGTTTTCGCCCGTACTCAATGAATCATTTTCAGATTTTAGGGACTTTTTTGTTGATGATAATTGACGCCAATTACATAGGTAAACTTAACCAGAACACCTTTATTGCAAAATCACGGAAGAAGATGATTTGCCCTTGGAAAAGAGTAAAAAGTGAAAAGATAATGAAGAGATGATTTTTTTTCTTCTTTTTTCTTCTCTTGTCAGATTCAGTTTCTATTCAAAGTTAACTGTTTTTTATGTGATGTTCACAGTCAATCTGTCAAGTTTCTCCATAGATTTCAATGGGAAGAAGAGGATAATTAATAATCATTAGTTTCTCCTCGCTCCTCTTTTTCCTCTTTAATTTTTCTCGAAATATGATTTATTCCTGATCAGGTGAGATAATTTATCTTTGCAAATCTTTTTTTAAGATGATTGACACCTCAAAACATACAATTAAATGTTATGCAATTTATTGATTAGAAAATATATTCAAGAGAAACCTTGAAAATACTGAAGATTGAAGAGAAAAAGAAGTTTTTTTGGATTCTTTTTTTGTGTTAATATAGCCTCATAATCATGTATATAATAAAATATTGTAATCTGCCTGTTAATTGTTTTAGTGGGCCGAGGTTATTAATGATAGTGTTGCTCAATTGTGTAATTTTGATTCCAATAACAACTGGATTTTGATTTGAAATTTTTCGTTGAAAGCCATCGGTATCCTGTATCCTATGTATAGCATAAACAAACATAATAAGTCAATTAGTTTCTGTATTTAAACATGATTTTTATCGATAAAAAGTTGATAACAAGGTCTACAAAACCGTTAATGATAAATAAACAAATAAATAGTCCTTAATTGTCATCAAGTGATGTAGTTGCAGCTCTTTACATTTGATTATCTTTCAAGTTTTCATCGCAACAGTCAATTGAAATCGATGTAGTCAAACAGGAACAATTTACAATGAAATTGTAACAGTAAAAACAAAAAGGTTTAACTGTAGAGATGACGATTCATTTAGTGAAGAACGATGAATTTGATTGTTGACTGAATTTTACAATGATTATGACTATGAGTATAGCGACGATGGGTATTGATGTCTGTCTGATAATGCAATCAAGGTCAAGAGCAATCCGATCGAATTATGATTACTGTTCAAGTTTGATCAAATGCTTCCAGGTGATCAGATTATGCAAAAAACGGTTGAAATGCACAAGCGGAGATTTAGTGTGATGTTTATAATAAAAAAACGTATCGTTGATTATGATGAGCATTACGGCTATTTGCGTCCAGAAAGTGCAATATTTGACTGTTATTTGTTGACGTGACGTTGAGGTTGATGTTTACGGACGTAATGTTGACAAATATCTCGACCTAATACCCATAACTGGATATAATGAGGAAGACAATTTAATCTTCATCATTAATTTTGTTGCGCGTTTAGATTCTCCAGCATTCCTTATTCCATTTCACTTTATGATCGTTACATTATAATTTCCTTCTCGTCATCTAAAACATTCTGTTTTTTTTTCTTTTCGCAAATTGTAACTTTGATCTACAGGGATGGACCAGAGTGGGAAAGGCGAAGAAAAGGAATGAACAAGGTATTCTTAGCGCAACCCATAATTTCGGAATATACTGAGTCATTCAACGAAGTCGTAACTGATGTATTAAATAAATGGAGCAGTTTGGTTGAGTCCAACAAAGACGAAAATGGTCGCTCAGGTCTTTTAACTCAACTGGAAAGAGAGCTTTATAACTGGTCTATTGAATGTAAGTTTATTTTTCTTGCTCAATTTGAATCCTTTGTCTTGGAATGTGCTTACAGAATTCTGAATATGAAATTTCTTAAGCAAGATTTTCCATGATAACACTCAAGGTTGATTTTAAAGTTGCAAACCACTGCATGACTTTCACTGCAGTTACTTTTGACTTCAAGGTGTGTCAATTGAATGCTATTGGTCATCATAGAGTTGTAGTTTAACTGGTTTTCAGTCTAGAAAGGGGTCCAAGTTGAAAGCAAATTAAGGTTATTGAATAAAGTGAAAAGCAATATTCTATACTTGACACTACCAATTCAAAATGTAATCACCATTCTTTCTGTAGATTCTGAAAATAGAAACAAGAAATGAAAAGATGAGAAGAAGGCAAAGAGATGATAAAAAATGACACTTTACTTGAAATCAATGATTAGCTATCTTCTAGCTGAAATAAAAGTTCATCCCATTGCATTGTTTCAAGAAATGGTTATCATTGCTGTATGCTTAAACCAAAAACTTAGAGAGGCATTAAAAAGCGATAAATTCATTCTGATGTTGTCCCTTCGGGCTTTGGATAATTCAGCTGAATGATGCATAAATATGACTAACCTTGAAAGCTTCATGTCAAAGTTTAGGTAAATAAAATTTTTGTGACCTGGTTCGATGTCCAGAAAACAGAAACTGAATTGTGAAAGGAAAATAAAATTCGAGAGGCGAGCAAAAGAAAAATTATTAAGAGGTTCAAATAATGATAAACGGTATTATGTGCAGATGATACTCATATAAAATTGAACTGAATTGAAGTCAATTAAATGGAGCTTTTTTGTTCATTTACCTTTTTTGGTTCCTTTTTTTTGCTGCGCAGTTTATGAGTATTTGATTGAGTGCAAAGGATGAAAGCTAATCCAAGGTAATCATCTCTTTATAAGTAATGAGCTGAAAAAAAAGAAGTGTGAGGTAAGAAAATATTCATTTAGCTATGGACATATGAATCTAAGGTTGAATTTTTTAGAAGTGCCTAGAAACAGTGAATATTAAAAAAAAGTGCAACCCAACTGTTTAGTGAAGACTGGGTTTACCTTACCTTGACTTGTAAGATGATAATGATGATGATAATTGTGATGATGGCATAAGAAAAGCCAAACTCGTTGATTCTCAGATTTTTGTAAATTCGATGTGCTCAAATTGCATGTTATTACTATTCAAAGATAATTTTCTTGAAGAGAAGAAGAGAGAAAACTTTCACCCAGTGATAAGATTCAAGGTCAACCCTGGATGATATCCACTTACGAAATGATCATAATTACTATCATCATCATTATCAATTGACCTTTGTCTTATAAATTCTAGGAACAATTAGGCCAACCATGCGTTTACTTATTCTTGTATTCAACCTCTGTTGCGGCCTTATTTATTTCACATCGACCTGCTTGCAATACCTGTTATTAAAATGCCAACCAAAATCTTAACCCAGTGACAATCTTCCCAGATAAACTTTGCATATTTGTACTTTTCGTCTTGACTTAATTTTAATTTTCTATTTTCTGACCAATCCTCGCCTTGGCTGAAAATCTGCGTAAATTAAATGCAAAGCTGCAACAAAAAAAAAGAGAGAAATATATTACTTAAATTAGTCTAAGAATATGCAGTAACCTTCATTGAAAAACATAAACTTACGTTTTAAAATAAAACTGGTATTTTACATAAAATGGACATTTAGTGCGTGATGAGTGAATTTCACAGGTTCCGACCACTCTCTAGAAAAACTTACATCTTTGGTTTGCACAGGAGAACGGAAATTCACATGGACACAGAGAGAATGTCCTTTAAGATTTAACCTGAGAAAGAGAAAAATAAGAATAGATTTAGTCTAAGCAAAGGTGGATAAAATATTGACATATTGACATATTGTTTGTTGATTTAGCCTCATTTTGCAAACAATGAAACCGTAAACTTGACCTTGAAATCGATTACATGATATATCGATTTACTGTCCATAATCAAAAACATTGGATAATTTGCTTACTTTTCCTCTAAATGGTTCTCAATCTTCCATAACTTTTCTTCTTGGGCTCTACTTTTGTAAGTGTGAGAGTTATAAAGAAAACCTTTTTTTCTCAAGGCTAAGAAGCTCTTCTCTAGGTAATTTTGAAGAAGAAGAAGAAGAAGATAAATTGGGGAAACCGTCTAGCAGAGGAAATCTATTACTTTACCAGACTCTAGGTCATGGTCATGGTCGTGGTTTCCATTACTTTCTCTTTCTTTTTCTCTTCACTTTTCTTTCCTTCTTTCCTTGCTTTTTCTTGCTTCTTTCCTTTTTCGGGACACTTGCTTTCTCTGGTTCTCTTTTTCTGCTTGACTTCTCTTTCTTTTGCCTTCCAAAAGTCTTATTCACTTTCTTTTCTGGCTTTCTTTGACCATGGATTCAAATTTTCAATAATTATTGAGTAGAAAAGCCATTAGAATATACTTGCTTCCAGTCGATTACCGAGCATACATTTAAGATTATCCGAGCCTTTTCCATAATATTTCAATTTGTAAAATCCCAGGCTTGTGATGTTTTACCAAAAGCATATTTGATTAGATGGTTAAATGATTGATAGACTTTCCAATTACTGATTCCTGTGAAAGGATAAAATAAAAAAAGATTATTAGCAATTAATGTGAGAAAGATGGTTCATATGAACAGTCTTTTATGATTTATTTTTAAACTTTAAATTTTATTACCTTATGTTAAGCAATAATCAATATTTCCATCTTTTATTAATGTAACAGCGTTATCTACAATGATTTTTGGTCGTCGTTTGGGTTGCGTTGAAACTTCTCATGATTTACGATATAAAACTCATAAAATGGATCAAGTACACCTCTTTGTCCAGTGTGTTCAACAATTATTTGTAGAGTCTGCTAAATTGACTCTTCTTCCTGCACGCTTGGCTCAACGTTTTAATCTACCAGTTTGGCAACGATTTATGGAAGCTGCAGATCAAGCCCTTAGATTAGGTAATTTTCCAATAGTTTAATCGATCAACTCTACCATTACTAATATTTAAATGTTTTCCAATAATGAAATTTCAATACAGCTCGAAGTTATGTCGAAGAGAATGTTAAAGCAGCTCAAGATGATCCAGAGAATGGGTCCAGAGGAGTTTTAGAAATGCTCTTGGCTCAACCACAGATTGACCAAGAAGAATTGATTAGAATTATTGTAGATTTGTTTCTGGCTGCTGCTGATACGGTAAGATATAAGAATTAATATTTCAACATTACAACGAATGATTGTCAAATTGGAAACTTATTGTTTTTTGTCTCGAAAATTTGATTTTGAAGACTTCACATGCAACTCAATGGGCTCTCTATTTGCTTTCAAAAAATCCTGAATACCAAGAGAAGATATTGAAACAAGTTGAATCAGTTGTTGGAAAAAATGGAACTGTTCGTGAAGAACATCTCAAACATTTCACCTTGGTTAAAGGAGTCATCAAGGAAACTCTCAGGTAATTTTTTCAGACATTCTTTCATCAGGCATTATTTGAGCCAATTTTACTTTCAATCATCAATTTGAATGAGATTTAGCTGATTTTTTCAGCGCCTGTAAAAGCTTCTTTCCCTCAATGTCGCCAATCTGGTTCCGCTTTAAGTTGCTGTTGCTACATTGAAAGCAAAAGGGTTTTAAGTATTGACTGTTGATAAATTGCTGGATATGATTGACAAATTTACTATACGTGTTCATGTCAATCAAAACTAATGCTAACACGATACCCTAAATAACACTGATTCTGGCAATTTAGTTGTACAAAAAAATCAAACATGAAGAGTTTACCTTTTTTCACTTTTCAATGATATATTCTAGGCCGAGATCTGAATTAAGCGTGTGAGCGTATAAATTAACTTCAATCACTAAAAATAGAATCCAACCAAGAAGAAAATTCAGTAGATATTATACTCGTTTACGTCAATGGTTTCCCCATAGTCAGCGCAGTTTGAAATTATTCTGAAATTGAAATGAAGCAAAAAATATTCAAACAATTAATCATTCAATTTAAGAAAGAGGTGGAAGATTTATTGTCCAAAGTAAGGGAGAATCCCTTATACTTTGATTGAAAGTCTCATTTGTCAAATGCATTTTGGAATCAAAATGTTTCGGTTTCAAAGGTGTATACAAGTAAAAGCTATCTTACTTGAAAAACATATAGAATCAGCACATTAACCAGCATTAAAACATGATCCTCTTTGATAGTTTAAAGTTGAAATAGATTACTAATGAAAAGGCAGAGACAATAATTAGAAAGCTTGTTCTTCAATAAATTTTGATGATGATTAATGAAAAGAGGAGTTAACAATGCATTTTATCACTTACGAATTTAAAAGGTTTACAAAAATTTGGATGTTAATATGGGTCAAAAGGTAACTATCATGCATCTCAATAGCAAGCTAACTTTGAGATGACCAATTTGATAAATGAATCAGTACTTAGAATGCCTTTGGAGTTAATAGATTCCCAGGGAGGGAATTCCAGTGTTAATACTTTTTTGAGGAGGAGGAAGAGAAGATGAAACTAATGAGTCAAGTGATGGTTTGAGATGAGCTCTTTGATTAGCTGGCCCATAAATAGAATTTAATACCTGGACAGAAAAAAAAGAGAAAAGAAAATTAAGTGATGATGATATCTAAATTAATGATTAACGTGATCTGGGGTGAGTTTAGTAATCAAAAGTGTTCAAGTGCAAAAAAAGTATAATGATTCTGAAGAAGAAATCAAGTATTTAGAACTTGATTCAGCCAGAAAACTTGGATGAAGCTCAGTATTTAATCAGCCAATTTCAAGTAAACCACGCAGTCAGTGAATGCTTCAAGAGGAAAATGATCTCATTTTTTTCAACTTTTTCTTTTATCTAAAATAAGGGAAGATTAAGTGACTCGAATAGATCTTATGAATTATCTGCATTAATTTATTTAATTGATAGCAGACTGTTCATTACTTTTGAACTGACATCGACTGTTTCATGTTCTCAGTGCACCATAAATTAGTTTATAAAACACTTACATTTCATGGTGTTAACAAAGAAGACAGTTTAGCCCCTTGGAAACAACACTAGTTGAAGCAGTTAAACCTTCACTTCATGGTCAAATTCAAATGAATCGAGTCGCATCCGTATCCGGGCATACATTTCATTCTGGTTTTCCTTTGCTTTCTGAATACTGAATTTTTCTACCATGATCAGCCCCTTAGCAGCTAATATCTAGAAAAAGTAACTCATCAATTTAGCATCATCGTCATGGGCGTATCACAAAATCATCTTTTCATCGTAGACTTCTGATCCTATCATGAAAAAAAGAGAAAGGTGATTTTTAAGACATGAAGAGATAAGAAAGAAAGCTAAAGGAAATCCAAGCCCAGCCGGAGGCTCCCTGAGGCCGATTAAAAAAGCGATTTACGGACCTGCTAGACAGAAGGTCTGGCTAGTCTTGTTAATAATCATCTCCAAGGTTTCTTTCTTTATGGGACGATGATAAAAACGATATTATGATGATTATGGAGAAGATCTTGTTAAGAGTACGTTTAACGCGTCACGTGAAACTTGGACCATTTGATAGTTAATCATTGAAATCACTCCACCTTCTTAGTTTCCACGCCTGATTGTCAGCTAAAATTCACATACTCATTGAATATTGGCGAGCCCACGCTGTTGAGTTAACACGGAAAACCAGTCCGGTTGACGTTTCTTAGTAATCTATGTCAATAAGTTTGAACCTTTCCTTAGCTTTTTCCAGCTCTCAACGGTCCTTTTCAAGGTTCTAATGATAATTCAATTTTAGATTATTTATCAGCTTCTTTACTCTTTGATCCAACAAGGAATTTTTCTTTGGTCGTCCTCCTTAAGGCCAATCAGGATAGGGTTGACTAATAATGACTCATCAATGTGATCATTAACCGCCTATTCTATTCATTTTGTGCAGCAGTTAGCTAATGGAAATCTATGGAAACAAATCAAAGAGTTATGTTAGCAATCAAAATCTTATAGGAATATCAATAAGAATTACTGTTCAATTTGCTTGCCATTAAAGTCGTCAAAATCTTTCTATCTAAATACATCAAATAACTGGTGTAACATTCAATAAATTCAATTGATGCTCATATAGATAGATGTAAATAGTAGATAAAATTACTAATTTTTGCCTTACCTCTTAACTCTTTCAGATTGTATCCTGTTGCTCCCTTTATAAGTCGAAAACTTGATCGTGATATTGTATTAGGTGGATACCAAATTCCAGCAAATGTAAGTTGAATTTTTTGTCGGATTTTTTTATTCTCTATGAACCTTTTTTTGATCATTTCACTAATTTCTTGCATCAACTTTAACTTTTAGACACTACTTGCCATATCCTTATACACAACTGGTCGAGATGAAAAGTATTGGACCGATGCAAAATCCTTTAAACCTGAAAGATGGGTCAGAGAAGAGTCAAATAAGAAAATAATTAACAGTCACGCTAGCTTACCTTTTGGGTTAGGCATTCGATCTTGTGTTGGTCGTCGAGTTGCCGAAGTTCAAATGCAATTTCTTCTTTCAAGAGTAAGTATAAAGAAAATAAAAACTGACAAATTGTGAGAAAAGAAAGTTGAAAAGACAATAGAAAATATAACCAATAAGCATTGAGCGAGCCTGTGAACTAGTGAGTGTTATCAGGAGTAACAAAGGCTTTGTGAATAAGAGATCAATTTTAAATGTTAACCGTTAAATGTTTTGCCTTTTCTCAGATTTAGCTGATAGTTAATTAGTAATTTTTTTAAAATATTTTTAATCTTTAGCTTAACGAAAAAGGAAAAATTCAAAACTTTATCGAGAAAAATCTAAACGAATCTGGAAATCAACCTTTTATGTTACTGTTACTGTTTTTGCGTCTTAGTATCTCTTTCTTTTACTTATCAGTTCATCTAAATAACTGACTAATATTTTGTTTTTTTTTCTTGTTTCTGCTTCAGATAATTCAGAAATTTTACTTCGAACCCGGAAATAAAGAGGACATCGGTATTAAACTACGAATGATTACCACTCCAGAGTCTCCGATACATCTACGATTAGTTGAACGTTCAGCTGTTTAACAAAACCTAAACTGAAAACCAAACCAAACCAAAAACAGCTGTTTAACTAAACTTCTATTTCAACAAATTTTATCATATTTCACTCATCATTTCCACAACCATCTTGAACATCATGAACCATCAAGAACAGAATTTGCAATTGCTGTTCTTAGTCGATTATCTCATTGGCGATTAACGAGATACATTTTTAACCCACCGTTTTGTAATCTTGAAAGGACCATCAAGTCATCGATAGATTTGAAAGGAAAAGCAGAAGTGTAAAGACAATGGAAAAGAAAAACATCTCTCAAGAATCTCATCTCATCACATCAATTCGTTAATCAAATCTTCATACCTTGTTTTAAATCTTTGCATATATTTTAATCAATTTATCTAGAGTCTAAATTCCCACGCTAGTACTAAAAAATTTCGTATTAAGAGACTTATCAGCTGAGGCAAAGTGATAAATTTTTATATAAATATATATATTTAATCATAAGCATTCAAATTTATTTAAAAATCATAAAAATTAGTAAATGAAAATGAAAAAATTGATGAAGCTTGTTAACGTTTTAAATACCATGAAAGTTGATTTCTCTAAGTTATTGTGATATAATCTAATGTCATCTTGAATGATCAAAGATCAACTCTTCAATTTTATATCTCTTTGTTTATTTTAATAACTGCACAAAGATTTAATAACCGTCGGATTACACCTTCGTAACTTTTTTTAATCGATTTTTATACAAGCCGTTAATAATATGCATAATTGTGATACCTTTTGTCATAAATTTAATCTCCCTATTGATTGAATTTAAAAAAAAGCAACAATAAAAAACTCAATCAAACAAAAAACAAGGAGAAAAAATAAAATTCAAATGATTCTCGTTCATTAATGCCAATCAGTTGAAATATGATTCTTTGCCAGAACAATCAAAAGGTTACTCATTCTGGGAAACACAATTCATTTGATGGGGAAGTTGATGGCCAATAACAATAACAACCTGATAGTTATCGAATCAAAGACAATGAAGTTTATTTACGGTGTTTTGCTCGTCTTTTCGTGCAGCTTTGCTCTCACCTTTAGTTCCGATGATGGTCGATTACCCTCGAAGGTACCTGTTTATCATCCACCTTATGATCCCATTGATATGGAACAGTTTAGACCCAGAGTAAAGGGATCTGAGGTTGCGAGACGGATCCAACTAACCTTCCAAGAAGCACTGAAAATGGTTAGACGACAAAAGCTGCAAAGTTGCGTTGCTCTCATTATTTGTACACTTGCCTGTGATCCTCATGCTTATGGGCCAGACGGAGATGAAACTTACTCCAAGTTGATTCATTTTAATCATTTAAGCAATTCAACTCAAATTCCTGAAACCAATTCCAAGGATATTGCCATGTTTAAAGACGCCGAACTCAAAGGAATAGCTCATGCTAAACATTGTGACCTGTGTAAATCAGATTATCCTCGATGCCGTCGAGAAGTTGTAGATCTGCTTCAGATGTTCTTGAATTTTGAAATTGAAGACTAAAAATTGACTCTCGTTAACCGTCATTCCCAATAAGCAGATACCTTCAATTTACAATGAAACATTTCACAGTTCTCAGTCATTCGCTAAATTCAATGTTAAATAGTTTAACTATTCAAGCTCATTCAACTGGACAATTGACTGGTAATTAATCCATATTGCCTGATATTTTAACTTATCAATCGATTTAGATTCATTTTTCACTCTATTCTTGGACTACTTTAAAACCAAGGATAACGCATTGAATGGTGAATTATTTTGGGTTAACTTGGAATAATATATTGATGCAACCTTTTTTGATTATTGTGTTTATTAAACATGTATTAATTATGGTATAATCATTTTACAATAACAAGCTGAGCCCCCGATCATGGCTGATCGTAAATTTCTTTTCACTGAATACAATAAATTCAATCCACATTTAAAGACTCGAACTGTTGATGAAAAATCATTGTCAAAGAGAAAAACTAAAGAATTTTCGTTGATTTTGAGAGTTGTACAGTTACACAGTTACAGAGCACCAGATATTTAACTTACTCTTTGCTCGAAAGACAGTTTTACATAAACTCCTAGCCCAACAATAAACCATCAATCTGAATGAAAAAAAGTTTTTCCCCCAAAGTCAATAGTAAAAGATACGGATTCTGCATTTTTTCCCCTACCCTGTTTAAACGCTGATTTCTCAGTAACCTGAATTCCGAGAAAGCTCTGACTATTTTTCGTAATTGAAGTTCAATCAGGGCTTTCATTCGATGTGAAAATTTTCTTTAGAATCCTTTTAGTTTGGTCACAATCTTCCCGCAAAAATTTCATAGTTTGACTTTATATATTGTATAGATAAAACTGTTTGTCAAAAGCCAGACAGTTAATTTCTTGATTGATTGATTGATTGATTTATTGATGATACGTGAATTTGATTTACAACATGTACATCTATTAACTTTATGTTAACTTCATCATAATATCATTTGGATGATTCAAATTTGATTGTAAAATTAAGGAAAAGGTTGATAAATTAACTCGGTTGATTCAGTTTTTTAGTTTTAACAACTTGTTGTAAGTATAACTTAGGTACATGACGTAAATCTACTTGATGCTAAATGCTAAATGCTAAATCAGATTAATCAAGATTAGTGCTTTATAGAGACCTGGAAATTGATCAAGTCATTTGTAAATCAGTGATTCTCTATTAATTGATAACAATTCTTATAATTTATTTACTAGAAAATGTTCATCTTCTCAGTGAATGTAAGATATCATTATGTAATTAATTGAAAGGGTAAATAGCACAATAAGCATATCTTTTTTACAAAAATAAATTGAGATGCCATGTATTTCGCGATTAACTGATACTGAGCATTAATTGCCTTTTATCTAAACTATTTTGGACTTTGAACAAACACTTGATTGCACACGAAACTAACTTTTTCGCACAGCAATCTCTTAACTTATGGCCATTATAAAAACTGTCCAAACGATTCCCGATTGTATACATTGATTTTTGTTGTGACCTTTTAGTTGATCAAAGAATAAGATTTACTGTTCAATCCTGTTTAACAATCATGCCTTACTGCTTTCAACTGGTTGATGTTAAAGTATGAGCTTCACAAATCAAGTCTGACTTGTTTCCATTAATTTATATTTTTCATTTTGCTTTCTAATTACAACAGAAATCAAACAATGGCCAAGAATCGACTGATTGCTGCCCTGCTTCTGCAAGCAAATGCTTGATAATCAAACCCTGTGGACAGACCACGTAAGTTTTGACATTATTGTACATTTGTTTAATGATTGACATTTTCATTGTTATCGTGCTCTACATGGTAATTGATAAGATAGATGTAATCGTGAGTAAATTCAATTAGAGAGACTCTTTGATTGTTAATGATCAATTTATTCGCATTTTGTTGTGATCAGCAGTAAGAAACAAGTTTCAGTTGATAGATGATTCTTGTTGCTTTAATCTTGAAGAGATGAGTTTATTGGAATATTTAGCTCGAGTAGTTTAGAAGATCTAAAATAATTTTGTTAGCTACATTTTTTTCTATGGATGAAATTAAATTGTATCAATTACATATTAGTTGATTAGAGCAAGTCATTTGGATTTATTAATATCATGAGTTTATTATCATCTGGATTTCCTGATTTACATCATTCATAACTTGAATCATTACCAATAGCCAATAATATCCTTGTACTGCCTTTTAAGATTGTATTATAATAGTGTATTTAGTATTGTATTGCAAAAATAGCTTCGATAAATTTTTCAGTGTTCAAATATTTTTGCTTAATAATGAAAAGACCAAGGAAAGCTATAATTAATTAGCTAATATCTATTTTGATTGTCTATCACAATGGCCATCTTTTAGTAAGGTTGATAAATCCGAAAAGTCTGGAGTTGGTAACTGTTGTGAACCAGGCAATTGCGATTCAGGTGACTGTGTTTGCATCAAGCTGAGTGCTTTGACTGAGTAAGTAAATTAACAAGAGTGCTGGTTGAATTGTTTAGAGACAATCCGTTGAAATAATCTCTCTGTTTGTGAATTACTTTTTTTTAAACAGATCAACTTGTGTTATGCTAAAACCAGGAGACGCAGATCAAAAGATCTGCGTGTGCGTCTGCTAGCCTAAACGGGACTGAATTCGTTATATTGGGAATCGGACCTTCGGATATTTACATGTAGCTTTTAGTATAAAAAATCAAATTGAATAAAAATGATAAAATTTGATTTTATTGCATATTGAATTAAATTGTCTCTTCTATTTTCTTTCTATTCACATTTGAAATGACAAGTTCTTAGGGTGAACTAGTTTGACTGAAACTTGCCATCGTGAATACATAAAACAGCTTTTCTTGAGCATATTTTTTCCAAAACATAAACAAGAAATTAAAATAAACTTGTCTCAAAGCTTAGAATAGACAGGTGCCATTGATGGATTGGAAATGGGACTAAGATGACCACAAGTAAGTTTACAATTGCATAAACAAGTACAAACTGGACCTCTCAACTCAATTCTATTTAAATTCACAACTTGAGATCTCATTTGGGCCAATGTTTGTGGATAATCTGGAACAGGTTTAAGACCAATAATGTCTGGCTTTGTAGGATAAGCATCATCTCCTGGTAGAAGTGATATTGCGCCATCGGAATAGGTTGAAATGACAGGCATCCATCGTTCAATTCCAAGAATTTCTCTCTGTTTAGCAAATCTTTCAACTTCATCAAATTTATTCAAATTTTTCAACCGGGACAGCTCATAAAATTGCGGTGGAGCAAGAAAAACACCTTCATTCGTGTGTTCATCAATTATATCAGAAGGTGTACACCACTGGAAAAGAAAGAGAAAACTGATTAGAATATTTGAAAATTTCTTTTTGAATTTACCAACAATAATTTAACAAAAAAAACTGTCAACTTATTGAAGCAATTAAACTCCTACATTAAAAATAGCCAGATTTAATGTAATTTTTAAATTGCAAAGATTTAGCATAAATCACCTTCAAATTGGTAACTTCGGTATTATCAAGGACAACTTTGGGTTGTTTGTCCAAGCAACAAAGGTAAAACATGGTGTCAAATCTCTTATGTCCAACTGAAATAGGAGTAAGCCAATCCCACCATTCATAGAGAGACCAAATATTGGGCACTTGGTTGAGTTGATTACACAGATCGAGAAAGGCCGAACCATTTTCTCTCACTTTTTGTCGCCATTTAACCAAATCTTCATTGTTCAGAGTGTTACCAATCTCATTTTCCTGTTTATTACCGCCATTTGGACTGATCAATAATGCTACACCTGAAAATACAAGAATCAAAATATTAATTTGTTAGAAATAATGAAAAAATTGAAAGGAAATGCTATAACTATACACTGATTGCTAGACAAATAGAGGGAAATATCAAGTTAAAACAATTTTTGTAAAACATTTTTGAATGAAATCATGTAGCATGGTTACTTACTTGTAACACTTAGCTGAATTCATTTTGTTATGAGTTAATGATGAAGGGGAATTATTAGCTACTATTTCAAGATGGTAGTGAGTAGTACAGGAGTGAGTGAATAAAGTGAGGGGATAGAAATACAGGTTGATAAATGAAGGTGTTAGTTAATATTAGGCAAAAATACTTTAGCAAGGTTGATTGAGCTAAAAGCTCCCTCAATTAAGTGGAAGATGGTAGTGCAAGTTAAATTTAGACTGATCAACAATGAAGTGAAGTGTCGACATTTTTCCTTATTTTGGACTTTAAAATACTTGGAAAATGAAAATATTGAGGAACAATGGACAAAAACAAATCTTGTGTTACATGTTTTATATGGTTATATACCTGTTTCTTCAAACGTTTCACGAATAGCGGCAATTCTTAAAGCAATATCTGGAATGAGAAGATTTCCAATATGAGTTTCATTATCAACATCTAGTAAAATGTTAGGCTTCTGAATCATAGACGGGCGAGGTCCGGAAACTCGAGATTCAATTTCACGTGTAAGATTTTCTCGCTTGAATCCTAATCTTTCGAAAAGATTCCACCATTTCGATGAATAATCTGATAGCTCAACATGACCACCAGGAAAGACATAGGCTGAGGCCATAAAAGAGGAAAGATTGCTTCGTTTAACCATGAGTATCCTGTAATCAGTAGATGTTTGTTTCTTTTGGGACTTTAATTTTTCATCATTGGGCAAGACACGACTGGATACAACCAAATTTTGACCCAAATCATGGCCAATCTTTTGAGTTAATGAAGCTCTGGCAACTATGATAAGAGTTGATGCTTCTTTCCATGGAGTAGTTGACATTTGAAGCTGTTTAAGAAAATCACAGATGCTTGTTAATCAAATAGAGATGAATGAATTTTTGAGCCAAAATTAGGTAAATAGGACAAAAGAAATGATGATGACGAATAAAACTGATTCAAAAAGGTAAAAGACAAGATGAATCAAAATGAAAGATTGATAGAAGTGGTAACAATGAATTTATAGTCCATTTAAGACTGAGTTAATTAACATTAAAAAAAATAATGAATAAGAATTATAATAAAAACGATGATCTGAAAATCACAAGGTAATGATAATTTGATGTACAAGTTATTAACATATTCAGACGTACTACCAAAATAAAATGAACTTAACCAGATTACAGGTTGAAAGTTGGAAGCAGTTGAGAGTAGGTCAACCAAACGAATCAACAAAACTTGTCAAACAGTTATTTATTATTGTTGTTAACAGTACCGATACTTTAGTTTAAATTAAACAAGGTAATTTAATAAGGAATTAGCTTGACTTTAAAATTTACTAGACGTTTGAATTTTTTCATAAAATGTTGATGTAACAATCAAAGATTAAATAAATGTAAACAATTGTAGTCAGCAATTTGCTGACTTTAAACTCTGCGCTTTATTCATTGTTATTTTTCAGAGCCATCTTTGAGTAAAGTTACAAACTAATTTTGTTGGCATGTGGTAAATCTCGTTTTTTAAACTCAACATCAACTCATTTGTTTTGTTATTTTTTGTTAAGTTATTAATTGTAAATGATAAATTAATTATCGAACAAAAATGGGACGGCGAACTAACAATCAATTACCAACAAATTTACCACAATTACAGAATTTGATTAAAAGAGATCCAGCTTCTTATAAAGAAGAGGTTTGTTTACCCTTTTACACTACTTTTTACTTTTTGTTTATACCCATTTTTTAATTTTATGTATTATTTTTTTCAGTTTTTTCAACAATTTAATCATTTCAAGGCCCTTCTTCAAGTTTTCCAGTTCAATCCAGCCTTATACGAGAAAAATTTTGTTGATTTGGTTTTGTTTATAGCTCAAGTTAGCCATTGCTATCTTGATAGCTTGAAAGATTTTCCAAATGATTTGATAAATATTTTGAAAAATTATGGTGGATTGTTACATCCAGATGTCCGAGTCGTATGTTTTTCATTGAAAAATCTTGGTTCTATCACTGCTAATTCATTTCTCTTTTACAGACTATTTGCAAGGCTTTAATTTTATTGAGAAACAAATCTTTACTTTCCCCAGCGGATCTGTTACCTCACTTTATTGACCTTTTCAGACATCAAAATAAGCAACTTCGAGATTTCATAAAAACTTATATTGTTACAGATATAAAAAATATGAATAGTAAACATCATGACATGAAACAAAATTCGGTAAGTGAGAGCATAAAAATTTGTTGCATGGCAAAACTAATTTCTAAACCTTTATTTTACTTTACAGGCTTTGCAGAATGTTTTATTTACCTCTATCAAAGATAACAACTTGACCGTAGCTAAAGCATCGTTGGACACATTGATCGAACTGTATCATAAAAATATCTGGAAGGATGCTAAGTGTGTTAATGTTATTGCAAACTGCTGTTTCTCAAAGCACGCTAAAGTAAGCATAATTCATATTTTTCTTTTCAATATACTAACCTGGTTTTCTTTTAATTTAGATGCTTGTTGCTGCTCAAAAATTTTTCCTCGGTACCGAAGAAGAAAATAAAGACGATGATTCAGATAATAGTGATTCAGATTCGGATGGCGAAACCAATGGCAATGTAATAAAAGAACTGTCTTTAGCAAATAGAGTCAACAAAAGCACCCGTAAAAGGAAAAAAATGCTCGACAAAACTAAAAGAGTGGTGAAAAAATCAAAAAAAAGTAATAAGCCTGTGTCTTTCAATTTTTCTGCTATCCATCTAATTTATGATCCTCAGGGAATGGCTGAAAAATTATTCCAATTGCTGGAGAAAGTGAATCATCGATTTGAAATCAAATTAATGACGATGAATTTAATTTCTCGACTAGTAGGCCTTCATCAACTTTTTGTGTTCAATTTTTATCCTTACCTTCAAAGGTACTTACAACCACATCAGAGAGAAGTTACTAAAATTTTACTCTACACTGCACAATCGGCCCACGAATTAGTTCCACCTGAGATAATATTTCCAGTTGTGAAAGGAATTGCCAATAATTTCATCACTGAACGTAACTCTTCTGAATGTATGTGTGTTGGATTAAATTCCATCAGAGAAATTTGCTCGCGTTGTCCTTTAGCAATGGATGAAGATCTTCTTCAAGATTTAACCGACTATAAATCTTACAAAAATAAAAACGTGTCCATGGCTGCTAAATCGCTTATCCAGTTATATCGCACTGTTAATCCGGAACTTTTGAAAAAGAAAGATCGAGGTAAACCTACGGAGGCAAGTCAAGAGTTCAGAGCTAAACTATATGGAGAGTTGGATGCTAAAGATTTTGTTCCAGGTGCAGAATGTTTAAATTCATCTGGAGAGGAAGATGATTCAGATGAAATTGATAATAAAGATGATGACTCCGATGGATGGATCGATGTGAGTGATGACGAAGGTGATATTGAAATTGAAACCAGCGAGGATGAGGAAGATAATGAAGGAGGCAAAAAGAAAAATTTGACAGCTCAAGAAGCTAAAGAAAAAGCGAGTCATATCTCAACGACTAGAATTTTAAGCGGCAAGGAAATTGAAAAGATTAAAGCTGCTCAATTAGCAAAGCAAATTAAAGCAAGTAAGCCCAAACGTTTCCAGAAAAATGATGATCGTATGCTAGCTGAAGCAGCTTTGAAAAAGAAAGAAACTGTTTCTATTAATGATATCGAAAGATTGTATAAAAAACCAAGAAACAACAAAGAGAGTCGATTGTCTACCATTATGGAGGGCAGAGAAGATCGAGAAAAGTTTGGCGGTCGAAAGCCCAAGATGAATCCTTTTGCAAGTAAAAATGAGAAAGAGAAAAGGAAGAATAAAGCCTTCGCTATGATTAAACCGAAAATTATCCAAAAGCATAAAAGATCGTTTAGAGACAAGGCAGCAGCACTCAAAAGATCCCTTGTAAAGAAGCTGAAAAACTCTAAATAAATTTACATTGAATTGAATGTATCATAAATGATATCGTATAATTTATTATCAATTTTTCAATAACAATTATGGAAAGATTCAAGAGATTGAATAACAACTTGATTAAACAAAATTGTTTCAAAAGAGGAAATATTGGAAGATGAGTTGATTGTTTGAATGATTGAGGACATAAATTGTAAGTAGGTTCAAGATGAATCAACATGAATGAAAAGGTGTGATAGTTGATCAGGAATATCAAAAGAAAAGCGATACAAAGTTTAATTTACTTATCGGTTGACAATCCTTTCAAGATAAAAGATCAACTTTCGGCTGTGGAATTTTATTCGTATGAGAATTTTGTTCCTGTTTCTCTTTCATCGAATTAAAATAGCTTCTAAATTGTAAACCATAATATTGATGGATTTCGATAAACGGTCTTCTTGAAAAGAGTTGCGCTTTACCCTGATTAGATGAATTTGTTTCCTCTAAATCGATGAGATCTTCGCGAGACGAATTGAAAGGATTAGCTCTTTGTGGACGATCATGATTGCCATCTTCATTCTCGTTGATTCTTCTCCTTTCTGCCAAGTTGATCTCATCAAGCTGTCTCTGCAATTCAGCCACGACCATTTTAAGGTATGAATAGGATGCCTGAGAAAGAGCTTTCATCCATTTCTCCTGACTTTCAGAGTTATCGGTAGCAAAAATATAGTCTCGACAATCATGACCCGAAAAAACCAATTTGAAGGCAAATAAATCTACTTCACTATCATCAATATCGATTCGAGATCCTTCCAATAAGATACAACCAAGAGGCTCTTTGTCATTCTTTTTTTCGAAGTAAAATAAACAATTACCTTTCAATATACACCATCTTTTTTGAAAATTACGATTAACCTCGCCCCTTTTATACAGATAACCCTCTATATCAGCAGGTACCATATTACTGGTGCTATATCTGATCAATGTTTTCTCGTTTATCTTCATCTTTGTTCCAATAGCTGTTGCTTAAAAATATTTTCAATGAAGGTTTAGAAATGGATTGATCAAATGGCTCACGCTAGAGATCTAAACATGTAAAATAGAGAAAATCATAGAGAATCAGTACAGAAAATTGCAGTAGGTGACTATATGTATCAAATAAGGTATACTTACATTTATGCAAAACACCAAGGATTTTGATAATCACAATGTATGGATGAGGAAGAAAAGCTGGCAAGTTTCAGTTAATTATCGGACTAAATAAATAATTAGATGAAGATAGTGATGGAAAGAGCAAATATGACCAGATGATTGTTACAAATGATTAAAAAAACTTAACAGCAGATACTTAATCGGCCAACTTTGGAAGTCAATTTTATGATATTTCAAAAAAGATGAAAGCTGAGAGGTAATCAAATCACCTCTCAGCTGTAGGCAAGCTTGACATTTCTTTCAGTACAAGGCATTCATACAGTTGATAAATTAAATGCCTGATGATGAAAATCAGATAAATTAACACAATTTAAAAATACAAGATACAAAATAAAATTTAAAAATGAACAGTATGTAAAAATGATGTGAAGATGTCAAGTTTACAAACTAGTCTTCTAGCTAGCAAGTGCAATCTAATATTTAGCCAGCCAGCTGTACCTGTGAATGGCTTAAGTCAAAAGACTGAATGAATAATTACTTCAAAGCTTGAAGTTCAAGATTCGAACTCAGAACTTAAATTATCCTAACAGCTTATCTGCTTTCGATTGGATTTTTAACATTCGAATTTCAGAATTTAATCGAAACCCTTGATATAAAGCAAATACTAAAGCTAGCCGAAAGATAATCGAATGAATGGCTGAGAGATAAAATCACAGCTTGCTTTAATCTAATTCATTTTATTTGCCTATTCGTTTTGCTGCCGTTAATTGTATTCAATTTGAAAAGTGAAACAAATTAATAAGGATATTTAAAGACTTAAATGCTTCAGTTTTATATTCTGATAATCAAAGAAGCATAACGGTTTCAAGATCTGTATGTAAAAGCGGATCGACTTAGTTGACTAATCCTATTGATTTGTTTTAATTATCTAAAATTACCGCTCCTTTGATGTTGAACTTTATTTTTCTTCATCAGTTTGGATGATAATGAGGGAAAGATTTGAACAGACGAATACCGAATGAATGTATTAACGTTCAACCATAAATCTTTAACTGGGCCACTTGGCCATTGGAATATAATTATTGAAATTTATTTCCATGGAATAGGAACAATGAAATCATTGTATCGGTATTATAAAATTGGAAATTGTAAAATTCGTTACATTTTATATTTTTAAATTACATTAACATTATTAAAAATATATTAATAATTGCAGTTGACTAGCATCAACTTTTTGTTAATATACAATGTATACCAAATTAATCAAACAAATTTGTATCAAATATCACAATATTATGTGATAAAAATCGGCTTCAAGTGTCCGTAAGTTTTATAATTAGAGATATAAGTGAAAGAGTTTTCATGACTTCTAATGCGATTAATTGTTACCCCTGAATTCATTAATTCACTTTCATTTTGATCATTTATCAATTCTAGATCAGTTTCAGGGTCATCAGGGTAGAGGATATCACCAGGCAAGTAAACCTCTCGACCTTTAGGGTGCTTTATTAAGACTGGAAGCCACTTTTCAACACTTTGTTTCTCACGATCTACGGAAAATTTTTGCAAATCAGTTAAATTGTCAAAATTAGCGATTCGACCTAGTTCGAAGACCTGAGGTGGAGCAAGAATGATCTTTTTCTCAGCAAATTCTTGCAAAATTTCTTTAGGAGTAGCCCACTGAAAAGAAAGATTATATTGACATTAGATTGTTGCATTGAGAATTTTGTGATTTCTCAGTTTGTCACTTACTTTGAAATTGGTTACCTCGGTGTTATCAAGGATAACTTTAGATTGATAATCTGCAAAATGAATGTAAAACATGGTATCGAATCGTTTCGGACCTTCTAGTTTAGGAGTTGCCCAGTTCCACCACTCGTAAAGAGACCAAATGTTGGGTATCTTTTTAAAACGGTGACACATTTCAATGAACGCTTCACCATTCTGCCTTATTCTGGACCTCCAGTCCAGCAATTCCTCATTAAAATTATCATCAAGTAATTTTTTGGGACTCTCTTCAGGTTTGGATTGAGGGTCAACCAGGATAAGTAAACCTAAAATTGCGAAAAGAATGGAACCACTAGTAAAACAATTTAATCGTCAAAGATTAATACTAAGAGTTAATTAACTAGATTAGCTGACCAGTTTCTTCGAAAGCTTCTCTGATAGCAGTGATTCTTAACGCAATATCTGGAATAAGTCCATCATTATGATTACTAGAAATAGGATGGGTAATCATCGGCGGACGTGGTGCACATACTCTTGAACTCATGGTCTTGATTAGGTTATCCTTTTGGTATCCTAATTTATCAAACAATGACCACCATTTAGAAGAGTAATCCGAAGGATCAACTACACCTCCTGGAAACACATAGGTTGAAGCCATAAATGATGATCGGTTACTTCTTTTTGCCATGAGAACGCCATAATCAGCATGAATCTTGGTTGAACGGTCATCACCATAGGTTTTTTTATCAACTGCTGAAGACGTATTCTTTAACACAGGTCCAATCGAAGACTTAAGGGATGTATTAGCCGATCTAGCAGCTACTATCAGCGTTGCAGCTTCTCTCCAGGCCATTTGAAATTCTGATTGTTAAAACTGCTGATGAAAACAAGTACAAAAACAAGTGTAAAAACTAAAAATCACGTGATAAACATATGAGCGATTGTTTGCAGTTGAAGCTCTCAGCTCTTTGCTTTGAAGTAACTACTGTTTTAATTAAGAGTTTTTTTGTTTCGCTGATAAAAAATAGCAAATAAAAATGTGATCGTACAATAATAACATTTCAAGTTGATATTTTCAACTCAACATCATGATCAATTAAAATCTTTTTTATTAAGCAATGCAATATTAGCTAAATTCAACTTAAAACTTGAACCTTTATTGAAATGAAAGTGAAATTGGACGAAAAACTATTCCAACAAACAACTTATCGATTACAATTTATTAAGGTGATTACTTTTAGCAATCTGAATAAGTATTAGAGATTAGCTCGGAATCTCAAAAGTGACTCGACTTATCACGACACATGGCCATCCATAACATTTAAAGTTCACTTTCATATCGACCATAATTAAGAAACCAATAACTTAATAAGTCAATTAACAAATAAAAGATATAAAAGCGTTATAAAAGACAGTACATAATATTGGGCAAAAAATGGGCCACCCTTGCGGGTGAAACCCACCAACTTGCGTTGGTTTTCAACCTGAGTTGAAGGTTTTACTTGGTTTAGAAACTAGTGTTTTTAAATTCAAGTTTTGTTTTTGTTTTGTTTTGTGGTATGTTTTGTTTTAGTTCAGTTTGTTTTGCACCCTGACCGGGTTCGATCCGCAGACTTAGAGGTCGTCACCCCTAGCCTTTGCTTATCTTACCACTGGTCAGGGTAAAAGTATTTCTTGTTATTTTCATTATGTTCAAAACATATGTGCAAATGAAAGGATTTGATTATTAATCAAGAAACCAATTACTTAGTCAATTTACAAATCGCATTAAAAAAGATAGTACAATATTGGAACCAAATTGGGCAAAAAATGGGCCACCCTTGCGGGAGAAACCCACCAACTTGCGTTGGTTTTCAACCTGAGTTGAAGAGTTTACTTGGTTTAATAACTAATTTTTTAGCTAACTAACTAACTAGTTTTTAAATTCAAGATTTGATTTTTGTTTTGTGATTCGATTTTTTCACCCTGACCGGGCTCGATCTGCAGACTTTGGAATCGTCACCCCGAAGCCTTTGCTTATCTTACCACTGGCCAGGGCATAAATATTGCTTGTTATTTTCATTATCTTCAAAACATATGTTTAAATGAAATAGGTTTCTTAATCATAGACGGGTGAGGTCATCCTATTGCTCAACGATCTAACTGGACAGTTGACTGGTAATTAGTCCATATTTTCTGATATTTTAACTTATCACTCGATTTAGATTCATTTTTCACTTGATTCTTGGCATACTTTAAAATCAAGGATAACGCATTGAATGGTGAATTATTTTGGGTTAACTTGGAATAATATATCGATAAATTAGAATTACAGATAAATATCCTTTTTCGAGACGTTTTAATCGATTGGTAAATTAGAAAGAATACGGCCAATTATGAAAAGAATTAGAATGAGCCCAAAATTACGTATCGAAGAGCGATTCACTTTTATTAAGAAACTACAACTTGCAAATTAATCCTTAATATCACCTAATTAGCAGCTACATAGATAATTTAATGCATCATTTCCAATTAAGATTCTCTCGCTGGCTTTATCCTCATCTGTAAAAAAGATGAACAAAATCAGTAAAATATTGAATGATAATAACAAAAAATGACAAACCAGAGATCCTTCAAGAAAATGGTCATTTGGATAATTGGCAGCAGAAACAAAAGATTGTTTATCACTGAAAGTGATAAAACCATATTTTTCAGATAATCCAGTTTCCTTATTCTGAGCACATTTAAAAATCAAAAGGAAATAAATGAATAAATTGAAATCTAGTGTATAAACAATAAAATGTAATAACTTACAAATTTAATTGATACTTCATGTAAAGGACCAAAGCGAGAGAAATATTCACGAAGCTGGGCTACAAGAGAAACATTAGATTATTATAAATCTTATTACAAATATCTATCAATTTTTACCTCTGCCAACGCTCCATGAAATATTTGTCACCATACATCTGATCGGTGGCATAATGAATATTTAATCAGCGGTTGATACAGTTATTAGAGTAGATGTTAATTCAATTTTAATAGGATCTAACAGTTTTAACGATGTTTGAAAACCGTAGTAACATGTGATTCAAAAAAACATTCTGTTAGTTGATTCAGTAATAGATGGAGCTGATGCCGCTAAAAATTCTGTGATCATCAAAGTGTAATGATTCAAAATAATTAAATTGTTACATTTTTATTTACAATATCTATTTTAATGATTTTAAATTACAATCTTTCAAAATTTCAGGTTATACCGATGTCAACATTCAGCAATATAAGATGGCAACTTATTTAAAAATGTTAATAATCGCCCAAGACAAAAAAATATGAAGCTTTGCAGTCAGATCATTGACATTTCGATGAATTAGATAGTGATTAAAGAAATTAATTATTATATTATTAATATATGCATAGATAAAGCAATTTGACTAGAAAAAGTTTGTTGACATTCAAGTAAAAGATGGTAACATGATTTGTTTAGTAAAAAAGTTATTAAAAAAATGAAAATGCAGTTGGTCTGATTTGATTAATCTCGTATTTAAACTCATAAGTTGCCAATATGATGAAATTTTTTCAATTTCTCGGGAAGATTGTCTTTAAATAGAACTGGATCTGCTCTAAATTCAATAGTTTCACAAGGCATTGCACCGTATATTGCTGTGAACTCATTGATACATTTTGAACGAGCGTTTAAATGATGGAGTACATCTTTAGATAACATTCCTCCATTAACACATTCAGGGCAACGAAATTTTTTCCTTGGCGCGACTTTAATTGGTGCTTTCCCAGTCACATTAGAAACAAGAAAATTCATAGCGATGTCCTCACAATTCATTTGATTATCTACTTGTTCTTTGATCTTTTTTGGCATCTCAAATGTATACAAATAATTGTAATACTATAGAAAAATTAAATAGAAGAAAATAAGAACAACATTAAAATACAAATACAAAGGAAGTTAACTTTGAAATTAACTCACCTTATGATAAAAGGCTGCTCCGGTAAGAACCATAGAAATATCATTGGTCCATTCAGATTCATACCGATATTGCTTGGTGAAATTATTCCATCGATGAACTCGAGAAGGGAAACCTACAATTCGATCAGCAAATTCTCTCCAAACCTGAAAACCAAATTCAAGTTCATCTGGTGTTAACATTATGATGTCGTCGTCAATAGCGAGAATAGCTTCAGTCTCTATATCTTTGTAGGGATAGAAACGATTGCTGAGTTTATTCTGTTTGGTTTTGATGATCTTGAGTGGAACACTAATTTTAGGCCATTCACTAGGTTGAGGAGGTTCTTTTTCTTGATTATTCCATATAACTAAAACCTTAACACAGCTTTGAGCTTGAACCACTCGATGCATAACTTGAAATAAACTTTCAACTCTGTCATAGGTTAGAATGACAGCTGTGAAACCTTGATAGGGTCTGGATGACAATTTAGGATTGATTAAGGACAATGGTTTCAGATGAGAGGCAATTTTTGGTCGATTCCATTCAAATCTTGAAATGACTGATTGAGGAAATAGTCTCTCATTGATCACGGATAATGTTGAAGATACAATAGACTTTATGCTACTGAAATATCTCCTCCAAATGTACAGTCCTTGTTCTCTCATTTCGAGAATACGATTAATAGATATGTTTCCTAAAATATCGATTACACGATCCATAGCATTCTCAGAAATCTGCACTGATATACTTCGCCAGTCAATTTTATCTTGAAAAGGTAGTACATAGTTGTCCATCAGGATTACTGGAATACATCCCATCATCAAAGCATCACTGAGTAAAGGCGATCCTAAAAATGCAGTTTTCATGATCAAACAAAAATCAGATTGAGTTAAAACTTCAGGATAATGAAGCTTTAAGTTTCTTTGACTATTACATCTCCATGTAGAAAAATTGACCAGAGAGTCACACCGAGATTCCAATACAATCACTTTATCAGAAATATCACTATCCATTTGAGAAAACATTTTCTTGGCAATAGGGTTTATGAGATCGTTTTGAGGTGACATGACAAGCCAATGTCTTTGTTCCACCACTAACTTGTCTTCGTCTTCTTTTGAGCGAATAATATATTGGTTAGATAAAGGACTGAACACAGGAACTGATACATCGAATTGAGGACGGAATGACCAACTATCGAAACCACCCGAGGTAAGCATAGCTCTTCCAATTGCAACATCTAACCGTCTGTTATAATCAGGAAATGATCCTGGAAGGAAATTAAAGATGAGATGATTTTTACCATCACCATTCCAATGTGATAACGATGCAAAAACCTTTGAAGTCTCATCTAATCGCAAATTACTCTGCTTTAAAGTGTCGATAGTAGGAATAAAAATGCAAGCTAAGTTTGGATCATTAACAAAATATGGACTATCAAAAACAGCTTCAGTCAGCTGATAGAACTCTTCAGTAAAATTGCCAGATATGTAGACTCCTTCACTATCTTGGTATTTTTTAACTGGGTAAAGGTATGCCTTTAAAATACCATCATCAGGATTGCAAAGATAGACGTCGAAGCAATTATAATGGTTACAATCTTTTATCGTCTCGATGCTTTTGGATTGAGTATTGCTAATGACAATTGTTTCTGCGTCTTCCGGATCAGTCAATTTGAATGGTTCATAAACAGGTCCAGCGGTCAAGCCTATGTTAACATCCCGACCAGTGAAAAGATTCACGAACAGGAAATAAATTACTTCCAATATGGCAATAGCAACCAAAAGGTAAAGTGAAAACTTGACAATTAATCGAGCTCGCTTCCTTAGACAAGAAGGCAGAAACAAAATGTGTCTCATTTTTCTGGATTAACCATACACCTTTCGTTTGGCATCATCGGCAGATCACAGATGATTTACAACCCACAAAATGAAACAATTCACATCAAAATAATTCCAATTAACCATGAAGACAATCCATTAACTTTAAGAAAATTCAACCAGTTTTCAAATCAGCAACAAAAAATATAAATGTCAATAAAAGTGTAAACATTCAGTAAAGGCGCCAACTTTGACTGAAACCAAATTCAAATGCAAAGTCAGTAAAATCATAAATTGTGCTGTGACGTAATTATTGGCAATATTTTTAATGATTTACCCAAACACGATTAAAAAGATATTTTCCCACAGATTGGTGCTGTTAATAATGTTTTAATTGTTTCCATGTTTGCATTTTTAATATAGGCGAAATGCATTGATAACTCCTCTCTTAAAATGATCTATAACAGTAACCTAATGAATTTTTAACAACTCTTCTTACAAACCCTTTTAATATTTTTCATCAATTTCAATCACGAAAAACATCTGTTTTAATTGGTGCCTTTGATTTATTCTACTTTATTGTGCAGATTTGAGTCTCTATATCTTTTATTACAATAAAGTCTTCTCCTACAGTGTACATTTTCACCATCTATTCTTGTTATTAGTTACACTGAAGTTCAAATGTTTGAGACCAGTATACTTTTTGATGCTGTGATAAAATTACTGTGTAAATCGACTGTTTTTCGGTGATTGATGTTAGTGCTTTTTGTTACAAAAAAACTCTTGAACCTGATATGCTTTCGGTTATGTGTAATTTCAATACCAAACTCCGAAAACAGAGACTAATCAGCTCAAAAGTTTGGAACCAATGATTTTTGAAGACAATCTGTTTGAATATCATCATTAAATTTTCAACATAAGATGGTGATTCGATGAAAAAGTGTCTGCTAAAAAATTATTAAAAAACAATAATCGGAACTCAAGTTATTGAACTTTTATTTCAGCATTTGTTTTCTATGGAGGAACAGAATTCGAAATAAATACCGTAAAATCGTGAAATTCATCAACAAGTAAGTTTACAAGGTATATATCATAGCTGAAAGTTTAATTTAATGTGCTAATTTTTTAATAGTTGCAATCGTTTTTCTAAATTTCTTTGATTTCTTTATTTAAACAATGGAAAGAATGGGTAGATTCTGGGTAAAATAGATCCAATGAGATTTTCAATAAGAAAAAAAGGCTCCAGAACTATCAATTCTACAAGAATGTAGAAAAATAATAGAAGCGCTTATATTTTTAATCGTTTGCAGTTATGATTACAATTGAGCTTTTAAAATGATTCTACGGAATATTATTCTTCATTGTTTCTAGAATAACTCCAACTTTCCTTCCATGTTAATTCAAAAGGTCTTCCAGTCCGAGCTGATTCCTTACACGCTTGAGCTATTTTAGTTGCCGCCATGACTTCCATTGGTTTTACTTCAACTTCTTTCAAGCCTGTTGAAATTATAAAAATCTGTTATTCAACGAAAAGCATTTCATTTAAATTAACTTTGTAATTTACCTTTTATACAATCAACAAAATGTTCCAGCTCATTGGTATAAGATTCCGCAAATCGTGAAATGTGATTATAATGGTATGGAACAGTAGTTGATCCAGACTCAGAGTCCAAAGTAACGTATGTGGGTCTAACTGAAGGTCCAGTCAACATTCCTAAAGAGCCAAAAACCTCTAATCTCTCATCATAACCATATGCTGAGGATCTAGTCACATCAATGGTGCCCATTGCTCCAGAAGGAAACTTCAGAACAATAACAACAGTATCATAATCACCCATCGCTCCAATCTCTTCATCAAAAGCTGATCCAGAAGCAATAACGGTAACAGGATATTCACCAATAACCCAGCACACCAAGTCAATATCGTGAATGGCTGAGTCCAAGAATATTCCAGCCGAGCCTTTCAGATAAGAAGCAGGATGACCGGGGTGATCACGATGAGTAGTCTTTATAATGTGTACTTTTCCAATTTCACCCTTTTTCACACGTTTCCTAATCGACCTGAAAGAAGGGTCAAATCGACGGTTCATAGCAGTCAGAAAGGGTAAATTTCTTTGGATGGCTAGTTTAAAAATTTTATCCACTGATTCTAGTTTGTCAGCCAATGGTTTCTCACACATAACTGCTTTGCCAGAGTTGATTGATTTGAGTACAAGATATTCATGAGATGAAGTCGGAGTACCAATAATAACAGCATCTACATCAGGGTCACTGAAGACTTCATCTTGACTATTTGGATGAATCATCTTAACATCTTTCAAATTATACATGTATTCAAAGTAATTGGCACGTTCTACACAAGGTTCAACACAGTAAACCAATTGAAGTCTTGGATTCCTAAGGATTCTTTCAATCCAAACAGTTCCAATACGTCCTAAGCCAAATAGAGTGACACGGATTTTACTTTGATCATATCTTAACAGTCCATCTTTGCCAACTAATTTAACGGCCTTTTCTATTTTATCCGATTCATGAACGAAACCATTCCTTAAAACCTTCCATCCAGTCGCATCTCTTTCATACCTAAACATTGTCAAAGCAAAAGAGACAAAAGTTATAAGTAAATAGAATGATATTTTCGTAAGGAAAATAGATGTTCACTGGAAAGTTTGGGTGAAAATTAATGGAAGTATACAATAACGTAATGCATAGTTTAACAGTACATGTTAATGAAAATAGTCTTTGGATATTGAAATACTGAATATTTAACGAAATCAAAACAAACAAACCAAAACAACCAAAAGATTACAATTTCCAATGTTGAATCAACGCTTGAGTAACTATCAGACTGGAGTAGAAAACTTTTAGCTACAACAAAAAAAACAAAAGCATAACAAGTTGAATTGAAAATATTTATGTAACACGATCAAAATCAACGTTATGGTCGACTATTGTGATGGTCATTAAGCAAAATTATCTAGTCAAATTACTGATAATTTGATAAAACCATCTGGAGCGTAAAGTTGCCTACACAGTATCGGAACCAGGATTTTTCATTGTCAACAATCAGAAATACATATCAGCAAGAATTTTCATAAGACTAATCTACTAGATTAGTTCAAAGAACAAGAAATGCAAACACAAAATAAACCAAAATAAAGACGAAAAGGTAATACGAGTAAAAATTGATACAAACACAATTTTCAATGTCCATTAACTTACTTTTGGTAAAGATTGTCGTGTTCTAATCCGGTTTTTGGCATTTTTCCGATGCACTTAAATTATTTCCAGTATCCAAGTTGATCCACAAATAATAATAATAATTTCCAAATGAATATCAATCAACTAATATACAGTAAATAAAGCATAATTGAAGGATCAAACTGTTCTTTTATAGCAAAATCTTTCAATCAAAACGACTCGTCTTTTTGCTCTTGCTCGTTGCTCCCTCTTTTTTCAGCTTATTCAGCCATTATCGCACAATAAAAAATTAATGTTTTAATACTTTGTATTTGTAATATATCAAAGCCTATAATTACAATTACCATCATCAGTTTAACCTAACCATAATTGTTACATTGATTATCAGTGATCCATGGAACAACATAAGCTACTCTCAACCCTGACCTCGAGATTGAATATTTTTTTGACAGATAACATTGACTACCATTACTGAACTGAGTCGCTGGTTTGAGTTGTCAATTACCAATAAATTGTTCCTCGTCAAGCTAATTGCGTCAAATTTAATCAAAAAGGTTGTTTAATTGTCTTCATTTCATTGGGATTTCTCGACTTACTTGTTAGCTGATGACTAAAACACATTACAGTTTTTGTATTACTTTTAGCTGACTGTTCTGATTTTAACAGAATTAAAAATTATCAAAGATCATTCAGGATTTTCAAGGTTTTAAATAATGTCTCGACTGAGGCTATTGAATGGACTTTATTTAATGAGGCTAATCAGTTAATTAGGCATAACTGTAACGATTTAAATCACAGTCTCAAGCAAAGATTTTGAAAGTTCCCAGATGATCAATGAACGAAATCCATTATTACCATTTGATAATTGAAACTCTTGTGCGCTTTGAAAGACTCGGACTGTTTCAACTCGTATCAAATGCAATTGATTAAGTTATCATAACTTCAGTGGTTACCAAGCTTGCTAATGATTAATCTCACGCAATCCCAAATCATTTGATAAGCTTTGATCAAAATGTCCCAAATCTAGGAATCTAAGAGACTTGATAATCCCAATTGTTGTGTAAGATATAATATAAAATTAAAAATCATCGACTGCATTCATTCAAGTCATGTAACATTGGAAATGCATTTCATTAATTACAAATTGACCATTCAGTAGACCAGTATAATTTACATATTTAAATTAAAGATCAATCTAATTTACATTTTGATTGAAAAGCCAGTCTCTATACCTTTCAACAAAATACTAGGCATAAGTGAAATTAGGCAAATAAAAACAAAAAAAGTGTTAATAGAGCTGTGAAAAGAAGCTGCTATTCAATTTTAATTACCATAAATTTAATCAAAAATAATTAACATTGTTGGTGAAACAAAGACTATGTATTAAAGTCGGGACTTGATGATAACAATCATGTCTTTTATAAGCCTATCAGCCATGGAGTGATGGTACAACAGTGATTATTTTGAGCAGTATCAATAACTCTTGTCTCAATCCTACCATTACTAGAAGCTTATCATGAATGGAGCATAAACTCTGTACCATTATCATCATGTAATTATCTTTGGGATAATTATTGATGGATTTGAATATTAATTATTTACAACAAGGTCACTGTCAAGGTTTAGTGTTACCTTTGCAATAACAATCAACCCATAATACTGACCCAATAATGGTTGGTTGAATTTAGTAGACGATTGGTTTGCCTATTAATAATTGGATTTGGGATGATCAGTTAAGGCAGTTAAAGGACATAGAATCAAATGGCATTCATTATTTAATCATTTCCATATCTTTGAGATATCTTGTAAACATGGTAATGGTCACTGAAAGGATACAGGGTTAAATAATGGCTATTGCTAGGTAATAATCTTCAATAATTATCCTTTATAAGATGGTAATGGTCGAGCATCTAATTCAGCTTCTTCTGTTGATAGGCACTCGATTGTTTTTGATTGTAACTTTGAATTACATTCTTGAATACATCCGAATCAGTTAAGTGTTTACTGATTAAGACTCATCTTTAGATACTCGGTACGATGTTATCACTTCAATAATCGATTGGAATCTTATTTTTTGAAAATATGATAATTTTACTATTACCGGTTAAAATACAAATGGTGATGGTCAATAGTATAAAATGTATTTAAAAGGAGAGATAAATTTAACGATATAATTTACAAAAATTGGTAACATAAATAATTTCACACATTCAGGTTGTATGAATCAATTTCTGGTTACGTCTACATTTCAATAAAACTGCTGCATCTGACATGTAGCTTCCAACCAGAAGATCGGGACAGTTATCGTTGTCCACATCTATTCCGGAATAAATGCTAGAACCAAAACCAAGCAAGTCAAAAGATTTGGAGGAATCAATTTTCTGTAAAAAAAGATTAGATTTCAATTCATTAATAAGAGGATGAGTAGAAATGGGTATTTTAAGATTAAGTGACAGACTTTTCATGAAATATACAAGAATTTTCCAGAACACATAGTTTTTGATACAAGTTGAGAGTTTGAGACGACTTTTACTTTTGAACTTTGCTAGATGAGAGATGTATACCATCTTGAGATTGATTTGATTAATGATATTACCTGTAAATATTTTTTACTTGTTTTGATTAATCTTGCAGAATAGATGTAGACAGATCCAGATCCTTCATTTTCTTGAGGTGCCCCAACCGCAATATCTGAAGAAAAATCGGATTTGTAATGAGTTACACATAGAAGAAAGCTGGATATGAAAACAAATAGACTGTTTGACAATATTACTGTGATATTTACCATTGAATGAATCTCCATCAAGATCTCCGATGTAAGCCAAAGAGGAGCCAAACCTGGATCCAAAGATGGAATCTCCATCGATTATTGCTGATTGGACAAGATGAACACCGTTGCTTGAGTATATGTACACTCGGCCACAATCACCTTTCGGGTTGTGCTCAGGCATGTAAAGTGGGGCACCAACCAGTAAATCATCATAACCATTATTATTCAAGTCAATAGAGAGCATTGAGCAACCAAAATATTCTCCAAACTGATGTCCTTCAATGATCTGAATCACATTTCCATTGAGATCGTTTTGATTTATTTCAACAATGTAAACCTAAATGGACAAATAATTTGATAAAATAAAAATTAGACACATTAATACAAAATTAAAGAGAAACAAAAATAGATTGAAGAAAAATAAGAAAAGTCATTTTCTGAAGGTACATTTTAAGGGTTAGCTAAAGTTGAACTTTTAGTAAGCATCAGCCAAGTTAACGGCTGATAATTTTTTAGGCTTTGCAATGTATAAACTGTTTTAAAAGCTTCTTTTCTTTCACTCATTGAATTTACTTTTATTTATATTGTTAATTTGATTTCTAGATTATATTAGTGTAATATTTACTTGTCCTATCAATTCATGACTTCGAGGTGCTCCTACAACTGCCAATTCTGATTGTGATTTGAAGAAGATTCCAGTCGTCACAGAGTAACCAAAATAAGAGTCTTGATCAATCTCGTTTATTGTATTTATCGAAATATTTGCAGTTGGTGACATTTTATTGATATTAGATGCGGTGTATATGGCTCCTCTAAAAATATCATAACCTGGAGCACCAAAAATCAACTGATTCGACGTTCGCGTAAATGCTGATGAGAAACCAAACATTTCGTGAACTGCTTTGCCCATTAATTTCTGCTGATTAGACCCTGATACTGGAAAATTGGAGAAGAAATATTAAGGTAAGTCGTGAATGCAACCTAAAACCTTTAACTATTATTTGTTACATTTTTTAGACTTGGGCAGTAAAACTTTGATTATATCCATATTCACGGGTGAAACAAGGAAGCAAATACCAGATGGTTGGTTAGCAAGATTATGAAGATGACCACAAATGGTTAGCAAATTGTTTGATCCACCAACAGCTATATTTAAACCAAGATTCATTCCAGATGTAAATAAATGTTTGGTCTTGAATGATTTGCCAAGATCTATGAAATCAATAACAATGGTGATTTAGAAGTAAATAAACTGAAATGGTTCGGTTATTGTCAACTGACATCGTGTACTCAATCTGATCTCTTTACAACTTGTTGTCATCCCATCTTGGTTGATTTTGCACGAATAAGCTAACCCAGTCTGGTGTGTTTTGATTAAGCGTGATTTACCCTTTGGAGCTCCAACGATGATCCTTTAGATAAGTTAATTTGATTGTAATGAATAGACTAAATTTAAAATTTCAATACTTTACCTGGTCGTTTTGTTCAATTTAATCATTGCTACGGATGATCCAAAGGCTTGATAATCAGTGTCATGATGAACGTCATTGTGACTGACATGAGGTTTGAAGATGATTGCATGTTCAGTGTCATAGTTAAAAGTTAGCGCAAGAGAGCAATTAATTAAAATTAAATACAGTAAAATTTCGTATTGACTCGTTGAATACATGTCGGTGATAAGCTATGGGTTGAAATTAATGCACTGATGAAAATAAACGTCCACTCAGTCGATGCTTGACCATACAACAAAATATTAAACTACACATTAAACAATTGATTGACATTGTGTGCCTTCTTCTGTTATCATTTTATCACCATTTAGATATTTTTATATCTTTTATTGTCCAATGTGTTATCAAATTCAAATCAAGTGAAAGTAAACCACAGGTGATTAGATTATGCCAATTTTAGGTTTCCAATGAGTTAGCTTTTGTTGTGATTGATGTGAAAATGTAGGTTGATATTTTAACAATAAAATAGATTGCACGAAATGATTGTAATCAGTTTATCTCGAATTCAAAGTTTTTGTCTCATTTTTGTATAGAGTTGGATTCTCGATTGAATAATCGATATTTGAAGGAAAAAATGGACAGATCATGTTTAGACGAAAGAATGGTTTTGTATAATTTCAAAGATATCAGTTTTAATTACACCTTAGGAATAATTGAAAAAAAATATCAAATATTTTGAAAAGTTTACTTTTATCTCACAAAAAAACATCTGATATTAAATTGCATTGTATTTGTACTTAAAATATTAATAGTAATAAACAAACCAGGAATCAGCATAGTAAAGAAAAGGATGCAAATTTTATCAGTTTTCATGGTACTGACCATGTTACTATCAAACTATAACCAATAATTGTATTCATTTGTTCAATTCAGAAAGTAAATGAAAACTTAACAAAGGAAAGGAGTTTTCCTTTCTAGAGAGCCAATAATCCTAGATGAAAATAACTTGGTCCTTCATCTTAGATTTATCAAATGCAGACTTAATTTGATTAAAAACTTCATCAGGTTTAAGAGTTGCATCAACCGCCGAGTGAATTTCTTTTTTCTGATAGTAAGAAACCAAAGGTTTAGTTAAGCTGTCATATGTTTGCAATCGTTTCCTTAAGGCCTCAGGATTGTCATCTGAACGTCGAACCAAAGGCTCGCCAGTTACCTGTATCAAAATGAATTGAAAAATAAAAATATTAAAACTCTGAATCAGTATCAAAAATGCTTCGAAAACCATACATCATCAGTCATTTCTTTTTTTGGTGGATAAAATTCCTCGTGGTAGGTTCTTCCACTAGAAGGGTGAATTAAACGACCACAGATACGACGAACCAATAAATCCTCGTTAACTTTGAATTCAATCACGGAATCAAGTTGAGTATTTCGTTTATCTAAAAGCGTATCCAACTAAAGAAAAAAAGAAAAATTATAAGGTGAGTTGAATGATTCACTGAGATAGTATACTTGAAAGGTATAAAAAATTGTGAGCTATAGATATCTCATGACTTTTCATCTCATTTAGTCAAAAGGTTGAAATAATTGTCGCTAAGGTTGTTATTCTATGACCATGACAAGTAGCCGCTTGGAAGTAGATGAACAGGTGCGACTACCGAACGACTCGGTATGAATACCTTCGCCAATTAGTTTTATAAATCCCTCAAAAACAGTTGTGTAAATATTATTAACATTTGTATATCCTTGTTTTGCTTAACGTGTACAAGTAGGTTTGTTGTATGTCAAATCAATGTCATTGTTTTTACCTTTTCGGCTTGAACAACTGTACGTGGAAAACCATCTAAAAGGAATCCATTACGGCATTCAGCTTTGTCCAGATTGGCATCAATCAGTTTAACGACCAGTTCATCATCAACTAATTTACCAGAATCCATTATATTTTTAACATATTTACCAAGATCAGACCCTGAGGCAACTTCAGCTCGAAGCATATCACCAGTGGCTAATTGACAAACACCATAAGTTGATTTAACACGTTGAGCCTGAGTACCTTTACCAGAACCAGGAGGACCTAGGAAAACTGCATTAATTCCACTTCGGTTGGAATAAAGTTTCTGATAAGCAAAGGTTGCACGAGCTCGATTACTAAAGTCAGGAGGTGATGCATTTTCTGACGATGACGGTGGCATATTGATTAGATACAAAATAGATAATGATTTAACAAAAAATGACCTAGATTGACTAATCAAGCTAAGAAAAGGGTAAGAGCAAAAAACAGATGTAGCTTGAAACTGAAGTGTATCTTAAAAAATAGTTAATCGGCTTGATAATAGGGGCGCTCTCTGCTTCACAACACAACACAACACACGTTTAAATTACCTCCTGAAAAAAGTTAATTAAAACCCCATTTTAACTAATTAGTGCTAAATTATTTATGTGTTAAACATCTCCCCCACCCTACCAGCACCCACCAACACCAAAATTCCCATCAAAAAACTCCAATTCCCAAAAAATAAACGCCAACAATGTGCGAAGGCAACAACCACGTGGGTAACTCACCTGACAACACTCAATGTGATCCAGTTTCCCTTCTAAACAAAATCAAAAACTCAATATCCTCATTGGTCCCAAAAACAAAGAAAAAGGATTTAGACAAAGTTCTAAGTGATATCGACGCAGTGATTAATACAATCTCATCCGATAAGATAACTCTCGCTGAGAGCAATCTACTGGCTCGAATCAATAATGCCCTCAACGAGTCTACCACCAAAACTCGACCGTCTTACGCAGACAAGGCATCCAAACCAGCAACACTAAAAGCATATGTGGTTAAGCCTCTGACTCCAGGAGATAACATTGATGAAATAAGTAAAAAATTAAAGACTCACCTGAGACAAAATAAGGAAACAAACATTGACTCAATGGTTGTCAACCAAAATAATATACGCATTTTATCAAACGACTCACAATTGAAAACGAAGATCAACCAAGCCATCATCTCAGCTGAACTGGATAAAAATGTTGAAATTACTGAACTGAGCAAATTAAAACCTCAGATCTCACTCATGATACCCACCGACCAGCTCGAAGACGCGGAAACAATAAAGATGAGGAACAACATCCCTCAAAGCGAAGACTTTGACATCATAGTAAATAATGAAATCAAAACAAAATCACGCTACAAAAAGAACTACGTTATCATCAGAATGAGCAAAAACGCTCGACAAATAATCCAACAAAGATCAAGGCTCTACATTGGATGCGAAAGCATTGAGTTTAGAGACAACTTTAATGTACGAAATTGCTTCAACTGTAACCGGATTGGCCACACAGCCAAATATTGTGATGCTACTCCTTCCTGCCGTCGCTGTGAAAAAGACCACAATACCAACAAATGCGAAATTGAAGAACAAGATAAAAGCTCAACTAAATGTCATTTCTGCAAAAACGCTGGTTTCAAAAACCTAGACCACAAATACAAATCACCACAGTGCTCATCATACAACCAAGCCATCAATAGGCTAAAAAACATTATTGACTTTGAATATGAAAATTAAGTTCACCTGCCACAATTGTCAAAACCAAGCACATCGAACCATCAACACAATCAACCTTGCAGAACCCAACAACATAGTACTCCTCCAAGAACCAAACATTAAATCACTACTCACACTTAATCAACGCTTCTACACCACCATTAACAATGGAAGATCCTCCATCACCATACTCAAAACGAAATTAAAGAAACACCATAAAATTGGTACAGACTCCATCGCAGCTATTGCTCACAGTAATGGTAAAAAAATATTAATCGTCAATACTTATTTATCACCCAACATTGAAATGAAACAAGTCAAAACTGAGTTAGAAGAACTAAACCAAATCCTTAGACGATATAAAGAAATGGCAACAGTATTTCAAGGCGACTTAAACTCACAGCACTACCTTTGGTCTCCACTTGCTGAACCTAGAAAAACACAAAGAGCTGATCTCACCGCTGAATTACTAACTGCCAACAACATCAATACACCTTATAACCCGAAACTAATTAACCACACCTTCACAAGCATCTCTGGCAATAAAAGTTGGATTGACATCTTTGGAACCAACAAAAAGATTCGAGCTGATGTTAACATCCATCCTCAGCCCAAAGATCACTCAGTTATCATAGCAACATGCGAAATCATCAGCTCTGACCCAGTCAACGTTGAAACCAAAACAACCAAAAAAATAATAAACAAATCCGAATACTTACCACTAGTTCTAAATGAACTACGATCAGCCAACATCAACCAATGTCAACTGACAACAGAACTAGATGATGTCCTTCTCCAAACAACCAAAAACATCATAAAACACCAAGTCAACTCAATCAAAGTTATCCAGCCAAAAAATCCAGCCAAACCAACAGACAAGAACCTAGTAAAATTAGCTAAGAAGATGAAAACCCAATTAAAGAAAAATCCCACCCAACAAAACATCAATGAATATTATAACCTAAAGAAGAAAATACATCTGAATATCAAAGAAAAAATTGAACAGGAATTTTCCAACCAGAATCCTAGACTATGGCAAAAAATCAACAACACTATCACCACCAAAAGCGTCCAAATAACACAAGAATATGAAGCCAATCTGCAAACCCTCCTAGCCAACTTCACCAAACCATAAATGACATCCAAAGCACAACAAAATAAACTCAACCATCAACAAATCCCTCATATTAGACAAAGACGAAATTACCAAAGAAGTCAAGAGTTTACGAAACTGTTCAACTGGAATCGATATGCTTAGTAAAGATGACATCTTATACTTACTAAATGAAATCCCTGATACAATAACAAGCATCATCAACTATTGTATCAACTCTAACTTCTTCCCAACAGCTTTTAAAATAACAAGAACAGTCATTATACCCAAAGCTGATGAGAAACGGTGCAGACAGCTCCAGATACAATCAATAATGGCCAAAATAACTGAAAACTACCTCCACAAGCAACTAAAACAATTTATTCCTGATAACTACTTCAAAATCCAACATGCCTTCATTAATAATAAAAGCATCATTGATACAATAAACAAGGTAATAACACCTTTAACCAACAAAAACATATCCTGCTATACAATTATGGCTGACATTGAAAAAGCTTTTGATAATGTTTCGCACAAGGAAATACTAATGAACTGTGCGAAACTAAAAGTTCCAATCAACCTAATCAGATCAATAATGAGCTTCCTGGAAAACAGATGGACAATTACACCAGCTAATGATTACAAAACCCTAAAACTTCCACCATTATATGGAGTCCCGCAAGGTTCAATTCTCGGACCTTTCCTCTTCATAATTGGAATCAACGAAGCTCTATCCAAGATAGCAGACACTCAAATTAAATACACTGACAAAAGGCTAACTCACCTACCAAAACCAAAAATTGAACTCAACTGCTATGCAGATGATTTATTCATCAACATCAAATATGACAATGGTCAATACAAGTTTAACCAACGAGGAAGCCTAGTTGGCATCATAGTTGAAGACACCTTCAGACAAATAATCGAAATCATAAATTCCAACCTCAAACCCATTAACCTCTCAATCCTTCCCCAAAAAACCAAAATACTCCTAATTAAAAATACAACAATGACTAACCCAGAGCTTATCCCACTAATAACCACCAAAACAACCATTTTAGGTCTACCAATAAATACTAACAAACCCTCAATTAACCTAGTTGACAAAGAAGAAATCTTAAAAACACTTCAAGAAAAGATATCAGATAAACAACTACCTGAAAATCTAATCAAATACCTACCCAAACACGCTGTCAAACTCATTACTACATCCTTTTACACATCTTATCTAACAACCTTCTCGCCATTTATTATGCCAATAATCTTAACTAACAAATCCTTTACCAATAAAATAGACAAAATCACCTCGGTGATAATCAGAAAACATATAAAAATCAAACCTTTCGATAGGAAATATACCTGCTACCACCTAACTAACTTTCCATCAGCCCTAAAAACAATAACCAAATCAACCATAAAATACATTCACAAAAACAAAAATGAAGATCTCTGTATTCAAAGATGGTTCATCAACCAACATCCAAACTGGTTTCCATCTATATCCTCCACCAAAGAAAGATTTGGATTAACTCACCAAATAGATAACATCGTTGACACCTTATCCAAGGAGAGATGGACCGTTAAACCAACATACAAAATAATGTTTAAAACCAACGAAACATGCAACTGGCCCCAAATTAATATATGCACAAGAACATTAAACGGAACCTACGACTTCCTGGTCGAGAACAATCTCTGTATATGCGGAATACAACTAACGGCCTTTCACCTCATCTTCCAATGCCCCTATCTGGAGCCTCAACGTGACAATCTAAAAGAAATAGCCAAAATTAAAAGAACTACATTCCGAGAACTACTCCTAAAACACCCAAACACAGTCAATAATTTCCTACATGAAATATATGAAATAATAAGCAACACAAATAGACTCAACTGAAAATCTATGTAACCCCCCTTAATAATGCGTAAACAACGCACCAATCCCCACTCTCCAACCCAATTCCATGTATTTATATAAAAATGTAACATTTTAAACCAGCCGCTAACAAGGCTGGTTGCTTGTATGCACCAAAGCCAACCCAATAAACAACACAACAGAATACAGAAAATCCTAGTTCTTAGTGTTGTTTTAATCTTTGATAATTCTTTCTCAATTGTTATCATTGATTATTCATTGATTAAAGTTTTTGATCAATTTATTATCACTCGATGGATGTGATTGCATTTAAAATCTAAAACTGCCATCTTTTAACAGTGTATCCAACAAATTAAAAAATCTACTCAATTCAGTTTTTATTTTTCATTACAACTTGTATTTATGTTATTATCAACGTAATCAACCTTGGTAATTATCAATGAAACTGTGATAAATGGTATTTCATTTTCTCGATCTACCATCAATTAAACTGTGTCTACGAAGAGATTGTTTTAATTTCAGCTTGATTGGAACCGGAAACTTTTTCCACTTTTTTACCATCAATTGATAATGACATGTGAAAGTAAACTTGAGAAAGATACTCCACCTGGAAAAACATCTAGACCGGAGTTAGATGATCAATCAAAACGATTATCTTCGACAGTTTTAGCCATATTATTGTCGATATTGGTTCTTGCTGCTGCTTACTATATTCAATATATACGATCGTATAAACCTATCGAAAAACGATTGGAGGATACATTGAATAGTTTATTGAAAATTGAAAGAGATGCTCAAGTTAATGTTGATGCAAAGATTGCCATTGGTTATGGCGCCTGCCTTGATTATATCGTCCCTTCTCGATGTTTAATTTTAAATAAGCGTAACCCACCAACCAAAGCTTACCATCATGTTTCAGTTGATGATGACAACGAGCTTCTTGAAGTATTTGCCTATTATTTCAATCATGGTGCAGCTGCTGAACGATACATTAATAATAAAACCTTGTTTGGAGAGCTTGTATCCATTAGCGAAACTTGTGATATTACTCGAACGGTTGGAGGTAATGCGCCTATTATGGCCTCTCGACTGATAAAAGAAGGCATCAAAAATATTTTATTGGGAGCTCAAATGTCCCCGAAATTGAGAAAATATCTAGACTCAGACATAACCATAGCTGGACCACAAACTGAGACTGACGATGTTCATCTGTTAATTGAATACCCAACTGGAGAGAATTGGTTAGATATTTATTCAGCTCCGAGAGCAAATCGTTTTATTGTACATAATGATGACAACAATCCATTACTCAAATCGTTGGAAATATTCCACCGGCAGATGACTGTCTTCAAACCTGATTTATTTATTATTGGGGGACTACAAATGATGGAAGGTTATCCTGGAAATGGAGAAAAAAAGCGTTCTCGGTTGGAAAAAGTTAACCAATTTATTAAAGAAAATTTTGTTTACGATAATCATGGTGATGACCATGGAAAAAAGACCAAAATACATTTTGAGATGGCTTCTTATTCCGATGAAGCTATTCTTCGTGATATTATCGAGCTAATTCTACCTTATGTAGATTCTTTGGGGATGAATGAGCAAGAATTACCCAACCTTTATCAAATGTTAACTTATGGGAATTTAACCTTAGTTTCTGACCCATATCCTCGAGTTGCCATGGTTTTAGACCAAATGAGAGATATTTATGAAGCCATGAACTCTTACACAAGTGGTCGTATTAGTCGCATTCATGTTCATACTTTAGCTTTTCAAGCTATTCTAACCCAAGCTAATTCTGGATGGAAACATACCGCTGCAGCAGCTGCTAAAGCAGCTCTAACATCTCATCGACATACTTGTGGATCTCATGAGATTGATGCAGCAAAAGCCAGATTAATTATGGATGAATCCTTTTCTACAACTCGAAGCTCTAAGCAGAAAATTAAGCGAATCTTATTTAACTCTAACGTTCCAGTTGCCTGTTGGTCCGAGACCATCGCCGGTCAACAGATACAAATATGTGTAGCTCCAGTACTTGTTTGCACCTCTGTCCTACAAACTGGTGGAGGTGGTGACAATGTTTCCGCTGCTGGTCTAGTTCTTCAAATATAATTCCAATCCATCTTGAATACAAATTAATCGATATTTATTATGAAACAATTTTTCATTAAAATCTCACATTCACCTGACTTTCCTGATTAAATGAAATTGTTTTGATTTCCATTGTGCAACTTATCCAAAGATAGTCTTAAGATAGTGCAGAATAATTAAGCATTGAGAGAAGAAACGATAATGAAAACATGCAGATGATGAAAAAGCACAAGTAAATGAATAATTTCATAATGCTGACATTTTAAGATTTGGTGATCAAAAAACGTGCAGAAGCGAAATCTCATGTGATTCTCAAATTTTCTCGAAGTTATAAGTATTAATAGTATTTTGCTTATCTAATATTCATTTTTTGAAATAGTGCATGATTAAAAAGTGGCTAGGCTTAATTCAAATAATAATGACAAATCAAAAATCTTAAAACGTATAACATGATCAACACGAAATCAAGGTCAGCAATTCATCACAAAGAAGAAATTAAAATGCAAACTAAAATAATAATCTGAATTATATGACTGTTTGCCAAATCTGATCATCTGCTCTGTCAAAATAAAAATATGAACATTAAATATTAATTGTTGGATAACATTGACACAATATTTTACCGTAAAATTACTTTAACACAATCACTAATTTCGATTAACTGTTGAAAAATATTGTTGAATAGTATAATTAGTTGAAATTAATCCGATATTTTCCGCAGCTAATAGACAAAAATTGTCAAATTGAACATTTAAAATCTTAAAATTAAGATGAACTTTTTCATTGAATGCAATTGATAAAAAGCTATTTCTCGTAAATATTATGTGAAAATAGCAAACATGCTAATTGCACGACACATTACTGTATTTTGATTTGCGAATCTCATTTCATTTGTTATGTTGAAATTGTGTTGGCATCAATTCTTATAGTTAGCAGCTATTTACCAAGGTCTCTCCTAATCATGGCTAAAAATATCATCAAATGTATTAAACTACAATCTAAAATGTAGTTAATCTGGTAACAAAAGAAAGCTATTCCATTCTTCATCTCACAATCCTTTTTTATTTCCTAGTCTTTACGAATCAAATAGGAAGATCGGATTCTCAAAAACGCAACTCTCATCTCTCCACATCTTTTATCATCTTTTATTTTCATCCTCATCCACTTCTACTTGCCTCGAATCTTTCTCCCCACCTCTATTCTGTGACCAATCAATTGATCTCGTGAAAATTTTGCTTCTATTATTTTCTGTTTTGTGCTGCTATTTGTTTTTGTTTTCTTTTGATTTCTTATTGAGTGTTTCACTCAATCCTTTGACACAACTGGAATCAGTTTAAATATTATTTTTAGTTTATAGTTTTTAAATTTTTTCTTTTGATCTCTGCAAAGTTAAAATAATAAACTTAGTGTTACAATGGATCCAGAACAGTTTTTGGAAATGGCCAACATGGTTTCAAAGATGAAAATGTTTCCTTATTTTGAGATGGCTCATGCAATTATTAGCTGTCTTTATATACGAGAGGATCTTGGTGCAACGGCTCATCCATTTACCCGTAAACATCCATTCTCTTGTTGGCTATCATCGATGATAAATATTTTTGCTGGCTCTATTTTAGCCAATTTTCTTCTAGGCGAACCAGTAATTGCAGCTTTTAAAAATCCTAATCAAGTTTTACTCGCAACCGTCATTTGGTATCTTATATTTTACTCGCCATTTGATGTTATCTACAAAATTTTTAAATTCATGCCTTGCAAGGTTGTGTTAGCAGCTATGAAAGAGGTAATTCGATGCAAAAAGGTTCACGACGGTGTCACTCATGCATCTAAAATCTATCCAAATGGTTATATAATCATGATTTGCATCGGAACAGTCAAAGGTATGTTATCCAAAGGATACACTTTCCATGAAAAAGTTTAATACATTACATTGATAAATAAGTCTGAAATCTTAAATTGACTCAGATTTTTATTTCTACTTATTCTAATCTATGAACATTTTTTTTCAATCAATCAGGTAATGGTTCTGGATTCATGAAATTGATGGAGAGATTGATGAGAGGTACTTGGACACCGAATGCTTTTGAACTGCTTTCTCCTACTTTGTAAGTTTTGAACCGAAATCCTTTAATAGTAAACACTTTTACGATAAATTGAGTACATAAAGGATGAAGTTTTAAAGTGGTTACCAAATCTATTGTCAAGACAAATTAACTCATACTTTTCTATTTTTCACTTTATTTAGCCCGACAAAAGCCTCTATCGTGGCTTCAATCATTTTTATAATTGACAAAAAAACAGATTGGATATCTGTTCCGCACGCTCTAGTCTACTTTGGAATTGTGATATTCTTTGTATATTTCAAACTTTCAGCAATGCTTTTAGGAATTCACGATCCGTTTATACCTTTCGAAAATTTATTCAGTGCTCTATTCTTTGGAGGGATTTGGGATGCTTTAGCCCATGTTATTTCAAATGGTAAACTATTTGATTAATATTTACTGAATTTATTCTCATTTATGTTTGATTTTTTCCTCTCTATAGCCAAAAAAAGTGACGATTCTGGACCTAAAGTTGAGATTCCCCGAAGAGAAGAAGCCAAAAAGAAAGAATAATTTGCTTGGCATTACGAACTTATTAATTACGATCAAATTTTAATCATCATATAAATCATCAGTGATCTCAGATTTTTAATCTTCATTCAGACACTTATCTAATTTAATTGCAATATGTACCCTATAAAACTTGCAGTACTTACTTAATTTATAAGAACTCTAAAAAATTCTTATTAAATCATTCAAGAAAATAAACAATTTTGACAAATCAAATTTATTTAATCAGAAGTCGGAGAAATATGTTGTCAGCCGCCTCCTCGCATTAAATCGGTGCTGAAAAAGTCAGAATAAATATGGATGAGTCACTTTCTTCAGTTAAAAATTCAAAGCAGAATATTCAACAATTGTATTTAACTTTAACAATTGCTTGTGGGTCTGAAACCAAGGCAGAGAATAGATACAAAGGCTCACACCATGGATCGAATACTTTTTTCGATTTATCAATAGTTCTCTTGATTTTGACCATTGAAATTTTGATTATGATTATGATTATTCTTTCACCAATTTAATTCTTTACTATTAATAAAAATACTTTGTAAGCAATGATTCAATTCAATTTAATTGTTAAGAGTTAAGAGTTATGAATGAAAAGAGTCGAAAGTTAAGAGACATTAGTTTCTGGTTGTTACTAAAAAGACAAAACCAACACAATTGTTACATTTATGCACAAATTGACACAAACACTGAAATAGAAATGGGCTGAAACGGGTAAAAGTTAATTTGTCGCAAATTTAAACTCTTTCAGTTTGTAGAGGAATAAAAACTGAGTCCGTTTGTGTGCAATAAAAATGACTCTGATGAATAGTTGTTGAGGAAATACAGGTCAAAGTTGAAACTTCGATCGTCATTTGTGCAGCTGTGTGACCAGATGTTTTCAAGAAACTCATTATGCTTAGGTGAAATTTGATAGTCAACTAGAAAATGAACATATTTTAAGAAGTTGCATTCTCTGTTTCCTTAGGGACAGATCAGTTCGATTTTTATTTAAACCTGTCGCATTCTGCGACCATAAGAGTTAGAGTGCTGAAACTTATTATTAGTTTATAAAAATGACTATATGACATCATGATGTAAATACTTTAGCCAATTTAGAAACCTTTCTCTTGATTTTGGCCATTGATCTGAAAATTTTGAGCGACGATATTTCGAGAATGGTCGCATCTAAAGTCATCATTTCTTACCAAACATTAGATTGCATTGTGGGCTATAGCATAGTAAGGAATAATACCAAACTAAATCTTGCTTTTGCTTAAGAGTGGCGAATAAATGCGTTCATTATAAGTTTTGTTTCAATAATGCATGTTATGCAGTTAAAAAGACACAGTTGTAGCATTTATACACAAATTGACACAAACATTGAAAGAGAAATGAGCTGAAGAGGGTAAAATGAATTCCGTGCAAATTTAGACTCTGTTAGTTTGTTGAGAAATAAGAACTGAGTCGATTGGTACTATTCAACATTTCATCCAAAGGTCAGTTTTCGAGAAAATCGAGTTTAAAGTTGAAACTTCGATCGCCTTTTGTGCAGTTGTGAGGTCAGATCTTTTCAAGAGACTCATTTTGAAGATGTAACTTTTGATGGTTAACCAGAAAGTGAACTCATTTTGAGGAATAATATTTTCTGTTTTCAGATAAATAGATCAGTTCGAAGTTTAGTTAAACCTGTCGCATTTCGTGATCGCAAGTCGTAGAGAGCTCAAACTTGTTATTAATGCATCGAAATGGTTTGCACACATTATGGCTTAAATAGTTTTTCCTATTTATCAATAGTTGTGTTGATTTTGGCCATTGGCCTGAAAAGTTTGAGCCTCGATATTTCACGAATGGCATTACTTAAAAACATCATCCTTTAACCAAACATTAGATTGCATTATGGGCTATAATTTTCAGAGATATTAAATTATTCAAGATATTACGAAAAAAGTTATAGCATTGTATAATTTATGTTATCCTATTTGAAACTTGCTTTATGAAGTTTATTGGTTATGCATACACAAATCTTATGTGCTAGAAGAAACTCATCATTATTGAAATAGCTCGAATTTTAGTAGGTATTTATTCATGCTATGTTACAGTTCATAGTAAGATCTAATGTTTAGTCGAAGAATGATGATTGCAAGCGATGCCATTCTCGAAATATCGAGGCTCAAACTTTTCAGGCCAATAGCCAAAATCGACAGAACTGTTGATAAATCGGAAAAAATATTTAATCCATAATGTGTGCAAACATTTTTAATGTATCAATAACAAGTTTGAGCTCTCTATAACTTGTGATCACGAAATGCGACAGGTTTAGCTAAAATTCGAACTGATCTGTTTATCTGAAAACAGAAAATGCTATTCCTCAAAATTAGTTTTCTTTCTGGTTAATCATAGAAAGTTTCTTGAAGATAATAAGCTAAATGAATTTCATGAGAAAATCTAGTCACACAACTGTGCAAATGGCGATCGAAGTTTCAACTTTGAACTCGATTTTCTGGACAACTGTCGATCGCAGAGTTTTGTAAATCACCGATAAGGACTCAGTTCTCATTTCTCAACAAACTAACAGACTCTAAATTTGCAAGGAATTTATTTTTAACTGTTTCTTTTTCAGTATTTGTGTCAATTTGTGCACAAATGTTACAACTGTGTCTTTTTAACTGCATAACATTCATTATGGAAACAAAACTTTTAATGAACGCATTTATTCGCCACTCTTAAGAAAAGCAAGATTATATTCGGTATTTATCCTTACTATGCTATTGCCCATAATGCAATCTAATGTTTGGCTAAAGGATGATGCTTTTAAGTTATGCCATTCTCGAAATATCGAGGATGTAACTTTTTATTTCAATGGCCAAAATCAACAGAACTGTTGATAAATCGGAGAAACTGTTTACATCATGATGTATAATAGTCATTTTTATAAACTAATAATAAGTTTGAGCTCTCTATTTCTTGTGGTCATTGAATGCGACAGGTTTAACTAAAAATCGAACTGATCTGTTTTGCCGAAAACAGAAAATGTTATTTCTCAAAATGAGTTCACTTTCTGGTTAACCATTAAAATTTAAATCTTCAAAATGAGTTTCTTGAAAAAATCTGATCCCACAACTGTACAAATGGCGATCGAAGTTTCAACTTTGACCTGAATTTTCTAGAAAACTAATCATCGGATCAATAATTTGATGGTGCCAATGAGCTCATTCTGCATTTCTCTACAAACTCACTAAGTCTCAACTCTTTACTCAATTGTTCGCGTCTTTGGCATAAGTTTAACCAGAAAATTGGTTTATTTACCAAGAAATGGGTTGAGGTGAGTTTTGTTTGTTAAATAAGTTGTTGCTTACACATTTATCACTCAAAATACATGAACCAAATGCGTCAATGGAAAGTTTTAAGATGGAATTAAGTTATTAATCATTAAAGAGTTAAATGTGTGAAAGTATGATGACAGTAGGTGCTACCATTCTCGAAATATCGAGGCTCAAACTTTTCAGGCCAATGGCCAAAATCAACACAACTATTGATACATCGCAAAAACTATTCAATCCATAATGTGTGCAAACCATTTCGATGCATTAATAACAAGTTTGAGCTCTCTACGACTTGCGATCACGAAATGCGACAGGTTTAACTAAACTTCGAACTGATCTATTTATCTGAAAACAGAAAATATTATTCCTCAAAATGAGTTCACTTTCTGGTTAACCATCAAAAGTTACACCTTCAAAATGAGTTTCTTGAAAAGATCTGACCTCACAACTGCACAAAAGGCGATCGAAGTTTCAACTTTAAACTCGATTTTCTCGAAAACTGACCTTTGGATGAAATGTTGAATAGTACCAATCGACTCAGTTCTTATTTCTCAACAAACTAACAGAGTCTAAATTTGCACGGGATTCATTTTGCCCGTTTCAGCTCATTTCTCTTTCAGTGTTTGTGGCAATTTGTGTATAAATGCTACAACTGTGTCTTTTTAACTGCATAACATACATTATGAAAACAAAACTTGCAATGAACGCATTTATACGCGCTTCTTAAACGAATGCAAGATTTAGTTTGGTATTATTCCTTACTATGCTATAGCCCACAATGCAATCTAATGTTTGGTCAATGAATGATGACTTTAGATGCGACCATTCTCGAAATATCGTCGCTCAAAATTTTCAGATCAATGGCCAAAATCAAGAGAAAGGTTGCTAAATTGGCTAAAGTATTTACATCATGATGTCATATAGTCATTTTTATAAACTAATAATAAGTTTCAGCACTCTAACTCTTATGGCCACAGAATGCGACAGGTTTAAATAAAAATCGAACTGATCTGTTTTAAAGGAAACATAAAATGTAATTTCTCAAAATATGTTTATTTTCTAGTTGGCCATCAAATTTCACATAAGCATAAGGATTTTCATGAGAAAATTGAAGCACACAACTGTACAAATGGCGATCGAAGTTTGAACTTTGACCTGGATTTCCTCGACATCTATTCATCAGAGAAATTTCTATTGCACACAAACGGACTCAATTTTTATTTCTCTACAAACTGAAAGAGTTTGAATTTGCGAGAAATGTATTTTTACCCGTTTCAGCCCATTTCTCTTTCAGTGTTTGTGTCAATTTGTGCATAAATGTAACAATTGTGTTGGTTTTGTCTTTTTAGCAACAACCAGAAACTAATGTCTCTTAACTTTCGACTCTTTTCATTCATAACTCTTAACTCTTGATAATTAAATTGACTCGAATTATTGCTTAAAAAGTATTTTTATTAATAATAAAGAATTAGATCGGTGAAAGAATGATGACTTTAGATGGTCACATTCTCGAAATAATCATAATCATAATTGCAATGGTCAAAATCAAGAGAAATATTGATAAATCAAAAAAAGTATTCGATCCATGATGTGAGCCGACAATTTTTATGTACAAATCATAAGTTTCAGCTCTCAGACTCTCCCAATTGCAAAATGGTGTCGATCCAACTGAAAATCGATGTTGATCTCTTTACAGACACGGAAACTGTTAGTTCTCAAAATAAATGCATTTTCGGTTTGATCGTCAGAAGATCTCGATTTTTGCAAAAACTTTCCATCAGAGAAACTTTTAAATCTCACAAATGGACTCAGTTTTTGTGTCTTCGTAAACGATCAGAGTCTAAATTTGAAAGAAATTAATTTTTATCCGTTTTGTGTCAATTTGATCATAAATTCGATAATTGTGAGAAATCGTGTCTTACTAGTAAAAACTCACTTCGAGTACTATCTTGCAAGTTAAATGTTATGTTCAATAGTTGAAATGGCTTAATTATGCAACAAAATATCTTTAACATTTCAACTATTATAAATTCAGTTCTGTATAAAGATCCTCGATAATATTTCTAATTGCTCTACCATAAAATCCTCAACTTTATAAATAGTTTAGATTGAACTTGAATTAATTGTCTTTGGTACTTTCCATTCGAGGACATCGTTGTCTTGACATTTATAATTTTATTAGTGATCGCGATTTTTCCATTTTCCTGATAAAGTGTTTTATTCGCTCTGCTGTGAATACAATGGTCTAACTTACTATCCTTACTTAATAATACTTAAATAAAAGCCAGAATACTCTTCACTTTTCTTCATTTAAACTATAAATAGCCGAACCGAATGATTCTTGCATTGTTAATTCACTGAAAATAAATATGAAATTTTCCTATCAATTTCCACTTCGGAAGCTCTTGCACACTTACACTTGTTATTTTTCAAAATCGAATAGGATTCACTAAGAGTTCATCATCAATATTGCTGATGAACAATGAATAAGAATTGAATTTAGCATAAATCGCGTGAAATAATTGATTGAAAAGTCATTTAGTTTTCATTTTTCTTTATGGACGAAAGCGGATGAAGAAATTGTTTTGATGTAGCTTTTAAAACGATTTGTTACAATTTAGTCTTGATTTTAACTTTTTACATTGACAAAGAGACACAATTTTCATTTTGTGTCTTCTCAGAAATTGACTGGAATCAGATTAAATAAAATCGCATCTTTTTTCTTATAAAACAAAAAAAACAAGAAAGATGAGAATTAGACATTTGAGAGAAGAAACAAGGTAAATGAAAGATTCTGAAAGCAGACAAAAAAGATGCAAAAAGTACGATAAAATAAACAATGAAATAATGTGAATAAGGGATAATTTTGAGGGTTGGCGATGATGTTGAACAGATTGAATGAAAATAAATTTAAAATGGCTCATTTAGCTGTAAATAGATTGCAAAAAAAACGAGAAACATGAGAGCTTGAAGCTGATTTTGAATGCATTTATATTTATATATTATTTATAATTAGAAGTAAAATTGTAATATTGTTATAAACCCAATGACTAGCATTGTCTGTTGATTTACAGTAAACTCTAACTTAATTGTAACCAAACAAAAAATGGCAAAGAGAAATGAAAAAACAAGATTAAATACAATTGAGAGTAACATTGTTTTACAAAATAAGTTAAAGTTTACTGAGTTGATTCCTTTTTGTAAATTCTGATTCTTCTTCTCATCGTCTACATCATTTTGGTGATTAGTCTCATCTTTTCGAGTGTTAATTTATCAAAAAATTATTTACTAGCACAAATGTTTTGTTTGGCATAATAATAATTGACATTAAAGCTACCAAAAATGTGCAAAAATGAAGAGGATAAAAGTAGGGATTGGGTTAGAATGAGTAAAGATGATGATGATGAGGGAAGAGGAGAAAGAAAACTGTGTTTTGTGTGTTTAAAGGATGAAGATGAGAGCAATGATGATGTTAGAGGAGGCTTATGATGGTGAAAAGATGAGACGATGAATGATGATTGTAACAAATAATGCAAATGGCGGTGAGGAGAAGAAGAGAATGAGCCTGACAATTGAAATATGATCAATGATGACATTAAACAAGAAATAAAATGTATACAAGAAAAATGGAGAATCGCAAGATGAAGGTGTTCAAGAATTCACCTGAAATAAAAAAAATAAATCAGTAAAATGTAAAGGTCAAGTGATTTCTTGAGGTGTAGGATGATGCGGTTGTTTGCTTTATTATGTGTGTGTTTGCTGAGTGTGAGTTGTATGATTTGATGTTGTTTGAAGTGACGTTCATTTAACAAATTGTTATCAAGAGATGATGAGGATTGCGTTGAATTACATTGAACATTATCAACCATTTTCCATGTCGGCTTTTGCAGTGAGAAAAAAAAGTCCGTCTTTTTGCTGTATTAAGACAATTAAGATTACAGAATTACAATCAAAGAGGTGAAACAGGGAGATGAATGAATGAAAAAGGCAATGCCAAAAAAGTAGTTACAGAGAGATTTGATTTTGTTTAGATTATCATAAAACCAAAGGCTAATAACAATTAATAGCAATAATTATCATAATAACAATAATAATTATAATAATTATTTACAATAATAATAATCTTATAATATATATTTATAATTTGTATGTATAATAAAGATTGGTGTTTTGTTGTTTTGTTTTGTGAGTGTATAATTTGGTGACTTTTTTTTGTTGTTTTTGTTTCTTTGTGTTTTTTGACTTTGACTAATGCAGAAATGGTCTTTAGTGAAGAAAATTGGTTCGCATTTTCATGATGAATTTCACCCATCGTCATCGGTTCATCATAATTTTCAACATTTTGCACGATAAAACTCAGAAATAGAAAACAATATTAAGTAAAATAGGAGTTGGATCATCTTGATAGATATTGAAAGGCAAAAAAGAAAGGATAATTATATGTGTCTGGATAATAAATTCAACAAAATAGGCAACAAAGTGAATTTGGTAACCAATCACATAAAAAACAATAGAAAAGGTAATAAGACGAGAACCATTTTTTTTTAAATTTCAACTTTGCCTCAAGCTAGGGCAAACTTAATTGTTTGTCATTCAGTCTCATCAAGGTCTGCAAACATTGATCTGATGTCTAACGTATTTGACATATCTAAAATGGTTCTACGGAGATTTGGATGGTCATAGAGCTCATTCTCGGGCAATGGAGGGTGGCATTTGGGAAAATAATTTCGTCCTTGCTGTAAAAGTGAAAATAGAGAAAAATATTAATATTGAAAAGTTAAAAGATGTTTTAAAACATTTTAAACTCACCCTAAATAAACGGTGCATTTTCATAACAGAGTAACAAAAAATAAATCTGAGAATGAGTAGACGGAGGAAATCATCACCGTAAAATTGTATATAAACCGGATCAACATTTCGAGATCGAGTTAAAATTCGACCAGCCTCAACATAGAAACGATCAATGTGCGTATGTGCTTTCTCCCATAGCTGAAAAGGTATCTCAATGATGTTGGATATAAAACAAATGGCGGTCAACGGGCTGTGCAAGAATAGTGTAAATAAAGATCCTTTATGGTGTTGCTCATGAAAAGGTGCAGGAGCTTCTTGAGGTGACATGAGAACCAATAAAGGTTGACCAAAAAAGCGAGGAAGGCGGAAGAAAGCAGCGCTATTATCACTGTCCACAATGAGGAAGAAAGGTTTACGAAGAAATGGAAATAAGTCACCGGGGTATAAACAATGGATATTCTTGTAATGAAGATCACGAGATTTACAGGAAAATTCAGAATCTCTTTTGGAATTGGTCACTAAACCACCAACATCATAACCAACTGAAAATGAATGAATATAGTAAAATTAGTAAAACGATAATAACTTAATGAGAATTAAAATGAATAATGAATAAAAGAGACTAACGATCGTCAGAATGCTTAGAAGTTGGATATGCACCGTCTGCTGATAAATACAGGAGTAAAACACCGTTACGAGGTAACTCTTTAAAACCAGAGGCCAAAAATACGAATAATTGACTAAAAGTTGGTCTATATAATAGATACTTATGAAGATTTTCACGTTTATGTCCACGAGCATCACCATTCTCAGGAAATGTGGCCATTCTTCCTGGTGCTGGTGATGTATCGTACAGTGGGTTGATGTCTTCCTGAGGTTCCCTCTCAAGAACTTGCAGCATCCTGAACATGTCAAGAGTTAGCTCACTAAACTTGATCTGTTATAAGAGACAAAAAAAATGTAATCAAAAGTTAGTAATATAAAGCCATAAATAATTTGTTCATTAATTTATGATTTATTATGGTCAACTTACTTGATCACAAACATTTCCTACAATTAAAATTTCTTGCAGGGTTAACTGTGGAAAGGATGACTGAGAAATGATTTCCTTTGGAGGTGTGTTATGAGGACCCAATCGAGATGATAATACTATTGGCACATTATCAACATCCAATACACTTACTAAATTATCGGACTAAAATTGAAAAAGAAAGAAAGAAAAATTATTATTTAATCAACATAAAAATAAACAATCACGACACCAACAAACATGAAAGTATTTCACAAACAGTGAAAAAGGATTGTGACTTCACTGATGAGATTAATGTTCTTGACCTGATTCGAATAGCATAATGTACATTTTACTGAAATAATCCTCAATTTTTGGTCAATTGATTTAAACTTGCTCTTCTGTCATAATATATTAACACGAGTGGGAAGTAATATTTCGACAAAAAGCAAACTTCAAAAAGAAGAGTTGTAATGTTTGTTAATTTGCCGGTGAAGATCGTGAAATGAATTATCAGATGATAATTATTGCCTCTACTTACATCTAAAAATGATTTAATCTCACTGAGAACAACTGACCATTCTAAGGGATCATCTGGTTCATATGTTGCTGTATAATCGTCAATATGTTTAGCCAATTCCTTTAACAGAAAAATAATCAGCAATTCAATGAGTAATGTCAAAAATCACGAGCAAAGTAATCAAACTTACCCGAACGAGTTCCTTTACTAATTTCATCTTTTTGAGCAAAAGACAAACTACAATGAATCTTGCATAGTACCTCAACTTTTTAACCATCAGGTCAGATCTTTCTTCTTTAACAGCTTTAGTATAATAACCACGAGATCGAATGGCCGAATAAAATGAGAAGGCTTCATTAAGGTAATTGGTCTCACTCGTCCTTAAACTATTTGATGATGATAAGGTAAATATAAAATGTTTCAATTAATTTAGATGCACATAAAAATAATCAACTTTCAGATTGTCCAAGTTAAGGATTAGAAAAGTTGAACACTGTAATTGTGATGGAAAATTGACTTACTAATAATGATAATATAATTGTCCTATTTTTGAGGCTACTTCACCGATTTGCCACCTCTTAAGACCATACTTGGCATCTAACACTTGCCTGTCGTTGGAAATAAACAATTAATCAATTCATTCAGTTATCGAGTTGATTGTGATTGATTTTTTACCGATGCTGTTGTTGAAATTTCCATAATTTTGTGTAAACATCAAAAGTCCTTCCAAAATAAGGCTGCCATTGTTTATGCCCATACTGAGGGAGATCCCTGTAATTAGAACCATAATTAAAAATTAATTAAAATTAAAAAATGAATAGAATTGCATTTATAAATCAATTTCGTATCTTGAACTGAATAAATCTTTGAATGAACATTTTTTGCATCTAATTTGACAACTGTGAGCATTGAAGTTGAAATGTTTTGATATTTAAATAATGATATGAATGGGAGTTCAGATAATGAAACTCAAAGATTCTCAGAGATTTATTGTATTCTCATTAGGTGGAGAAGTGATCTCGAACCCTTTCAATTAAAAGTGGATAGATGATATAATTTATTTCATATTAGCCTGTAAGCTGAAAAAATTAATACAACTAGGAGTTGCTTTGTTATTTATACTAATTATTTCAGTAGATGATTCGATTGATTTGTATCCAATTGGTTAACATAATTGTTGTTTAAAAATATTAAAAAGGAAACATGTAGATTAAAAATTGAGGTTAGAGTTTAAATATGCAAATAAAGGGAAAACAAATGATTTAAGAAATCAATTCAAGATGATTACGTTAAAGCTGATATTTCTACATTTCAATGAAATTCAATAAGTCTTCTCTTTCCTCTGGATTATGGAGGAAGAAGATGAATTTATCGTCTAATGTACGGAAATGGTATGTTTTAATGTTGATACATAAAAAAATTGGAAACATACCTCAAACCATTGAAGAGTTGCTTCGATTTTTCCAAAAGATGACAAAATTCGGCTACTATTTTTCTCTCCTGTTCTTCAATTTCACTCATTACTACCATTCTTCTCTGTTGATGGTGGGTTTGGGCAGTTATATCATCCAGAGAACCCCTCGAATCGTAACAATTATCCAACATATTACCAGCTATAAGGTTACTCTTTTGCATTTGGATGGATTTGGGAAGGGTCCTCCGGTGGTGAGGATAAGCGCTTGGATGATCAATTTTGCCGGCTTTTGTTTTGGGTGGCTTACTGGTTTAGCCACCACTCAGTGGATCACCTTAAAATGAAACTAATCCAAATAATGGTTTGTATGTAACAAGAGTAAATAAATCAGAATCACGATGGATATAAATAGGAATTGATTAACACACCAATTCAAGGTATACACAGAGCAGAAGAGAGGAGATTGATGAATAGAAAGGGAGCCAAAGAGTAACCTAAAATGCATACATATGAAAAGAGAAGCAGAAGATAGGGAAAAAAAAGATTTAGATTAAATTATATTTACTTGAAATCAGATGTATTAAGGTTTCTATTTGTTTAATATCTTACCCGATTAAAATTATTTTTAGGTTAAATTAGTAAACAGCTAGGAAATTATGTTAAAACTATATTTATACAATAGTCAAAATCGATCCTTACGGTTAATTGTAGATGTTGAGACACACAGAAGACGAAGAAGAAGAAAGGAGGAAAAAAAGGAAAAAGGGAAAGAGGGAAAAGAGAATGAAAGAAAGGTACGAAAGAGACAGAAAAAAGGGTCAAATGTGAACAGTTAAGTATGCAGAGTTGACTGTGGGGTTGAATAGATCCTTGTTTTGATTACAATTTGAATGTTTGTATCACAAAAGAAAAAGTTAACTGATCGTGTTAGCCATAATGAAGCAAGGTGATGATGAAGACGCTGGCATAAGCCGAAAAAAAAGGTTATTCACTAAATAATTTTATTGAAACGGTATCATAAAAAGGATAAGTCTTTCTTCCAATGATTTTTTCCTTTCTTTTCGAGTAAAATTGTCTATCGATCTGAACCAGGAGAGAGAAAGAGAGAGATAAAAGAAAGAGATTTGATTCGACTCTTTAGGAATCCTTTCTTACTTTTTTGCTTCACCTTGTTTAATCCAATGTAAATTACGCAAACTCAAAACTCGAAATGTTCAAAATGTTTACTTGTCTAGTCAATGGATGTCACTGCTAATCGAATCAAAATCTTTTGAGATTCATCGTTTTTTTTCCGACGCTTTTTGGTTGATGTTCATGATGAACAGTGAATCTTTGATATCTTTAAACTATAAAGTAAAAAATATGGTCCAATTGATTGAGAATAGCCAATTTTAAATTAGTTTGGCCTGGTTTTAAACGAGCTTTTCTCGGGCGATGATTTAAAATCAATTAATTTGGTTAGTTTTTGGTTTTATGTTTACAAAAAAACAAAACAGGATGGGAAAGGGTTTGTTGATTTGCGAGTAAAACATATTTTGTGTGAGAAGCAAACAAGCTTGTGACAAGACAATTAATTTTGGTAAATTTTGATTTGATTAGATGAGTGTGTGTTTGTTAAACATCTTGTTTGGTTTGCTTTGTATGTATCATCATTATATCATATAAAGGACGACATTGGTAAATAGTTTGTAACAGCTTCCCTCAATTTCAATCTTGTTTGCTTCTTTACTTTGACCGAGACGGAAATAGATAACAATAGATAGATGGAAGATCAGAGAGTAAAGGTGTAAAGATAAAGGTTTTAACAGGTTGTACATGAGTTATTATTCAAACGAAAACATTCAAATAATAATAATAAAGCAAATCCACATTTTTGGCATTAAAACTCGAATTGAAGAGTTTTTGTTGTTCCATCATTCTGATAACATCAACAATTAATCACTTCTCGATTTGTGTATGACTAGATTTAACGTTAATTTGTTTTTTTTAAAAATTCATAGATGCACGGTTTTCCCAAAGTCTTATGATTATCATAAAAAATGCCATCAACACCGTAGATGATAATGTTGATCATCGCCTTTACATTTTCTGCTTTATCTTTTTCTCCATCACCATCATTAAAATCAATGTTATAGCTTTATTCCTCTTAAATCACCAAATCACAAGTTCGAATGTCTTTTTGTCATCAAATTTAAATCTTCCATTTTCTTGCTTCAATCCAAATTACTTGTAAGTTCGAGATTTACAGACACTTTTCCTTTTGCTTTTGACTTTCTCTATCTTTCACTCTCCTTTTCAGTTTCAGTTTCATTTATCAATATCTTGGTCCATGGGTTCTTCATTTGAAGGTTGAGAACTGTTGAAAGAAAGAAAAATCAGATTAAATATCTTGTGAATCAATGTTTAGTTTATCATCATAATGATAGATGATAATCATCAGTTAATTTTTAATTACATACTTTAAATGCTTCATGGTTAGAGAGGGTAATGCTGAGGCTGCTCCAAACTCTTCATTATCTTTATCTTGAGCTTCCAAGTGAGAGCATTCAATAAGATGAGCGTAATGTTTAACCACAGGCCAATGAGCAGCTATTGTAATCACAATTAAAACGAATGAAACATGAAATAAAAGGTAAATAAAGAAACAATGTATCATTAATTGGAATGAATAGATAAATGAAAATGAAAAGTCATTAGGCTGTATCAATGAGTTATTACATGGTTAAATTTGATTGAACACAAACAGATGAAAGGCTAACTCTAAACAAGGTTATGCAGGATCATCTTAGGAAACAAATTGGGTAAATTAAATTTTCAGGTAAACAACTAATCATGATAACCTTAAGGTTAAATTTTAAGGTTGCTAAGTAATACATAATCAATAATAAAATGGCTATTTCACTGGAAAAGTGTAATTTTATTTCAAGTCACGATAGTTTCAAAATTTTGTCAAACCTAAAAGAAGAAGATACTAATATATTTGATGAAGTCTTTCCAGTATTACTAACTCAGAGGTAATCATCATGTAAATGATGTTTGATTAGCAAAACAAGAAGTTAACTGTTGAATATGTAATTTACCATTATCACAAAATTGTCATTACATAAACAGATTAATGGTACAACAAACATCATGTTATTACTATTATTGATGAATGAAAAAACAGGAAGGTTTCTTCGTTTTAATGCTAAACGGCTAAATAAAAGGTAAACGCGATTTGACAACTAACAACTTTACTGAATTGGATCATCCTTAAATCGTTACTCATGAAACTTGATATTAACAATCTGGATTACCTTGCCATTGCCTTTAATCCTTAAAAATAAGCTATCATTATTGCTATATGTATAAACAATTTTTGAAAATATTTGCAATTATAAATAAAATTAACTTTTAAAATGAATTGAATTTTTGGTTAAATTTTCAATGTTTTCCTCATAAGTTTTTTTTTATCATTACGTTTAAGTAAATATTTAACACATTGAACTCATGTTCAGAATAGAAGATAAATAGTGTAGATAAGTAAATGTTGAATATTCAAATATAAATTACCTTGAATGGAAATGACTTTTTTAAGTGTATAAATGGCCTGTTGTGATGGTTGCCTACTAAGCTCATGTTCACTAATAGGAGTTGTTTCGTCTCCTAACAAAGCCATTACGCATTCTTGGGCACAATCACATATCGAAGGTAAATCGTATCTAAAAAAAGTAGATGAATACAAATAATATCAGTAAATTGAAATAAAGGCCAAGAAGAACGGATTGTGATTATTCTAATGGTATTCACTCACCCTCCTTCCAATGACAAAACAAGCTTTCCGTTAGCTAATTTCATGAGTTGCTTTGTCATCCAGGCAAAACAGGCTGGTGATACTTGATAACCTCCTAATGGAGGAGGATGACCAGCAGCAGCATCAAAACCACAGGCAACCAAAACTATTTCCGGGTTAAAATTTTTAGCAATGGGCATCACAATTGAACGAAAAGCAGCCAAATATTCGGCATCACCTTTGGTTTCAGGAGAAATGCCTCCCGACCAAGCAATATTCACATTGTAACCAGTTCCATCTTCAACACCTACTTCGGTTGGATCGCCAGTTCCAGGAAAAAAGTTACCATCATCATGACGATGAAGCGAAATGTACAAAACGTGTGACGAATCAAAGAATATTTGCTGAATACCATTTCCATGGTGAACATCCCAATCGACAATTAAGATGGTCTCCATGTTGTGCTTTTTACGAATGGCTTGAGCAGCAATAGCCAAGGAATTAAAGAAACAAAACCCCATCGCTTGATTGACTTCAGCGTGATGACCTGGAGGTCTTACAATAGCAAAACCGTTTTTCAATTCACCTTGAGCAACTTTCAAGGCCAATTCAGAGACACATCCAACAGCCATAAGAGCTGCTGAAGGTGTATGTAACTGATTCCATGTGGTATCAGAATCAACACCGATTCCACCGCAGGGTAACATAACAAACGATTTGATGGGTAACTCATCCAACACGGTGGGATCAATTTTTGGTCGATTTGAAGGACTAGTAGCGAAAAGTAATGTATAAGCTTCTGAATGGCATGTTTGAACTTCTTCAAGAGTTGCTTTACGTGAGCGAATTTTTTCACATCTTGCTGCAAGGCCAGTTTCCTGGAGACGAGCCCAGATTGACTGTAATCGACCAGAGTGTTCAGGATGGCTTGAATTATCTCCACAATCACATTGGTGTTTGAGCATAAGATTATCATAGGCTAAACCTGTGGTCGATTTCCTAAAATTAATCGGAGGTGATAATGATGATGATTTTTCCAAGGAACCAGATGATTTAAGGGCTACAAATGGACTTGATGAGGCTCGGGATAGTGGACGAGTTGAATCATAATATGGATAACGGGAATGAGGAAGAATCTGTGGATATTGGTTTCCTTCTGGAAGTAATGATATTGTATAATGCGGAAAATGATGGTGATGAGAAGCAGTAGAGGGAGGTGGAGGTGGAGGTGGATGAGAGTGGCCATGGGGATGGCGAGGATTTGTTGTTATAACAGATGAATTTGAATGATGAAGTGGATGTACAGAGGAAGGTGGAGAAGATTGATGATTTAGAGGTGAAGGTTGATGTTGTTGTTGTTGTTGTTGCTGCTGCTGTTGCTGCTGCTGTTGCTGTTGCTGTTCAGTAATTAATCTAAGAGATTGTTGTACACTATAAATAAGTTGCTGAAATTCAGGATTCCGAAGATCATTCATAGCCATTAATTGTGGTGACATTAAATCCTTTTGGGCAAGGAATGGATCCCGATCACGGCTTAACTGCTGTTTCATCAAAATTGGCTCTCCACTTGAATTTTCACCTCGTCCACTTGTCACCCTTCCCCCTATTTCTGTGGGTGTCGCTTCCCTGGATTTACATCCACTCGATGCAGATCCAACAGAACCTGATCCACTTGCACTAGCTAAATAATCAATGGAATAACTTGACTCAATTCCACTGATGGAACATGAAGATGTTCCCTCTTCTGGTGTTGGTGGTGCTTCCTGAGAGTATTGACGTTTAATTCGTTCTTTTCGACTTGGAATGCCGCCCGGTAAGTTTGATACTGATCCTCCAAGTGGAGGTGTAGATGCTGCTGAGCTTATTGTTCCCAATCCACTAGTAACCGAAGATAATCCCATCGTTCCCGATGGTGAATCAACCATGTCATCTTGAGCAATGGCTGCTTCTGTTTCCTCTTCGAAACTTTGACTTTGAAGTTGCTGTTTACTTGAGGTTCGGGTTAATACCGTTTGCCTAATATGCTGTTTAACCTTGTTTCGCTGGTGCTGTGATAGGGGAGTTGAGGACTGTAGTTGGTCAGAGGCAGATGAAGATGAGGTACAGGTTGTCAGAGGAGAAACAGGCGATGAAGAAGATGAATGTAATTGAGGATGACCCAAAGGAAGCGGTGCCGAAAGAGCTCGTGCCAATGGGAGATGGTTTTTTCTGATAATTGCTGAATGTCCGATTGAACCATCAATTGAGGCTACATGATGAGTGGTGGCGGGATGTGGGTGAGGATGGACATGTGAATGGGATAAAATAGCTCCCTTAATGTGATGATGAGATAAAGAGTGCAATGGATGGTTTCCATTTCCACTGGCACCTCTGACACCACCTCCTCCACCCCCTCTATCAAGATGATTTCCTGAAGCAAAATTGGTTAAATGGCAATCATCTAGATGAGAAGAATGAGTGAGTAATTTCCCAGCATTATCTGGATCCAAAGGTTTTATAGATGAACTTCCATAAGGACTTGTTGGTGGACTGTTTTCTTGAATCACTGAGAAGATGCAAGAGAAATACAGAAAAAAAGACAGAGACAGAGAAAGAGAAAGAGACAATTAGAAAGAGCAAGTTTGTTTTGAAGGCAAAAAGAAAGGGAGATCTATAAATAGCTAAGGCCAAATATAAAAATAGACATGAGAAAAAGAGAGATGAAATTGGAGAGAAAAGGTTCAGGGAAAACAGTTCTTTTCTTCTTCTTTTTTGTCTTCTCTGTTCTATGTAAAGAAAGAGTAAAGTAGACAGAAGGAAAAAGAGTAAAGTAAAGAGAGAGAGAGAGGAAGAAAAAAAATTCTGGTTCAACAAGGAAATAAAAGAACCAAGAAACCTAGAAAAACAAAAACATGAATATAAAGGCCAACAGATGAAAAGGTTCATCCTAACCAGCTAAATATCACACTATCTCTTGGAGACATTATTTTATTATTTTCATAATCATTTCAAATAATGTAATCTACAAACTGACGAAGACACCTTTTTCCCTGAGTTCATCAGAGACGTAAAAAATAATGATAAATAACATGAATAATCAGTTGATTACTCAATATTTCAATGTTGAAACAAGTAAAAAATTATAAGTACAATGTAAAGATTAGATAATTTCAAGTGAAAATAGTGAGAATGTAATTTCATATCGATGTTCAAGTGATAATAAAATATTCCCAAAAAATAATAATTAAGCAAAAATAAAAGCAATCCATTAATAATGATTAAAAAGTATCCGGTTGTTGCTTAATCGTCAGCACAAATTAAGCAAATTAATGATGAAATAATTGACTATCAAGAATCAAAAAATGATAGATATTCCTGAAAGGATGAAACAAAACAAAAATCAATGTTTACACTCCTATTAAGGATGAACCTATGAAATGAACCAAACAATACTGGTTAATGTATAAATCATCATCAACATCGTGCAATTAGCCAATTATTTGTCTTAATATCAAATTGTTGATCATTACAATCAGACATTTTAATTATTTAGCCATTTGAACACACAACAGCAAAATTAATAATAATAATAAACATAATAAAATTAAACAATATATCAATCCTTTCAATGTTTTTGTTTTCATGTTTTGCACCAACTCTGTGTGATTGTTACTTTCAATGAATTTTCCAGTCAACTTTCATCATTTTCATCATTCTCTTCATCTCTCTCTGTCTTCCCTGTCTTACTCTACATTCATCTGTTATATAGTAATTTCATGTATATGTTTATATGTGTGTCTGTGTGTAAACCTGAAAGTTATAAATAGCAACTAAATTACCAATGTCTGATGTTGAAAAGGAGAAAGAGAGAGATGAGGAAACCTTACTTTACCTACCTTTTTTTACCAGTAAAAATCCTGGTTTTTATAGAGTTTATTATAACAACTTACCTAACCTGACCTACTTTTGAAAGGCAGGGAGAGATAGGAAGAGCCTGAGAAACCGATGGGATTAATGAAGCTTTCAATTTGAAATATACATAGTAACAAAGGTTGAAGGTAAAAAGGGAACAAAAATTTTCACCATTTTCTTTCACCAGAATCTGGACTAAAAAAACCTGGAAACATTGACTATTTTGGTGTAAATAATGATCAACATCGACAAGGTACTAATCAAGCTAACGGTGCTACAGGTATTGGGTTAAACAAGAGTCAAAATGATTGAAAGTTTACTGAAAATGCAAAATAAATACAAACAAATTGAAAAATGTTATTAAAATAACATGGGAAAGCAACTTGGTAACAGCAACGTCAATGTCAAATGTATTTTTAGCAATAATAATAAACCATTCTGTATATTATTACAGTTATTATTATTTACATTCATTCATTTTTTTTTCATCATTCTGATATAAGAAACAATAATGATAATAATGATAATAATACGATTGAGATGATAAATGATTATAAAATGGAAAAGTCAATAATCAAGGAAAAGACTTAAAAAGCATGTCAACAATCATGAAAGTTTAATCAAATCTAATCAAGGTAAGGTTATTGGAGAAGGTAAATCAGCGTAACATGTTTCGCTCAATAAAAAGGTAAACAAATTATCAAATTATCAAATTTTATCAATTTATATTTTCCAATGAAACCTGGATCATCATTGGGATAATAAAGGTTGATAGCTAAATATAAATTGAATACTTGATAGTTAAATTGTTGCAATTGACAAAAAACCCATTTTTTGTTGTATCCAAATAATGTTGATAGTTATACAAAAGCAATTTGACAAAAAGCTTGTAATGATATTAAAAGCATTAGTTTTGAGTTTTTCACAGTTGAATCCATTGAAGCCTCAATATATTGTTGGATTGCAGGTAAATGGTGAAAACAATCAAGTTACAGTTTTTTTTAAACAATTGAGGTTTATCAATGGTTTAAAAGTGCATCTTGTAGGACTTGAAATATGTTCAACATTATACAACAATCAACTAATTATCGTAAAATTGTTGTCACTAGAATCAGTTGATCAATTTCATCAACAAGAAACAAAAATACAAGGTAAAGGTAAATAAAAAAAAAGTTGTTGTTCAAAATTAAAAATAATTCAACAATTCAAGTTAATCTTTTTTTTGCACATTCAAGGTTACAATTAACTTTAAACATTAAATGAGTTAACATGAGAAGCTGTGATTGAAACATTCAACAATTGTAACAGTTATGCAATGGTCATGTCAATGTCAATGGTCAGTGCCAATGAATTGTGCAAAATTGTACCAAAAATCAATTTTGATCATTTCATTATTTCCTATCAAATTGTTACCATTGATTAGCATTTAATGTCAATTTAGAGACCTGAAATGTCCTTAACTGTGATTATGTTTTTCATTTGAGTCCAAGTTTAAATAACTTGAATAAGCTGCAAATTGGCAATTAAGGAAGACACACGAACAACATACAAATTGTTTAACAACTAAATCAAGGTAAACAACTTGTTGTCTTCAAAGTCTCACAATTTTGACAACAATTTAGAGTTAATCAATTAATGATATTTACAATTTAATATCTCATTTTTCAAAGGCAAATCAGATCATTGACATTACATCAATCTGGTTAACTTTAAATGTAACCTAATAAGTCAAATTAGATTTCATTTTTTTGCTGACTCGGTCAGTAAACTGTTTATTCACTGTAATCAATTGTAATCAAGTGATTGAGTGATTATTGAAACTATTGTGAACATGATATTCTGTGTTAATTGTTGTTGTTTTGTTGATTCAATTTTTTCATCATTTTCTGTCTCTGTTTGAAAATTGAATTTCAAGATTTACTCAGCTCTGCTTTTAGTTGTGATTATGCTTGAGGCGATTAGGAATCGGTGAGGAAAATAAAAAATGAAATTCAATGTCGTTCAATGAGAATAAGCATGATGATGATGATCATGTTTATCCCATTTTTGCAACAATTTATGGATAAACAGAGTAATTGTTCAAGGATTTCAGGTTAATATGATATAAAAATAGAGGCAAAAGGAAGGCGAAGGAAATAAAAGTGCAAAAAATTAAAGACAAAAGCTGATCATTAAAAGTGGAAAAATTAATTATTGCAAATTGAAACAAAAATCAACTGATTAACCGGCAATTTTAAACTGGTCATTGAATAAATTGTTTGTGAACTGTTGATTTTCAATTGAAGCAAATGCTAAATGTTTCAATTTCAACCAATTGTTGACTGATTTGTTTTTCAATGTTTATTGCTGAGAAGCCATTGAACATTGATTTTAATGGCAATTTAATGAACAGTTATGCCTTTAAAGGTAAAATGGTAAACACTGTTAGAGGTTAAACCAATGGAAGAGTTGAAATAACCATTTTAGGAATCATTTTGGGTTAAGGAAAATTTGAAACAATCATTTGGTTATCAAATGTCAGCAATTGATTATGATTAGCCTGTCTTCATGGTGGAAGAGGAAACATTAAGATTGTTTGATGAAAATAATGAAGGTATTCATTACCGTGTTACCGCGCAAATAGGCTCTGAGCTTATAAATGAACGAACCCCATTTATAAGACAAAGTTTTCCTCACCAATTAAAGCTTGTGCTTGTAAGTAAATCAGGTATTCTAGCCGTTTAAATAAGCGCTACTAAGATAATGAGCAAACTATGAGATAGGCTCTGATACAGAAATGGTCATTGCTGATAAAATACATTTTGAGCAATGGAAACGAGTCTAAAAAAATTATCATGCTAACAATCAATTAAACGATGAATAATCTTATCGAATCAGTGCCTATTGTCGAGAAAGAAGTTATTTTAAAACCGGTTTTTCTAAGTGAATTTTAAGCGCATAGCGCATCGTTATTTAGAGTAAAAAAAGCTTATAAACGAGGACCTCATTTAAAAGCTCAGAGCTTGAATGTGCGGTAACACGGTAATTGATTTGCAATTATAAATAATAATTGATTGTTTCAATGTAAATAAAACGATTGAATAAAAAATTTTGGTCAAAATAAAAGGTAAAGTGGCGAGTTGGATATTGGGAAAAAATATTTGGAAATGAAATTATGTTTGATAACCTTTTTGCTTCTCCATGTTATCATGAATATTAACATGCAAAAGTTATCAACTAACTGTAAATGTGTGTATATAATAATAATCATGGTGATGGCCTTGATGAATGTTGCTTTAAAAATGCCAGAAATAGTCCAACTTTGTTCACCTTCTGGTTGCATTAGCATTAGTTGGATATACAGTGAAAAGGCTGATGAAACTGACACAGCTGAAGAGGATAACCCAAAATAGCAGTCAAGATTAACATTATGAGATGAATGTATATTAACACTGATGATGATTATAATAGTTAATAAGAGGAGAGATATAAATACATAGATAAATATAAATACACTCAAGATTTGTGTTGTTGTAATCAAGGCCTCATTTCAAAGTTGAAAACAAAAAGACACTCTAATGGTTGCAGCTAATTTTTTGAGCGTTTTTTTCCCCAAAAAATAAATAAATGAACGCACATTCAGACAAATTGAGACATTTACAGTTTCATGAAAATTGAAAGCTGTCAATGACTTTTGACAATGAATGAAAAAAATAATGAAATAAATGTCTTTAGTAAACATTGAATTGTAAATAGACAAGTGTTTGAATGGTTGGAGTCAACTGTTTTTTTGTTGTGTCCTCATGATTAATTAGCTGATGAGCTGAGTTTCAATTTGTGGACAAAAGGTTGTAAAGGTAAGTGCAACAATAAGATGATAATGATGATTGGGATCATGATGATGATTGACTGAACTACAATTTGTTTTGCCTCTTACTCAAGATTACTGAGGAATCATATGATTTTGTTGAATGTGTGACGATGAAAATATGATAGGAAGTCAGTGAATAACTGAACAAATGACTCTCCGTAAGCTGAACAACCTTGAGAGGAATGCAGATAATAGAAAGAGAAGATGGAAAAAGACAGAGAAGAAACATGTTGAAACATGATTTTTGTAAACGTTATCATTGGCGAGTTTGGGTAAGATATGGAAAGAAAGCCTCAGAAATTATCAGGATAATCCTCATAATAATAATAATAGCAATAATGATCAACATTGTGACTAAATGATTGGTAATCAAGAAAAGTGATAATTGATTGGAAAATTGATTGCAACAATTTTTGATTGTGAGAGAAAAAGGTTTTCGTTTTTTCTTTCTCAAAGGAAAAGTGTGTTCGATTTTTCTCAGTGTTTTTGATGTTAGTAATGTGATAACATGCATACTTGATGATGATGCGGAAACAGGAGCCGAAGCTGAACCTTCGGTGATAGATCCATATAAGGAATGTTGATGAGCAAGGGATGCTGATCCAATGGATGAAGGACCATTTCGCCCTCGAATTTTGGGTAATTTTCGCTTAAGAAGAGGTGAACTTCTGTTTGCAATCGTTTTTTTCTTTAAAGATGATCGCACTTTTAAATTAGGTTCGGAAGCTGTGGGTGGTTTGATGATGAGAGAAGAGAGAGAAGAAGAAGAGGAATCAGAAACAAAGTTATTTAGTTAATTGTGTGTTTGTGCAACAATGAAGGAATAACAAGGAAAGGTAAAACAATTAGTAAATGATGGATAAACATTGGACTAGACATTGAACTAAACATTCAACTAAACATTGGGCTAATCAAAGGAATCAAGCATTTGGATATTTGAAGATCAGGCAATTTTGTTTGTTGTTGTTTCTCTCATTGTAATCATTATTATTATTGCAATTATTGTTATGATCGTTGGTACGATTAGGGTTATCGTTGGTATCTTTAATAAGCATTATGTGAATACAAAATGGTGCTTTTAAAATGCAATTGAGAGTATTTGATAAACTTGCAAACATAATACAGTTAAAGACCTTGACAGGCAATGACGTTTACAGACTCTTACTTTCTCTTTCCTCTCATCATCATCATCAGTATCATCATCAACATCATCATCATCATCTTGAAAAGTTGTCGTTGTTAGCATTTTCACTCGCTCTTTCTTATTTTTCTGTTCAGCTGCCAATTATAACTGAAACTCATTTATATTTGAGCAAGGCAAGAAATCGATTAAAGCTAAGAATTAATCGTTTCTATTTTGTTACAATAAAAACTTGCATTTGATTAATAATCTAAATAAATTGCACTCTAGCAATCAAAATTACTCCCAATTTTTTGCCTAATTTGTTGTGAAACAATATCACTATTTATCAACAGTAAAAACCTATGAATATGAATGGGAAAAGGATGATGATGGAGAAGAAAATGACAGAAGATGAAACAAGATGAAAATGAATGAAAGTCAATGAAAAATGAACAGTTGAATGAATGATTGAGAGTAAAAAATTTAAAGGTAAAAAGTCACTGAAAAGTGGACAACAGGAAAAAAATAAAAGGTAACCTTACAAGAGGAAGTAATGCAGAATCTTTTTTTACGATCATTACTAAACCAAATGATAATTCAAATTATTTCATCTTCTTCGTTTTTTCTTCCAGTAAAGGGTTGAACAAAAAGTTACCTGTTTTCCTTAAGGTGCTTAAATTGTCTTCATATTTTCCTGACATTGGATTCCTGAGAGAAGGAGATAAAAATGTTTACAAAAAAACAAACAATTAGTAAATTCGTACAGCAGCATTTGTTTCAATTTTCATTGTTAACGATATTATCATCATCATTAGCTTTATAATCAACTTTATCATTGTGTTTATTTTTAAACTCAATTGACCAGAATCAAGTTGATTGTGTTTATCGTATGAAACATATTGTTCAATAGTTGAAATGATTATTGAATGAATGGTAAATTAAGGATTCAATTACTTTCAATTTCAACGTTTTTAGTGACAATGTTTAAGACAAACGTTAATTGATTGACAATTTAGATTTAATTTAATGGTCAACATCTATTTTCAATGGCAACATCAATAGGTCTTTGGGTCAAAATAGCTGAGTTTAGTGGACATTTGGAAGCGTTAAAATAATCTTGTGTTCAGTAAATGTTTTCAATTTACATTCATGTTGATGTTGTTCACTTTCCCGGTCAAATTTTGATTTATGCATTGAATTATTATCGCACTGACCAATGAAGCCACCATTGAATCACAACAATCAATGGTTGCCATAGTGGTAACAACTCAAGATATCAAGATAATCTGATGAGTAAATTTCGAGTTTCTAAGAAAACGAAAAATGAATTTTCAGCTGATGCTTTCAGTTGGAAAATTTATTTTCTTTTGACACACAGCCACCAGAACTTAGACTATCTAAATGTAACTACAAATCTTGTCCACCAAACAATCTACTCATGGAATTATCATGTATCCTGACATTTTAGCTCAACACTTGTAAGTAAATAGTATTCACTCAAATGTCAGTTGTGAGCTAAAATGTCAGGGAACATGGTATTTTCACTAGCCTTTATCATGACTTTTTGAACCATAAAAAGAGTCAACAATAAACAAAAATTGATTTACAATCAAACTCAAGTTGTTGAGCTTCGTCGATCTCAGCTATTACAATTTCATGTTCGACTTTTACTTATTTCCGAACTTGTTTTGAAGATTTTCGACTTGCTTTCTGGTAACTTGAGTGCTTCTATGGTCATTGACTGTCAAACTAGACAAATATTTTTTTGAGCACCAAATCTGTCTTTTAATTATCTAAATTGTAACTGCTCGGATTACCTTGACTTCATCTATTGGTGCAAGAAGGATAAACTTTTATCTGTTTAGCATATTTATCTAGTTTTATCTATTTAAATACGACAACTGAAGCAATCACTAATGGTTTGTCACTTTGGTTTCTCACATATAAAAAAACTAGAAGAAACACCTCATCTGTTAACTCTGTTGTCAAATCTGGTAACTCACCAAGCAAGGTTCACAAATTGATTGTTGTTGGTTTTACAGCTACCCGGTGGCTGTCCATTGTTGATTGTTCCCGTAATAGAGTTACACATAGATCCGGTAGCGTTGCTAATAAGACGTGAAACATTTTGAGGTTGTTGCTGTTGTTGGTGATGGTGGTGTTGTTGATGTTGTGTTATCGATGAAGGTGATTGTTGCTGTGGTTGTTGCTGTTGTTGTTGTTGGATTGTTGATTGTGATTTCTGTTGATTAGCCTCTCGTTGTTTCTTATTGAGAACAAATTCTGCCAGGCGTTGTTTTACCTCCGGAGAGGCACTGTGTTTCATATTGACTTGACAGACACCAAAGAAAGAAACATAGACACAGAGAGTTGAACGAGAAATGAAGATAGAAAGTGAGAGTTGCACGGAAGATACGAATACAAATGTATACATTAACAACAAACAACAACCAATAAAATAAAAATACAGAAAAAAAACACTTCTCCTTTCTACCTCTGTATTTTTAATGTTTAAGAAACGGAGAGAAATAAAAATTAGCCTTTAGTCATATCATGGATTTTTGTATTTCAATTGATGTTCAGAGAATGGGAAGTGATTCTTAACTATTTATATACAGGGTGAACAGAAAGTTCGTGTAAGGGGAAAAAATCACTCCCCTTGCGCACTAAATCCATTTTCTCTGGTTATGCTTAGGATTAATGTTTACATTTTTTTCAAGTCAACTTCCCATTTGTTCAGATCGCTGGAATCCATTTTTCAATTTACTCATTGATTCATTTTTCACCAATTATCTTATCCATTGTTGATAGGCATTTAATGACAGTTATTGGTAAAGCCTTTTGCACCAATTCAAAGTTTAACAACATGAGAATAGAGTTTGAATAAACCGCTATTTCTTAACGCATTTTGATTCTCCGCCCCAACATGAACTTTCTGTACACCCGGTATTAAAGCTGAGATGGTTAGAATGGTTGTTATAACCAGTAACCACCACATTTCACCCCCATAGTTATACTAACCCAGTTATCGACAGTTACTGAAGCAGCTCAACGCCATCTAATAATGATTAGGATAACTTGAAATAAGAACGAGCGCAATTTTTGAATAATGAGCGCCTCTAGTGATAGATGCAATAACTGAGATATTGAGATTATAATGTACCATCAATACATTAATACCAAAAAATTTTTTCAGTTTTATTTTTATTTTTAATTGTTAATGTTAATCTTTTGAATGCATACGTGCAACAAAATTTGATAATTGATTTACGTCAGCAATTTTCGTTTGTTTGTTGTAAATATGAAATTAATCAAATGCGTCAATTAATAATTTAAAATTTGTACAAATGCTAAGAAATTAATTTTTAGCTGCAAATTGAATCAAGTTTAGCAAAAATTTTCGGAATTTTGACGTCAATCAATTATTGAAGGCTTTGAATTTTGTTGCACAAATGCATTTAAAAGATATTAACAATTAAAAACAAAGCTTTTAAACGTCACAGAAAGAAAATTAATGGTTTATCATTGTACCTATCAATAATAACATGCACGAAGTAGTAATGAGCCCAATTGATTTGGAAACAGTCAACTAATGTCAGTGTCCTCTCCATGTTCTTTATCTCAATCTGGTAAACTTCAACGACGAGAAGCTATCATTAGTTTACCTTTAATTCCTAGTTCTTTCAATGAACCTCAAATAAGGGTTTGCATAGACTGTAAAGACAGAAACTACTTTATTGATTTAAAAATCCATTATTTGAACTTTTATCCTTAGAGACACTCTTTACTGTAAAATCAAATTTAAATATTATTTTTTAACTTTTTTAGGAATGCAGATTGTAATTATAAAGTCATGGGGACTCATGGACAAGAAGTTAGAATCAAATTGGTGAGACTTGGTGAGAAAATCGATGCTATGAGGCATTTTCCTGTAGAATAATTAATGATTGACTTTCAAGTTGAAAACTACGAATTAATTTACTAATTTCTTAGTATTTTTAGTCGGCGTATAAATGCACTTGGTGTCCAAGGGGATATACAGAATTTCAGATCCGAAAGAAATCAATTTGGGAAAGAATTTAACTATGGAGAAGGCAGATACAAAAAAGAAACAAGAAATGAACAATAAATTGATCGAGAGGATGAGAACGAGAACGAACTAAATGCTGAATTTCCATACTGTAACATCGCTATTTACGCTCATTCCACAGGTTGAAGAGCAGAGATAAATATGTATTTGTAAATAAAAAAGATACATTGTTTCAATTTTAAGCTAAAAACTTACTTAATATTTACTTTAAAAGATTTGAAACCACTCAAGATTCACTTCATCTTGATTAACTAATTACAATCAAGATATGAATATAATGAATATGTTTCAATAATGTCATTGGTTTGAAACGATTCATATTTCACGATTGTATTGAACTTTGGAGCATATTAACAAGTGATAGTATAAGTTTTTATTTTTTAAACTATTCTTTTAAATAGTGTATTGGAAACAACTTTTGATAAAACAATTTTGGATTAATTTACAACTATTTGTTTAATTGTGAATTTGATAGTTTGGTCTACAAAACAAGAACGGGAATATATTAGAAAAAACAAAAGAAATGAGATTACATGAAAAATACATCCATAGATATTCATTGATACAAAAAAGATTGTCTCGTTTCTATCGACTCTCATTACTGTATAATATTTAATTCTATCATCTCTATCTTTCTCTTTTACATCTTTGATTCAGCTTTTATTTATAAATATCGTTTTAGAGACATTTGAGGTAATAGAAAAAAGAAGAAAATAAATTGGAATGATTTTCAATGAATGGATCAATGATCACAGATATGCCTGTCTGAAAAAGGCATCCCAATATGAGACAAACAGGACGAGAAAAGTTTCAGCCAAGTGAGTATTGTGAAGCTGTTGATGAGCACAATGTTGTAAATGAATATGATGACGATGACTATGATAAAGGTGATGATGATGTGATAATAATGAGGAATCCTATTCCTTATCGCTTGGACTTAACTTAATGACAAGTTTATTGAATGATTTTTGTTAACGACCAACATCGCCGTTGACTGGAATACTTTGCATCATATATTCAATTTCAAGTTCACGAAGATTGGCTTCTAACATACTAGCTTCATCGTATTTGTTGGCTTTTCTCGCTAAATCGATAAATTCCTTGATTTGATTAATTTGAATTAACATAGGGTCCATATCTTCAAGGTTAACATCCTTTATTTTTACTTCTGGTGTCCAACCATCCTTTGCTAAAACTGGATTTTGATTTGATTTAGATGTTGATCCACTGTACACTTTACTAGATCTATTTAGTTTAGGATCATTCGGAGTATTCAACGCTGCTTCTTCAGCTTTCAACTTTTCTTCTCGTAATTTTTCATATTCTGCTTGTGTTGGTATTGGTGGAAGTCCAGATAATTTTTGCTGAATAAAATTAACAGCAGCAGCGCGAATGCGACTTTGTAATTGTCGCTGAGATGGGTTCAATGGTATATCCCCTTGGACACCAAGTGCATTTATACGACGACTAAACATATAAGAAATTAGTAAACTGATGATACTCCCTCGTCGTTGAAGTTTACCAGGTTGAGATGGAGAATCTGGAGAGGATACTGACATAAGTTGACTAGTTTCCAAATCAATCGGGCTCACTAGCTGTTTTGCATAGTTCGAGTCCAAAAAATGAGAACAATTGTGGCACATAATACCATCACAAAGTTGACATTGATGACGACGACGACTGAAATTGAATGTTTTTGCACATTGAGGACACAGATTAACATAAACATCTTCAACGACACTTTTTTCGTGCAATTTTTTCAAGTCTGAATCTAATAAGAAATAGAGTAACAAACAATAATTTTGAATTAGAAAGAGAATGAGCAAAGTCCTTTTAGGTCCAATCTGACCCAGAATGTAAATTAAAGAGAAAATCAAATAGTTTCAATTTCAACTTTTTTAGTAACATGTTTTTTATAATAATCATGTACAATGATTTCAAAATAATAAAATAACCATTAAGATTGCTTTAATGCTGTATTAGTTTAAAGTGCTAACTAATTAATTAACTAATTAATTTCATCGGCTATCTTCAATTTTGAATTTGATATTTGATCTTTGAACATAGCTTATTGTTATGTCTAGTTACTAACAATGTTAAAATTTGAAAATATAGTAATTAAAGAAATAATAAAAATAATGCATATGTTTTCAACAAAATGATTCATTATCTGTTTTTTCTGGCTATTCTACAATTTGATAATTGATAACCATTATACAAATGTACGTAATTCATTACGTCTGTTTACTTACAATATTTAAATGTTCAAAAAGACAAAATAACTAAGTAAGTGTCTAAAACTTAATAACATCGATTTGAATGAATTAGTTGCTTCAGATGGCAAACATTTTAAAATAAGTATGTCTAACAATGTATTGGTTCAACTCTTTAACTTTACTTATTAAGTTAACTTCGTTAATAAATGTCATTAAATGCCTAGCAATGATTGATAAGATAATTGGTAAAAATAGATCAATGAGAGAATCAAAACCAAAAATATATCCATCTTTGATAGATATACAAAGATGGATAACATGTAATATAAGAGAAAGAAGTCTATCCTTCTTAGTAGTTCGCACCAGTAACTGAAGACAAGTTGATCGGATCAGTTACAATTTAGATAATACCAAGACAGATTTCAGGCTCAAAAATATTTGATTAGTTTATTAGACAGTATTTACAGTCAATGACCATAGAAGCACTCAAGTTACCAGAAAGCAAGTCGAAAATCTTCAAAACAAGTTCGGAAATAAGTAAAAGTCGAACATGAAATTGTAATAGCTGAGATCGACGAAGCTCAACAACTTGAGTTTGATTGTAAATCAATTTTTGTTTATTGTTGACTCTTTTTATGGTTCAAAAAGTCATGATAAAGGCTAGTGAAAATACCATGTTCCCTGAAATTTGACCCATCAGCTATTTTGACCCAAAGACCTATTGATGTTGCCCATGAAAATAGATGTTGACCATTAAATTAAATCTAAATTGTCAATCAATTAACGTTTGTCTTAAAAATTGTTACTAAAAAGTTGAAATTGAAACTATTTGATTTTCTCTTTAATTTACATTCTGGGTCAGATTGGACCTAAAAGGACTTTGCTCATTCTCTTTCTAATTCAAAATTATTGTTTGTTACTCTATTTCTTATTAGATTTAGACTTGAAAAAATTGCACGAAAAAAGTGTCGTTGAATGGGTTGAAGATGTTTATGTTAATCTGTGTCCTCAATGTGCAAAAACATTCAATTTCAGTCGTCGTCGTCATCACTGTCAACTTTGTGGTGGTATTATGTGCCACAATTGTTCTCATTTTTTGGACTCGAACTATGCAAAACAGCTAGTGAGCCCGATTGATTTGGAAACCAGTCAACTAATGTCAGTATCCTCTCCAGATTCTCCATCTCAACCTGGTGCACTTTAACGACGAGGGAGTATCATCAGTTTACCTTCAATTCCTAGTTCCAATGCATAGCGGAAATGTGGCTGAAGCTCATAGACTTATTGAACAGTATCTTCAAATCATCGACTCTTTAAGGTAAGCAATCTTTCATCCATGCTTTTAGAGATTTTTGGGTCAACTTTCAGAGTAAAACAGTGTCAATATTATAAGATGAGTTATGACTGGATAATGATCTGATGATTTGGCATTCGCTAAGAGACGCCCAATTCCTCATGGTACTATCAAAGTTTTTAACAAATTTGTCCACATCTTTGCTTACCAACTCCAAGTTGAAGCACCCACGAGAAAAATATTTATTCATGTCACAGTCATTAGAAAATTGCCTGAGATCTAATATTTGGTTGCTAGAAGTAATCATACTGGCATCAGCAGGACAATTGTACATTTCTAATTTTGGTGTTATATGCTCGATCAGGTGCCGAAGTTCGCTGAAGTTTTGGCTGACTGTATCATTTAAATCCGCAACAGACTGCCGTACATTAGCTATAATTTCATTATCCTTCATGGCATAGCTATTTTCACCCAGAATTTGAACACGAACATAGTTTACAATTTTATCAAACTCAAAACAAACAGCATCCCATCCCTTTTCCAGTGATCGTTTTCTCAACTCAAAATATTCTTGCTCAGACAGCATTTTTTGATCAAGGTCCTCATAGATGAAAGTAAGATCGGATAATCTGCCAGATTCTTCTTCAGCCCGATTGACAAGTCGGAAGTCATTCAGATCAGGTTCGATTTCAGTGCCATACTTTTCTTTCAAAACTTTGGTCATAACATAATTGATTAGATTCAGAAAATATGAGCAAAATGCTTCACCTCCAGGTTGAACCGCATAGATAGGAGTGAACTTTAAACTGCCATCAATCTGTTTGTAAAAAAATAGAAAAGATATAGTAAACGAAACGAGAGACACCTTAGAGAAAACGTACCTTTTCAAGTGATTTCAGAAATTCAATTGTAACTTTTCTGAACTCGGCTTCTTGATTTTTATCCAAGCAAGGATAACAATACCGATATTGTTGCAAAACTTGGGAATTTTTTAAACACCTGACGAGAAAGATCATGATGATTTCAAAAGCTTTATGGTCCGGCTTTCCAAATAATTCCCTTCAAGACGGAAAGAAGATAATTCAGAAAAAATTCAATTAGTTAACTAATCAGTCAAAGCAAAACACAAATATTTACCTTTTGAGGATAAAATTTTTACATTCTTTTCGGTTGACAACGTATTCATTGAAGGAGAGCCCCTCAAGACTTTCAAAAATGGCATTTTGAAGTTCTTGTAGTTGACTCATTATAGACAAGACTGGATGGTAATACCAATAAAAATAATGTCCAAACAATCAAAAATAATAGAAGCAAATCTTCGTGAACTTGAAATTGAATATATGATGCAAAGTATTCCAGTCAACGGCGATGTCGGTCGTTAACACAAATCAATCAATAAACTTATCATTAAGTTAAGTCCAAGCGATGAGGAATAGGATTCCTCATTATTACCACATCATCATCACCTTTATCAAAGTTATCGTCATCATATTCATTTACAACATTGTGCTCATCAACAGCTTCACAATACTCATTTGGCTGAAACTTTTCTCGTCCTGTTTGTCTCATATTGGGGATGCCTTTTTCAGACAGGCATATCTGTGATCATTGATCCATTCATTTAAAATCATTCCAATTTATTTTCTTCTTTTTTCTATTGCCTCAAATGTCTCTAAAACGATATTTATAAATAAAAGCTGAATCAAAGATGTAAAAGAGAAAGATGTAGATGATAGAATTAAATATTATACAGTAATGAGAGTCGATAGAAACGAGACAATCTTTTTTGTCACAATGAATATCTGTCGATGTATTTTTCATGTAATCTCATTTGCTTTGTTTTTTCTTATATATTTCCGTTCTTGTTTTGTAGACCAAACTATCAAATTCACAATGAAACAAATAGTTGTAAATTAATCCAAAATTGTTTTATCAAAAGTTGTTTCCAATACACTATTTAAAAGAATAGTTTAAAAAATAAAAACTTATACTATCACTTGTTAATATGCTCCAAAGTTCAATACAATCGTGAAATATGAATCGTTTTAAACCAATGACATTATTGAAACATATTCATTATAATTTTCATATCTTTATTGTAATTAGTTAATCAAGATGAAGTGAATCTTGAGTGGCTTCAAATCTTTTGCAGTAAATATTAATGAAGTTTCTAGCTTAAAATTGTAACAATGTATCTTTTTTTATTTACAAATATATATTTATCTCCGCTCTTCAACCTGATGAAACGATTGTAACCTGTGAGATAAAAAGTTTGCGAAGCTCTTTTCTCGTAAGTGAATGATTGAACTTTATGAAATTAAATATGATATAGTAGATATTGTAGCTTTGATATCTGAGAAATCAAGAAGAAAAAACAAAGGGCACTGCAACAATAATCACTCCAACTTGCAGGATAAATTTTTTAATTTTCAGAAAAATTCTACTATCAACTTACGAGATATAAGAAAAAACCAAAATTGCCAAACTTTTTTGCCCCACAGGTTATGATTGATTATTGTAAATATAAATAACAATTTTTGAATTACGCAAAAATACCAAGTTAATGAGTAATTATAAAAGTTTTTCATCAATTCCGGTAGTTTCATCAATTATAATCAACTAATAAATTGAGTCTGAAAATAGTTGATGACATTAAATGATAGGTACTTATTGCAGCTGCATATATTCAAGCAATCAAAGTACATCTTATTGTAATTTTAATTGTTTTCCCAGTTTTTTGGCAATATAATTGGATAAGAAAATATGATCTATCTACGTTGATAAAAAACGTAATTGATTACGTATAAGTTAAGTATTGTGAATTTTTTTTATATCATAAATTCATGGTTTTATCACTTTATTTAACGTAGAATGCATATAAAATTTAAAGTAGTTTTGTATAAAATTGTAATAAAATTGTGATCAGGAAAATATAATAATAGAATGTTGATATAATGATGAGAATGAGAAAATCTAATGAAATCAGTTATAATATATAAAATTAGCTATTTGATTGGTATACTCTGGCATTTTAAAGTTAATTCAAGTCTTTCTTTTAATTTCTTACTCGTTTTATTTACGTAGCTGTGCTAAATTCGCAGCTCAAAGAGTGATCTGGTTAGATTTCAAATAAAATTATAAAATTATCTTCTAATGAAATGTTTGATTTCAGAGCTCATTCAACGATCGACTTGCAGTCATAATTTGGATTACAAGTCATAACAAGTGATTATAAAAATTGTATTTAAATTCATGTTTTTAATTGTAACTGAAAAATTTACTTGTGAATGGTCATGAAATTAAGAAGCATTCATGAACTCATAGTCTATTCGGTCATCGATGCAATTTATCAATGGATTCTTTATGTAATTATTCTCAGTGAGGATTGATAACTTTCTTTTTCAATCATATTGATTTTTTATTGCTGCCATTTATCTGGAATAGAATGAATAATTAACTAGTATAATTTTACAGTTGACAATCGACGATTATCTTTCAATGTAGCTAATTGATTACGTCTGTTTTAAAAGTATTAAAAGTTGTAGAAAACATTATTATAAAAAATTATAAACTTACCTGAGTAGTTGAGGCAAATTCAATATAAAGCAAGATGCCCAAATTATAAATTCAACTATCATTGGGTTGAGATACGTTAGGTTTAAAATAAAAAAGAAACAAGAAAAAATTAACAATAAATCGGTCAAAAGGATGAGAACGAGGTCTACGAACTAAATGATGGATTTCAATAATGAAACATTGTTATTTATATTTGCAATAATCAATGATAAAATCGTTTTATCAGGTTGATGAGCGGAGATAGATATGTATTTGTAAATAAAAAAAAGATACATTGTTACAATTTTAAGCTAGAAACTTCATTAATATTTACTTTAAAAGATTTGAAGCCACTCAAGATTCACTTCATCTTGATTACCTAATTACAATAAAGATATGAAAATTATAATGAATAAGTTTCAATAATGTCATTGGTTTAAAACGATTCATATTTCACGATTGTATTGAGCTTTGGATCATATTAACAAGTGATAGTATAAGTTTTATTTTTTTAAACTATTCTTTAAATAGTGTATTGGTAACAATCAACTTTATGATAAGACAATTTTGGATTAATTTACAACTATTTGTTTCATTATGAATTTGATAGTTTGGTCTACAAAACAAGAACGGAAATATATTAGAAAAAAAACAAAGGAAATGAGATTACATGAAAAATACATCCATAGATATTCATTGATACAAAAAAGATTGTCTCGTTTCTATCGACTCTCATTACTGTATAATAATTAATTCTATCATCTCTATCTTTCTCTTTTACATCTTTGATTCAGCTTTTATTTATAAATATCGTTTTAGAGACATTTGAGGTAATAGAAAGAAGAAGAAAATAAATTGGAATGATTTTAAATGAATGGATCAATGATCACAGATATGCCTGTCTGCAAAAGGCATCCCAATATGAGACAAACAGGACGAGAAAAGTTTCAGCCAAGTGAGTATTGTGAAGCTGTTGATGAGCACAATGTTTATGATGACTATGATGACGATGACTATGATAAAGGTGATGATGATGTGATAATAATGAGGAATCCTATTCCTTATCGCTTGGACTTAACTTAATGACAAGTTTATTGAATGATTTTTGTTAACGACCAACATCGCCGTTGACTGGAATACTTTGCATCATATATTCAATTTCAAGTTCACGAAGATTGGCTTCTAACATACTAGCTTCATCGTATTTGTTGGCTTTTCTCGCTAAATCGATAAATTCCTTGATTTGATTAATTTGAATTAACATAGGGTCCATATCTTCAAGGTTAACATCCTTTATTTTTACTTCTGGTGTCCAACCATCCTTTGCTAAAACTGGATTTTGATTTGATTTAGATGTTGATCCACTGTACACTTTACTAGATCTATTTACTAGTTTAGGATCATTCGGTGTATTTAAGGCTGCTTCTTGAGCTTTCAACTTTTCTTCTCGTAATTTTTCATATTCTGCTTGTGTTGGTATTGGTGGAAGTCCAGATAATTTTTGCTGAATAAAATTAACAGCAGCAGCGCGAATGCGACTTTGTAATTGTCGCTGAGATGGGTTCAATGGTATATCCCCTTGGACACCAAGTGCATTTATACGGCGACTAAACATAATAAGAAATTAGTAAATTAATTCATCGTTTTCAACTTGAAAGTCAATTATTAATAATTCAGGCAAATACCTCATAGCATCGATTTTCTCACCAAGTCTCACCAATTTGATTCTGACTTCTTGTCCATGAGTGGCTTCGACTTTATAATTACATTCTGCATTCCTAAAAAGTAAAAAAAATAAGGTAGTTAGTTTTACGGGTAAATCTGCACAGATTGCTAATTTCAATTCATGAGAAGGGCGTATTAAGCATGGATGAAAGATTGCTTACCTCAAAGAGTCGATGATTTGAAGATACTGTTCAATAAGTCTATGAGCTTCATCCACATTTTCTCTATGCATCTCGTACATCTGACAAATAATTGGTCGCGAATGTTGCTCATACATTTGTTGGTTCCTTCGGTCTAGAAGGACTTTACAGTCTATGCAAACCCTTATTTGAGGTTCATTAGAAGAACTAGGAATTGAAGGTAAACTGATGATACTCCCTCGTCGTTGAAGTGCACCAGGTTGAGATGGAGAATCTGGAGAGGATACTGACATTAGTTGACTGGTTTCCAAATCAATCGGGCTCACTAGCTGTTTTGCATAGTTCGAGTCCAAAAAATGAGAGCAATTGTGGCACATAATACCACCACAAAGTCGACAGTGATGACGACGACGACTGAAATTGAATGTTTTTGCACATTGAGGACACAGATTAACATAAACATCTTCAACCCATTCAACGACACTTTTTTCGTGCAATTTTTTCAAGTCTGGATCTAATAAGAAATGGAATAACAAACAATAATTTTGAATTAGAAAGATGGATTTGAAAGAGAATGAGCAAAGCATTTTTAGGCCCAATCTGACCCAGAATGTAAATTAAAGGGAAAATAAAAAGTCAAATCATACCAATAGGTGTTTCTCTCAATAGTTTATCCAATCGAATCAACAATTTATTGGTTTCAATAACACAGTTCTCGATTTTATGGTTTCTTCTCACTTTGAATTGTTCCCAATAACTCCTTGTAGGACCACAGGCTTGTACAGATCTCCAATATTCGTTTGGATCATTATCATAAAATTCATTATCAGCTGCATTAGTTGATTTAGATGATCCCTCATCATCTGTATTTAAAATTTTCTTTGCTTTATCCAGAATACCCCGTAAACTGGAAACAGCTTTTTGCGGTGTTTCACCTTTATGTTGCTCTTCAAAGTGAGCCAATAATTCACGGGCGGTGTCAAATCGAGAGATACAGTTGGGACAAAGAAAACCTTCCATATCACAATTTAAAAATAAGAAAAGTATGTATTAACAAATGAAAAATGACAACTATAAATTTGTAAACAAACAATCATAGAAAGGAAAGACCATTAACTGAACAATCAGGATAATTTTCTTAAGTAGCGCCATCAGGTATCAGAACTTGAAACAAATACTGTCAGAATTTAATTTCAATTCTTGTAATATTCAACAATTTATTGCAATTATTAAATGCTCGAATCAATTGCAACCACTCTTGCAGTTTCTTGACATTCCTTTAATTTTTACGAGAAATCTCTAATTGATCTGAAAATGTCCGAACCTTAACGGTTTTCAACTTCAATTAGCTAAAAATCCAAGTGAATTTTTTTCTCGAGCTAAGAAACTAATTAAATCAAAGATTTCTTGATTCTTTTGAATAATTCTGAATTGGATTCGATCAAACAATTTTAAAATATTTTTTTGAAATTTTCTTTTCGGTTAAAATGACTTCTTAAAAGCGCCACAAGATATCGCTTGATCGTGCGTTTCTATGGCAATGGTTTCAATTTTTACCCGCGTTTTTATTTGTATGAGTCTCCACTGTTTATCTTATAAGTTTTTCATTTGTCTTAATTTCTTCATCTATTTTAATTTGTGTTTATTATTTTTGATTGCTTGGACATTATTTTTATTGGTATTACCATCCAGTCTTGTCTATAATGAGTCAACTACAAGAACTTCAAAATGGCATTTTTGAAAGTCTTGAGGGGCTCTCCTTCAATGAATACGTTGTCAACCGAAAAGAATGTAAAAATTTTATCCTCAAAAGGTAAATATTTGTGTTTTGCTTTGTTAGTTAACTAATTGATTTTTTTCTGAATTATCTTCTTTCCGTCTTGAAGGGAATTATTTGGAAAGCCGGACCATAAGGCATTTGAAATCATCATGATCTTTCTCGTCAGATGCTTAAAAAATTCACAAGTTTTGCAACAATATCGGTATTGTTATCCTTGCTTGGATAAAAATCAAGAAGCCGAGTTCAGAAAAGTTACAATTGAATTTCTGAAATCACTTGAAAAGGTACGTTTTCTCTAAGGTGTCTCTCGTTTCGTTTACTATATCTTTTCTATTTTTTTACAAACAGATTGATGGCAGTTTAAAGTTCACTCCTATCTATGCGGTTCAACCTGGAGGTGAAGCATTTTGCTCATATTTTCTGAATCTAATCAATTATGTTATGACCAAAGTTTTGAAAGAAAAGTATGGCACTGAGATTGAAGCTGATCTGAATGACTTCCGACTTGTCAATCGGGCTGAAGAAGAATCTGGCAGATTATCCGATCTTACTTTCATCTATGAGGACCTTGATCAAAAAATGCTGTCTGAGCAAGAATATTTTGAGTTGAGAAAACGATCACTGGAAAAGGAATGGGATGCTGTTTGTTTTGAGTTCGATAAAGTTGTGAACTATGTTCGTGTTCAAATTCTGGGTGAAAATAGCTATGCCATGAAAGATAATGAAATTATAGCTAATGTACGGCAGTCTGTTTCGGATTTAAATGATACAGTCAGCCAAAACTTCAGCGAACTCCGGCACCTGATCGAGCATATAACACCAAAATTAGAACTGTACAATTGTCCTGCTGATGCCAGTATGATTACTTCTAGCAACCAAATATTAGATCTCAGGCAATTTTCTAATGACTGTGACATGAATAAATATTTTTCTCGTGGGTGCTTCAACTTGGAGTTGGTAAGCAAGGATGTGGACAAATTTGTTAAAAACTTTGATACTACCATGAGGAATTGGGCGTCTCTCAGCGAATGCCAAAACTTGTCATCCCACTTAAACTTCTTGAATCAAGAAATTGAGAAATTGATTATAAAAATTCGTGAATCGATGGACAACTTAAATCAAGAAAAAGAGTCGCTGTTAGCAGCAGTTAATGCAAAACGTCATCAGCTATTAAAAACTGCCCAGGTGCAAGAAAGGCGCAATTGGTTTGCTGCTAAAATACCTTTAAATTTTCCTAAAATTAAGTTTGCCTTTGGTGATGTTTCAAGAGATAATCTTATTGATTATTATTCGGAAGCCGACATTACAGCTTCACCGGTCATCGACACGACTCCCCCTGATAATTTTTACAATCGAACCATGAGAAATCACGCATTTGATTGGTCATTCCACGCCTTAGATATCAGCCGTTTCTCTTATGTACCTCCTACTGCACCAGAAAGGCCACTTCTTTCACCTTTACGAGAAGAGTCTTCAATCAGATCATTATCCAGTCATAACTCATCTTATAATATTGACACTGTTTTACTCTGAAAGTTGACCCAAGAAACCCTTTACAAGCATGCATTACACTTTGATCAACTCATTGTTATATTATTATCGAAACGTCTTTTCTTTATTTAAAGCTAATTTCGAAGAAAGAACCTGTTTTGCTAAATATACTTGCAGATATTTTTAAGTCGACTATCAAAGCCATCTTCGTCATTTAAATCCTCTGAGTTTGCCAATCGCGTAAAACTATGACGGCCTCGACTTTCAAAAAATTGGTTAAATTCAATTTAATCTATCTTCGTTCCACCAAGATCTAATTTAGAGTTGACTAGTCTTCTCAATTCTCATATTACAGAGAAGCAATTGAAACATATTAAGAGGAAAATGTTCCATTAAACAACAAATAGGAATGAAACAATTTTCCATTCAACTCTTAACATTAACATCACTTGAAATTTCTCTTTAAAATTATCCAATCCCACAGACCGGTTTGAATTGACCAATTAACTTGAAACAACTTTGGAAATTGTCTACTTAACCTTTGACCATGAACTCATTCAATGAACTGAAAAATACTCATTGTCAATATGGTCGCTATTATCTGTTGACAAATGATTGTCAGTTAAAATTAATTATGGTCATGAATCAAAAGTTGAGCTGTTTCTTCTTTATTGTGCGTTAAAACATTAAATTCGCATGTAATATAATCAAAATTTGCTACAACAAGCCATTTAAATTGATTTAATTTATCGTTCAATTCCATCAAGAATCATACAATTAAGTATAAGTGTACCAGATTGTCAGCAATTTAAATGAACAAATAGATGAGTTCATTGAATATGAAAATTAAACTCATCTCAGAAACGAGGTATTAAAGCATAAACCATATCGATCGTGCCATGCAAGCTGTAAACCTGTTAATTAAGAATAGTTGGAAAAAGAAAATGTCTGAAGTATTTCTTTTATTCAAAAAAATATTTTCACTCTAAACCTGAGCCTCTTGATAACCTTGAACATCCAGAATTAATAGGCTCATTGTTGGCCAATTGTTGAATACTTGGATAAATGGACAAAAGAAATGGCAAGACCAGTCTGTTGAGGATAAAACATGGAATCGCTGATAACCAAAAAACAATTTAAATCGCTAGAATAAAATTATTTCCATGTGAACACTGAAAAGAAGCATGGAATTGAAGATGCTGCCTTTTTACTTGGAAATGATCAAGGTAATGGACAAATTTCAGGGTCATTTCGTTTGTCGTTTATTTGAAACCCTAAACTGTCCATGAAGATTATTTCAGCCCTCTAAATTATTCAGTAACGATCAACCGCAACACGGTTCAATATTTAAGACAATTGGTGATTCATCATATCATTATAATTAGATCAGTTTTTATCAAATCAGTTTTGAGTGCTTTGTTTATCGCCAAATCTTCATCTTCATCTCAACAACTGAATCTTCTAGTATTTCTTGACCAATTGAAGTATTTCCAATCTATTGTGTTTTAAATTTATTATTTTTCATCTATCAATGTGCGCCATTGGACCAAGCTATTTTTTTATTTGCCTGGCTTGAGGCGTGGCATTTTCAATCTCTTTCTCTTTGCTTCTTTCGTCATCCCAATCATCATCTTCTCTCTCTTTTTCCCCTTTTCTCTCCCTTCAACTCCTCTGTAATTTCGAGGCAAGTTTTCTCAATAAATAAATTGAAGTCTTTTTATCCATGCTCTGAAATAGACTTGTTGCAAAGTATTACTGTTGTTCTGTTCGTTTATGAATTGCTTCTTCATAACTGTTCACCGATTATTTCATTAATTTTCATTGAAAAACTGTTCATTTAACAATGGCTGAATTTGCTGGTGAATACACTTTTGTCTCAAGTGAAAATTTTGACGAATTTCTAAAAGCTTTAGGTAAGCAAATGAAGCTTTTTTTATACCCATTTTGTCTCTTTTTTGATCCTTTCTTTATCTATTATTTTCCTGTCTGCATGTTTAACTGCTATTAAATTTTTACGCCAAGCAATGGTGAAAAATTAATTTAATACATATTTAATTTAGTTTATTTGATATGATCTAATGATCGCTTGTGTTATATAATGGTGTTAGTTACCATGTTTCATGTATACTTTACATTCTTGTTCCATGCCTTTCCTTTGCAGTCTTCCTATTACCGATTACCTCTCCATATTGTTTAATACCCAAACAATTTTTGATGATGTGGTTGCACTCATTAGTCAATTTACCTATTTGATTAAACTCTTGCAATATTTCTGTCACTATTTATGCTCATCATCTTGCTTAATTATTTTTCAGGTGTCAATTTTCTTCTTCGCAAAACTGTTGGGGCCTTGAAGCCCACGTTTATAATCAAAGCTGAAGAAGATGGAAGTATTGTCTTCAAATCGGTATCAACATTCAAAACTACCGAGACTAAATTCAAATTTGACGAAGAATTTGAAGAAAAGCGTATGGACGGTGTAACCTGCAAGGTAGGTTGATTAATATTTATCTTTGCTTCCTTTCATTCCATATTTAGGGGTAACAAAAGTACCATCTAAAATTATAATGCCGATACCTTATAATGAAATATTTGCTTAATTTGATCCGATGGTTTCCGTTCAAATTACACAACTATTTCCCATCTTCCATGTAAGGTTAATATTGCATTGATTGATTGAATGTTAGTTAATTTGCACCCCGAATAATCCTTGAAGATTTCATGTTGCTTCTATCCTCTTATAACTTCAACTCAAAATTTTTGTTTCCCTTTTTTAAACCCCATTTCATTTCCAACATTATGTTAATATTTGCTTTTAATCTCTTATTTTCAACAGAGCGTTGTCAGTCAGGATGGCAACAAGCTAATCCAAAAGCAGCAAAGCGACCCTCCGGCAGAAATTACTCGTGAATTCAACGGAGATGAGATGAAAATTGTAAGTATAGCGCATAAGCAATACTTATCGCCTTTACATGAATAGAGAATGAGAAGAAAGCCATTTTAGGGATCAACCATCAGGAACAAGTTCAGTTTTCACTGTTGCGTTGTACAATGTTCCAATATGGCTAAGGAGCAGTTATTGAGAGATTCAGATTCAATTGTACATTTTTCATGTTTTTATAAGATGTATCTCAATAATGTTAGGCATCTGGTTGGTCTCAACCTAAAAGATAACTCTTGCAAATTAGATTTTTACAGTTGATGCTACTTAATTTATGACATCAATTATCCAAAATCTTTTAAGAGCTATGATTGACGTACAACTAAATCAACAGTCTGTCCTTATCTAACTAACTAACCATGCCTATCCTTTTATTGTTTCAATCTAAATTTATTTTAAATCTGTCGAGTTTTTCAATTTTCTAATTATAATCCGTTTCTTTTTTTCAGACTTGCAAATGCGGTGAAGTTGTTGCCACTCGAATCTACAAGAAAGCCAACAAATGATTTTATCGAGAATTACATTGAAGAAACTTGAGGCCGTATGCATAACTCAATCTATCAATCTTTTCTTTCTTTCTTTCTTTCTTTCCGTCTTCTCTTTCTTTCTCTATTTCTTTTGTCTGACTCTTTCTCTTTGTTCAAATGACTATCCAGAAACGAAACAAATGAATTAATCTGTCGATTTCACGATCCTGCTGGAGTAATTTATTGCCAGTTTTAAGACATTATCTAATTATAATACCTGAATACGCACACCTCACATCTTCCCTTTAAAGTTTCTTGAATGAACATTCCCCTGAAATATGCTTAAGTGCTAATTAAAAGCTCAGTCTATGTGTGGCCAAATTTTTCGCCGTTCTGTTAACTAAACTTACCAATCCATTAAAATGACGGACTTCAAAACAAATATGAAATTAATATTTGATTCTCAGCCTATCCCTCCTCATCGTGATGTAAATTAAGCAATCTAACGTGGTTAATATTTTCATTATTCAATTCGGTAAAATTATTTTCACAAGTGTAGGAACAAAATAGTCAATAAATTAAATTTAGAGGAGGTTTTCATGCCAATGCCAATGCATATTCTGGAAAAATACTTATGTATGCAATGTGAGTACTTTAGTAGATAATTAGCAAAGCAAATAATTACTTTAGACTTGAAAATGAAAAATTGATTCTTGAAGATCAGGGATCAAGATTGTGATTATTTCATTTTCGCTTTCTCTTATCTAAAATAATAAGAGATTCATAGCTTTGAACAAAATAAGGTTATTGGTAAAATGGGCCAACTAAAATGCTTATCAGAAAATCGTCTTGTCCAGCTACATTCAGTAATAAATGGAGCATTTTGCGCAGATCAAAATTAAGCAGGACGCGAATCTCATCAAATGCCGAACGATCAAAAGTTAAGCGACCTAACAGTTATAATATGCGATCGGATTGCTCTGAAGAGCATTGCTCTCGTCAGTCAATAGAAGCAATCAAGAAATATAAATGTACAACATTTCAGCATTCTATCATGTTGTGTTCGCGAGATATCATCGAAAAACGTTTTAACTTTAGAGCGACATTATTCCCGAACGGAACCTTAAGGAGCTTTTGATGAGGCCTATCATAGTATTTGATGTCCTCTTTTAACTAATTAAGTTCATTTTCAAATTGAAGAGTGTCGTTTTCCGTGTTACTTTAATATTGTATTGAATAATATAATTCTTAAACCAATGAATTTGATCGATAGTATCGATATTTGTCTTTTGCTTACATCAAAACATCAAAATAAGCTTCGAAAACAGTTTATTTATTCTTTTGTTAACCGTGATTTTGCTAGTCTTAATATTGTCTAATTATAACTTTAATTAGATATTATTCGTAATAAAGATTATGATAAATTGTTAAAAGTTCAACTATTGCTGGTCATCAAGTGTTTTGTATACCAAATCATTAAATTATGCGTTATTCTAAGCTGTCATTTAATTTTTTCTTTCTCCATTTTTTTACTTAATTTTTACTCTTATTTTGTGATTTCAAGTTCCTCTTTATTACCTTACACTCTTCCATTCCAAGTCAAAATTGCAACTGTGATTCATCTCTGTAAACGGTAGCCAACCGTTGACTCTTTAATAATATTCAATTCATGATTGATAGTCATGTTGATCTGATTTACCAATATAAAGACCATACATTAAGTCTTCAATATTGTCATACAAATCAATTTTATTAATACTAACTTTGGATCTTGATCCTTGGATAGACCTTATCATTCCCTCTCTTTTATGGCAGACTTGACATTTGGATATATCTGGGCATTTATTCTTCCATATTGGTATTCATCAAACAATATCAAACAATCATGTTAATCGAGCTATCTATAATTTTTTTATCAATCGCCTTAGCTGTCACCATTTTTCTAGCTCTTTGTTACTTCGGTCTTTTTGAGACAATTTCTGTCAAAACTGGTGAAAGTCCATATGATTTTGGTGGAAAAAAATTTATTTACAAAGTGTACAACGCTAACTCTGCCAGTATTGGATCTAATTTCACTAGATTAACTACATTACTGTACCCGTTTAAAGATGCAACTCTAGTTCCCGTTCTTATTACTCAGCCTATTGGATCCAAGTCTACCAAATCCTTGTTGGGTGTTTTATTTGAGCATAATAATGATAAAGTGGAAAAGATGTTGCTTTCAATAGACTACAAGATAATGACTCTTCCAAAAGTCAATCATGTTGTTTCTGCCACATTCACAAACAAAGGTTCAATATCAGTAGCTATTGCTTTAAAACGAGTTTATCCAGTGATCACCGAGTACATCAAGGTATTTCATAACTACCTTAAGTTGTTTTTCAGCTGGATAAATACTAATATTTCTTTCTTTTTCTCTTAAATACCTAGGAAAACAAGCTTTGTGCTTATCCATCGATAGAAATTTACAAAGGAGACGTAATTTATTTTCTATCTCCATTGTCCAAACAGCAAGATTTCTTCATGAACGAAGTATCATCTGAAAGTTCAAGTGATGACGGTGACAGTGATGGTGAACAAGTTTGTGATGACCAATATTCCAGAGATCCTGAAGATTCCGATGATGATAATGAAGTGCCAAGCACAGCTTCAAGTGTTGCAAGTTCATCTTCATTTGAACAGCTCATAGCAGATGATGTATCAACAACGACCAAAAATGTGCTATTACAATTTCATGCCACAAATCAGTACATTCTCGTGTGATATTTTTGTTGAATTTTCATTTTTTTTCTTCTCTCAGTTATAACTATTGACTGTTGTTGCAATAACTAAAGAAACAAACACAAATACAGCGACGGAACGATAATTGTCAACTATCAATTGAAACTTACATTGTATTATCTAGTAATTCCGTTCTTTAATAGTAATCTTTCTTTTTGTTTATAATTTCTTCGCCTTTTAAAGGTCAATTACATTGATTTTGGTACATCCATGCGACTTATTTCTCATTGACTCATAAAATTTGCATGTCGATTTGGTTCTGAGGCAATGGTAAAGTTTATCGTGAATTTCGAAGACTATTGAATCCAAACAGCCTAAAAAACTTTCGATCAAACCGTAGACGAAGGCAATGTTTAAAGAGGCCAATGAAGATTCGACCATTCCAAGTATCAGAAAATTTAGAATTTCCAAGAAATCTCAAGATTTAGAGAGGATAAATCATATTCACAACACACATGGTATCAAATGAAGCGGCTGTTACTATAATTGACGGTGCTGTCGTAAATTATTGAGTTCGAAAAATGCTAACTAAAAACTTGATCCTTATGTTGAAATCTTCTCATAATCTTCAATTAATAAGTTAGCCATTTCAACGCAGTTTAGGGAAAATACTCAATTTTGAAAAACAAAAGACAACGATAGAGTTACTAACTTATGTAAACATAATAATCTATGAGCAAACTAAGACTGGCATATGAGTAAATGTTACTAAACGGTTTAATTTTTATCGAATTGTCATAAGAAACAAACGGTTTCAGCATTATTCAAATGCTTCGTTCCCGCAGTATTTTTACATCTCTAGTTTGCTTAAAATAAATTAAGCAATTTTTCTCAAAATAACTTAATAGCGTTCCTTATTTTAGCTGTCGCTGAGTTTTGGATTGGGTTTAATCATAAAAGATGATACTATAATATCATAACATATTGTGATGATAGAAAAAATGTAAATTCATGTTAGATGGATGCGTTGATTTGCGCCGGGCGGTGGAGACGACGTAGCCAGAATGTACACCTTGATTTTGGCCAAACCTAGACTGGTCGATTTAATGTTACTCGAGGGATAATAACAACAATACTAGGACATCTAACCAAACCGAATCAACTAAGATAGAAGAGAGCAAAGATTTTTAATTATTAATTGTAAACCATATAAAGGTTTTTCTGCTAAGAGGGCGATTCCCGAATACTTAGCTATACCTTGGCTATGATCATTCTGTAGTCCTGGTGGAGCTATAGTTACTATCTGTAGATGTCGAAGACCTGGTTTCAATCAAAATCTATCGAGGACGCTAATTTTGCCTTATTTTATTTCGCAAACGTATTTACAGTCATATTCAAAACTTTAAAGCCAAGGTTTTGTCCGAACTCAAATCAAATTTAAGTGCACTTTTAGTCTATCAATCCTAAATTTTTTTAAGTATAATATTTTTAAAGGCATTGGATTCTGATTAAATAAAAAATTACACCTGAATTCATTTTAATAAATCAGCCAACAATCAATTAATTCAGTACTGTTAATTTAACATGGTAGCTTTTTTGTCAAAAGTTTAAAGCATTTTACAAAAACTGGCGAACGTGATCGAATTTTTTCTTGAAATTTCACTATGTAATAAATCATCTCGAGAACCGATGCAGTACCTAAAATTAACGAAAAATTTCGATAGTTAACTAAGTTATTGACTTTTTGGTTTTACATTGATTTCTATGGCAATGAACTGAATTAGGTTGATTAATCACGACCAGATAGGTCAAAAATTATAAAAATGGTATCTCAAGAGAAGCGCAAACATTCTGATTAATTAGTCGAAATTTCGTTATCATTGATTCAATCGTTCTCGGCTGAGTCATGTTTTACGGTCTCATTCGAATTCTTCCCATTGATTTCAATGGGATACTTCGAACACAATAAGAAAAATCAGGTTTTGTTGAGCACGATTTGTTCGAAGACAACGAAATTTAAGTAAATTATTCAGAACCATTGTGCTTCTTTTGAGATACCATTTTCATAATTTTTGACCTATCTGGTCGTGGTTAATTACTTCTTTTCAATTGTTCGTCATAGAAATCAATATTAAACGAGGAAGTTCATAACTCGGTTCATTATCGATATTCACGGTTAATTTTTGGCACAAAATTGGCTATCAGGATGTTTAACTCGTTAGCCAAATTCAAAGAAAAAATTCGCTTGCATTCGTCAGATTTTACAAAATGCTTTAAACTTTTGACAAAAAAGCTGCCATATTAAATTGACAGGCCCTGATTAATTAATCAGCTACTAATTAACTAAACTCAATTCAGGTGTAATTTTTTATTTTATCATAAGTCTATACTTTCAGAAATATTACCCTGAAAAAAATTCACTATAGTTATATTTAAAGTGCACCTAAATTTGATTTGACTTAAGACAAAATCTTGGCTTTAAACTTTTGAATATGACTGTAAATACGTTTGCGAAATAAAATAAGGCAAAATTAGCGTCCTCGATAGATTTTGATTGAAACCAGGTCTTCGACATCTACAGATAGTAACTATAGCTCCACCAGGACTACAGAATGATCATAGCCAAGGTATAGCTAAGTATTCGGGAATCGCCCTCTTAGCAGAAAAACCTTTATATGGTTTACAATTAATAATTAAAAATCTTTGCTCTCTTCTATCTTAGTTGATTCGGTTTGGTTAGATGTCCTAGTATTGTTGTTATTATCCCTCGAGTAACATTAAATCGACCAGTCTAGGTTTGGCCAAAATCAAGGTGTACATTCTGGCTACGTCGTCTCCACCGCCCGGCGCAAATCAACGCATCCATCTAACATGAATTTACATTTTTTCTATCATCACAATATGTTATGATATTATAGTATCATCTTTTATGATTAAACCCAATCCAAAACTCAGCGACAGCTAACAGTTGAACATTCCCATGGAAATTTTTGATTCAATCATTAGGTGTTTTCTTGTAAGCTTTTATTTCTTTGTTTATCAAATCTTCAAATCTATCATTAACTATTCATTATACCTAGCAAGTCTAATCAATTAGTTGATCACTGATCAGGGATCAACTAAAAACTCTTCAACTGTTTTATCCCCATCACAATTTATCTGATCAGTAAACAATTTTTGAGATAGATTATCATTTTGATCATTAGTAATCAACTATACATCAAAAGCATCTTACATCTATTAACCATTCAATTGCTCTTCTTGGCTTACGAGACTATTGAAAACAGAATTGTAAAATAGCAGAAAATGCTCACAATAATCAGCTAAATAAACGTAAACAAACAATTCCCCATAAAATTTGTATCTCAGCTGAACTTCAATGCCATAATTCAAGTCTATTAATAAATGAAGGTTTTTTTGCCATTCAACCAAGCCGTTGATTGTTGGCTGACACAAAAATCGTTTTAGCCAATCTTAAGCTTATCATATGTAATAATAAACAATGTGCTTTATTTATTACACTTTTTTGTGCACCGGTTCAATTTTATATTTCTTATTTAATTTACCAGTTATTTAATAAATTGTGACATTTAATTTACTATGTACTAATGAATCGTAATTAATGATTAATGGTTTCAACTTAAAGTTCTAGTTAGAAGTGACCATAACAAGAAGATATCCATGAGAGATAAAAAGAGCTACATTTTCATTGTTGATCTATCAATTACTTTGATGATCACCGATCATCCATTTGATAGTAAAACCAAGGACTCGTTACATTATTTTATTTCATCAACATCTATGGGCAATCTATCCAATCAATATTTTCAATCACAATCCAGATAAAATAAGTTTGAACGTAATCAAATCTCAATAATGAAAATGTAGTTTACCAACAGAGTAAACAGGTTAGACTTATCTTTGATTCTGAGATTGAAGATTACACTAATTGTTATCAAAAAGAGAAGAGAAATGATCATAGAGATAATATCTGTTAAGTTTGATGAATTTATTATCATAATTGGTGAGATCTTAAACAGTCACAGTTGATCATAAGGCGAAAAAAGAGGTACAAAAATCTGTTTACTATTCGTAATAGAACTACAAACTTGACTCTCTTGACAAAAACAGATTTCTTTTCTGTAGCATTTTAACCTCACTTCAATTAATCCATTAGTTATTAATTACAATTCATTTTTCTCACCTACTAATCCAACTTAGACATTAAGAAATTAACAATGTCCATCAAAGGAGAACTGGGTAAGTAATTGTTTCATTCAAGATAATCTTGTTTTTAAATCTCTCTTCTCTAACCGATTTTGTCTGACTTATGTTTCAATCTCTCCTACACAGCTGTCATCTCTGTCTGGGATAAACGAGGTTTAGTTGAATTTGCTCGAAGATTGGCGCAAAGTGGTTTAAATTTGGTGGCCAGTGGAGGTTCAGCCAAAACATTACGGGACAATGGACTGACATTGAAAGATGTATCTGAAATAACCGGAGCTCCTGAAATGCTTGGAGGACGAGTGAAGACTTTACATCCAGCTATCCATGGAGGAATATTGGCTCGTAAAATTGACTCTGACCAGCGTGACATGAAAAATCGTGGCTACCAATTTATAGGTGTTGTTGTCTGTAATTTGTATCCATTCGTACAAACTATTAGCTCACCTAATGTAACCATTGCCGATGCCGTTGAACAAGTTGATATTGGTGGAGTAACTCTTTTACGGGCTGGAGCCAAAAACCATGATAGAGTAGCAGTTATTTGTGATCCTAATGATTATGATTTGTACGTATTCTCATATGTCTTAATCTCAATTGTTTAACATGAAATTTGGTTTTATCTTTTGATTTTAGGGTTGCTTCAGAGATTGAACGAAATGGTGTTGTTTCCAAGGAGGTTCGACAAATGCTTGCTGTTAAGGCTTTTAATCATACCGCACAGTATGATTTAGCTATATCTAACTATTTCAGGTCTCAATATTGTTCCGGAGTTTCACAATTATCTCTTCGATATGGTATGAATCCTCACCAAAAACCAGCTCAACTGTATACTATGGAAGCAAAATTACCATTGAGAGTAGTCAATGGAAGTCCTGGTTTCATTAACCTATGTGATGCTCTTAATGCATGGCAATTAGTTCGAGATCTTAAAAAAGCGCTAAATATGCCAGCAGCCACTTCATTCAAGCACGTATCTCCAGCTGGAGCAGCTGTCGGTGTTCCCCTATCAGGAGCTCAATTGAAACTTTGTTGTGTTGAAGATATGGCCAAAGATCTTACTCCTTTGGCTACTGCTTATGCTCGAGCTCGTGGTGCTGATCGAATGTCTTCTTTCGGTGATTTTGTTGCACTTTCAGATGTTTGTGATGTACCCACAGCAAAGATAATATCGCGGGAGGTTTCTGATGGTATTATAGCACCAGGTTATCAAGAAGAAGCTTTAAACATTCTGAAGAAAAAGAAAGGAGGATCTTATTGTGTTCTTGAGGTATTTTAATAAGTTATTGCTAACAACTATACGTTGATAGATTTTCTTTCTTTTCAATTTAATTTATCAAGATTGATCTTGACTTTGACAATCCTAACGAAGTGGTTTGAATAGTACTTATTTTTATCAATTTAAATATCGTTTATTCGTTATCTTATCAGATTGATCCTAACTATGAGCCATCTGATATTGAATCAAGGACACTTTTTGGTTTAACTTTGGAACAGAAACGAAATGATGCAATTATTGATGAAAAATTATTCAATGTCGATAGAATCATTTCTCAAAATAAAAATGTAAGTACTTTTATTATTCAAAGTTGCTAATGGAAGAAGAAACGAATTTTTATCTTACAAATTTGCTCTTTATTATTAGTTACCCAAAGAAGCTGTACGTGATTTGGTTGTAGCGACGATCGCTTTAAAATACACGCAATCTAATTCTGTTTGTTACGCTAAAGATGGTCAAATAATTGGCATTGGAGCTGGTCAACAATCGCGAATCCATTGTACAAGACTAGCTGGTGATAAAGCTAACAATTGGTGGATGAGGCAGCATCCTTCTCTCTCTGAAATGGTCTTCAAGAAATCAATCAAGAGAGCCGAACAATCAAATTACACTGATGTTTATGTTAATCGACAAGTCGGTCTTGAAATGGACTTGCAAAAATGGAAGGAAGCCTTTGAAGTAGCACCACCTTTGTTAACTGAGGTGAAATATTTTATTTTAAACTTAATTATCTTCATAACTAATCAATTTTTTCAATTCTTAGGAAAAGGCCAACGATTGGATCAAGGAAATGAAAGGAGTCGCACTGAGTTCAGATGCATTTTTCCCTTTCCGAGACAATATTGACCGAGCTGCCATGTCTGGAGTGTCTTATGTTGCTAGCCCTGGGGGATCAACAAATGACCAATGCGTTATTGAGGCATGCAATGACCATAATATGGTTCTTGTCCACACTGGCTTAAGATTGTTCCACCACTAAAGCAAGTTGCAACAAAAACTAAGATGAAACGAGCTTGGATCTAATCAAATTCCATGAAGTTTTTGTATTGCTACATTTAATGATTTTTTGTTTTCTAAAATGTTTAAAGCCAGGTCAGCTTTTTATCAAGGTATAAATCATTTTTGTATAACTTTATTATCATTTAAAATGAAAAACCTTACTGAAAACTCTCTTTGAATGCTCATCACTAATTTAAAAGCTATCCGTTATCATGAGACCATTGAAGGAATTGAGGAAATTGAAGTAAGATTTGACAATCCAAATGTGTGAATAGACTTCGGAAGGGTTTGATTGGTCCAAAAACAAAATATTGCTGATCGGGTAAATGTTAACCATTTTGAATTCAAATTCTGGATCAACGTTGCTTCAATTAGCAAATGCTACTCTAATTAAGTCACACGAGGGCTATACGTGCAATATCAAAGCTGTGAGTTTGATTATCATTTAATTAAACCTTTGCTTGGTAACTGTTACATAATGCAATATAATACTGAGCACTGTCCAGCGATAATAAACAACCTTTGAAATAAACTTGAAATCAGGTAAAATATACCTTATATTGAGTTCAATTGCACAAGAAACCAAAATAGGAATTTTATTTGAGGTGAAAAATTTATCAAAAATAATCGTTGAATATTGTCAACCTAATTAAATAATTAGATTGTAAGCAATTCTAGTTAATTCAAAATCTGACTCACAGCGTGATGAATTATTCATCATTAGCAACATTTTTTTTACTCGTCAATGTTTTCTGATCAAATTTGCTTGAAGGGGTTCAATTTGGTAACGATATTGATGACGATTGCTGTGGTGGTGATGAACATAGAAACATCTGAAATTGATTTAAACAAAAAAAACACCTACCTACAAGCTAGTACATCAGGTAATTTCATTGATTTGTCACCATCTCTTTATCATTACGTCAAATCATCAGCGGTGTTATTATTTCTTATTCATTTTGTATACAAGCTCTCCATTTGTCACAACCGTGAAACTCAACGATTCCAATAACATTCCAATATTATCCATTCTATACCAATAAAGGTTTATACTTCTTGTCACACCCTTGTTTATTTTTTACATTATTTTATTTTAATTTCAAAGTTAATTATTTTTATTGTGAAATATTTCATCAGTTTGGATTTCAAGCCTGATCTTTTGGCATCTTTTTAGATAACTTTCACTCATCTTAACTGTGTCTCACTACTCTTAACCAATGGTTGATCACCTAGGTGATTTGTCATCTTTATTATCTTTATTGTTTACTGTTTTCATCTTTATTTTCAAATTGTTTATTCCTTAACTATTGACTTACCTTTATCTCGTTCTTTCTTCACTTTCATTCTAGTCGGCAGTGATATTAATTCAAGAAGGATAGCTCACATTGAAAGCTGTTTTGGTATCAGCGGTACGGTAAGTCTGCATTTTATTAGGCCTTCCATTGTTTTTTTTGTTGCTAATCGATTGTTGTATTAACTATTTAGCCTCTATCTATACCTGGGCGTGTATTGGTTGGTGAAGGTATATTAACCAAAATATGTCGGAAAAAGCCAAAGGCTAGACAGTTCTTTCTCTTCAACGATATTCTTGTCTATGGTGATATTATAATCAAGAAGAAAAAATATGTCCGTCAACACATCATTTTGCTTGAAGAAGTAACTTTAGATGATATTCCTGAAAGAAATGATTCTGAGGATACAGAAGATGGTATGTTCAATCTCAATTTATGAACTTTGCTACATGGGTTTATCATTTGTGTTTTGAACTTTTGTCTCATTCACATTCAATTTCAATACATTTATCAATCTAATTCATCAGTGTTTATCAATAACTTTAGCATTTAACAGGCTTTTTCACCTTTGGTTTTACTGATTATTTTACATACTCCTCTTTTTTTCATTTTCATAGGGCGACTTAAACACGGCTGGCAGATTAAAACACCCAATAAATCCTTTACAGTTTATGCTGCTAACAAAACAGAAAAACAAGAGTGGATCAATCATATAGACAAATGTGTCAATGATTTATTGAAGCGAAGTGAGTTTCATTTAACCGATCCAAAAATAGTAAAAAAATAACTTATAATAATATCTTATCATCTTCAGCTGGAAAGAAACCCGCAAATATTCATGCAGCAGTTTGGGTTCCTGATACAGAAACTGATGTTTGTATGCACTGTAGAGCCAACTATTTCAATTTCATTAATCGACGGGTAATTCTTATTATTTATTGAAATTTTAACTATTATCGTTCATCTTCATTAATATATGTTTCATTTCTTTCACTAGCACCACTGTCGCTATTGTGGCCTAGTAATTTGTGGAGATTGCTCAAAAAATAAATTTTTGATTCCAGCTCAATCATCTAAACCTGTGCGAGTCTGTGATTCTTGTCATAATATTTTAGCTAAGCAACGATTAGGTTTAAATTCAGTTCGAGAAACAATGACTGCACCAATCAAAATTAGAGAACCACTTCCATCTACTTCTGTAGAGGCATCATCGTCATCAACACCATCATTCAATGCTGATGAAATTAAAAGCAAAGCTATTATACAAAGAAATACTCTGGTTCGCATGGATTCATTCTCGTCTGATGAAGAATCCAATGAAGATCTGTCAGAAGATCCATTGACTAAATTTGATGATTACCTGGAAGACGAGAAGGTTAGTTTTATCTTTTTTAAAACATATTAGCATACAATACGATAATTTTATCCTAAGCCTGAATGTTTTACGTTAAAATATGTATGGTGCGAGTGTGACTGGAGCACTTCTATCTAAAATCATGATAGTTTATCAAACGAATATCATTATTTAATACTGAAATGTTTTATCTTTGACAGCCAACTTTCTACAATGATGCGGACGAAAAGGAAAACAAAAGACTGGATAACTCTTAGGAAATCTAGCAATGGGTACTTTTATTTATGGCTCGATAAGGCAATAAAAATGAAAATTTGGCGGATATTGATCCAATCAGTGATAAGCTATCATTTATTAAATGCATGTATGGAATAAATTTAGCTAATTTAAATTTAATTTCTCTAATCGATTGTAATACTTCATTCCTAATTACTTACTATTATTGAAAATTACTCAAACCATGTATGATTAAGCTGAATAATCAAATAGCTTAAAGGCCTGTAACTGTGAATAAAATAACTTTTCGATTAAATTATATAATGAGCTGTTAGGAAAAATTGTTATTAAACCATGAAATACACATTGAATAAAACCTTTTTTATCTCAAAAACAGAACAAAACATTTCTATCGTGAGACTATTATCGAATGTTCCTTTCATAGAGCAATCAAAGTTATCATTTTCGCAATTGTACACGGTTTTGCAGAAAATGAAAATAGAACTTGATATTTAACCAAGATTTTAGTCATTTTAATCATAACACATTTTCATAAATAGTGTAGAAATGTTGCCTTAGTCAGTTTTGGGCAGATAAATTGGGTGATGGCGCAAAAAATTTTTACAGAATGATGAACAGGATAAAGTAGATGCCTGTTAGAAAAGGTAAACATATCGCTAGTGTTTAACCAAACATTTGTAATTTAGTAGACTTTAAAGTCTAGCCTAGTTATTGGTGGAAAATGTGAACACAAATTTGGAATATTCTGATATCCGTCACAATTTGAGAATACAGGTCTTGATTAATTGAAAATGCTCATTGGTATTCACTAAGAAAACTTTTCTCTAATGCAAAATTATAATCAGACATTGATGGAGCCGTGAGGAACATGTCGATCTTTTCAATCGTCTGAAAATATGGTTCAAGTTCAATACTAAATTTATGGGCAGGGAGATTTGTATTACAAACAAAGGGTACTTTGTCTAAAGGTGTTAAATGTTGATCATAATTTTGTTTGACAGCATTAGTTGATGATGCGTCACCATTGACACTCTGAAAGAGGAAAAAAGATAATTAATGAAAAGGTTTTAATAATGGTTGGTTTAAAGATGTTTGTAAAAAGAAAGATGACATCAACATACCAATTCAGAGAAATCAATGTAAGGATATAACGAGGTTACTGGAGGATTTGCTTGATTTGGGACAACAACAAAATCTTCATCTGTGGTTGTTGTTTCCTGTTTACTTGAGGTTTGTCCAGAAGATGATTTCTTGCTTCTTCCAAAAACATTTCCAAATAAATCTAGCATCTATTTAGATTCCAAAAATTTAATAAATATCATTATAAAAATATTGGAAATTGAATCAAATGTAATGTTTGGAATACAATTGAATAAAATTGAATACAATTTTGGAAAGCTTCACTGCAGACTTTACAGAAAAAATTAGCTTACCTTGAGTAGATTTATTTAAATGGATGAGTTTACAACTAAAATCACAAAATTAAAATTAAGTAGAGTTCAAAATCAAAATATGATTCAATCACTATATTCTTTATACAAGTGAAAGATAAAATTATGTTTTGATTCCAGTTGTTTACCTATTTAAAGCTCACTTAGCTTAGAGTTTAATTCAAAACTATCGACTATCGAAAACATTCGATTGATCGATTGTGTGAATTCTTGAATTGTCAAGCAAAAAAAAGAAAGAAATCTTTTATTCAATTTTATATTATTAAATTTAATTAAATGTTTTATTCTACTTTTGTGTCAATTTGCTTCTGATTATCACCATTTTATCTGTTACTATCCACTGCAATCCACAATTGTTATTTAATCATTTATCCTAGTTTTGTTGGTGTATTTTCATTATTATCATTTTTACAATCATGTAGCTTCTTTTTGTTTTGACTTGTAAGCCTCAAGATTTAGCTGTTTAATTTATTTACCGTTTCTTCTTTCATTCATCTGAGAGAATTAAAATTATGACAAGTCCTAGAGCTTCCTCGAGGTCGCCAATTTTATCTGCTGGTAAACTGGGATCAACTGCAAACATATCATCAACTTATCCTCTTCCACCGGCTAACCTAATCGAGCTATATTCAGAAGAAAATGTTGCTAAAGGACGCAATCCAGATCCACCCAAACCTATCGTTGATGGTAGTTACAATATGTTTGGTGTTCTAATTAACAATGATGATGCTATCATCAGACCTCTCGAGACCCGTGGAATCAAACGTCTTTATCCAAGAGAATATGACCACAAAAGGGAATTAAAGAAGATGAATTCTTCCATCCTTGTGAATTTCCTCGATCTTCTAGATGTAATCATAAAGTGTCCAGATACTAATAAGCGAGAAGAAAAATGCTCTGATATTGCCATGTTATTTCTTCAAATGCATCATCTTATCAATGAATTGAGGCCCTACCAAGCAAGAGAAACATTGAGAGTTACTCTTCAGCACCAGAGGAGACAACGTATTGAGATAATTAATCGACTTAACAGACAGATCGACAAAGTTGTTGAGATGATAGTCAACTCCACCTCAAATATTCCTGACCTGCCCGATTTAAAAGCTGCTCTCGGACAGTTGCTTTATTTCAATAAATCAGCTAACCAGAATGGAAAAGATACTAGTAAAGAAGCTAATGTGAAAGACTTATCGGACCCAAGTACCAATCAAATAGATGAATTTGACTCATTGATGTGTGATATCGTCGATCAAATTCCACAAGTATAAGATGAATTGATCATGCAAAATTATTTGTAATGTATTTAAAAGAAATAATGAAAGTGAATGACGAGATCAAATAAATAAAAGAGATATTTCTTGCATGAAAAACAGATCAGAAAGTCGCAATTAATACATTTTTGATTTACATTTTTGGTTTGTCAGTTCATTGATTTCTACAGAGATTTTTGTAACTTTGATTCACTCGCTTTCAAAGAGAAACAGAAGGACTCAAAGTCTATCAAAAGAGAGTCAACAATGGAAATGGATAATTTTGAATAATGACGCAAAAATTACATGAGATAGACATTCAACGAAATGCGATATGGATTACGCAGCTGAAAATAAAATATGGTACTGTTCATAACAAGCGTATAAACCAGCTTCTGATATGATCCAGCTTAGTATATAATTGCATATCAACACATACTTGACAGACATTCGATATGTGATTTTAAGCCTGGAGTTCGTCGACATGAGCTTTAGTGTCCACGGTTTAATGTCTACTGATATTCGCTCAGATAACTTTTCTCTAATGCAAAATTATAATCAGACATTGATGGAGCCGTGAGGAACATGTCGATCTTTTCAATCGTCTGAAAATATGGTTCAAGTTCAATACTAAATTTATGGGCAGGGAGATTTGTATTACAAACAAAGGGTACTTTGTCTAAAGGTGTTAAATGTTGATCATAATTTTGTTTGACAGCATTAGTTGATGATGCGTCACCATTGACACTCTGAAAGAGAAAAAAAAAGAGAATTAATGAAAAGGTTTTAATAATGGTTGGTTTAAAGATGTTTGTAAAAAGAAAGATGACATCAACATACCAATTCAGAGAAATCAATGTAAGGATATAACGAGGTTACTGGAGGATTTGCTTGATTTGGGACAACAACAAAATCTTCATCTGAGGCTGTTGGTTCCTGTTTACTTGAGGATCCAGAAGATGATTTCTTGCTTCTTCCAAAAACATTTCCAAATAAATCAAGCATCTATTTAGATTCACAAAAATATCAACATAAAATATAGAACAATAAAATGATTAAATAAAATGTCAGAGTTATTAAACAAAACACTTGTTGCGAAAAAAAGAACTTACTTTGAATGAATATCGACTGAGATATTAATCAATCCTCAAAGTGCACTAAGTGACAGTTAATAAATGCAATTAGTTAAAGCCAATTGAAATTTGACATTTCTTTGTCAAATGAAATATCAATATGTTTTGATACCTGATTCTGTCAGCCTGAATCAGAAATTTTCTTGTTTAAATGTTTCTCTCTTCCCAAAATGACGTCGATGGATCGTTAAAAGTCGATCTATCGGAAATGTACGCAAATAACTTTTTCTGATTTTATTTTTAAATAAAATACATAAATTTTCACGATAAAAATGCAAATTATAATCAATTTCCTAAGACTCAATAAACAAAGAAAATATACCTAGAGAGTTGATTCATGAATATTTTCTGAATCAATGAGTGAGTTTTTACTTGTAATGGAAAGCAATTTGACCATGTTAGCAATTGTTTATCCAATTACATATCCAACAAAGATAGGACAGATCACAGATCACGATAACGTAGATCACAATCTATTTGAAAATTATAAACATAAACAAAAATGTACGCTATGTAGATATACAATGAAGAGTTTAACAGTTGTAAAGGTTAATATACGATTTTAAGCGTTTGATTCGACTAATGTTTAAAGGTTTACTGATTTCAACGCAATAAAAATATTAGGTTGACCGGGATTGAGCGAACCGATTTGAAAGTTATAAAAATTCACACTTTAAGCAGTGTTTTTGCCTGTTCGTCACTTATATTCATATTTATTGGCCATGATTTACAATTTATACTTTCTATGTAATAGTATCACCTATTCATAAACTATTCACCAGTTCAAGCTATTTATCTTGGTTGTAGCTGTATCTGCAAATACAAACTGTAACTGAACAAACATTTAAACCAAGGGAGAAAGCTTTAATTAAATCAAGTAAGAAATACTTCTGCTTAAAGTGTCTAATATTATTTCAAACTATGCTTTGAATGAAGATATTTTCATGTTTTATCAAGCATTAGATAATCTTAGCTACGTAGGGTGTTAATCCAGGGAATATCGTGAAGAACAATAAAATGGTGAATTACAACAAGCCAAATTGACCGCCTTTTAAACCAGCGTCTCAACCCCCAATCTGATTAATTTTCCTGTAAAATATTCTTATTTTGATTATTAGTGACAAGAGAGTTGAATATCAACTTGATCTACGGTCATCAGCCTTTCTGTATTCGCTTCATTTTGCCACATTAGTCTGATCATGAAGACTCAAGAGTAAACAGTCTTACTCTTTTTGAAGACACAACTTGTCAGACTACATTTCAACACAAGGAAAATGGTGATGGTAAGTGTTCTTTGCTATGTTTCCAGCTTTCTATCTATCTCTGTTTTGAAAGTGAACTAAATCATCGCCAAGATCAAGCTAAATCAATTGTTTATTTTAATTAATTATATTTTCCTTATGTTTATAGTAACCTGCTCAACTTGACTCAATTTTTGGGTTCTCCAATAAACCAAGGCATTTTCCTTATAGTGACTTGTGTATTATATTTGTATCGGAACATTTATCAACAATGCCTCTGCCCATTGCAATTCAATATCTAGAGAAATACAAATCAATAATTAAAGAAAATCCTTTAATTGCTACCGAAATTGAAAATGTTTTGAGATGGGTCAGCTATTTGGTATCCGGTGAGTTTAAATTTTGTTTCCTCAACCCATTTTGTCTATATATGTTTCTATACTTACACTGTATGTAATATCTCTTTTTTCATCCATAGGTCGATTTAATAATTCTAACATAATCTCAGAGTTGATTTATACTTCTTCATCGTTACTTCAAATTTCAAACGACATCTTACTTAAGAGAGCATTTAATTGGAAATCCAATTTCGTAAGTTTTATAAACATGATAAATGTAAACAAATTTCTGTGTGTCTCATTGTATATTTTCATGTCTTAAACAGAGTGAAGTAGTGGAGAGATTAAAGATCTTTGTCACTATCATTGAATATACTCAAGTTTTCTTTGAAATTAGTGCAAAGAAATTAGCAGGTGAAGCTGGAAAATGGATTACAATCGCTATTATTCAAATTACCAAGTAAGTTGTAATGAGACTGATACCACTATCAATATTTGATTCACTGTCATTTGATGTGACTATATTTGGGATACCCAAAGGCCTATTATACACATAAATACCTAAATTCAAATATATATATTCCATCCTATCAATGATTTATCGTATATGTGAATATTTTATAAATTATGAATAAAATCTTATCTTCAACAGGACTGTGATAAAACTGATTTTGCTGTTCAAGTACAATGTTGGTATACAACGTCAGATACCCTTTTTGCCTTTGGATAGACAAAGAGATGTTCCATCAAAAGGATATAACCCTCCAACCGTCGAGTCTGAATCTAATTCTGACCAGGCAGCTCCTTCAGCTAGCGAACGAACTGTTGTTACCTTACCTAGATCAGGAAGAGTTATTCGTACATTGGATAGTGCACCACCTCGATCGAAACGAACTTGGGTTCTTCCTTCTGAGAGTTCCTTAATCAACAAGATTTTGGGTAAAGAGGATAAAAATGCTCCACCAACGGAATTAAATGATACCCAAAAATTAGCTGAAGTTCTTCATATAATAAGACCACTTGTCCATTTATCAACGATGAAAACTTTCGGTCAATCGTCATGGGCTCCCTACTTAGTCTCTTTTGGAATGGATGTTACAAGTTTAAAACTAATGAGTGCATCTAATACACTTTGGAATACCAGTGAAAGATTGGAACTTAATCAGCGATCTTTTTCAATGTTCCTTTACTTGATGAGATCACCTTTCTATGATAATTATACTAAAGTGCGAATTATCAGAATTCTAACCACTCTATCTGAGAGGATACCTCTTTTCGGATCACTCTTAAAACCCTTCATCCAATACTTACCAGAATGGCAAAGGACATATTTTTACGTTTGGAATGCTTAGTTGGGACAGTACGATATTTTTCACAATTTTATTATCAACCGGTTGATCAAAAATATGTTAAGTGGTGTAAAAAAGTCTGTCTCAGAACTGCATGAGTTTCAAGCTTGACTCTATTGCAAGCTACTCTCACACTTTTCTAGTTTCCTTCTGCTAAATGTTAATTCCTCTGTTAATTCTTTCCACCTAACTTATTCTCTTATTATCATTTTATTTCATGGGTATGGCTTTTTGGATAAAGGGCTTCTTTTCTTTCCCATCCAATCTTTTTGTATTTGTAAATAAATCTATAGTCACCTTACCAAAAATTAAGATGGTTCCACTCAACATCAAAATTCTTAAAAAATTTGTCCAGCTTAATCAGTATTGATTCACGATTCAAACTGCTCAAAATTTAATTTAAGCTGTACCATTGATTTTTAGTCAAAATAATTTCAGCCAACTTTCATTACAAACTTGTGAGTTCAATGAGAAAAACTAAAAATGCTGTTAATTGACGATTTTTTAATTCTAACTTTATTCTTTGCTCTTCTTCAGAGTCAGAATCGGATTGCATATCAAAACTCTTCCAAAATATATAATGCAGTTAATTGTAAATGACACATGATTTTCAGACAGTCTGAAAATTCTTATTTTTAAAAATTCATATTTTCTCGATAAAAATGTAAATTATCATTTAGAAACGATCAAATTAATCAACTTAAATGACAGTTGTCTTTATTTTAATCAAGAATCTTTACACAAAATTTGTAACAAACAAAAAAATGAAAACTTTCAATAATATACAGTGATTCTTATGTGACAAATGGTATTGATTAATGAAGAGGAATCGTATTGAATGTAAAAAGTTATATCTATACAAAGCAACCTGCAATGATTAAAAACAGTAAAAATATTTTGATCAAAATGAATTCCGCTAGATAGACGCAGCTCGAAAAACGTATGATTATAAATTGAGCGCATGTTGGGCATTTAAGCCTTGAAAGGATAACCAGCGTGAAGATTCAGCTTCATCAGCAGGTAAATAACCAGGTACTTTTTCATTATAATTAGAGGTATCTTCAGATTCAAATCCTCTAATCAGAGGAGCTAAATGACTAATTGGTCGCGATCTCATTTTCTGATTGAATGGTGTGTTAACATAATTGAGGAGATTGTTTGACCCGCCAAGTTGACTTCCAACGGCATCCATCATATTTGGTAAAAGTGGCATTTTGCTTATTGATTTCATTATTAGGTAAGGAACAGCAACAAGTGACTTTGTTTGCTTGTTGTAAAAATAAATTGGCGAAACAGACATTTGGAGTGTTGGCATTGATTCCGAAATCAATTGATGAACAGATAGTTTGTGGTGCAAGTCTTTCTTGTGCTGTTGTTGTTGTTTATTGACTTCAGAAGCTAATAAATCTGATGGAATAGATGAAGAGAAGGAGGATGAGGAAGGATTTGTTGGTGCTGCTGGAGTTGATGGTGAAACAGAAGGTACACTTGGTATTCCTTCAACTTCACGATGAATGTTTTGAAGAGAAGGAAGTTTAGGTAAAGATGAAATTGTTGTTGGAGAAGCTGTTGTAGTTGTGGTCGAAGTGGTGGTTGTTGATGAGGCTGATGTGGTCTCTGGTGGTGAACTGGTTGTAGTACTTGTGACTGGAATCTCTGTTACATCTTCATCTTCTTCTTCATCTTCTTCGATTTGTGTTAACCTTTCTGGTTTTTGTTCAACCATTTCATTTTCCTGTCGATGATTTTGGAGCAAATTTTTGAGCTGAAGTTTGGCTAGAAGCGTAAAAAATAGAAATTTAATATTTTAACAAACAATCGGCACGATCAAATTGAATTTCTTTTCAGTCAAAGCTGCATAGAGCTTAACTGTGCTTACAATAAGACTAACCTTTACTTTCTTGCAAATTGTCTTCACCCTTTAAAATTACATCAGCTGGATTAGATGAAGATACAGAAGGCTCAGCAGGTTTGCTATTAGAGGAGAAAGCATAATTACGACCGAGATAGTCCATCATACGAAAAGCATCGGAATTGCGATATCCATAAACACCTTTCATGCGATTCCAATTAGAATCTTGTTGATCATTTCGATAGTTACGATTTTCATCAAAACCAGTTTCCACTTCATCATTGAAACGATAAGGTGTAGGGTAGTTTTGCTAAACCAGAATGTTGAAATGATAAATAAAATAATTTCAATGAATCGAACAATTTGATTGTTAATATTTGCGTCAAAAAAAAGTAGAGAAAACAGTAAACAAAAGACTCTTACCTTTGACTCATGAAGTTTATCATCTTTACGGGCGTAAACAGCATTGCCTATGATTGAGCAGAGAAACAATACTTGTAGTGTTGATTTAGGAATACTTTCAGTATCAATCAGTGAGTTTTTACTTGGAATGGAAATAAATTTGACCATTTTAGCAATTGTTAATCCAATATGATATCCGAAAAGATAGATCACAGAGCACAAACTATTGGAAACTATGTGAACACACAAGCGAAGAATAGACGGTTTGTGGATATACGATGATCAGTTTAACAGTTCAAGAGTTAAAATCAAAATTTATGCATGTGATTTGAATGAAGTCCAAAGGTATACTGATTTCAATGCAATAAAGTAAAATCTTTATAAACTTAGCCAGTAAATATTTACTCAGTCTTTATTACAATTGAATTTCTCTAAAAAGGTTAAAAATTAGAAGGTAAACTCCTTTTAATGGTTATAACTTAGAGGTAACCAAATTGTCCAGTTCAGAAATAGTTGTACAAAAATTTAACTCTATTCTTTATTAATCTATTCGACTTCATTGTTAATCCAGTTTAGAGGAAGAAAAATAGATGATCAACTTTATCTATTCCAAGCGATCTATAATTGAAGTAGAGTTAAGTTTAAATTATCTCCACCCTCAATGAACTATTTGTTGATTAACATTGTACATAGCAGCTTTTCAATGCTGCTTATTTTTTCCACCATCATTATTAAACAATATTGTATTGAGTTAGTAAAAATTGTAAATAATTTCCGTAAGAAGACAAAAGCCAGAAGAAAGTGATTTTAATATAAGATTATGATGATTATTATTATGATTAAAGGTGGAGGAGAAGAAAGAAAGAGGCTGTTGATAATGATAGACTATCCGGATAACAATGAATTTGAAAGTGTCATAATCGCCATCTTCATTTGGGTTATATTTCACTTACTAACCATCATTACCATGATATACATTTAATATATTTTATGTATTTTTCGTTTATCATCATCAGATAGTGGTTAAAGTGGTTAAAGTGCTGCTTGTTTATCAAAAACCTTAATGATTCCAGATCGAGTTTACTGGTAAAAGGTTATTGTATTATTATATGTGCTGAAATTCACTATCTATCATAAACTTAACTTGACTCATCACCGAGAAAGTGAAAAGAAACAAAGTAACAATTATATTAATCGATAAACCGTTCGTTGTTTTTACAATGGTTATTAATCGTCAGATTTGTGGATCAGAATGTCATATTTTATTAGTTATGATGGCTTTATAAAAAACTAATGATGTCAAAGTTTAATATCACATTTGGTATCTAACTGGGTTCCATTTTTACTGAAGTGTCCATCTTATCAGAATCTCCAACTGTTTGTCCATAATGATCATAAGTTTTTTGCCAATCTTTAGGTGTTTTATCATTTGGTTTTCCTTTGCTATCCAATAAACCTTCTTTGATCATTTTCTTTTTCAATGTGGCCTGAAATAAAGAATTAATTAGTAACAATTAATTTTAAAAAAATTCATTGACATTTAAAAGCATAATACTTACATTAGGTCCTAAGCCCCATCTCCTAGGATAGAGATCGCGTTCCATGACGACTCTTTTGATTTTGGCGACAACTCCATGGTCACAACTAGCAATCGTAGATGTAGTCATAAGAGCGATAGCTGAAAAGAAAAAGCAAATGATTAATTTGAGTTCAGTTCGTTGTAAATCATATTCATAAAAGTCTATAAGCAATATACCTATACAAATAGCTTCTCCTTTAGTAGTAAGAATAACAATTTCTGCACCAATTTCAATTCCATCATCATATCTTAAAACTCCGGGTAACATAATCTTGGCTCCATAACATATGGCATTGACAGATGAATCTTTCATTATGATTCTTTTATGAGAAGTTAACAAAGCTTCTAGCGGCTGGATAACTCTTCTAAGATATGTTTCATCGTTATGATTTTCATATAACCATTGAGCATCTAGAATATCGTGCATAGTCACTAGATTATCATATTCTGTCACTATTCCTGACCTAATTCGTCTCAATTCAATCATTTGACCACCAGTTCCCAAAACAAGTCCAATGTGAACACAAAGAGTTCTGATGTAGGTACCAGCTTCACAACTTATCGAAATAACACCGATTCCTTTATCGTTGTTAAATTCCAACAATTTACTTTCATAGATTGTTCTCACTCTAAGTTGTCGTTTAACAGCACTGATTAATGGTGGTCTCTGGAAAAGTGCACCAGTTAAAGTTTCAACAGCAGAGAGAACTTTCTTTTCATTTTCAACAGGAGCATGTAATCGGAATATTCCGACATACTCTTTTCCAGCACCTTGTTGAGATTTAACAAGTCTAGTGGCTCTTTCAATGCACACAATAAGGCAGCCAGTAACTTTTGGGTCTAAAGTACCCGAATGTCCAGTTTTACTAACTTTTAGGATTCTTTTAATCCAAGCAACAACTTCATGTGAAGATGGATTGGATGGTTTATCCAGGTTGATAAAACCTGATTTTACATATTCATTGATATCACGTTTGTATGGTGAACATCCATTAGGCAGTGGAGTGAAATGATTACATCGTACGTTTAGCTTTGAAAAGTTTTTCAGCAGCAAAGGCCAGGAATCATCATTAACTACATCACCTGTTGGCTTCAAAACAAAATCACTATCTTGTTTTCCAGCATCAGACTTTCTACTTTTTTTCTTTGATTTTTTTACTTTAACAGGAGAGGTAGTTTCCATAATTAACACAATGATATATAAGAAATGTATTTAAGAAACTGCAAAATAAAGTTTAATTTAAACTAAACATTGAATTTGTATTTTTTACTTGAACACAAGAAAACCATGCTTCACACACATGTCTTTTGCATGCGTGTCTATGGACTTTTGTAGCCCGCCATCTTTGAATATTGTTTTGCGTTTTATCTTTAGTATCGAGATACTACAGTAGTTTGACAGGTAAATCTGACATTTCTGTTTGACAGATAATCATTGAGTATCTGGACCTTCGAAATGTGATAAATGCGATAAATGGGACATAAAAACAGAGTCCATTTGGCCAATATAAAAATTTCTCTGATGAAAAGTTATACAGAAAATCGTAGTCGCAGTTGAAACTTCGATCGCCTTGCGTTAAGCTGTTGAAGCGACTCCTAAGTTGGTTTCTGTAAAACAGACCAAGTTAGCATTTCAATAGAAACGAATGCATCAGGATGTAATCTTGAGAGTCAGAGAGCTGAAACTTATAATTTGTCCATAAAAATTGTTGAATCACTCCATGGACCGAATACTTTTTTCGATTTATCAATATTTCTCTTTATTTTGACCATTGGACTTAAAACTTTAAACCTCAATATTTCGAGAATGGCATCACAAACACTAATCATTCTTTCACCAATTTGATTCTTCATTAATTAATAATTTAATTTAATCTAAAAACTTTCCATTAACATATTTGGGTCACGATTTTTGGGTTGTGAATGTGTAAGCAACAAATTATTAATATTTAACAAACAAAACTCATTTCAACCCATTTCTTGGTAAATAAACCAATTTTCTGGTTAAACTTACAATTGAAATGCAAAGAGTGATGCCAAAGACGCGAACATTTGAGTAAAGATTTGAGACTTAGTGAGTTTGTAGAGACATGAAAAGTGAGTCTATTGGCACCATCAAGTTATTAATCCGATGATTAGTTTTCTAGAAAATTGAGGTCAAAGTTGAAACTTCGATCGCCTTTTGTGCAGTTGTGAGGTCAGATCTTTTCAAGAAACTCATTTTGAAGGTTTTAATTTTGATGGTTAACCAGAAAATGAACTTATTTCGTGAAATACCATTTTCTGTTTTCAGATAAACAGATCAGTTCGATTTTTAGTTCAACCTGTCGCATTCAATAACCACAATAAATAAGAAGCTCAAACTTGTTATCAGTACATTAAAATTGTTTGCACACATTATGCATGTAATAGTTTGTCTGATTTATCAACAGTTCTGGTGATTTTGGCCATTGAAATAAAAAGTTACATCCTCGATATTTCGAAAATGGCATCACTTACGATCATCATTCTTTGACCAAACATTAGATTGGAGTGTAGGCTATAGCATAGTAAGGATAAATACCAAATTAAATCTTGCTGTCGCTTAAGAAGCGCGTATAAATGCGTTCATTGCAAGTTTTGTTTTCATAATGCATGTTATGCAGTTAAAAAGACACAGTTGTAACATTTATGCACAAAATGACACAAACACTGAAAGAGAAATGAGCTGAAACGGGTAAGAATAAATTCCTTGCAAGTTTAGACTCTGTAAGTTTGTTGAGAAATAAAAACTGAGTTGATTGGTACTATTAAACATTTCATCCGAAGGACAGTTTTCGAGAAAATCGAGTTTGCAGTTGAAACTTCGATCGCCTTTTGTGCAGTTGTGAGGTCAGATCTATTCAAGAAACTCATTTTGAAGATGTAACTTTCAATGGTTAACCAGAAAATGGACTCATTTTGAGAAATAACATTTTCTGTTTCTTGCAAAACAGATCAGTTCGATTTTTAGTTTAACCTGTCGCATTCTGTGACCGTAATATTTAGAGAGCTCAAACTTGTTATTGATGCATTAAAAATGTTTGCACACATTTTTGGTTAAATAGTTTTTCCGATTTATCAACAGTTCTGTTGATTTTGGCCATTGGCCTTAAAAAGTTTGAGCCCCGATATTTCGAGAATGACATCACTTAAATGCATCATTTTTTAACCAAATATTAGATTGCATTATGGACTATAATTTGCTGTGATATTAAATTATTCAAGATATTACGAAAAAAGTTATAGCATTGTATTAGGGGTATCAAAAAGTTCTGTCGTTTTTTTTATCAATGACTTTGATTTCGATTTTGAATAAGTTTTGATTATTCAATTGACTCAATAATTTCAGGGATACAAGAGCATCCGTATATGTGCATGTAGGCCATTTTTTGACTCGATCGGAGTTAAATAGCTATAACTAATTAGCTAAGCAATATGTACCATTTGTAGAGGCAATTTAAAGGTACCAGAACTTATTGTTCTCTTTTTTTGAAAAAATTAAAATTGAAATAAAAAATTAACATTAATCGAAAGCTTAAGATCTATATTATCACTGAGCAAAATTTGAAACTTCTATTCATTACCATTATTTAACTATTCAGATTTGAAGTTCAAAAAAATGAAATTTTTGGACCATTTTCTATGGGATTTTTCAATGGGGCTTTGAGTGAAATTACAAAAATGTTCAAAAAAAGCTTTCTATGGAAAATCAATGTTAAACAAATTTTCACTTATAATAATATAATTAAATAATGGTAATGATTAGAAGTTTCAAATTTCGTTCAGTGATTATATGGTCTTTAAGCTTTCGATTGATAATAATTATTTTTTGCAATTTTAATTTTTCATCAAAAAAATCAATAAGTTCTAGCACCTTTGAATTTCTTCTTCAATTAGTACATATTGATTAGCTAATTAATTATAGTTAAATAACTCAGGTTGCGTCAAAAATCGGCCTGCATACACTTATATAGTTGCTCTTTTATCCCTGAAATTATTGAGTCGATTGAATAAGTCGAACTTATTCGAAATCGAAGTAAAAGTTACTGGTAAAAAAACGACAGAACTTTTTGATACCCCTAATATAATTTATGTTACCAGATTTGTGACTTGCTTTATAAAGTTTAATGGTTATGCAAACACAAATCTTATGTGCTAGAGGAAACTCATAATCATTGAAATAGCTCAGATTTGCATAGGTTTTTATTCATACTACAGTAATAGTTCATAGTGTAATCTAATGTTTAGCCGAAGAATGATGATTATAAGTGATTCCATTCTCGAAATATCGAGGCTCAAACTTTTCATGCCAATAGCCAAAATCACCAGAACTGTTGATAAATCAGACAAACTATTACATGCATAATGTGCGCAAACAATTTTAATGTACTGATAACAAGTTTCAGCTTCGCATTTCTTGTGGTCATTGAATGCGACAGGTTGAACTAAAAATCGAACTAATCTGTTTATCTGAAAACAGAAAATGGTATTTCACGAAATAAGTTCATTTTCTGATTAACCATCAAAATTTAAACCTTCTAAATGAGTTTCTTGAAAAAATCTGATCCCACAACTGTACAAATAGCGATCGAAGTTTCAACTTTGAACTCGATTTTCTGGACAAATGTCGATCAGAGAAGTTTTAAAATCACACAAACGGACTCAGTTCTCATTTCTCAACAAACTAACAGACTCTAAATTTGTAAGGAATTTATTTTTACCCGTTTTTGTTCGTTTTTAACTGTTTCTTTTTCAGTATTTGTGTCAATTTGTGCATAAATGTTACAACTGTGTCTTTTTAACTGCATAACATGCATTATGAAAACAAAACTTGCAATGAACGCATTTATACGCGCTTCTTAAGCGACAGCAAGATTTAATTTGGTATTTATCCTTACTATGCTATAGCCTACACTCCAATCTAATGTTTGGTCAAAGAATGATGATCGTAAGTGATGCCATTCTCGAAATATCGAGGATGTAACTTTTTATTTCAATGGCCAAAATCATCAGAACTGTTGATAGATTGGGAAAACTATTTACATCATGATGTATAATAGTCATTTTTATAAACTAATAATAAGTTTCAGCACTCTAACTCTTATGGTCACAGAATGCGACAGGTTTAAATAAAAATCGAACTGATCTGTTTTAAAGGAAAGACAAAATGTAATCTCTCGAAATATGTTCATTTTCTGATTGACCATCAAATTTCACATCAGAGTAAATGAGTTTCATGAAAAAATTCGGCCTAACAACTGCGTTAAAAGCGGATGAAGTTTCAACTTTGACTGCGATTTCCTCGACAACTATCCATCAGAGAAATTTTTGAATTGCACAACTGGACTCAGTTTTTATTTCTCTACAAACTGAAACAGTCTAAATTTGCGAGAAATGTATTTTTACCCGTTTTAGCCCATTTCTCTTTCAGTGTTTACGTCAATTTGTGCATAAATGTAACAATTGTGTTGGTTTTGTCTTTTTAGTAACAACCAGAATCTCATTTCTCTTAACTTTCAACTCTTTTCATTCATAACTTTTAACCCTTCCATAGTTCAACAAGAAAGACCAAATAAACAACCGACGTGTTGTTTGATATGTTTGCAGGCTCTTCTGGAAGGGTTCGGGTTAACAAATTTTTCTCGGCCTTATCAGCCACTGGTTTACATGTTAATGACCCTAGATTGAATTAAATTTCAAACAAATTAAACAGCATTTGGAAGGAAAGACAAAAATCTGGTGTTGATCTAAAGATACATCAGTAGCATAAGTTTCGTGTAAAAATCTGCTTCCTTAGGGGAACAAAAGGCGATCGAAGGTTCACTTTTACCTCGATTTCCTAGCAAACTGTCCATCGGATGAATTATTTAATAGCACTAATGGACTGAGTTTTTATATCTCTACAAACCTGCTAAGTCTAAACTCTTTACTCAATTGTTCGCGTCTTTGGCATTACTCTTTGCATTTCAATTGTAAGTTTAACCAGAAAATTGGTTTATTTACCAAGAAATGGATTGAAATGAGTTTTGTTTGTTAAATATTAATAATTTGTTGCTTACACATTCACAACCCAAAAATCGTGACCCAAATATGTTAATGGAAAGTTTTTAGATTAAATTAAATTATTAATTAATGAAGAATCAAATTGGTGAAAGAATGATTAGTGTTTGTGATGCCATTCTCGAAATATTGAGGTTTAAAGTTTTAAGCCCAATGGTAAAAATAAAGAGAGCTATTGACAAATCGAAAAAAGTATTCGGTCCATGGTGTGAGTCAACATTTTAATGGACAAATAATAAGTTTCAGCTCACAGACTCTCAAGATTACAGGATGCATTCGGTTCAACTGAAATGCTACCTTGACCTGTTCTACAGAAACAGAAAATGAAAACTGTGATACTTGTTAATAGTCCATATAAATGGACAGCCTGACATCAAAATATGGGAATCTTTCAATAACTAATATCATGAATAAATTATATCGAATGTCAATTGAGAGTAAAAATGCAAAAATTTAATTTTTTCAATATTGAGAATGTAAAGATGCAATTATGTAGCAGTCACTTTATGGTCGAGATAATTAAACTAAGGATACAATTTATCCGATATTTCAGCGATTTAATAGTGGCAGGATGATAGATATGATTGTACTATGAAAATTTGATTGAAAATAAAAATGGACCATTTTAATTAACATAAATATACAACGAATAGTGGTAGTCTTGAAATTAATCGCTGTCATCACTGCTATCATCACTTTCTTCACTACTAGAAGAGTCAGCAGCAGCTTGGGGTGCAGGCTTAGAGATCCGAGCTGGTTCAGGTTTGCCTTTTTTAGCAGATGATTTGCTAGCAGAAAACATTGGAGGTTGCTTCGCTTCTTCTTCAGACGAGTCAGATTCTTCATCATCGTCATCACTATCCTCGTCGTCGTCATCATCCTTTTCTGTTTTAAGCTGCACTTTTTGTCCGAAGAAATTACCTGAAGCTGATGCTTTGGGTTGAACATCGTCTTTCTCGTGCTTTCTTTTCCCACTTTGCGGCATCGTTGAATCTCCTCCTGACTTATAAGATAGCATTTGGGATTTATTCTCATATTTATCCCATTTTGCTTGAGCTTTACCAGTTCCACTGATAGCTCTGACTTTGCTTTCTTCTAAAACTTTTAATCTCGCCTCTAATTTTGCTTTATGTTCTAATCCTAAAGCATTTCCTGGATTTTCACCCATTGCATCAACACGACAGGCTAGAGCTGATTTAGCAGCAAGCATTCGAGACATTTTACCTTTAAGCCGTGGATTACTTTGGCCAACTAACTGAGCATGATAAATCAAACCATACTTGGGAGTGTCATGGCGTGTTTTAAGAGCACGAAATAGGGCTTTTTCAGCACCTAATATTTGGATAGTTGAAGCAGGATGTTTTGCTAAGTTTATCAAAGAGCCAGCATGGGTAATTAGGCGAGCGCCAACCAATTCTCCAACCAACATAGTTAGATTGGGTGCGATTGCCATCATTCGATTTTTTAAATATTCAAACAGTTGAGTACGATATTCTTGCATATCCAAAACATTTCTACATAAATGTTCGATATTCATCATGTCTTCTTCTGAAATATCAGTACCCATTGAAACTTCCGCTAATTCTTTAATTTCTTGCTCCGTCTCTGGGGCCAAAAATTCACTGAAGTCGCATGAATATGCATTTGTTCGGATTCCCATTTTCAAAACAGCTTTAATATAAGACGTATTGTCAGGAACAACTTTAGCCAATTCAGGAAAATGCCAACCATACCATTCTTTGCATCTCATAATATAATTATTTAGCTCTTTATCTAAATTGTCCAGTAGAGAAACAGCTTGGATAATCATTGTATCCACTTTATCAGCACTAAATTTGAGTTGATATCTTGAAATACTGTAAGAAAATAAAAGAATTAGTCATTACTAATGAGGTGAATTAGAGAAAATTCAAGAAAATTGTCACCAAGAGAGTTATAAGAGGGACTGCGATCAGTTGTAGTGACGAAAAATTTAGATATTCATCATTCTAAATCAATAACAAGTTATCCATCATGTGCAGTATCTTTTTCTTGGGAAATAACGAATATTGAGTCATAGATTACAAAATTTTTAATTAAACCCGAATAAGAGTTTAATCATAAGTTTAAAAAGATTAAATAACAAATTACTAACCCATGACTTAATCCCATTTCCATGGCTTCATTTTCTGATGGTGACCATTCTGGTATCAAATTTTCAACATTCAATCTTATGCAGGACATTAATTGTTGCACAGCCGATGTAGCGGCAGAGCTAACATTAAATTTTTCTTTAATGTAAGTCGCCAATTTAGGGTCAGCAACACCAACAATTTCATTTGGCTCTTTAGCAACGATTTTTTTCAACAATTTTTTCAACTTTTTGCTTGCTTTTCCTTCCAACATTGATGTAGCACATTCAACAGCTTCAGTCACATCTGAAAATTTTTCAAATGCTTGTAAATTTAGTAATTTATTGGCACTGGCAGGATCTTCAAATAAAGCATGGAGCTTATCAACTTTCTCCAATTTTTTATCATCTTTGAGCTGAAAAAAGAAAAGACACAATGTAAGACAATGTTGGAACATCTAATTAACCATTTAAATATTGTATAAAAAAAGTAATACTAACCTTGAAAACAGCATAACCAACAGCAGATTCAAAAAGAATCAACATGATTAATTTGATTTAATTTATTTCGATGAACGCTTAACACAACGAGTTTAAAATTTGAACAAGTTTAAAACGGAAACAAAAAACACGAGGACTGAAGTCACGCTTCCAAGGGGCTTATTAATAATTGCAGTCGTTCCTCCTAGTGAGTGAATATTGAAACTACAGGGAATTGCAAGGATTAGTTATGACTTGAGTCATTGAAATTAAGCCTAAAGACATTTAAATCACCTTTTCCCAGGCAAGAAATTTTGATAACATTGAGTATATGGAATTGCTAAAATTTCACAGTCCACCTCAACATGATTTTTGTTTTTCATTAACATGTCGAGTATCTAATTAAGTAAACTTTTCAACTTATCATCAATAGTCTGGTGCCGGATAACAACTGCAATAATGGATAGCAGATCTTTGCATAGGTTAGGAAATTGTTTCGCTGCATCACAACAAAAATTTAAAGCATTTCAGAATAGTGATAATAATGATAATGACGACGAAACAACTGACTAGTCGTAAGAAGGAAAGTTCAATGTCTCTGAATACTCAATATTTAAAAATGGCGGGCTACAAAAGTCCATAGACACGCATACAAAAAGCATGTGTGAAGCATGGTTTTCTTGTGTTTGAGTATTCAAAGATACAAACTCTCGTCTCAATACAACTTTATTTTGCCTTGTTTATTATTATGATTTTTTTGTGATCTAATTGTTCAATTGTATTAGATTGTGTTAATTATGGAAACTACCTCTCCTGTTAAAGAAAAAAAATCAAAGAAAAAAAGTAGAAAGTCTGATGCTGGAAAACAAGATAGTGATTTTGTTTTGAAGCCAACAGGTGATGTAGTTAATGATGATTCCTGGCCTTTGCTGCTGAAAAACTTTTCAAAGCTAAACGTACGATGTAATCATTTCACTCCACTGCCTAATGGATGTTCACCATACAAACGTGATATCAATGAATATGTAAAATCAGGTTTTATCAACCTGGATAAACCATCCAATCCATCTTCACATGAAGTTGTTGCTTGGATTAAAAGAATCCTAAAAGTTAGTAAAACTGGACATTCGGGTACTTTAGACCCAAAAGTTACTGGCTGCCTTATTGTGTGCATTGAAAGAGCCACTAGACTTGTTAAATCTCAACAAGGTGCTGGAAAAGAGTATGTCGGAATATTCCGATTACATGCTCCTGTTGAAAATGAAAAGAAAGTTCTCTCTGCTGTTGAAACTTTAACTGGTGCACTTTTCCAGAGACCACCATTAATCAGTGCTGTTAAACGACAACTTAGAGTAAGAACAATTTATGAAAGTAAATTGTTGGAATTTAACAACGATAAAGGAATCGGTGTTATTTCCATAAGTTGTGAAGCTGGTACCTACATCAGAACTCTTTGTGTTCACATTGGACTTGTTTTGGGAACTGGTGGTCAAATGATTGAATTGAGACGAATTAGGTCAGGAATAGTGACAGAATATGATAATCTAGTGACTATGCATGATATTCTAGATGCTCAATGGCTATATGAAAATCATAACGATGAAACATATCTTAGAAGAGTTATCCAGCCGCTAGAAGCTTTGTTAACTTCTCATAAAAGAATCATAATGAAAGATTCGTCTGTCAACGCCATATGTTATGGAGCGAAGATTATGTTACCAGGAGTTTTAAGATATGATGATGGAATTGAAATTGGTGCAGAAATTGTTATTCTTACCACTAAAGGAGAAGCTATTTGTATAGGTATATTTGCTTTTAGATTTTAAATATGATTTTCAACGAACTGAACTCAAATTAATCATTTGCTTTTTCTTTTCAGCTATCGCTCTTATGACTACATCTACGATTGCTAGTTGTGATCATGGAGTTGTCGCCAAAATCAAAAGAGTCGTCATGGAACGAGATCTCTATCCTAGAAGATGGGGCTTAGGACCTAATGTAAGTATTATGCTTCTAAATATCAATGAATTTGCATGTAAACAATTGTTATTAATGATTTTTATATTTGATTTTTTAATTCAGGCTACATTGAAAAAGAAAATGATCAAAGAAGGTTTATTGGATAGCAAAGGAAAGCCAAATGATAAAACACCTAAAGATTGGCAAAAAACTTATGATCATTATGGACAAACTGTTGGAGATTCTGATAAGATGGACACTTCAGTAAAAATGGAACCCAGTTAGATACAAAATGTGATATTAAACATTGACATCATTAGTTTTTTATAAAGCCATCATAACTAATAAAATATGACATTCTGATCAACAAATCTGACGATTAATAACCATTGTAAAAACAACGAACAGTTTATCGATTATCAAATTAATATAATTGTTACTTTGTTTCATTTTCACTTTCTCGGTGATGAGTCAAGCTAAGTTAAGTTTATGATAGATAGTAAATTTCAGCACATATAATAATACAATAACCAGTAAACTCGATCTGGAATCATTAAGGTTTTTGATAAACAAGCAGCACTTTGACCATTTAACCACCATCTGATGATGATAAACGAAAAATACATAAAATATATTAAATGTATATCATGGTAATGATGGTTAGTAAGTGAAATATAACCCAAAATGAAGATGGCGATTATGACACTTTCAAATTCATTGTTATCCGGATAGTCTATCATTATCATCAGCCTCTTTCTTTCTTCTCCTCCACCTTTAATAATAATAATCATCATCATAATCTTATATTAAAATCACTTTCTTCTGGCTTTTGTCTTCTTACGGAAATTATTTACAATTTTTACTAACTCAATACAATATTGTTTAATAATGATGGTGGAAAAAATAAGCAGCATTGAAAAGCTGCTATGTACAATGTTAATCAACAAATAGTTCATTGAGGGTGGAGATAATTTAAACTTAACTCTGCTTCAATTATAGATCGCTTGGAATAGATAAAGTTCATCTATTTTTCTTCCTCTAAACTGGATTAACAATGAAGTCGAATAGATTAATAAAGAATAGATTTAAATATTTGTACAACTATTTCTGAACTGGACAATTTGGTTACCTTTAAGTTAAAACCATTAAAAGGAGTTTACCTTTTAATTTTTAACCTTTTTAGAGAAATTCAATTGTAATATGGATCGACATCTTTGCTATTTCCTAATCAACACTCTAACAAGGGAAGGTGCCTAAGTGGTAGGGTTCGATTCGGGAAATTTAATGATAAATCGATAGAAATGAGGGGAAAAACATGTCTGGTGAAATTTTAGGACTTTCAAATTTTCGCTTCAATTTTTATTCAAGTTTTCAATGCTTTAAGTCAACTTTGCCTATGAAAAATGCCCATTATGAAGCTTTGAACAACACTCATTTTTTGCTTTTTTATGAAATGTCTTTGTTTTTGTCATTTTCAGCTTATTCCAATGGGTCTGATTAGACTTTGAAATAGAATAAAAATGAAGCGAAAAT